ATTCCAAAATATGAGTTATGCTGCCAATTTTTTCAAAAAATATATTTAAAGATTGTAAAAAAATCTCTGGAGATTCACAGACGCTATATACCAATGATGGTACGATTTCATCTCAAGTCCGCAAATCTCCGGAGCCGTTATCTCAGAGTACCGTAATCTCAAGGCCCCTAATCTCCGAAAACAAAAAAACTTCAATTTTCTTCCTCTTTTTTGCACTTTTTTTTCATTTTTTTCTTGTGTTGTGCTCAGAATACAATCTCCGATCGAAATTTTTCGCCGAACCCTAATTTATTCATCAAACTTCTACTTTTATTGAGAAGCTGAACAATTTTAAGTTAAGCCACTTCGAAGCTCGAGTTCCACTCTTTTTTTCTTTGCTGTCCACATGAAAAAGTGATCAGAGAAGCTGAAGGACAAGAAAAAAAAAGAAAGAAATATCAATTTGAAAAATTGAAAGTTGGAAAAACGAAAAGTACGCAATTTCAATCGGAGATTGTATTCTGAGCACAACAAAGGAAAAAAATGAAAACAACATGCAAAAAAGAAAAAGAAAATTAAAATTTTGTTTTCGGAAATTATGGACCTTGAAATTACGGTACTCTGAGATAACGGCTCCGGAGATTTGCGGACTTGAGATAAAATCGTACCATCATACCAATTATAGTCAATCCATCCCGACTTGAAAATCGAGGGAGGCGGAAATGTGGGCGGGACGCGTAGCGTGTGCGTACGCGGTTCTTGGCACGTGTTCAATTCAACCGCCATCTACTCTTTGAAAAGCTCGGTCAGCGCTCTTTCTTTATATTTTCTACTATTTTTTTGATGAGACATGAAAAAAAAGAGAGTTTAAAAAAACGAGCTCTCCAAGTAGTCGCTGGCGGTTGAATTGAACTCGTGCCAAGAACCGCGTACGCACACGCAACGCGTCCCGCCCCCTGCCCCGCCTCTCTCGCCTTTCAAGTCGGGATGGATTGATTATATCCGCTAAACGGGATAATTTGAAAAAAAAAAACAATTCGTGTGATAGATTTAAATTAATTTCGCAATAGTTATCCACAGAGCTGCTAAATTTTTTCGAAGTCATGTTTTTTTCAAAAAAATTTCTTTCCAGATATTTGAGAACCTTCAAGAGCTTGGAAATTTTAAACGAAAAAAATTTACATATTTTTTTATCAGATAACATTGCTTTTTGCAACATCAAGAAATCAGATCTTGAGTTTCGAAAAACTCAAAAAAAAAAATTTATTTTCACTCTGCGATTGAGCATAGACTTAGACAAACACAGCTAGGTTACAGTAAGATAGGAATACTGTAGTTTAAACGCTAAAAACAATTTTAAGATTAAGTCAATTCGGCCTAAGTTGAAAAAATCAGATTACTCTGTGTTCTCTGCACACTCTCTTGTCTCACAACGCTCTTTTCTTCTTCGCTGGTGAGAGAAGAGAGGGCGCAGATAGGTCAGATTTTCATTTTAGTTTTGAATTTTATCGAAACGAGTTATAACGACATGAAACCTATGAGAATCTTCAACTATCCATTCTAACTTAAAAAAAGGAAAAAAAAATTAAAGCAAAACGTCGTAGTACCATAAATGAAAAAAACTAAAGCCTCGGTTCAAAATTCCTTTGTCAATTTTCAAATTTCGCAAAATTCTCTGAAACTATTTTCAAATAATTTTATTTTAACCAAGAAATCCATTTGAAAGGTCACAATGACACTTCAAATGGTTTTGTTAGCGGCTAAGTTAAATGAGCTTGCGCCCGACTTTGAAACGACTTGCGTCCCTCAATTCAAAAATTGAAATCCTTATTTCGAATTGTCGAGCCATTCCAAATGCGACCAGAAGTTTAAATAGATTCCAAATAGGAAATAAATTTTGTAAGCCTCTTTAATGAAATTCATAGAAAAGATTTATTTTTCAGAAAATTTTAAAAAAATATGAGAACTATGGCTCGAGGCGCCGCGGTCGCGAAGCGGTTTTTTTGCGCCCGACCAAAATCTACTTGCTGACGGCGGTATTCTAGAGCTTAAGAAGTAAAAAGTTACTTAATGTCGTGTGCAGTTATAAACTTCGATCGCTACGCAACCGCGACGCTTTCTGAACCATTCCCATGCGGTATCACGGCATGATTTTTTTGGTGGAAATTGAGTCGTTTCAGATTAGTCGAGATATTCTTTTTCGAAAAACGAGATTGCTAGTTTTGAGAAATTTAGGAAAACTAACGAAAATGTCAATTATTGTTTATAGCAGTCTCAGACCTCGAGAACTGAAAAAAATCACAAATAAACTTATTATTGAAATTGGCGGATAGTTCATAAATCTATAGTGAATCCTTTCCGACTCGGAAAGCGATATGGGTAGATTGGCAAGGGTGACGCGTTGCGTACGCGACGCGGCTTTTTGGCGTGGAACTCAAGGTCAAAATCAAGCATTGAAAAAAATCTGAAAAAAATAATTTTTTTAGCATTTTTTTATGGTTTCATTCGTTCAGTGAAATATTTTCAAAAGGGTAAAGCTACAAAAAACCTTCAAAAAAGGCGAAAAAAAGGTTTGTTTCTGACCCCAAAAGGCCCGCCGAAAAGCCGCGTCGCGTACGCAACGCGTCTACCCATTTCTCCTTTCAAAACGCGAAGGATTGGAAATGCTTTTAATGTTTAATTTAATAGTTTCAATACGAAAAAACAGCTGTAATATTTTTCTCAAATAATGATCATATGGTCGCACTGAGAATGGCTCAAAGGCGTGACGGTTGCAAAAGCCGTTTTAAATCTACTTGGACTTTAAAAAAACTCGACTAGTTTCTCAATGTAAGGCAAGTTCAGCCAATAAAGGTTAAATTTAGGATTTTTTTCGCCAAATCGAAGAATATTTTATGAAATTTGAAAACATGTGCCAATCCTAGAGAAAAAAATCATCGAAAATCGAAAAACTCTTTATATTTTTTTGTAATAAATATGCTTCGCGCTACCGATTTCCGAAATATTTTTTTGATTTTTTTGAAGAAAATTGGTCGCACTGAGAATGGCTCAGCGGCGTGACAGTTGCAAGCCGTTATTGTTAGGTATTAGAATTGAAATGAATTGACTATTTTTGAACCGCAGCGCGACCGCAACGCGTTGCAACTTGTCAAAATGTGACCAGAGGATTCCAGATCTCCGAACAAGAACTAATCATCTGCTTTGAGTAATTGAAAAATGGCTGATTTTTCATTTATTTATCCTTTTTTGAAACAAAAACCGAAGAGGATGAAAAAAAAGTTAAAGAAGACTAAAAAATACCATGAAAACCTTTTTTCAGATTGGAGCCAACGTCAAAAAATTATTTTTATTGGTTATTCCCATTTTTTCACAAGTCATCAATTTTAAATGATGAAAACGACGAAAAAAAGTCCAAAGAATAAAAAAGTCCAGTTCAGAAAACTTCTACGAAATTCAATAACCAAAAAATGAATTCAAGCTCGAAAAATATCAAATTTTCTTCATTCAAACTATTTCTAACAGTCCTCAACCATCCAAGATCCTTAAGGAATAAAAAATGGATGGTTCGCAGAAATTTTTTTTCAAGAAACTGGGAAACTTTTAGCTTTACATGGAGCAAAGATCAAAACGAGGAAAAAAGTCAAAAAGTACGAAAAATACAAAAATTCACACATTTCCAGTAATACAGCGAATATACAGTGTTGTAATAATGTATAGCAGTGAATAAAGAGATTTTCCGAAGGAAAGAAAAAAATATAAGATGAGAAATGATTGAAAGTTGACCAATTTGAACTGAAAAAAGCGGAAAAATTAAATTTGAAATTTTCCAAAATTTTCAAAAAATTTTGATCCAGTACAAGCCAAAAGTCCATTAGTTTGCGATAAAAAGAGAAATTTTAGCGCTCCAATGTTAATTTCTTGGGAGAAACGATAAGAATTGAGATATTAGCCATGGAGCGCACAAAAACAATTTTTCGCGGCCATATTTTCTCAGCCGTTTTTTTCCAAAAAATATTTTTCCTACACCAAAAAGAGATCAGCTTTGAACAGAAATTCCAAAAAAATTTTTCAAGAAAGCCAACTTTCAAAATGAAGAGAAAAAAGTGACACAAGGAATAAGAAGGAAAATCGTAATTAAAAAAAATAAAATGCAAAAATTGATTTTCATCTCGGAGCGCACAGAGAGAGATTGTTGTTTTTTTCATTTATTTAGAAAAAAATTCAAGAATAAATCAGCAAAAAAATCATAGCAAGAAAAAATTACCTGCGGAAAAATTGATTGTGCGCTCCATGGCTAATTTTTTTTTTCTGATAGAAATTTAAGTGAAACGCAAAATGTAGAGCTTCAGAGCAAAATTATGAGATCCAATGAAGAGAGATCAAGAGGAAAATGCAAAAAATCAGAAAAAAAAGGGAATTCCAATGCTGCGGGCAGGACAAAAACGAGAAATTCCAAAGCAAAATCGAAAAAAATAGGAAGACTCAAAAAAAAAAGAAACCAACAGCTACAGTAGCAAACAAAGTTTCGAAATCTTCCAGCTATGGACAAAAAAATTGGCTTTTCTCGAAAAATGAATGAAAAATAGTCAGTTCACCGTTTGGGCATGGTCAGCCAATCACAATGAAGATTCTCAAAAAAAAATTTTTTTGGCTTGAAAATTGAAAAAGTGGAATTTAAAATATGTACCAGTGAAGATAATTCTACAAAAAATTCATCGAAAATCATAAATTCTTCATATTTTTGCAAGAGAAGTACTTTAAGCTATCGAATTCCGGAATATTTTCGATTTTTTCGATTTTATCGAATATTTGCCACCTTATCGAATCAAAGCTGCGGGCAGGAAGAAAATAGAGAAAATGGAGAAAAATAAGAAAATTGAGTAGAAAAAAGAAGAAATAATAGAAGAAGTCTCGGAAAAAGAAGGAGAATGAATCAGAAGAAAAATTAAAATTAAAATGAACTTGAGGAAGCCAGAGTGGTCCCTATAGGGGCAAGCTTAAGAGCCCTCGAAGGTACCCCTCTAGGGAATACTCCCGTAACGAGATTCGTTGAAGTTTGCACTTTTCTGTTCCCTGTAGAGGTTGTTTTTTCTCCAAAACCCTATAGGGACCACTCTGGAGTTCCTAAGAATCTCCACGACACGCGACGCGACCGCTTCGCGTGTCTGAGAAGAAATAAATGTCAGAAAATACAAAAAAAGAGAGAAAATAGGCGGAACAAAGAATGATAATGATGTACAGGAGAAGAAAAAAAGAAAAAAAAAATCAAAAAATCAATCAAAAAATAGGAAAGAAAATGGCAGGACAGCCTCAGAAAAAAATGATCCGAAATATTATTTTTTTTTTTTGAATTATCAATAGAGCAAAGAAGTCTCAGCCTATCTTTTTCCGAGCCATTTTTATGAAGCTGATTTGAGATGAAATCACAGAAGAAGTGAAGAAATCGAGAAAAAGAAGTGGATAGAGAAAAAAAGGATGAGAAAAAAAGCGCAGCGGGCAGGAAACAAAAAAAGAAAAAAAATCAGAGAAAAACAAATATCAATGAATTTCATGATTTTTTTCGAACTTTTGTCGTTTTTTTCCATTTTATAATGGAACTCAATCCAAACTTTTTTTGTAAACCAGAAAAAAATTGTCCAAAAAGCTTCGAAATTCAAATTTTTCAATCAGAATATCAGCAGTGAATACGGAGAAATGTCACAAAAAAATCAAAAACAAATTCAAAAACGCTGCGGGCAGGAAGATAGTAGAAACACGATCACGAAAATGCGGACGTTTTTTAATTTTTAAGTTTTTGCGAATTGCGGAAAAAACTGGACCTTGCGATAAAAATTCGACCAATAGATGAAAAAAAAACCTCATTCTTATATTTTTGAATTTAAAAAATAAGAAGGCCTAGTTCCCCAAATATCGAAATTATTAATCTATTGGTCTCTCATGGCCTAATTTTCCAAATCAATCTCAAAAAAAGCTGCAAACTTCGACTTTCCTTGAGAAATCCAGGAGACCTAATTTTCCAAATACCCAGACTGCAAGCCATTTTCTACGGCCTATTTTTCCAAATAAATCAATGGAAAAAGCTAAATGTCTTAACAAGAAATTCAATTGGCAGAGAAAAGTCAGAAGACCTAATTTTCCAAGTGACCAAACTTCAAGCCATTTTTCACGGCCTAATTTTCCCAAAATAATAACTGAAAAAGCTGAAAGCCTGGGATTTCCTTCAGAAAAATCAGGAGACCTAGTTTTCCAAATATTCAGACTGCAAGCCATTCTCTGTGGCCTACTTTTCCAAATAAATCATTGGAGTAGCTAAATGTCTAAACATTAGACTATGGAATCAGTAAAGAAAAGTCAGGAGGCTAATTTTCCAAATATCTCAATCTTAAGCCATTCTCTACGGCCTAACTTTCCAAATACCCCAAAACGTCCGCATTTTCATGACCGCCAAGCAGAGGAACAAGGTAATTGATCAAAAAAAAAAACAGAAAATAGGGGGAAATAATACCTGGAAAAACTGCTTGATGTCGGGTTTTTCCAAGAGTTCCAGCGTGGTGTTCAGATGCTTGTAGAACTCGACATGGGCCTCGAAATCGTGTTCCAGGCGGACAAACGTCTGGCCGACTTTTCCCGGGTCGTCCGAGTAGTAGTTCAGGCCTTTCAGCATGACACTGGAAAATGTAAATTGATGAGAAAAATAAAAAAAATTTTGAGGAAAAGTGATCTGCAGAGCCATTCCAAATGCGGCCACTAGACTAAGTGTCGCAGGTCTTTTTTCAGAAATATCTAAAAGATCATGGTTTTATGGTTTGAAGATGATCTGCAAGGCGCTGAGCCATTCCAAATGCGGCCGAAACTCGGAAAAAAAAGAAGGTCAGCTCAACCGACCTGAAACTACTTGCGCCTAGTTGCATCTTACAGCCTAGAAGCACAAAAGTCGCTCAAGGTCGGGCGCAGTAAAAATGCGGCGCAACCACCATGCCTTCAAGTCATTGCCACGCAGGTTCGAAGCCTTTTGGTCGCATTTGGAATAGCTCAACGCGTCGCGGTCTTGGCTCAGACACATGGAACAGTTTGGGTCTGCATTCTTTATCAGTGAGAGAAAAGAGAGCCCAGACATGTCAGAATCTTCCCCACTAAGAATGAAACCGAAGAAAACGACAAACTTGGCATGGAAATTGTAGAGCTCCTCAATATTGATCGCCAGGTCAAACCGACCATAAACTACTTGCGCCTAGTTGCATCTTACAGCCTACAAAAGTCGCTCAAGGTCGGGTGCACTATGAGCCGCTTTTGAGCCATTCCCATGTGGTTTCAGAGCCTTATGGTCGCATTTGGAATGGCTCAACGCGGCGCGGTCGCGCTGCGGTTTGAATTTGGCCCAAGCTCATGGAAATTTTCGGTGAATTTCTCGATCAGTGAGAGAAAAGAGAGCCCAGACACGTCAGACTCTTCCCAACTGTGAATGAAACCGATGAAAACGACAAACTTGGCATGGAAATTGTAGAGCTCGGGAATATTGATCGCCAGGTCTTCCTTATGTTGCTTGACCGTTTCGGGAACGCCCGGATCGTCCATGACCTGTTAAAAAAATGAAAAGTATGAATTTAATCATTTAGTCATATTTTAATCTTCATGAACTATTCCTGTGTAGGAAAAGCCCCGTTTTCCCGTTTTTTAAATTTTTGAACTTCATTTACTCGCGTTTACTTCAATTACAAGCTTGTGACGTCATTCACAAGGTGATTAATCAATTAATCAGCCCACCTTGATGTAATCATCGACACAGGAGCGCAAAGACGAGACGAATTCTTCCTCGGAGCGAAGAAGTTCATGGTAGACTTGGCTGAAAAAACCCAATATTATACTGATTTTCACTTTTTTAAGAACCCATTAAGCTGACGATTGTGATATTTTAAGATAAAATCACCAACGAAAAAAATCATTTTCAAGACCCAAAAACCCCTCAAACTTTAAGAAAATTCCTCCCAACATCTGTCGTCCCCTTCCGAACAAATCCCATAAAATATTAACTTCTTTTCTTGCGGAAATCATATAAAATGCCTTGTGTTATGGTAAAAGATCCTCTCGAACACATGTCGGACTTCAAAACCGTTAAAATTGATTTTACACATGAAAATTGTAAATTTTCGGCTCAAAATTAACGAATTTCTGATCGATTATTATTAAGGAAAGTGTAAAAAAATTTCAAACTAGCTCTTTAAAAAAATGCTTTATGAGCTTAAAAAGTGCTCGAAATTCATAAAAATTAGAATTTTTTTCGGTCGAAAACGGAGCACTTTTTGAGCATCAACTTCAAATTTTCTCACATTTTCCTTAATTAAAAAAATATACATATTTTTGCAGTGCTTTCGCTTCTTGAAAATCCCCCATTTTTTTCTTTCAAAACCGTATTAAAAACTCTCCCTTTCCCTCATAATTTCATTCCATTCAAAACCCCTCCGAAAATCCATTTATCTCAGTGAAGACAGGCTCCAGCGGCGGCTCAAAAAGCGAGAAAAAAAATCCTCTTCAAGACAAGAAAAAAAAGCCGCCGAGTCGACAATTGCTCCAGTTTTATTGATTTCTCGGCGTTTTGCAACGATTTTTCGGAGGACTTGAGAGGATATTAGTGACGATTCGAATCGATATCGAATATTTTTTGATGATTGTGAAGAAATTATGAGTTCAGAAGATAAAGTTTGGTTAAAATTGAGAAAATATGCGCAAAAAAACTTGGCTGTTTTTTTCTAGCTCCCGATGTAAAAAAATATTTTTTTATTTTTTTCAAATCAACCTCCGAGGGTTGAAAATTGATTTTTCTAAAATTTTTACCAGTATATTTGAGCCGTGCTTGCACACGTATATTTTTTTGCGAAGCGGCTAGATTTTTGAGACCATTTTTATAGTCCATCCGCCGCGACTTGACAGTTTTCGCGTGTCTGCGTCTCTCTGTTCCCTTCCCGACAAGGTCAGAGAAATATGGAAATAGCATGTCAACATGAGAGGGTCGCCGAGAGACGAGGAGGGCGCAGACAAGTTCCGTCCTTTCTAGTCTAGGTAAACAGACTATACCACGGCTTTTTCTCTTTTTTTCTCAGTCAAACTTTTGAAACACAGAATATTCTTCTAGCTTTTTGAGACCGCGTCTTTCTGCTGCTTTATAGTTCATTTTTCACAACTTTAGAAGGATGAGACTTCTCTGCGCCCTCTTCGTCTCTAGCCAACCCTCTCATGTTGATGCACTATTTTCATGTTTCTCTGACCTCGCCGGTGAAGGAATAGAGAGACGCAGACACTCGAAATCATTCTAGCCGCGGCGGATAGACTATACCACTTATAACTATCCTCACTTTTTAACCCCCCCCGCCGAAATTTTTAATGAAACTTTGCTAAAGTGAAATATGGGACCTCCTGAATTCAGAAAAAGCTTGAAAATCCTAGTTCAACGCGGTTAAGCCTAGCAAGAAGAAGAATTTGAAATCACAGTCATTACCCTAGTCAGTTGAAAAGAAGGATCAGACTTTCTCGGTTCTATAAAAAAATTTAAAAAAAATCCAAAACGAACTCTCGCTTGACGACGGCCGCCTGTTCTTCGGTCAGGTTCCCGGCGTCGATTTCGCGGGTTCGACGTCGCTGTTTGTAGTATTCCGTGGGGGTCTCGAAGTACGATCCTGGCACCCAGCCAGACTTGGGAGGACGCGCCTTTAAAGTTCGGATGGTTCATTTTAATGAGTTATTTGCATGTCATTTTGCTATTTAATTGACCCATAACACTTTTAGAAGTACTAGAAGAAGGTCCGGAAAGTCTGAATCTGGAATCTCTCGTCAAAAAAGGTAGAAAAATCTGGGAATGGCTTACTTACAAGATTCCAACGATTTTTTCGACTTTGAAAGAAATTTTTTATTTTTTTAAGACTTTCAAGATTCTCACCTGGTACATCAAAAATTATTCTGAACGATTTCCAAAAAATGTCTTGGTCGTAAATAAATCGTAAATGATCGTAAATGATCCTAATGAATCTTGGAGCTTCTTTGGCCGCACGGAGAATGTCTCAACGCGTCGCGGCTGCGAAGCGGTCATTTCAAAGATGCACCCGACCTCAAAACGACTTACGCCAAAGCCATTCTACATGCGGCCAGATTCATTTGAACTTTACACCAATAAATTTGAAAAAATGGACAAGATGAATAATCAATCAACATACCTTGGTTCTTACAAGCCATCGGACCGAGTTTTTCTTGTCGAGCACCTGAAAAAAGGAAGCTTCCGAATGAAAATAGAAACATCTGGGAAAATTTTTAGTGGCCACTATAGGGTTTTGAAGTTTAGTGACCACTGTAGTAGTCAAATTAGTGGCCACTTAAGGGGTTAAACATTAGTGGCCACTATTGAGGTCTAAGTGCTACTACCAGACCAAGAAAAATTTCAGTGGCCACTTTAGGGGTCAATGGATCAACATAACTGGTCCAATCTGTCTTGTTCAAAGTTATCAGAGTTACTGGGAGGAATACTGGATGAGAAATTACTGAAGTGGCCACTAAAACGGAAAATAGTGGCTACTGTAAAGGTGGGTTTAGTGGCCACTCCTCTCCAAGTAGTCTTTGGCGAGCCTCTATAGTGGCCACTGAGAGTTTTCCCAGACAATCATGATCTTAATTACACTAGAAAAGATGAAGAAACCTCGACAATTTGGCCCTGTTCCAAGGGGATTCCCTCGACGTCCTCCTTATCCGGCACGTAGTCTTGGATCGCAATGTAAACCGGGTAGGAGCGCGTGTCCGATCCCTGGAAAATCATAAGTTCACCCAAAAAAGGAATTTTTCACTTAAATTTTTTTTAACTCTGATTTTCTAGCTCTTCCATCTCATTGAAAAAAACATTCTCTTTTCAATTTTTTACTTATATATTTTTTGTAAGTCAATCGTAAACGATTGTAAATGATCCTAGGAAGTTTTTCGAAGATTCTAGTGAAGTTTCCCGAATTTCGCGACTCTTGGAGCTTCTTGGCAACGGCTTAATAAATTTTGGCCGCACGGAGAATGTCTTAACGCGTTGCGGTTGCGAAGCGGCCACTTCAAAGATGCAGCCGACCTCGAAACGACTCACGCCAGACCCATTCTACATGCGACCAAATTCAGATTCGCACCAAAAAATGTGAAAAATTTTCAAAACGAAATGAATTGACTTGTATAATACGATCACTTTTTGTACACTTATTTTTGTCCCGCTCTCTCGAGGGGATTCCAAAAATTGGGCGATACTCATAAAGTCGCCCCTTTGCACGGAAATCTTTAGTAAAAGGCGAAAGATTTTCTCGGTCAAATGCAAAGGAACCAGAGTTGATATTGAAGGCTTAATAAATGGAGACCCCGTGTTTGGCTGCCCCGACTCGGGGCGGCTTACGCCGAGTGGCATGACACATGATATACAGTTGAAAAGATGGCTAAAAAGCCGATTTGAAAAAAAATATACTGTTGTTTTTCATTGATCTATAGATTATTAGGCTCGAAATAATGAAAAAATCCACAAATTTTCAACTTTTAAGCGAATTTTTTGTAAAGATTTGCTTCTAAACAATAAGATAACATGAAAACTACGATGAAAAGTTTATTTGAACTTAAAACCCACAGCAACGATCTCAGAGCTGGTGGAACGGTTGCGGCCATCGGCCCTCGAAGTCAGGCTCTCGGAGCGAAAACTCGAGCGCGACGAGTGGGTACTGTAGTTGACGTCTTCGGTCGCTGTGAACTTCCTGAATTCATTTTTATTGAGCTCAAAATAAGAAGTAAAATATTTTTCTATATAATCCCCACTCATTCAGCTAAAAATACAAAGTTTACTGAAAAATCATAAAAATGTATTTCTCCGTCATTTTTATCCAGTTTTGCGCTTCTGAGTGCTCTGTTAGTTTAAAAATGACAGGATTGTGCTATTAATTTTTACCTTTCCTTCACAATTCTGTCCTTAAATTCCATGTCTCTTAAAAAAATTTTTCCTCGGCTAAAGAAAAAAATTGGTCGAAAACCTGCTGAAAAAAAGGTTCCCAAAAAGGCCCATTTTTCAGAATCGCAGAAATTCAAGGATTTTTTTATTTTTGATGATGTTTTTTTCAAAAATCAGAAAACATTTAATGAATTCTCATTAAGGAAGTTTGCAAACGTAGAATTTCCTGGATGATTCACGGCTGATCGGGGAAAAAATTTCAAGATAAAGAAAAAGTCATTTTTTCATGAAAATTCCATTTTTTTATTCGACTTCCAAGCTTTTTTTCTGTTCATTATCACCCGAAAAACAGCTCAAAGATTTATTAATAAAAAAATTAATATTAATTAAATCTCAATGCCCTCAAAAAGCATATCAAATCTCTCTCAACGAAAAAAAACCCATTTTATGTTGAATTTTTTGGTTTTTTTTAAATCTCAAAGCTCAAAATACTCTCTGAAAATCACCCAGAACACTTTTCGATGTACCCCAATCATATTCTGAAAGTCTGAACTAGCAAAAATTCCTAGATTTCGATAAATAAGGGCTCAGAGCTCCAAAATAGCCTATTTTACCTATTTTTGAGGGTGTAGTTTTTAGGACTTGTCCAAGTTCAAATTAACACGATAACCCTTACTAAACTGTTCCTAAATCTATTTCCTTAAAAAACTGTAGATCAAAGTGAACTCGTTGGGGTTCACACTGATCTGTGAATAAATTTTTATTATTATTATTAAAAACTCGGACACTTTTCCACTCCCAAAGCCCTCAAGCACGGCTCAATAGCAGTCCCCGCCGATCAATAATCCCCCCGGGCGATTGTTTCAAAGGCGGAAAAACGGGCCAACGAAAAAAGATGGCCAACTGTCCCCCCGCCAGAAATCTCTAGCCGATCAACACATCCTAGCTGTTCCGTCGTGCAAATAAGAGAAAATCTCCACTGATTTCTGGACTTTTTGAGGGCTTTCCGACCCGTTTTTTCGTTCTATACTATGAGAAAGGTCCAATTAAGGCCCTAAAAACTAAATTTTTTTATTTTTTTAAAAGACAGATTACTGTAAAGAAGTTTTTACAGATGCAAATTTTTAGAATAGACATCGAAAAAAATTCCGGGCTGAAGGAATTGCTCAGGTTTTTCAGTAATTAGGGTACCTTTGAAGGTTAAAAAAATCTTAAAAATTATGTTAAGAATCTTTTTTTGAGTTTGAATTCTAAAATTTGATACTTCTAGGGCTTTTTTGAAGCTTTCCTTCACTTCAAAAGCATTTTAAAAAGTTAAAAACCATCCCTTTGAAAATTAGCATAGGATTTTTCTTCTCATAGAGCCTTTAAAAATGAAAAAAAACCCTAAAGTGACCACTAACTAAAAACCCTGAAGTGGCCCCTATACAAGCTAAAGTTCCCCATAAAGGGGGAGGTAGAGGGAGCCCTCCAGTGGTCCGAAAATTGCCCATCTTAAATTGAAAATAGGAAACTTCTTCTTCATAAAAAAAAACGAACAGAATATCTCTAGAGGGACCACTAACTAAAAACCCCTAGAGTGACCCCTTTTCAAGCTAGAGTGCCCCCTATAGGGGGAAGTAAGAGTGCCCGAAAAATCGCCCCTCTAGGGGCCACTATGGCGTTCATGGGTTTGACTAATCATACTAAATCGGTTTTAGAATTGTCTTTATTCCAAGATAAAAAAAAAGTCTCTAGATCCCTAGAGTGACCACTTACTGAAACCCCTAAAGAGATCCATTTGAATGATTTTTGCTTCTTGTAGAGGGAAGTCAGACGGTACTTAAATGGAATTTTCCTTCAAGTGCCTCGAAAATTGTCCCTCTAGGGGTCACTATGGCGTTCATAGGTTTGACTAATCATAATAAATCGGATTTTGAATTGACTGCAGTCTTTATTCCAAGATAAAAGTAAAAAGTCTCCAGATCCCTATAGTGGTCCTTTTTCAAGCTTTTGTGCTTCCTGTAAAGGGAGGTCCGATGATAACTAAATGGGAGCCTTCCAGTGCGCCTAAATTTGCCCCTCTAGGGGTCACTACGGCATTCATAGGTTAAACTAATCATAATAAATCGAAATTTGAATTTGCTGCTTATCCTTATCTCAAGATAAAAATAAAAAAAGTCTCTAGATCCCTATAGTGGTCCTTTTTCAAGCTTTAGTTCCCACTATAGGGGGAGGTAGGGAGAGCCTTCCAGTGCCCCAAAAATTGCCCCTCTAGGGGCCACTATGGCGTTCAAAGGTTTGACTTAATCAGATGAAATTTCAGCTGTCGTTTTTTTATTCCAAGACCAATTTTTTTAAATTTGAAAAAAATTATCTTTTTGAATGTATTTTTAAAATAATAAATCTAGATCTTTCCCATTCATCACAAAAAAACTTGTTTTGAAACTCGACGAGAAGCTTCGTTCCGTTCTTACAACAAGATAAATGAGTTCTTCCCCCTCAAAACATGTGCCGCCGACTTGAAACTGTTTTCGCATGACTGCATTCTGGACTTTAGTGACGTCAGTGGTATCAATATATGCAAAATGATTTGATGGATTAACGAGTCAAAATAATAAAAAGAAGCTTTTTGAAAAAGAAAAGAGAAAAATCCAGTTCAAAACATATTCGATTTTTCGCTGTTAGGGTCATTTCGAAAATTCATATCTCGGTTCCAAAAGGCCAGAATCGTGTAAACCAAAGTTTTTTAACAGTACCAGAGGGTCCTTTTTCATATAAAACCCACTGGTACCCTTAAGAACCCATTAGGTTCTCGAGATATCGTTTTTTCGAAGTTTCAGTCAATTTAATCTTTAAAAATTCATATCTCTGTTCAAAAAAGTCAGATTCGGGAAAACCAAAGTTTTTTGAAGGTACCACAGGGTCCTTTTCTATATAGAGCTCACTGGTACCCTCAAGAACCCACAGGGTCCTCGAGATATCGTATAAACCAAACTTTTTTGGAGGTACCACATGGTCCTTTTTCATATAGAACCTGCTGACTCAAAATAACCCCATTTCGGAACATTTCCTGTTAAATAAATCAAAATCTATACACTTGAGCGAACACATGTCTTCGTATCTGCGTCATTTGTCAACAGACAAAAATTTAACAGCAGCAAAAAAGAAAAGAAAAAAAAAGCGTGGGTTCAAATTTCGCAAAACTGAACGAACATGTCATAAAATAGATTTCCGCATGTTTTGAGAGTATTTTTGGTGATTCATTGATCTTCAGGAGATATTTTGAAGTACTCAAATTCAGAAAGTGCACAAAAAATACTGAAATCAAGCCAAAAATATACAAAAAAAGAGTTTTTTCCTAAAATTACCATGTAAAAAAATTATGGAATCGCAAAAATGAGTTCAAAAAATTGAGATAAAAGTTGTAAACTTCCAAAAAAGATTCCAAACGTTACCAGGACCTTATAAAGTCAAGTTTGAGATATTTCAAATTTAGTAAGAGTCGAACCATTCCAAAAGTTCTTGGGACCGCATTTGGAATGACTGAAGATTGTTTCAAATGCAAAAATTCACTTCTCTGGCCATCTTTGAATTTTTTTTTTCTTACAAAACCAAGGAAAGCCATTCAAATTTTAATTGAAGATCTTCCTGACCGCATTTGGAATGGCTCAAATGGCTAAAAATCCCTTTAGGGACCCCTTGAGGATCTTTTTCTTATTGAGAGCAAAACAAAAAGGCTAAAAAACCGAAAGTATCATTTGAAACATGATTCCAAAGTGAGGTCGAATAATTCTAAATGCGATTTTGAGCCTCAGAGCCGCATTTGGAATGGCTCTCCTCCTTTAACCGATTCCAATTAAAACTCAAATCTTTCTGGTCGCATTTGGAATGGCTCAGATAAAAAGAAGCCTTTTCAAGTGGCTCCTAATGCTTGAAAAAAAAGATTCATTTCTATTTGAATCTCAAAAATTTCTGGCCGCATTTGGAATGGCTCAGATGGCTAAAATCCCTTTAGGAACCACTTGAGGGTCTTTTTTTGGAGAAACAGAACAAAATACGCCTCACAAGGCTGAAATACCAAAAGAAAAAAATGTTAATAAAAATATTATTTTTCAAAGTGAGTGCAAGACATTCTGAAAGCGATTTTGAGCCTAGAGAGCCGCATTTGGAATGGCTCACCTTTTTTAACCAATTCCAATTAAGCTCAATTATGTCTGGTCGCGTTTGGAATGGCTCAAATGCCTAGAAGCCATTCCAAGTGCGACCACCAGTCAAATATACAAAAAGCGAAAATCACATTGCGGAAAAAAAACACAAAAAAAGGAGAAAACAAACCGATAGGAGCTATATTTGCGGTCAAACTGCTTTTGTCGTCGACTCGCCATGTTTCTCTTATTTTTGATCTGGTCGGGGGGTCAAAGTGGAGATATCGTTCGCGTAATATCCTTCTCTCCTTCTAGGGGGGTCGAACCAAGAAGAAAAGGTAGGTAAAATCGGTTGGCACCGGCCTGCCAGCCGAGTTTTTGGAAAGCGACGAGGAGGACGAAAAGCGGGGCTTTGGAGCTCTCAAAAAATCGCCACACCGAAAAAAAGTGGGCGTGGCTTGGAGCAAGGGGGGATCTTGCTCCTCCGGTGAGCTCCTAGGCCTGATGAAATTATCATCGATTAGGTTTGAAATGATGAGGGATATAGCGAAATAATTGAAAATTGATAAAAAATTTTTTTTCCATGCTTTTTTTCTGTTCATAAAGGCTACTGAAAAAAAGTCATAAAATCTAAATTTTTAAATTCTCAACTCAATATATATGTCCTAAAATACTCAAAATATTAAAATCGATCGAAGCGAGATAAATCAATGCTTCTCTGAGAGACGCCAGAGAAAAAGAGATTTCTTCCTATCTCTAGCGTCTCTTCAGATTGTCGTTTGTCTCTTGCTTCAGGCTCCCAAGTTTCTCCTCGAACTTCAAAGCTTGAAATTTATTGGAAAAAACTGAAATCTTCTAATCTCTGCTGGCTATAACATTCTCCACATTATCATACCCTGAAGAGATATTATAGAAACAGAGACATCTCTCAATCTCTAGCGTCTCTCCAGTCACCTCCACTCTCTCGCATCCGGTTTTTGAGAGCCTTCTTCACTGTTTTAAAAGTTCTCTAACTTCCGAAAAAAAAGTCTCTTTTTTTGAAGAGACACCATAGAAACAAGAGACGCAGATGCAGAGATGTCTCTCAATCTCTAACGTCTCTTCAGCTACCTCTTATCTCTCATTTTCTGCTTTTGTAACCTCCTAATTTTAAAGCTTCTGGAATCCAGAGAATCCAAAATTTTTTTTCATCTCTAGCGTCTCTTCAGGCGCTTCTAATCCCTCTCTTTCTCTTCCAAATTTCAACCTTTGATCAAATTTCTCAGGTAGTCTATTAGAGACACATGAAGGAGAAGAGGCACCAGAGAAACAAACAAATCTTTATATCTCTGGCGTCTCTTCAGCCCTTCCTGATCTCTCGCTTCCTGCTTTTTTCAGCCCTTTTCGTAGTTCCAAGCTTCTCTACCACTAGAGAAACAGACATCTTTTTCATCTCTAGCGTCTCTTCAGACCTTCCTGATCTCTCGCTTCTTTCTTTTAACCGCCCTTTTCGTAGTTCCAAGCTTCTCTACCACTAGAGAAACAAACAAATCTTGTTATCTCTAGCGTCTCTTCAAGCCTTCCTTATCTCTCGCTTCCTTCTTTTAACCGCCCTTTTCGAAGTTTCAAGCTTCTCTACCACTAGAGAAACAAACAAATCTTGTTATCTCTAGCGTCTCTTCAAGCCTTCCATATCTCTCGCTTCCTTCTTTTAACCGCCCTTTTCGAAGTTTCAAGCTTCTCTACCACTAGAGAAACAAAGAAATCTCTCTATCTCTAGTGTTTCTTCAAGCCTTCTAGATCTCTCGCCTCCCAGCATCAATCGATTCCTCCAAACAACAAGCCGCCGCGAGAAGAAGAAAAAAAGCGTTTGTTTGCGTCAGAAACAGTTCCCAGTGGTTGGGAGGCGGATCTATCCAGCGTCTTGTGTGCTCCATGAGCCGCATGGAGACGCCCACGCGGCAATGTTGGCTCTGGCCGAGCCAAGTCGCTTGAAACGGTGATGTAATATAGTGTGTCTCTCTCTCTCTCTATCTTCCTCTAACTCGCCGTTTTTCACCTCAACGACAAGGCTTCAGGTTCGGCTTACACACCTCGACCCCGCCTTCCAGCATTTTCCGCCTGCGGCTATTTTTTCACACTTCATCATCGGCATCACTTTTTTTCAGGGGTTTTTGAAGGTCAAGTCGAAAAAAATTTGGGAAACTTCGTGGCTATTTTCTGGAGTTTTTGAAAAATTGTAATACAGCAGAGAGATCAGGGAGAGCTGGAAAAGCAAAACAGGATTTTTAAAAAGGGCGGAAAGGGTCTTTTTTTTTAAAACGAAGCGAGAACTACAAGAAATCTAGAAAAACTCTCATTCAAAAAATAATAAGTCATGAAATAGTCATTTATTTTTGAAATAACTCAAATTCAAAGATTTTGAGGGTCTTTCAAGTCACTAAAGGTGTCCTGAAGATTTAAAAATTAATTTTCTCAATAGGGCACAATTTCCACTTCAAAATCAACATACACTTTGATTCAACATTTATCCTTGAAATATCTCAAATTTAAAAATTCTTGAGGGTCTTCCAAGTCACTAAAGGTGTCCTGAAGATTTAAAAATTGATTTTCTCAATGGGTCACATTTTACGCGTTAATAATGGCTTCATCCGAACTTCTTTGTATTTTCAGATGAATTTGGAATTTCTAGGGAACCCTACAGTAAAAATTAAGTTCTCCGTGTCAAAAAATAGCCTTTCAACTCAAGAAATGGAAGAAAAACAAGCGTTTTTTCTCCAAAACCTTCAAAACTGTCCAAAAAACCTTTATCAACTCGTAGTGGTTCCAAAAAAAAATAAAAGTTAGTATAGAATTTTATAATAGTTAGACCACAGTTTGGTTCGTTTTCTCGTATAGTTTCGGGGGGATTCCGGCTCGATGCAGCCATTGTTACCGTAATCGCTGACGTGGTGTCCGAAGTAGAAAAGATGGTCGAAGATGTCGAAAGCCCGGTGGGAGTTGCTGGAAACGAAGTCTTTAAAGAACGAACAGTTCTGGAATCCCAGCATCTCAAGTATCTTCTACTAGGAGTCCCAATTTTCTATATTTCCATTTTTTTAATAAAATTTATAACGACTCTATCAAAATGCGAACACTTTCTTGTAAGAAAACATTTTCATAACTCCAGAAATTTAAGGATTTTTTTATCTTCATGATGTTTTTTTCAAAATCAGAAAACGTTTAATGAATTGTCATAAATGAAGTTTGCGAAACGTAGAATTTCCTGGATGATTCACGGCTGATTTGAATTCGAAAAACAAATTCAAGATGAAGAAAAGTCATTTTTCATGAAAATTCCACTTTTTAGTCGATTTAGAAGCTTTTTCTGTTCGTTATTTTCCTAATAGACGGCTAAAAATGTTATTTGTTGAAAAAAGTCACATTTTTCAATTTCGAAATCATCCTGATCAATTTTTCAAGCCTTTCTCAATTCAGAAATGCAGTTAATTTCGGAATTCTGCTTTATTTTTAATAACCTTTCAGTTCAAAAGGAGTACTTTGTAAAGCTTTTTCATTGCGAATCGAGACGGTGAACTTGGAAACGGACAGAAGTTCCTTTAAAAGAAAAAAAATTTAAAGAAAAAGAAATTTTTTTAAAGAAAAAAAATCATTTAAAGAGGAAGAGACGAAGGTTTGAGTTCCCGCCAAAAAGGGGGTTTTGCAGTAAAGTTGCTCTATGGACAACAGGCTTCGCCATCTTCCGGATTTTCCCTTTTTTCGTCGTTTCTTTCAAATTTCAATGTTTCTTTATTCGAAAAATCAACTTTGTCCCGCTCTCTCGAGGGGATTCCAAAAATTGGGCAATACTCATAAAGTTGCCCCTTTGCACGGAAATCTTTAGTAAAAGGCGAAAGATTTTCTCGGTCAAATGCAAAGGAACCAGAGTTGATATCGAGTGCTCAATAAGTGGAGACCCCGTGTTTGGGTGCTCCCGACTCGGGGCGGCTTACGCCGAGTGGCATGACACATCATATACAGTTGAAAAGATGTTTAAAAAGGTGTTTTTGAAGAATTTTTTTGGCTCAAAAAAATTGTTGGGGCCGCATTTCATGACTAAAATGATAATTTCGATAAAGTTTCATATGGGTGATTTTCCGAAAAACATGAGGTTTCCTGTGAAAATTTTCAGTTTTTAATCGACTTTTTCGAGTTGAAAACTTAACTGGACTGTTTATTAATTGATTGAAATGCTAATCAACCTTGAAAAAAAGGTAAATCTATCGAAATAAAGAAAAAAATTGAAACTTTATCTGCAAATTCATATCAAAAAAATTCCGAAAAAAACGTCTGTTTTTTGCGATTTTTCAACAGCTATATTATAAAAGGAAGCTTGAATTTTTTTATTAAATAATAAAAAAAGAATCTTAATGAATTTATAGTCGATTCACGGCTACCTAAGGACGCAAAAGGGGCGTGGCCTGTCTGGGCTCTCCACCAAGAAAACACTATTTTTTTCAGATCGTGTCAAGACCCGCTTTCCAGCGGCTCAAGCCTGCCTTTACCAAACTAATCGTTTTTTCTCATTTTTCTCAATATTACCTGCAAGAATTGTCTTCATTAACCGGATCTCCGGTGCATATCCTGTACTCGTCCGTGTCGGACATCTCATTCGGGAACCAAATCTCGGTTCCGTGATGATAGGAGCCGTGGTTGTAGAACGGAATGCAAGAAATGGGCCTTTTGACGCTCTCCACGCACATTGGTACGTGTGGGACCTGGAAATCCAGGCCACTTACAAGTTCATTTCAAAAAAAGAGGCGGGTCCTTTCAAGCAACACTTTGGTCGCATTTGGAATGCCTCAAAGGGTCACGGTTGGTATTTTGCAGCGATATTTCGCTGGAGCGCACATGTTAAGTATAAAAAAGCCAGCTATTGACAAGTCGGCCAATAAACGTGTTTAAAAAATCGGAAAAAGTGGGCGGGACCGGCCAATCAAAACCCTAGATGATTGGAGCGCATTTGCTGATCTTCAAATAACCAACTTCAAAAAAAAAGGTTTTTTTTTCCCCTAAATCGATCTAAGAGCCAAGAAAAAGGCATTTCCAGTAAATAAGAGCCATTAGTTCGCTGGAGCGCACTTACCCAGGTCGAAAAAGCTGATCCAAAGAATTTCAAGTCATTTTAACCCAGGACTTTCCCAACTATATTCACGACCTTATAAGATCACCCTGGACGCATTTGGAATGGATCGGAGCCATTTTAACTTTCAACTTTTTCAAATGTCCCAGGCGCAGGCCGTTTTGGGTATGGCGCGTCGTGAGCCATTCCAAGTGCGACCAGAGGCTTTCAACTTTCTCTAACTCACAATATCAGCGCCATGGACCAATCTCCAACTGCTCGGGATCAATCGATCGTGAGTTTGGGCGTATTCGAAATTCCCAACTCTTGGCTGACCAAAGGTGATCAAATGAGTTCTGAATAAATAACTAGAGTTAAATTTATTCTCCAACCTGTTAGAAATTTCCGGAAACTTGTGAACAAAAATGGTCGACGCCAAGCTCGCCAAAGCGCCGCCCAACGAATGGCCAGTGAAAATAATTTCCTTATGTGGTAGCATCTGAAAATTACCTTTACACACTTTTAAATAATTTTTTCACTTATTATAAACTAAAATAGTTAGGAAAATTATCATAAATCATCATTTTAGATGGCTAGAAAAATGGCAAAAAAAATTCTGCGTTCGGGGGGAATCGAACCCCCGTCGAATGCTTGGAAGGCATCCATGCTGACCATTACACCACGAACGCTGATGCGGTTCCTGGCGCCAGATTCGGAGTTATCAGCGCCTATGCTTGCTTATCACATGAGGGGGAGAAAGCGGCACAAATTCTCCATTTTTATTATTGTGTGGTGAAGTGGTTAGCATAAATGTCTTTCAAGTAAGCGATGCGGTTTCAATTCCTCTTCAGGAAGCGAAATTTTTGCCATTTTTTTTAGAGATTAAAAATTCGAGTGAAATACGTTTCTAATGCATAATAATACTCTCTTATCGAAACTTTGTTAGTAATATCGGGGAAAAAAGTGGAATAGACCAAAATTTTGAATAAAAATTGAAAACCTCATATTTTTGCTTTTTTTTTCAGCGCAAAACCAATAAAAATGATTATTTATCCTTTATTTTTATCAAATTTTCCTTATGAACGCTAGAGTGATCTCTATAGGGGTTTGGGCCTAGCAACCCCTAAAGGGATCACTTTTTCAAGCTCCACTGGAGAGGTAGAGTGGTCACTAGAGGGGAGCCTTCAAAGAACTCCTAAAGTGGCCACTATAGGGGCCACTCTGGCGTTCCTGAATTCCCTTTAAAATTCAGAAATTCATATTTTTCTTGATATTACAACTGGATAAATAATAAAATCAGCAAACATTGATCCAAAAATGGAGTAGATGGCTCATTTGAGGCCAAATCGCCCTTAAAGCAGAGTAGAAATAATAGTGAACCGAGCCGCCAGCATGGATCTGGAAAAAGTTGACTTTTGAAATGAGTTTTTATCGGTACAATTCCAGTACGAAACTATTTTTTATTGACTTATGAAAAAAGAAAATGTTTGAAAAGCATATATCATAAGCTTCATCAACTTTTTTATCATGAAAGGGAGCCTCTAGAAGTTTTTCCCCAAGAAAAACGCTTCAAAGCCGTTTTCGATCATTTTTTCCACATCCTAGACTAGCCCATATCACTCGGCGTAAGCCGCTGCGAGTCGGGGGCAGCCAAACACCGCGTCTCTCCCCATTCTCCCTTCAGTATCAACTCTGGTTCCTTTGCATTTGACCGAGAAAATCTTTCGCCTTTTACTAAAGATTTCCGTGCAAAGGGGCAACATTATGAGTATTGCCCAATTTTTGGAATCCCCTCGAAAGAGCGGGACAAAAATAAATGTACAAAAAGTGGTCGCATTATACGCATTATACAAAACATATTAATAAAGCAACAAAGTTACTGATTCATGGTTGAACGGCTAGCTATAGTTGATTCACGGCTGAAGCCATCGGAAAGAGGGGTCCTGACACGATAATGCACGAGATAGCGCCTGGCTCGTGGAGAGCGCAGGCAGGACACGCCCCCTTAGCGTCCCAAGTTGGACGTGAATCAGCTATATTTTTTCTTCTAATGAAAAAAGCGTTTTTCCGCCTCAAATCTTCATAAAAATCAGTTTCAATCAAGCGGAAACTCTCAAAGCTTCGAATTTTCCTCATTAACTCATTAGGAATATTACGAAAACTCCAAAATTATTGATTTATATGCCTAAATTCAGCTTACAAGTAGTGTAAAATGTTCTCCATTGAATCTTAACATTTATTCAACATTCAACTCCATTTTCAGTAGTATAAAATCCATCTTTACTCAATTTTCCCGCCAAAACAAACCCTATGCTTCGGTTTCCCAATGCTTTCCACAAGTTCGGTCACCAGTTGCTCCTTGGATTTTGTGCCTCGAAAAGAGACGATTATCTGTTTTTTCGTTAGAGCAATGAGGCCCCAGCACTGAAAAGACATTTTTATGAAGAACCGGAAACAACTTTTAGTGGAAAAATCAAGTAAAAACTGATTACCTGAGCCAAAAACCTTACTTTAACAATTTCTAGCTCAAAAATTTCAGTTTTTCAACTTTTAAAATTTGATTTATGACTCAATTTTCGAGCTAAAATCCTGAAAATAAGCCAAAAGTCACCTCATCCTTCATATAATCGCAAGGAAGTCGAATTTGGTACAAAATAAAGGCCCGATTTTTCACCAAACAGTGCACCGGGTCAATGGCGTAGGCAGTGGCTGGAAAATGTTTTTTTGGATTTTAGTTCAAAAAAACTTTTTATTTTTTTAAATTTTTTTCATGCATTTTTTTAAAAATTTCCTTGTGATTTATATTGTGAATATACTATTAAAAGTCTAAATTATTTTAAAAATTGAATTGAGGAATTATTAAAGACCAAAATTGAACAGGAAACTTCCTTTTTTGATTAAGAAGTCGAATGAAAAAAAAATCTGAAAAAAATCAGAAAAAAAAATTCTGAACAAAATAGTGCAAATAATGAATCACTGAACGATAAAATGAAGAAAATTCTCAGGTTAAAAATATATTTTTCATGAAAAATGCAAAACCTGCAAATTCCAGTGCAACCCGAGCCCTTTCCTCATCAAAATCCACCTTTTTCGCTACCGTAACCGGCAAAAGTAATAAAAAACAGGCGATTGTTGCATTTTTGAACCGATTTGACATGTACCAACGGATCCTGGAAATTTATTGAAGGAAAAATGGGCAAAAATGGTTGAAAAAACCTTAATTCTTCAAGGAAAAAGCATGAAAATTACAATCAAAAAGGGAAACTATTGAAATATTCTTCTCTTCTGATTTAAATAACAGTTTCCTTCGTGAAAACAGACGAAAAATCAGGAAAAGGGGCCAAAAAGAAGGAAAAAGGATGGATTGATCGGCGGCTGACCTCCCGCCGGATCAGCCACCTGTTCTTTTCTTGATCTTTCAACTTATTTGAGAAGAGAACAACAAAAATAAGGCCATTAAATTGTGTTGATTTGAAGAAGAGAGTAAAAAAATAAAGAAAAAAATATTCATTATAGAACTATTTTTTCACAAATTTGGACCGGCTTTTCAATATTTCAAGAGTTTTGAGCTTCTCGAAGAGTTTTTAAAAAGAGTTATATGCTCAATATATCATGTAAATATTGAAAAATGTAATTTCAAACTCCGGATAGAACAACTTCTAGAAACATTTTTGCTGATTTTTAGGAATTTCCAGCCAAAAAAAAACTGCTCAGCTTTAATTTTTCATTTTTCTATAGCCCATTCCGCGCCAGATTTTCCCGTTTTTAAAAAACAGCAGAAAAAATGGCTACCCAAAAAAAAGCCTTTTTTTGCAATTCGTCTCTACAAAAAATAAAAAACAAAGGTCTCTAAGCGAAGAAGCGAATTTGGTATACGGTATTTTTGGCGGGAAGAAAAACGTGAGGATTTGGCGCGGAATGGGCTATATTCCAAAAGTCCGCCTTTAGAGTCTAGAGACTCCCTCCAGATACAATTCTAAAGGTTGGCGTATTGGACCTTCCTGTTTGGGATGTCAGCTGCTTGACACAGGGAAATACAGGCAGGCAGGAGTCGAGGAAAGACAGAGGGGACACGCGGAACCAGCAACCCACCAACTGAGGAACCTTCGCCCACGCGGGGGCGTGGTCGAAGGTTCTCCTATCGCTGGGCTGGTACATCTCCCCCTATTTTTCCTGTTTTTAATCACTCCTGTGATTTATCGAAACAAAAATTAAACAGACAATTTTTGACAAAAAAAACATGATTCTTAACTAGCGAAAGCATTTTGTTAAAGCAAAAATAAGGCTAAAAGGGAGATCTTAACAGCGAGAAAAATTTAAAAATTCCTGAAAAGGGAGGTTAGATTATTGCTTTCGCTTAAAAATTTCTTAGCTAAAATAGTGGCACTCAAACAAACAAAAAATACAGAAAATAATAGCACACACACATAAAATACAACAAGTACAAATATAAACAAACTTATAGGTTACTGTCTTAGAGACTATAGTCGTCCAAATCGCGATGGACGAAAACGGCTCCACTTCGAGCTGCAAGGATCTTCATCCTCCGGGGTGGCTCTTCGAAGGCGGTCTTCATCGATGGCGGCTGGATTCGCACTCTTCTCAGTGTCTTGCCCACGATGACGTCCGGCATCACGAGTAGTCGACCTCTGCGGCGTCGGCGTGGCTGCTCCTCGGCGGGTTCTCGGCTTTGTAGTTGATGGCTGAGCTGCTGCTCGGCGTGTAGTCGAACGGGCTGGAGGGCGGCTGGCTGGCGACGATTGGCGACTGCTGGCCGGACTGCTAGTCGACTGGAGTGTCGAACTGGCGGTGCGGTCCTTTGTAGATACGGGCGACGGCGGCGAGGGAGAAGCGGAAAAATTCGGCGACTGTCGCTTGGCCGTCGAGCTGCGAGTCTTCCGAATCGGCGGCTTTTTGGCGGCTGGATTCGTGGTTGAAGACTGCGGCAACGACAACGGTGAAGCTGTGTTCGGTTGGTTTTCGGCTTCTTCTAATATATTTTTCTTTTTCAGGTTCTTCTTCTTCTTCTTCTTCTTCTTCGACGTCCTCGTCGATGATTTCTTCTGGCGTAGGCGGCTTCGATTTCAGCTGGCGGACGTCATTTTTGTGAGCCACGAATGTTTTTCCCATGGTCCAGGTACTCTACATTCGAACCATTGACTTTTACAACGGTGAAAGGGCCAAACAAAAATGGAGAAAGCTTGTTTTTCGGTAAAGCTCTCTTGACGAGAATTGTTGAGCCGGCGACGATCTTCCTTGGCGCTGTTCTGTTTGCGTTGTCGAACCTCTTGGCGTGTTTCTCCGCTGTTTCTTGGAGTTTTTCCTTGACGAAACTCCAGGCTTCCTTCAGTCTTCTTTGTCGATGAAAGAAAGTCCAACGTTCGTGTTCCAAGTTGAGTCTTCTGGCAGACGAGGCTCACGACCAAAAAAGGACGTGGAACGGCGCAAGTTTTGTGGAAGCTCCTGGTAGGGTGTTCAAAGCAAAGACAACTGCTTGCAGGTAGCTATCCCAATCTGATTGGAAATTGTTCACAAAAAGAAGCTAAAAGCTTCCTCGAGGGTACGATGAACTCGTTCCACTTGTCCGTTGGAAGTTTTGTGGTATGGAGCTGTCGTCTGGTGTTGGATCTTCCACTTTTTCAGAAGATTTTTGAAGGAATTCGACACAAACTGCGTTCCATTGTCGGAGATGATCATCGAAGGCGGCCCGTGCTTCAGGACAAGATTTTCTGTGAAGGCGCGGTTGATGGCGGCAGAATCTTGTTTCGGAAGGGGCACGGCGATGGTCCATTTCGAGAAAGCGTCGACGATGGTCAAGACGTAGCGATTCTCGTTGATCGTGATTGGAAGCGGACCAAGAACGTCAATATGACATCTTTCAAATGGCGAAGAAGTGACTGGAAGTTTCTCTGCGGGCTCGACTGTCGTCTCGTGAGGGTTTGTTTTTCTTCTTTGGCAGAGAAAACATTTATTCACAAAATCCTCGACGTCTTTTTGGAGATTCGTCCAGTTGAAACGACGACGTATGGCAGAAGCAGTTCTCTCGATTCCGGCATGGGCGCTTGTTGAGGCGTCCTGGTGAAACCTTTTCAGGATCTTTGCAATGGTTTCGGGATCCGCAGTTTTTATCGGAACATGGAGAACTGCCGCAGAAATTCCTGAACGTTGTCGCTCGTAGAGAAGACCATTCTCGAGGTTGTAGCGCTTCCGGATGTTTCTGGCTTTCTTGTCGTCGTCTTCGGCGTTCTTTTGAAGAATTTTCACGGCTTCTCGGCAATATTCGGAGCGTTCTTGGGCGACTCTGATTTCGTCGAGATCGATTTCGACTTGAGGCGCAAGATTTTCGACTTCCACAGCAGCAACTGAAGTCTCTTTTGCTGGTTTCGGCTTCGGCTTCGGCTTCATTGGCAACGGCTTCGGTTCCTTCGTTTCGTCTGGGAAATACCTAGACAAAGCATCTCCAACGAAGTTTTCAGGTCCTGGACGGTAGACGATTTCCAAGTTGTACTCGCTCAGAACTAGTTGATATTTGGCGAGTCTTCCGATGAGGTCACGTCTTCTCAGGAGTGTCGTTAGCGGCTTGTGATCGACAATCGCGGTCGTTTTGAGACCGAGAATGTAAGTTCTGAACTGAGTGACGGCGAAGACAAGAGCAAGAGCTTCGCTTTCGATTGGCGGGTAGTTCCTTTCAGCTTTGTTGAGTTTCCGGCTTGCATAAGCGATGACATGTGGCGGTTCTTCTGGCGATTTTCGTTGGAGAAGAACGGCTCCTACGGCGATTCCGCTGGCGTCAGACTCTAGGATGAACGGCTGGTCAATGGCAGGACCTTGAAGAACGGGACAAGTGACGAGTTTCTGCTTCAAAGTCTCAAAAGCTTCTTCAGTCGTCGAGGTCCATTCGAAAGGGACGTCCTTCTTCGTAAGTTCGGTTAGAGGGGCGGCGATGGCGGCAAATCCTCTGATGAAACGTCGAAAATAATTTGCCATCCCCAAAAATCCTCTGACGGCGGTGACCGTTGTCGGTGTTGGGAAATCAACAATGCTTTCCACTTTCTTGGGATTCGGCTTCACTCCATCTCTGCCGACGACAAGACCAAGAAATTCCACTGAGGAACAGGCAAATTTACACTTTTTCAGACGAATCTTCAGGCCGAAGTCCTTGATGGCGATAAGAACCTCTTCGAGGTCGCGAAGATGCTGTTCGGCTGTCGGTGACGTGAGAAGCAAGTCGTCCAAGTAGACAAACAACCGGCATGTGACTTTTTCCTGAAGGAGTTGAACTGCGGTCTGGAAGGTGTGAGGCGCGCCGCAGAGGCCCATCGGCATGCGACGGAATTGCCAAGTTCCATTCGGAGTTGCGAAGGCGGTGAGGCTTCGATCTTTCTTTCGCAGAGGAATCTGGAAGAATCCTTGGATCAGGTCAAACGAAGTGAAGAAGCGGCTTCCACATGCCAAGTCGATGATGTCGCCCACTTGAGGGATGATATAATTTTCCCGGACGGTGATGGCGTTCAACTGACGGTAATCCACGGTGAAGCGAAAGCTGTGATCCTTTTTCTTAACCAAAACGATGGGACTAAGGGTCATTGAGGTCGACTTCTCTATGACACCTTGTCGGACTAACTCTGCAACTTGGCGGTCGATTTCGGCGAGTTTTCCTAGAGGGACTCGAATCTTCCTTGGCCGAGGAAGAGTCGCTTCGGGTTGGAGCTTGATTTTGTGCTCAACAGGTCCTCTGAAGCATCCTATCGAGCCATCCTCGTTGTGAAAAGCGTCGCGGTGTTTTTCGATGAGTTCTGTCGAGGCGTTCCTGATCAGGCTTCGTCAGTTCGCATTGTTGCAGGTTCAGTTCGTTTTTGAAGTCCTGTTCGTTTTTTTAGGTGGATTTGGGAGTTGAGATTCCCATTCAGCTTCTGGTGGAACGTATTCTTCGATCGTAGGCAACTGATGGAGACCTGCTGGAAAGACAACGCTGACTTCTCCTAATTCTCCTTCTTCGATGGTCAAATCTTCGTCCGAGTTGTTTTCAACCCAAATCGTGGCGGAATCTCCTAACGGGTGGATCAGCGTGTCGCAGAAGAAGATTGCGGGATCTGTCGATTTCAGCAAAAACATCTCTTCGGGGTCTTCTTGCAGGAAAGAAACTTCTAGCGATCTTCTGGATCTTGCAGGTAGAAAAAGGGCTGCGGCTGTCGAGGCGATTGATCTTCTACTCGTCGGTTCGAAAGCTCGGTCTTCGGCTTTCACGATCTTCAGGTTCTGTTGTCCGATTTGAAGAAGATTCAGGTGCGGCTTCAGTTGAATCGGAATTCCTTGTTGAGTGATGTTTGCCATCAAATCGTATCCGATCAAGACAGGAGCAGGACAATCTTCGTCACGGCTGACTAAGAAGGAGTGCGTGAAGCTGTAGCCGGCGATTCTGATCTCAAGTTCCGCTTTTTCCTGTGAAAGAGAACGAAGATCCATTGGCTGTTCTGGCACTGTGATTTTTCTTTCTCGAAGTCGTCGATTCCAAGGTAGTTCAACGTAGATTCTCGAAGGTAGGAAACAGAAGCACCGCTGTCAAAAAGTGCTTTGACTCCTCTGTCGGCGATGGAAACGAGGATGAACGGGAGCGAAGAGGCGTCGCAGCTTTCTAAGGTGAAAATCCGAGCTCCTCTCTGTGGAAAAGCGTCCAAAATCGCGAATGATGAGTCGATTTCGCTTCCTTCCAGCGGTAGCATGGCTTGGGCTGAACCAATGAGACAAAGAAGCGGGATCGCGATCGGGACGTAAGTGAGAAGCGGCGGCAAACTGCGTCTGGCTCTGTAGTAGTGAACTTCTGGCTCCTCGACATCTTCTTGAAGTTCTTCTGGACTTTTGACTGCGTTGACTTCTTCTAGTTCCGTTGACTGCACATGGAAAATCGAGACTTTCTTCCTGATCATCTTTGCAATGAAGCATTTGATGGACGTGATGATGATGAAAGCTAGAAGGATGACGGCGAGGATCAAACCTACGGCTTTTGGCAGGAAAGACATCAGCGCGTTGGTAGCGCTCTCAGCAAGGCCTTCTATTTTTCCAGAAATGGCGTTGATCTTGTAACCAGCTGCTCTGGCTATATCCGAAAAGAGTTCCTTGGAGAGATTTTTGCCTTTCAGAACTTTTTATCACTTGGTTCGGCTGCCTTTGAAGAGTTGACAAGATTGATCCATAAGATTCGGCAGTAGAGTCGGGAAGCTGCTTCCTTTTTGATTCTCGAAAATATCACCACCTTTGTAGTGAATCGAATTGACTGGATGGTTTCCGAGGAGGCTTCTGAGTGAAAGTCGGAGACGTTGACAACTGCTCCACCGCTCGAAATGTAGACACCGTCTTCTGTTTGCAAAAACTGATGGAGTGACCTTATCACAATCGATTTCAGGACTGGACATCAAAAGATCAGAGCTTCGGGCTGGACGAAAAGAGTGACGTTGTTCTCTGTGACGACCGGCGTGAAGACGAAGCAGGTCGCGTTGATCTGATGGTCGAGATGGATATGCTTTATCCGAACTGCTGGACACTGAGTTATCAGCAGAATCCCTTCTCCGACGAAACGTGCTGATACATCTTGACGTTGGAGCATTCCTCGAACTCCAGCCGTGGGGTTGATCTGAAGGATGGACTGCCAGAGGGCGTTTTGACGATTCCGCAGCTGGCAAAGCGATATCGAAGTCCTTTGAAAGTTCACTCGAATGTTTTCGGTGATAATTTCGCTTCCAAACTGAAGTTTCGAGTTGATTCCGCTGCTGGTTAAGTTTCTGCGTCGTTCTTCGTGATAATCAAACTCAGTTTTCATGTACTGCAAGTGAGGCTTTGATCCGACAACCGTTTTTGCAGACTCGGCGACTTCTTCTAGTTGAACTTCGGGAACTGGAACGAAATCAGGAGACCAGCTGGGGGTCCAACCGATATCGAAGTCTAAAAGAGGGTCTGGAGTCGAAACGTCTTTTTCCGAGGTTGAAGATCCTCGAATTCCTGTCGAATCTTTTGGAAGTTGCTGAACTCCCACGGGCAACTCTGCTGTGCTTTTTGGATCCTGAAGACTTGCTGAACTTGAAGATTTGAGGTTTGAAATGGCTCTTCGAGGGACTCTTCTTTTCAGAGCTAGCTCGACGATTTCGTTCAGTTCACTGGCTTCCGGTGCGTCAGGGAACGAGAAGACTGCTCCTGAACTGGAAATCCATGTAGGCGATTCGAAGCACTTCTGGATTTGCGGCGGAGAGCGGCTTTTCGATGACAAATGCTGCTTGTCGGTCTTCGATAAGAACTGTCGAGTCTGAGAGCAAAAGCTTCGTAATGTCCCTAGAGAGGCAAAGTTGCAATCGTTCTTCTTTGGGGAGTCAGATGACTGTAGTCGCGTTGTTACGGCAGACTCCATCTTCAATCGTGCAGTCGTCCGTGTTCAAGATGAGGTTGGAGATGATCTTATTTTCCTGGAAGCTTCCGACGACTCCTTTTTCCAGAAGAATGACTTGTCTTTGCCAACATTCGACGCCAAATGAGAAGAATCCTCTTTGGAATGGCTCGAATTCCGATCTTTGAATTCCAGGAGTCACATCTCGAAGGGGGTATCCTCGAAAAGTCTTCCCATCTCGGGCTTGGTGGCATTCCTCAACTGTTGCTGCAGTGATGTTCATGAGCTGAACGAATTCTGAGACTGGAAGGAAGAACAGCTCTGTCACAGAGCATGTATGTTTCGAGAGAACAACGAAACGCGGCGACTTCATTGAACTTGGATTTCCTGATGAAAGCTGCAAACCGATGTTTTCACGACGTTTTGAGCTTCTGGTTGTTGACAAGCTTCTTGTTTGGGAATGGCGCCCAAAAATTCCTCCCTCGAGGCTCCTCGCAAGCAAAAGTAATGCCTGGAGAGCTTCTGAGAAGCGGGAGGAGAAGCTGAAGCGGTCGTAGTCGTCGTTTCTGGGAATGCTGTCGTCGAAGTCGAAGCTAAGGCTGGCGCTAACAAACAGGAGAAGACGAACATCGCGGTGAAAACTGAATTTACCGCTCTTCCTCTTCCGTTTCCGTTTCCGTTCCTTGGTTGATTCTCATCGTCTTGTCGGTCGTAGCGTTCTCTCGAGTCGTCTCTGTAGTCCTGCTGGCGGACGTCGTCTGAGCGGCGGTACCCTTGATTGTCGTGGGTAGAATTGCTCCACGAGACGTGACGATTTTCTCGCGAAGAATTTCGGCGATACTCGCGGTCTCGCGATGGCTGGCGGTATCCGCGGTCTCGGGACGGCTGGCGATAGGAGTTCCTATCTCGCGAAGGCTGACGACGGAAATTTCCGTTTCTAGACGAGTTGTAGGCGTCGTTCCTCGATTTCCGATTCTTCTGAGATCGTCTTGGAGGTTGTTGATCTTCTTGTCTTGGCTTTTTGCAAGGAAAGCGCGGCGATTTGTTCGCTCATCGTGCTTATCTGAGACTGAAGATCCGGGGCTCTGGCGAGCTGGAGACAAGCTTCTTCCTTGAGAGCAAGAGTCTTTGCTTCGGCAAAAGTTGAAGCACTTCCCTCGATAAACAGCAAGACGGATGGCTTCGGGGAGTCCTGCTGTGAATCGGTCCAAGGCGATCGCGTCACTTGTCTTCGAGTCGAAAGGATAAGCTGCGTCCGCGAGTTCTTTTGTTTTTTTCTCGCGAAAGTTTCACGTCTGAGCTCATGGTCAGGGAGAGCTGCGCTTTCGCGGCAGTTGTCCGAGTAGGCGTGTGAAGCTCAACCTTCATTCGATCCAGAAGTTGGCGCCAGGTCAAATTTGGTGTTGTAGCCTTCACTTTATCCAGGGTTTCGCGAGCTTGATCGTATAATAAGGTCGGAAAAATTCTCTCCAGTTCGGCTTCATCGAATGCGTGTGCATTCGCGAAATCGTTGAGTCTTCTCGTGTACGAGGAGAAGTTCTCGCTGACTCCGAGTTTGGGCCAGTTTGGCGCCATAGCCATTTTGAGACGACGAAGACCTTGCTCGATGTCTGAGAGATTTGCCATTGTGGAATGACCTCTCGGAGCGGAAAACGACCTGGAGGAAGCTTGCTTTTTGAACTGCTTTCGTTTGAGTCGCTGTTGGAGAGCTCGTTGGTTTCAAAGCGAGAGCAGGATCGGATGGCGTTAAGAAAGAAGAAGGACTCGGCCGGTGTATCTGATCGTTCGGCGGAAGTTTGAAGGTATGTGTGAAACTTGGCGACGGAGCGGCTGTTTCCACGAAGGATCTTCGGTTCGGAGATTCAGACGTGAGATTCGCTTCGTTTCTCCAACTATTCGGCGGAAGTTTGAAGATTGAAGACGGAGAAGATGTTTCCAAGAAGGGTTTCCTGTCTGAAGAACCGGGCGTCAAAGTCGCTTCCGAATCTGCGGGGGAGAACTGAAGAATCGGCGAGTCGAACAAAACTGCTTTTGGAGCAGTTGGCGGAGCTGTTGGCAGGGCTGTCGACGGAGTATTACCGAGAGAACTGCACTCCTTGGTCCGACAGGTTGATTGGCTCGGCCTTTTGGTTCCTTCTTCGCCTTCCCGCGAATCTTGGCAGTTAGTTGCGGCTGACGCGGCACTTGCTTGTCGTCGATGGTGTTGTTGTTGTTGTTCTTGAGCGCTGTGAGAGTTTGTGAGCGTTAAAGAACTGCAAATAAAAAGAAGAAGATTAGTTTGATGGTGTTAAATTTTGGCCCAAAGAAATCCTTTTTGCGTATTTAATTAAAAGTTTTGGATGTGAATTGAAGTTTTGAAGTTAATATTTTTAATTGAAAATTTATGAATTTTGAGAAAAAAAGAAATGGTGAATTTGAAAATTGATAGGTTGATTATGAAATTTTTGAAAAGGAGGTAAAAATGATTTAGTTGATTTTGAAAAATTTGAGAAATTGTTTGAAATTTTTGAAAAATTTTTGGTTTATGGTTGAATATTTTGAATAGTAGTTGAATATAATAGTGAAGTAAAATGGTTTTTTATAAGGAAAGTTTGAGGGATATTGTTTGGGAAAAAGATGGAAAAATTTTTGATTTTTGTTGAAATTTGTAAAAATTTGAGATTTTTTTGAAAAGTGAAAGATTATTTTTGAAGAAAAAAAGAAAAGTTGATGTGAATGTTTGAGAAGTGTAAAATTGATAAAAATTGTGAAAATTGAAATAGTTTGGATATTTTTGGATAGTTGGTTGAAATTTGAGAAGATGTTAGAAAGATGAGAGTATATTAAAAATGTTTTGAAAATGTGAGAATGTAAAAAATGTTAGATGTTTTTGGGAGGTAAGAAATTGTTTGAAATTTGAAATGTTTTTAAAAATTTGAAAATTTAATGTGTTAAAATTTAGAAAATAAGAGATGGAAATTGTGTTGTTTTTAAAATTTTAGGGGTAGTTTTTGGAGAATGAAAGAAATGATTGAAAAATTGATTGAATTGATTTGATTGATTTTGATTTTTAAAGTTTTTGAAAAAGATGGATTTGAGAAAAAGAAAATTTTTGAAATGAAGTTTGATTATTAATATGAGAAAGAAAATGTTGATTGATGTTAAATTTGATGGATATATGAAAGTAAATAAATTGAAAGGACTTTCCCAGCTGAGAAGCTTGGGTCGGCCTTTTGAGAACGCGTCAGGATTTCTTTGGTCAAACTTGAGGTTGAAGAGCCTTTGTGAGAAGAAGAAAAAAATATAAAAAGATAGAAAAAAGTGGAAAAACTGAACACATCAAATAATGAAAACAAGAGCTGGGAGTGTGTGACTAAAGTACCAGGGGTGGGACAGTAAGCTCCGGTCAGAAAAGGTGTGGGAATTAATTAAAATATAAGTAAGTGCTAAGGGTCTGGCGTCCTAAGTCGGCGTCTTGCGCTTCAAGCAAGCGTCTGGTGACCTTACCTAGGAGATTAGGGTGATTGTAATACTTGAGTACGGTATGAGACACGAACATGTGGCGTGGGACGCTTGGTAGCGTGACCCAAAAAAACAATCTTGAAAGAAACTTAGCGCCTAATAAATGATATGAGCAGACGATTTACGATACAGTACTTGGGAAAGAGATTAGATATGTTGTTTTTACAGTATAAATGGTGAAAATTGAACGATTTGATTTTGAAGAAAAAAATTAATTGAAGTTGAGAAATAAGCTAGAAACTTTGAAAATTTGAGTGACAAAAAGAAAATATATACGCGTAGACAAAATAATTGAAAGAATACAGGTTGAAAAATTTGAAAAATCAGAAAATAATATTTTTTTGATGAGAAAAAAATTTTGTAAGAAACAAGTGAAAAAAATTTGTGAGACTATATGGGAAATTTGGTTGTGTAGTGGAATTTTTAATTAATAAACTTTAAACGAAATATGGTGGGAAAAAGGTTTGGTTTGAAGATTGAAATTGAGAAAAATAAAAAAAGTTTTTGAGAATTTGAAACAAAATTTATGAGAAAAAAGGTTTGGAATTTAAAACGAAAATTGCAAGGAATGGGTTTTTTTGAAAATTTGAACAAAAATTGTGAGAAAAGAACCTTGAGAGTTTGAACTAAAACGATGAAAATGAACCAAACTAATACAGAAATACACGAAAATACACAAAAGTAAAATAATTAAAATAAAATGGGCTGACCGGAGGGGGGAATGAGTTGGTGGGCTCGCGACGTCTCCTCTTCAATCCTGAGCCGTATTGGACGGTGAGCGGCCGTTCATAAAAGGACAGCGTCGAGAAGGTACGAGCAGGATCGCAACTTCTACACGTGGAATGGGCCCTGGGACATTGAGCGACCGCGGATCCACGTGATGCGTCTCCTCGTTAATGAAAGCGTCCGGAGATGGTCGGCACCTTGATCAGGGGTGCTTCACAAACCGTAGTCGATCCTGGCGAGAAAGAGGCACTTTCGGCTTCCATACAAAAATAGGCGCGAAGGGCTGTATGATTTAATCCACCTCTCTTCCAGAGGACGCCATGGCGACGCCAACTGTGTTTAGCTCCAGAGACAGAAGAAATATGTCCACAGCGGATGGGAAGTAGCGTTTAGCTAGACTTCCGAACGGCACGTCCACGACTCACCTGCTTATGTGGCACTGGACTGCTCGGAAAGAAAACCCAAGAATCGAGTCTCAAGTGGGACCTCCATATTCCAAAAGTCCGCCTTTAGAGTCTAGAGACTCCCTCCAGATACAATTCTAAAGGTTGGCGTATTGGACCTTCCTGTTTGGGATGTCAGCTGCTTGACACAGGGAAATACAGGCAGGCAGGAGTCGAGGAAAGACAGAGGGGACACGCGGAACCAGCAACCCACCAACTGAGGAACCTTCGCCCACGCGGGGGCGTGGTCGAAGGTTCTCCTATCGCTGGGCTGGTACAGCTATAACCTTTTCATACAAGTGACCATTATTGAAAAATTCACTGAAAAGTTTGTGATTTTTATTTTTATTATTTAGAAACACTTTCTCATCAGGCGGATACTTGAAAAAAAATAATATTTACTGAGGAAATGCTTGGTGGCCACTATAGAGGCTCGCCAAGGACTACTTGGAGGGGACGCTAAAGTGGCCACTATAGAATTTCTCTATTAAATGGCCACTTAAGTAGTTTTTCATCCAGTATACCTTCCAGTAACTCTGATAATTTTAGAACAAAGATATCGGACCAGTTATGTTGATTCATTGACCCCTAAAGTGGCCACTTAAATTTTTAGTGGTCTAGTAGTAGCACTTAGACCTCTATAGTGGCCACTGAAACGTCAAAATTCTTTAATGGCTACCAAAAGTTCTCCGACTAGAACGAAAAAAGGTTTGGCCTGAAAAATTCAAAAACCCCTACCTGACGGATTATCAATGGAACGCAGTTACTTCAAACAAACCCTTAAAATCCTGAAAAGCTCGATTTTCTTGATACCTTCTTCACTGAATTTCAACTGCCAACAAATCGGGAGAAAATAACATGAAAAGGTTTATAAAAAGGCAAAAAAGTGACCCATTTCGATAACCAACACTATTAAAGAGAAGAATTGAAAGAAGTTATCACTTTGACCAGGCAAATACACGCTTCAATTCCTAAAATTAACAAAAAGAAGGGCAAGTAAACACATTTCTTTAGGGATTGGAGGTCGAAAAAAAAGTTATTAGAATAGAACAATATGGAGGATTAAAAAAACAGTTTGATGATGTGTAGACCTTAATATAGGCATTTTTGACAAATTCCAGAAACTGAGCTATTTTTCCTTCTCGAAATGCGCTCCAATGATAAATCTACTGACAAAATGCGATTTTTCTCTTTCCAATAGTAAATTTATACATAAAAATCCATGCTACATGTCTCAGTTTCTCAAATTTTGAAAAGTCCCAAAAAACCAAAAAACTCCATCTAACACAAGAAAAAAAAAGGATCTACCGTGAATCGGTAACGCAAAAGTGGTTCCTTCAGTGACTTCAGAACTCTCAAGTGATCACTTGAAACGTTCATAGCGCTTAGGAGGTTTAAAGTGGTCCTTATAGGGGTTAGGGGTATAACAGCCCGTATAGGAGGAGCTAAAGTGGTCCCCATAGGAGTTTAGTGTCTGACCCTTTTGCCTCTAAAGCTCAAGTGGCCCCTATAGGGGTTTAGTGTCTGACCCACCAGCCTCTTAAGTGGTCCCTATAGGGGCGGTGAACTGGTCCCTAAGGTGCCCTATAGGGACCACTCTAGAGTTCCTAAGCGCGTCCATTTTGCGTTATCTCCGTCCAAGACCGTAAACGTTCTCAATGGAGCAAATTTGACAATAAATATCTCAAAAAAGGAAGCTATTTTTACATTAAAGGAATTTTCAAAGATTGGCCAATTTTTCCTCGACGATTCCCGCCGCGATCGTTTGTCCAGAACAGCGGAAAGTGACTCTTCCGAGTGCTCGGCAGACGGTGAACGGTTCGATCGCGACGTCGTGCTCTGTCTCGATTTCGACGACGCCGGACATCCCACGCGACAGGCATCTCAAACATGAATTTTAACGGAATGGCATATAGTTACGAAAAAGGTACATTTCTACATGTATTCAGTCTTCAGAGAAAATTCTCTATTAAATCATAGATCGAAAAAAACTTAAGAGACCACTTGAACAGAAAATAGCTTTCAAGAAGCTTTATTGGGTTTCAAAGGCTTTAATAACCTCAAAGAAAAACGTTCAAAAAGGAGACAAATCACTGAAGTGACTACTTGAAGAGACTAAATTTCATTTCCTGGAACTTTCAGTATCTCAAAAGGGTTCTTACAGTGATTTTCTTCCTTTTAAGTGAGGAAACCCTTCAGTGACTTCTTGAGAATTTTTTGAAACGAGTTAAAGCTTCCGAACCTTTAAATTCACTCAAGTGATCCCATTTGTTTTGAAAAATTTCGAAGACGCTTGAATAAAATAGAAAAAAATTAATATAGAAACCCCTTAAGAGAGTTCAAAAATAAAATACATCATTTCCTCAAACTTTCAACATTTAAAATGATTTTTCGCGTGACTTTTTATTTTTTTTTTTTTAGTGAAAAAACCCTTGAGGGGCTTCTTAAAACATTTTAAACAAAGGTAAAGCTTCCGAAACTTCAAGCCCACTCAAGTGGTCATTATAACGAAATTTCTTGCTCTATTTCGGATCAAATGAGATTTGAAGAGTTCCCTAAAGTGGTATTTCTTCTCCCATAAGGCGGAAAATCACTAGAGCGACCCCTTGGAAAATAGCGGAAAGTTCAGTTTTCAATAACGCGGTCATTATAGTGGAAGTTCTTGCTCTAATTTAGATCCAATGAGTTTTGAAGAGGTCCCTAAAGTGATCATTATTCTCCAATGTTCCGACTTATCCCCAAAGCAACGCCTTGGAAAATACCGGAATTTTAAAATTTGACAAATTCTAGATTTGCAAACCTATAGAAAAGCTACAAAATTTCTACTTTTTCTTCAATTTTATCGATTTTTCTTCCCCAAACTCACCGTGGCCGACTCTTCAGGACCTCTCCATTGGTTTTATTGATCGAAGTGACCAATCGGATAACCGTACAAGGTTCACACAAAGAATGGGCGTATAATTCCGCCTTGGTACCCTGAAAACCCAATATTTCCATAATTTTCCTTTCAAAAAATCAAAAAACCTTCATAATCGGGACGACAATGTCGAAAACCACGATTCTCACTAGAAACCGTCGTCCAGGGATCAGGGAATCCTGGAAAATGGTTATTTTCCAATTTTAAAGGGTCAGGAATTTTTTACCGGTCCTCCCCTAACGATAACATTTCCGGCATGGATGGTATCCGGCTCAAAAGTCCCATTCAAGGTTATCAAGACCTGATCACCGGCAAAACATTGATCCGGTTCGCCTCCGGAATCGTTGGAACACGCTAAAATATTGAAAAATTAGTTTTTAGAGAAAAAAATATTTTTTTCGAAGAACTAAAAGAGCCTTTGAGACCTTATGACTTGAAAATATAGAGGATAATAGAAAAAAAATGGATAAAATATTCGAAAAAACTGATAAAATTGGTCCAGGGAATGAAGAAAGATAGCTAAAAATCGGAAAAATAAGACTAAAAAAGAGGAAAAATGAAGCAAATTATCAGAAATTCAAGGAGTCTAATGCATAAATATTAAGGAAATTCAGCGGGAAAGGCTCAAAAATTGAAGAAAATGTTTTTTTTTAAGTCACGGAGAAGCAAATTTATGATCAGAACGGAAAAAACGGCAAAAAATCAAAAAAAATATGTCTTTTCCTTACTTTTCAGGAGCATTTTCTAAGTTTACAATGAATAAAAATGATAATCAGGTTGAGAAAACCAAAAAAGCGCAAAAAATCAACAAGAATACGCTCAAAAATGAACAAAATATGACTTTTCTTATGTTTAAAAAACGTTTTCCAAGCTTAAAATAAATAAAAATGATAATAGGTTGAGAAAACCGGAAGGAATTCGAAATAAAATGCTTAAAAATGATCAAAATACGACTTTTTCTTATGTTTAAAAAATATTTTCGAAGCTTAAAATGAAGAAAATGATAATCGGTAGCAAAAAATCGCAAATAATCAACAAGAATACGCTTAAAAATGACCAAAATATGACATTCTAGAACATTTTCCAAGTTTACAACGAAGAAAATCGATGATAACTCGAGAAAATCTCAAGGAATCCAAAAGAAAATGCTCAAAAATTAACAAAAAACCGTTTCAGAAACCTTTCCTCGCATTTTCAATCAAAAAACCCAAAAACTAACCTTTAATCAAGGCGGGATCAGCATTGGGCATGATGAAGACCTTATCGCCGGCCTCGATTTCGCCGGATTCGATTTTCCCGTTGACATTCAGCTGAGCAGTGGTGGCCTTGGGATGAAAACTTATAATTTCGGAAAAAAAAAGAAAAAACCTTGAAAACATCATTGATCACGATTCGCAATGGTCCATCCGACGCTCGGGGCGAAGGATTGAAAGATTCTGGAAATGGGGAAACATTTCAAGGATCCTGTCCATTTTTTCTATTGATCTTTAAGTTTGGATTGGCTTGAAACTTTTTTTTCCACGAATTTTCCACCGTCCGCACTTTAAAACCGTCCGAATCCCTCAAAAAACCCACCAATCATCTCTAAAAGGCAAGGGCCATCGTACCAACTCGCCAATGGATGATTACCGGGTACTCGAGTAACGAGATTTTCCCCGGCCAATCCGGAAACCGGAACGAATCGGAGTTTCGAGAAACCGGCCTGCAAAATAATTATTCGTAGAAAAAGTCGGAAGGACCCTTTAGGGGCCCTTTGAGCGTCAGTTGGATCAAAAAGTTTCCATTAATTTCCTTTTTAGGACCCTTTTTGAACCTTTTTTGGACCCTTTTTGGTCCCTTTTTGGACCCTTTTTGGACCTTTTTTAGACTCTTTTTTTTACCCTTCTTGGACCTTTTTCGGACTTTTTTGGACCCTTTTTGGACCATTTTTGGACCCTTTTTTGAACCCTTTTTGGACCCTTTTCGGACCTTTTTTGGACCCTTTTTGGACCCTTTTTGGACCCTTTTTGGACCCTTTTGAGAAACACATAAATTTTCAAATTGAGAAAAATCTTTACCAGTGACTGCGCATGAACCAAAATGTGCTATAGTAATAAAATCGGGAATCATCAGCACACTAAAATCTTTTTTGAAACGAAAATAGCTAACTTTTCTTGAAATTAATCTAAAAAGCCCTGGAAAATCTCTTAAAATTCGGAAAATCCCTTGTAAAAATGACTAAAAAATTTATTATTTCATTACTAATATCTCATTTTTTTGGAAAGAAATGTACGTAAAAAGCCTAAAAATTCGAATATTCTACTATGATTTTTCTTAAAAAAATCCACTTTTTCAAGCCCCCAAAATCACCTGTTTCGTGAGGAAAGTCGTCAAAATCGCTTTGACCTCCTCGAAACGATTTTTAGCCCAATCGACAGTGTCCAGCTTGTTGACGGCGACGATTATTTGGCTGACTCCTTCAAAATAAAATATAGAAATTAGGGATTTCTTCAGGAAAAAGGAACCTAAAGAGCGCAAAAGCATCGCGTGCTCTCTGGTCTGGCCTCCATTTTCGAAGCCGGTCTCGAATTCGCCTCTCGTCGAATTCACCACCAAAATGGCGGCGTCCGCTTGGGCTGCTCCTGGAAAATAACGGAATTGGATCAAAATTCGACAAAAGTGATGCAAAAAAAATTCAAAATTTTCTTAAACTGTGTCGGATAAAGTCGGAATAGTATATAATGGCCACTAAAAGGTTCAAAAAAGGCAGCAAAACGGCTCAAAAAAGGCCGCAAAAAGGCAGCAAAAAGCAACTAAAAGGCTTGAAAAAGGCAGAAAAAAGAGTCCCTTTTTCGAGCCTTCCATTTTTTCTAGAATTTCAAGGCTCAAGAAATGGTGGAAAAAGGAAGAGGCTGCAAAAATGATGCAAAAGAGCCGATAAAATGGCGCAAAAGGCAACAAAAAGGAGCCTTTACTCTATAAGGAAAATTTAAGAAGCTTTTTTCGGCTCTTTCCGATTTTGCCTATGAAAAATGACCAATTATACCTTTCTACAATGGGAAAAAGGAATAAAAAAATGATTCTTCATCAAAATTTAGACGCTGAAAACAAATTTGATGGTTAAAACGTAAACGTAAATTTATTTTAACCCTGAAATCCTAGAAAAAAAATCACTAATCACTTCTTACTTTTCTTCTTAACCAATAAAACCTTTTTTTTAATTTTTTTTAGAACGTAAATCAAAAAGTCTCGTAAATTATGATGCTTAGGGTGTAAACACACCGAGACGCACTATCGCATACTCCAATTTTTTTTTTCAAACTCAGAATTTGCAACTTCAAGATGATTATTAAATGTTAATATACGGATAACAAAATGAAAAAAAAAATTTGCTATTAAATATTTTTAGCCGCTTTTCATTAAAATTTACGATTTTAGGTAAAACGAAAAAATGACAATCCAACTGTGGAAAAAAAAACCTGATAGAAAGTTTGCCAACTTCAATACTAGCCGTTCATTTTTGATATTAGTTTCTTTTTCTTTTTCTTGAAAATTCGCTAAAAAAATCTGCTATTTCACACGGAAAAAAAATACCATTTCCACCAGAATTCCGATCAAAATTTTTTTAAAAATCTTCGAAAATACTCTGTAAAAATGACCAGTGATCATGTTGGGGATGAAATCCTTGTGTCCGGGCGCATCCAAAAGAACGATCCTTTTGGTGTCGGTCTCGAAACTCGTCCGGCCAATGTCCATCGTCACTCCACGGGCTCTTCAATAAATATTTTTTTAGTTTATAGATTCATTTTTGACAATTTTTTTCTCGACAATCTAAAGGCTTTTGAACATAAATAGATTGAAAAAAACAGTTAAAACTCAAAAAAATTCGCAGTGAAAAAGTAAAATTTCACAAAAAAATCAATTATTATTGTCTTTCGGAAAAGGTATCACCTTATTTTTCTACATCTATCTTTTTTTGAATAAAATATCATGGCCGCAGTTGGAATGGCTTAGAGCTTACTTCATAGGTAAAGTCAGAAATGGTCAAAAAAGGCTCCATAAATGTTTTTTTTGGGTGAAAAAGGTCCCTCTTTGCTGCCTTTTTGCGCCATTTTTTCGGCTTTTATGCACCATTTTTGCTGCCTCTTCCATTTACTACCATTTCTTTAGCCTTTAAAATACCAGAAAGAATGAGAGGCTCGATAAAGGGACCCTTTTTGCTGCCTTTCTGCGGCCTTTTTATGAACCTCTCCCTTTTAGCGGCCATTCGAAACTCTAGAATTGTCCCTATAGGGGCAACCTAAGGGGCTCATGGAGGGTCTCCTTAAGGGGCCACTAAAGCTTGCAAAAGTGTTCCCTAAAGAGGACATGGTAATCGATAATTGTTATGAACTGTAAGTCTTCCATGAAAAAAACTGCATAAATAAGCCTTTCTGAATAAAATTGAAAGACCCCTATAGGGTCCACTAGAGCTTCAGGGGCTGAGCGGTCAGACTCTAAATCCCTATAGGAACCACCTTAATTTTACCCCTATAGTGACCACTTTTACGGGCTCTCTTAGAGGTTCTTTCCCTCTAACCCCTACAGTGACCACTTAAGCTTTAGAGGCTGAAGGATCAGAAGTTCTGACTCAGAACCTAAACCCCTATAGGGACCACTAAGGCTTGCAAAAGTGGTCCCTATAGGGGACATGCTGGTCGATAACTTTCATGAACTTTCTGCGAAGAAGCATTTTCATGGGAAAAACTGAATAAATAAGCGTTTTAGAATGAAATTTAACGACCCCTATAGGGACCACTTCAGCTTTGGGGCTAAGAAGTCAGACCCTAAACCCCTATGAGGACCACCTTAATTTTACCCCTGTAGGGACCACTTTTTCGGCCCCTATAGGGACTACTCTGGGATTCCTGAATTACCCACCATTCCATCTTATCCCGATACAGTTTCATTTTTCATGTCAAAAAAAATTCAATTTTACATATATTATATATTTTTTTCAGTCCAAACCAACCTCTCTTCCTCCGTTTCATCAAGAACCCAGGCAAAGGCGAAAGAAGATTTTCCAGTCCTCGCCGATTCTTGCTTGTACTTGTGCATGGTCCGGTCGTCAACGTAACCCATCTTGAATTAAAAATACACATTTTGAAGCAATATTTCAAGTCACCTTGACCAAAATATGGCCCATCATGGTGCTTTTGCCGGCGTCGACGTGTCCGACGACGACCAAATTGATCAATTGCTTCGTTTCTTCCCGTTTTCGTGACCTTCTTGGGGTGGCTGGAGCCGTGGCGATCGATACCAGTTGATTTAATCTTAAAATTAACTGATAAGCTGTCAGAGTAATGAGCAAATGTTAAAAATTGAACGGGTAATTCGACTTAGGAATTTTAGAGTGGTACCTATAGAGGTTAGGGGGTAAACAGTTCCTATAGGGATAAAATCAAGGTGTTCCCTATCTGACCCCTCAGCCCCTAAAGCTCAAGTGGTCCCTATAGGGGTCTTTCAATTTATTTCAAAAAAGGTTTTTTTTTCAGTTTTTCGCACGGAAATGCTTCTTCGCTTAGAGTTCATAAAAATTACAGTTAGGATTTTCCCTAGAGGAACCACTTTTGCAAGCTCTAGTGGCCCCTATAGGGGTTGGTAAAGTGTTCCCTAGAAAAGACCCTTCAAGGACACCTATAGGGACCACTCTGGAGTTCCAAAAAGAGCAAAAACAAAGTTTTGAAGGAAATTTTGATGAGCTTTTTCAATTTTTCTTAATGAATTTTGAAATTGGTTTAAAAAAAAGCGATTCCTGTCAATTTTTGAAACCGAACCTTATAAATGATGAAGTTTTTCAAATTTTTTTCAAGATTCATTTGAAATATAACTTTAAAAAAATCTAGTTTCCTGACAATTTTAAAAAAACCCCCCAAACTTTTTTTAAAGCTATTTTTCATTTTTTTAACTTACCGATTCTCTAAAAATCTCAACTTATGAAATATAGTTTAAGCAAATTTTTCCACTCTTAAAAAAATTTTTTTGAATCATTTTTTTAACTTCAAATTTGATAAAAAAATAACAATTTTTCTCAACTCTCCAAGCTTTCAAAAAAATTATTTTTCTCTAACTTCTTCTAAAAAAATCTTTATTTTACCTGTGGGTGCTCGAATTGGCCGTCAAAACTGTGGAAGGAGTGGCTTCTTTAACGACTGGCGTTTGTCCCGACTTGAAACGGCTTTCATTATTTTTTTTTCACCTTTCCAAACCTTATTTTTCCTTGACGGAGATTTCGAAGCGCTTCTGGGATTTTCTCCAATGCGTAACGATGTGATATTGGGTAGAACCGGCTGAATTATTATTATTATTTTTTTCGAAAAAAAAGAGATTTTTCCAAAACCTTGTCCTTTAAATTTTCAGAAGCCGTAGAACTCGTCGGCTGACTGATTGGTAGTGATAGGACAACGTGTCTTTGTTGAAAAACTCGCTCTTTCGGCTTATTTTCAACGGGTTTTTCTTCGGTGACTGAAAATATATTCATTTTTCATCGTTCAATTAATTTCCTTTCAAAAAACCATCGTCCATTTCGAACATCTCGCCATGATCAGGCAAATTCGACCCTTCTACCTTGGGACAAGGTTCTTCTGGGATGAATTCACTCAAATTCGTCGCATAACCCGAATAATTATTCGATGTCAACCGTGGTCGGGTATAAATGTACTGTTCTAAACTTTAAATGATGCATTTTGAATAATTTCGCCTTCACCTGCACTCGGCGACATAGGAACGTCATCTTCATAAGATCTCCCATAATAATCGTCGTCGTAGTCATCGTCCCGTTCTTTAAAAATCAAAAGAAAAATCCGCATAACATGAAAAAACCCTACCATCATCGTAATTGATGTTCCTTATGTTTCGATGCCGTGACATTTCTTTATCTGGTTATCAATAAACTTTTAAAAACAAGAAATATAACTTGAAACAAGCAGAAATCGACGTTTGGTGAAAAAAAACACGGAAGAAAAAAAGTTATTTATCGTTCATCTTCATTGAAAGCACGTTCAGACAGAGTAATAACCTATCAAAAATCATATCAAAGGTTTGAAACTGATAAGAGACAAGAAAAAACATAAAAGAGCAAATTGAGAAAAATTGTGAAATGACAACGGCTTGGTTTTTGGAAAGAGCGCTCCAATAGCGTTTTGGCGGGGGATGGGGGGTTTCAAAACGAGTATTTTATTGTAAAAATAGGGAAAACGGTGATTTATGTTTACTGATATGAATATGAATACAGAAATTTCGGAAAACGATTTCCGTATAGAGGAATCGAGGAATTTCTACCTGAAATCTTCAATATTCAGAAAAACCTTCAAAAATGGGCTTTAAAAACTTTCAACATGACAGTTGATGAAATGAAAGCATTCCAAAGCATGTCACAATTTCATTACCTTCCTTGGGCTTATTTTTTAAGTTTTCAAAAAGATTTCTTGCTTCGAAATACCACAAGATTAACCTCTTCATGTAAATTTCAATGTAACCTTGTCAAAGAAAATAAAAAAACTTTATTCAAAAAAATATTTTTCTTGTAAACTCAAAATAATTCAAAAAAATGGTTATTCAAAAAAATGAAAAAAAGAAAAAAATTTATTTGCCAAAATCTGAAAAAGTTGAAAAAAATTTTTTATAAAAAAATTGATCCAAAATGAAGTCCAAAAAGACCCAAAAAAATTTTTATATTTTTCATCGAAAATCTTTCCAAAAAAATAATAAATTCATCAAAAAAAACTTCCAAAAAGTAATATATTCATTAAAAGTTTGGTTTTTTTCTACCGTGAAGTGCTGTAGTCGCCTGTGAAGTTATATTATCCTGAAAATTGAAACATTTCCTGGAATTTTTAAACTTACCTCGTAACTCGTTGATACCTGAAATGATTGTTGAGAATTTTTTTATTGTCTTTTAAAAGCCTGAAAGGTTTGAAATAGGAACTTACATATATTTTAATATCCTAACCTTTTTTTCAGGCATTTTTTTAAACTCTGACTTGTTTTGGGAGTAATTTTAGCCGGGAAAAAAAGCGAAAAAAACTATAGAAATCGTTAAAATCTTTTTTTAAATTAGTACTAACGTCGAAAAAAATTTTTCTTTATTCATAATCATGTTTTCTGAACCTTCCATTTGATCAGTAGAATCCTAACCTCTAACTTTTTTTCTTAGAAAATACGTTGAGCTCAAATGAACCTCAGAAAGCTTCAAAAACCATTAAAACTATCTATTTTCCTTATTTGGAGCCTTCCAAAAAACTCTCCCAATCTAAACTTACACCACTATTTTGGGTTTCTAACTTCTTAGTGTCATTTTTACATGATTTTTCCTACATTTTCGAACTTTTCTTCTTCCCTTCTAGGGCCCTTTAACCCGAAAAATACTTCAAATCTGTTTCAAACAGCCAGCATCGCCGTGAAGAGCTCAACATTGTTGGCGTTCCGGAAATGCTCCCGCAATTTGGCGCAGAAAATCTTGAAATGGGCAATTTTGGCGATCAGCCGCGGGTACCTGGAATTCCACATGTTTTGATTTATAATTTTTGAATTTTTTGTTGGAAAATTGATTAAATTTTGAACTTTGGGGATTATTCCAGAACGGCCCCCCCTACTGGTGTAGAAATAGCCCCCCGCAGCCCATTAGGACTGGGGGACGCAATTTTAAAATAAGGTATAGCTCCCCACGTTTGATTCAGCCCCCCACCAGTCGAAATTTGCCCGGGGGAAGGGGGAGGCTTGTTCGGACGAGGGGGAGTGGCAGATGACTCTGGAATTTTCCCGAATTTTTCCCGAAAATTTCCAGAAACTTTTCTTCCCTAGTTTCAAGTCCAAAAAATGCCCACCTCTGCAAATCATCAGAAGATTCCTCGTTAAGGAGCCGGAGCATCTCCCACAGCTCAGTTTGAACTTTTTCGACGCTGGCGATTTGCTGAAAGACTTTTTTTCAATCGCTCAATGAATGCATCACTAAGCACCTTCTCATCACTCAAGTGATCACTATTGAAGAGGAACAAGGCGGACAGAACGGTCAGCTGTCGATGGTCCAGTTGCAGGGAGGAAAGAGATCTGGAAAAATTATCGTTTTCAAATTTTTAAATCAGTTCAAAAAATTCGTCAGAAATTAAAAAGGTAACTAAATTTTGGAGAGTCAGAGATAATTTTGCATTTCGCGTGAATGGCATAAGAAAACTAGCACTTGGACTTGAATTCGCACTATTTTTCATTTTTTTTTTCTATAATAGTGGCTACTTAAGGGCTTTAACATTTGAGGGACCTCTAAAGAGGCTAAAATGAGCTTCTGAGTGCAAGTGGTACAACTAGCCCACTACAAACTACTACAGTGGCCACTGAGACGCAAGCTGGTTTGAGTGGCCACTCTAGAGCCCTCAAGGATCCTCTTAAGTGGCCACTTAGGCTTTTCCCAGTAAACTCAAAATATTCACCCAGCAACCGTGAACAACTTGGAGATGAGCTGTCGCAATTCTTCGTTTTCGTCTTGTTCAACATCGACGGCGACAGACTCAAGGAGGTCGTGCTGACGGAGGAAAACCTGAAAATATTCCCATTTTTCAAGGTTTAACACTTTAAAAATCTTCATTCTCTATAACTCTCTTGATCTTGCACACTATTTCGCTCTTGGAAATCCATCAATTCTCCATATAGTTGGTTCATTGAGCTATCGAAAAGGGTCCTGACACGATGAAAAAGGAGATAGTGTCTGGTTGGTGGAGAGCGCAGACAGGCCACGCCCTCTAAGCATCCCAAACTGTACATGAACCCTCTCTACTCCGTTCAGATCTTGAATTTCAAGTCATCGCTCAAGCTCCGCCCCTAATTGGGTGATAAACCAATCAGAGAGCGAGCCAGGGCAATTTTAAATGACGTCATTTTAATTGTCATTCAAGTTCTAAACAGATTATGAACCTCTTGTAAAGCTACCAAGGAATGAAGTACTTGCGATCTCCAGAGGGGTCCCTACGGGGTCATTTTTTGGGGCCTCCACTTTAGTGACCACTTTACCAACGCTTATATGGGCCACTAAAAAAAGAAGCTCCAGAGTGGTCCCTATAGGAGCAATCTTAGAGGCTCTTGGAGGGTCCACTCTAGTGATCTTTTCACCAACCCCTATAGGGGCCACTAAAGCTTGCAAAAGTGCTCCCTATAGGGGACATGCTGATCGGTAATTTTTATGAAGTTGAAAGGCCCCTATAGGGACCACTCAAACTTTAGTATCGAAGGGATCGGACCCTAAATCCCTATATGGACCACCTTGACTTTATCCCTGTAGTGGCCACTTTTTCGAAGCTGATAGGAGCTGTTCTTACTTCTAACCCCTATAGGGATCACTTTCAAACTCCTAAGTGTACATGACATTCGATTATTGTTAATTGGGATCTCCAGAGTGGTCCCTTTAGGAGTAAAATGAGAAAAACAGCCACTATAGGAGCCACTCTGACGTTTTTCAAGTGGAGATCGACTTTTCAAAGTTTCTACCTCTTCAATTTTCTCAGAAAAAGTTTCATAATGTATTTTATTCTTCCTTCTTATTTTCCTGATAGAATACCTTCTCAGAAGGCCTGAAGCAGTTCTCAGCGTCATCGAAGAACGAAACGAAACGAAGGAGATGCGTCTCCAGGACACAGTTTTCCAATAGAACCGCTTGGGACTTGATGGAGAGCTGGAAAAAATCCATTATTTGAAAGTTTTTATAAAAATTCCTATGTGAAGAAGCAAAATCCGTGAAAATTAATGGAGATCAAGTTCATTTGAACCTCATTTCCATTGGAAAACCTGACTTTTTTCTAATTTTTCAATGAAAGTTCAACTTTTTTCATATTTTTTCAACACATTCCCCTCATTGCGGAACCTATTTTCTTCCAAAATTACCTGATTCCAAGCGGAAAAATCGCTGGCAAACTGTGTGGCATTCGTGACGAGCTTCTGGAGAAGCTGGGTGATTTTTGGAACTTTGGAGGTCCCTGAAGGGGTCACTTCAGCCGGCTGGTCGATGTTCTGGCAGTAGCTCTTGGTCAGGCGGTCGATCTGGATATTTTTGTCTATATTTGACCATTTTTGACTTTTAATTTTCATTTTGAAGCCTAGAAATATTTTGGAAAAGAAGAAGGAGAGAGAGTGTGTAGGAGCTTGAGAGAGGCCTGAGAAAAAGAAAGCTGCGTCTCTTCAGTTTGTACACTGTATTTAGGATCCAGATTTTTGTCATTTTTGAAATGTATTTCCAGAGAGAAATTTTACAAAACGTGTCTGCGTCTCTTCATTCCACACACTCTCTGAATTCCACACACCGTCTACGTCTCTTCATTTCACGTACTCTTTAAATTTCACACACCGTCTGCGTCTCTTCAATTCTTACCCTCTCTGAGTTTCACAGACTGTCTGCGTCTCTTCATTTCACACACTCTTTCAGGGGTCTCTTTTTCGATTTTTAAAAAGACGCCTGATTAACGGCTGGCTTGAGGCATCGGAAAATGGTCTTGACACGATCGGAAAAGAGACAGTGTCTTTGGTGTAGAGCGCAGACAGGCCACGCCCCTTTGAGGTCCAAGAAAGTCATGAATCGACTACTTAGAAAGACACAGTTGGGTATCACTAGAAAATAGGAGGGAGCAGAGATGAAGAGATCCCTGCGTCTCCTCACCTTCCACAATCTCTCTTCATCTTTTTCTTCAAACCTCAGTCCTGACAAGAGCCGCTTTGAGTTCATCGACCGGCGGTCCTCGAATCGCGGCCACCGTCGATTCCAGAGTCCGACGTTCCCGATTCTCGCGGATCAACGTACGCTTCCTCACGCGCTCGTCTTCGTTGAGCACCACTGAATATTGATTTTTTCAATTTCAGAAGAACCTCATGGTAACCAAGGCCGTTTTTAAAGTGATTACGAGCTCCAGAGTGGTCCCTACAGGGGCAACCTTAAAGGCTCTTGGAGGGACCCCTCCATGGTCGCTTTAGGGGCTAAGGGGTCAGACCCGAAACCACTATAGGGACCACTTTTTCCGGCTCTTTTCCCCCTAACCAGACTGGAGTTCCTAAGTCAGGCACAAATAATTTGGTCAGAACGGAAGGAACAAAGTTTCACCCCTATAGGGATCACTTTTTCGGCCCCTAGAGGGTTGTTTTCCGCCATAACCCCTTTAGGGACCACTCTGAACTTGGATGGTTAGAGAAAATTTCGAATTCCGTCTTCGAACACGGCATTAACGAAAAACACGTCAATTTTTTTTCAAAAACAAAAATTTTAAGAAAAGCTCATCCGACCAAATGCGACTTTCGCGCACTTGGATAGCACATCAAGCCGAGGATTTAGCCATTCCAAATGCGACCACGGCACTACAAAACACTCACGATCGGTGCTCATCCCGACATTTATGCACTTGAGGAAACGGCAACGTTGACAAATGTTTCTCGTCACTTTGTTGATGTCGCAAGTCTCGCCGGAACGGCAGACGTAGGTCAGGTGGCGCTGAAAATGTAAAAAAATATATTAAAAAAATCAAAAAAATTCAGAAAATTACCTGAGAAGTGCGTCGGAAGAATCCTTTGCACCCCTCGCAGGTGATCGCACTGAAAAATCATTTTTTTTCTACTAAAAACTACACATTTTGTTCAACTTTCCCACTAATATACTCCTCCAAACCTTGCTAAAAAGCTAATTTTTGAAAAAAATTGCGTTTTCACACCTTTTTTGCTCTAGAAAACCTTCAAAAAACTGTTTCTTTTTCAATTTTTGATACTTATCTGTTACTGAACATCAACTCCAAGAAGTAGAAGTTCGAAAATTACCGATAGTGCAACCCAGTGGCGACATCCCCGCAAACGACACAAGGCTGTCCTTCCTCCATGTACGATGGCATGTAGGGGGCGGCTGAAAATTGAAGTTTCCATGATTTGGAGTAGTTTTCTTCGAATATTTATTAATTTAATCATCCGCTCTACCAAAGATCCTTAAAAAAATGAATTATTGGTCCACTTGGCTTCAAAAAAACTTGATGCTTTGCTTAACAGGGGGGCTCCTTTTTACTTTGCTCAACGGGAGAGAGGAATCCTTTTTACCTTGCTTAAAAAGAGGGAAAGGGGGGTTCGCTTTCACTTTGCTTAACAGGGGGATTCTCATTTTTTTCTTAAAATGGGGGGCTTTTCATTATGCTTAACAGAGTGGAGGCTTCTCCTTTTGCTTAAAAAAAAAGGGGGTGTCCTTTTTACTTTGCTTAACAGGGGGGTTCCTTTTCACTTTGCTTAACAGGGGGTCTTTTTACCTTGTACTTTACCTAAAAAAATTGGCCAGAGCCTTTCTAGATGTACCAGGTGAACACCCTGCCCATCTAGTTTTTGAAAAAAAGAGTTTTGAGCCCTTATTTCCTAAAAACTGGGAAGTTTTGCAAGCTGAGGCTTTCAGAATCTCAGAATCTTCTTCTGGTGCATCAAGAAGTGTTCTAGCAACCTTCAGGAAATTCCCAACCAAAAAGGTAACCTCCCTTATAAGGAAAGAAACACATCAGTAGATGAATAATGATTATTAAAAATCAATGAGTCGGTTTTTAAAGTCTCCTCTTACTCATGTTCATTGAAACTTCGTCCTAGAACCGGAAAATAGGTAATTTCAGTCCTTTTTTATCAGAATAACTGTAATTCTGGGCACTAAAATAAATTTCAAGCCAATTATTCCCGTCTCACAAATCAGAGCTCCTAATAACCGCCCAAACGAGCAGAACCGCCACGTGTTCAGCTCTGTTTTACAGCCGCGGCTGTAAACCAAAATGACACGGCTTTTTTCTCGCTTTGTGATACAATCTGTCGGTTGTAAAAGCTTGGGACAGGTGGTCCTCGAGGAAGTTAACTGTACCTCTTCTAGTTCACGAAAAAGGTTTTGCTGGGAAACTATAGAGGCTCGCCAAAGACTACTTGGAGAGGACACTAATGTGGCCACTAGACCCACCTCTATAGTAGCCACTATTTTCCGTTTTAGTGGCCACTTCAGTAGTTTTTCATCCAGTACTTCTTCCAGTAACTCTGATAATTATAAAACAAGCAGATTGGACCAGTTATGTTGATCCATTGACTCCTAAAGTGGCCACTAAGAGGTCTAGTAGTAGCCCTTGGACCTCTATAGTGGTCACTAATTTTAAACTCCTCGAGTGGCCACTATCTTACTACTATAGTGGCCGCTAAAAGGTCAAAACCCTATAGTGGCCACTAAAAATTTTCCCAGTTTTTGATGACTTCGAAAAATCTCAAATTCAAGTTTTTGGAGGAGTTTTATTTGTACTTAGCAACTCCAGAGTGGTCTCTATAGGGGCTACCTTAGAAAGCCCCTCTAGGGACCACTTCACTAACCCCCACTGAAGCTCAAGAGGTCCCTCAAGAGTTCAATATCACTCAAAAATGCTTATTTATTCCGTTTTTTCAATGACAATGTTTCTTCAGGGTTCATAAAAGTTATCCGCTAGAATGTCCCCTATAGGGACCACTTGTGCAAGCTTTAGTGGCCGCTATAGGGGTGGTGAAGTGGTCCTTGGATAGGAACGCTCCAAGAGCACCCTATGGGGACCACTCTGGAGTTCCTGGGTCCTTGGTAACTCTAGTAGTTCTAGAAGAATGATCGAAAATTGATCTAAAATGCTTAAAAATCGAAAAAATTCCCCATTTTGGACCATTTCTAATATCTCCAGCCCCTTAACCACCCCGAACCAGCCGCCTTGCGCAATTATCCCCCGCCCAACTTTGGTCTGGCCCAAGAAAGAAGTCCCGATCAAGAGCCACGAGAACCTCGCCCCCGTTATTTGCTGAGAAGCGACGACCTGAGCGCTTCTCGAGCTGTTTTTCGGATGAGGCCGGTTGGCGATTGCGCAACTTTGCCCTCGACGATGGGCCTCCAGGTCGACATTTGAGCCTCCGAAGGAGAAAAAATGCCCAGGTACTCAGAGGAGGCTTTTTTATCGGGCCGCGATGAACGAAAAATGGATATTTCTGACTCACTTTTTTTTTATTTTCATATGGATTTTCTTAAAGAATTATGTTCCAAATTAAGTCTTCGAAAATTCCTAAAGTATAATTCTTAATATTTTTCGTTCCATGGCTGAATCACGTTTCTTAAGAGCTCCAGAGTGGTCCCTATAGGGGAAACCTTCAGGACCACTTTGCCAACCCCTATAGGGACCACTAAGGCTTGCCAAAGTGGTCCCTATAGGGGAAATGCTATTCGATAAGTTTCATGACCTCTATGCGAAGAAGAATTTCCAGGGGGCCACTGAAACTTGTAAAGTGGTCCTTTTAGGGGTTTCAGTTAGTGGCCCCTCTAGGAGAGATCATTATTTGAACTCTAAGCAAAGAAGCACTTCCATTGCAAAAATTAAATAAATAAGCGTTTTTTAAATGAAGTTGAAAGACCCCTATAGGGACCACTTAAGCTTTAGGAGCTAAGGGGTCAGACCCTAAACCCCTATAGGGACCACCTTGATTTTAACCCTCTAGGACCAGTTTTTCGACCCCTATAGGGGCCACTCTGGGATTCGCAAGTTTACAAAAACTGAAACCCTAAAAAAAACCCAAAAATATATTATTTTAACCCGGAAATTTCACAAATCAACTCAAAACCCTGTTGCATAATTGTTCAACCAAATTTTATAATTTTTCAAAAACCAAAAAATAATTTTAACTCAATAAAAATACGAACCCTTGTTGCGCTGGCGGAGTGGCGTTCCAATAGACGGCATGGTACGGTAGATTACAGTAGGATACTGTGGGATACGGTAGAAGAGCAAGTCTGGAACAACCTCCCGTTGGGGCGATCGCTTCAGTCTTTGCGCCGAGGCTCCGCCCCCCTACCTTGTCCTCGGCTCCAGAAGGAGGTAGCTGATGACGTAAGGTCGGCGCGATGACGTCATCAAGCCGAGGACGACGGCCAGGTGGCTTCTTCCCACTGACGCCATCGCCGATGGCGCAACAACTTCGGCCTGTTTCCTTTTGTTCGTCGGAGTTTTTGGCCAAGTGGTCCCTGGAGGGTCTGGGAAAGGGTTGCCCGGGATGGGGGGGGGGTTTCGGGATCCTTTGCCAAGTGGTCCCTGGAGGATCTGGGAAAGGGCTGCACGGGAAGGGGGGGGGGTTTCGGGATCCTTTGCCAAGTGGTCCCTGGAGGATCTGGGAAAGGGCTGCACGGGAAGGGGGGTTTCGGGGTTTCTGGCCGAGGGGTCCCTGGAGGGTCTGGGAAAGGGTGCACGGGGGTTTCGGGATCCATTGCCAAGTGGTCCCTGGAGGATCTGGGAAAGGGCTGCACGGGGGGTTTCGGGATTCCTGGTCAAGTGGTCCCTGGAGGGTCTGGGAAAAGGTTGCACGGGGTGGGGGGTTTCGGGGTTTCTGGCCGAGGGGTCCCTGGAGGGTTTGGGAAAAGGGTTGCACAAGGGGGGTTTCGGGATTCCTGGCCAAGTGGTCCCTGGAGGGTCTGGGACGGGTGGTTCAGAGTGTAATTTTCGCATATATTCTCATCAAAGTGATCACTCGAGAAGCTACAAGTGGCCAGTTCAGGGATGTAGAAATGACCTTCTAGGAATTTTTAAAATTCTTTTTAGGGAAGATTTTTTTGAGAATGTTACTCCAGTACACCGCTTTCATCTTTTAAATTTTTTCCCGAGTCAAAAAATTACATAAAGTTCAGTAAACTTACTAGAACCCTTGAGTGATTACTTGATGGTAAGAGTCAATCTCTTAAATGGCCACTTGAAATTTTCAAAAACTCCTGAAGTGACCACTTAAACCCGACGAGTTCCAGAGCTTTTTGGCCACTCAAGGGAACACTTGAAATTTTGACATTTCTTTCAAAAAGTGGCAATTAACAACACAAAAAGATATCAATAGAGATATTTTAATCAAATTTCGAGGTAACCTACTTTTTGGCCACTTAAGAGATCACTAGAATTTTCGCAATCTTCTGAAAAAATCTCAAGCTGACCACGCCAAATAACCGGAATCCAATAAAACCAGGAAAAAGTTCAACTCATTTCTTGTCATTTCACAAAAACCCTCAAATCAAATGGTCGTAGTTTACGGACGTCCTCGCGGCTACGGTTACGGATACGGTTACGGTCATGGCTACGGTTACGGTTACGCTAGACCGGCGATCGTGGCCCCGGTTGTGGTCCATCGGCCATTCTACTACCCGATCTACGCCCCAGTTCATGTCCCCCTGGTTCCCTATGCTGTCCCCGTGGTTTGTCTTGAAATTCCTGTTATTCCCGGGCAAAATGGTGCCAAATTCAACAATAAGGGGTATTAAAAAATCCCTAGAAGACTAGATTAGGGCAAAATTAACTACAGGAGACGTCTAGATTTTTCTTCTCGCAACTTCTCCCCAAATTTCAGTACGGCATCCTTCTCGGACTCCTTGGAATGCTCCTATTCTTCTGTTTCTGCGGTTTCCTAATTATTTTAATGCGACGGCAAGAGGAGCAGCAATATGGTTAGTGATCTGAAAAAAATATTATTCAATATAAAGTCGAAAAAAATAAAAAGAATAAAATCGACATATGCGTATAAATAAGTATAAATGAACAAGCGATTCATTCTTAATGATATATTGATGGGAAAGAAGTGAAAAGGTTAATAAAAAAAGGAAAAAAATTGTGAAGTAATTTTTTTCTCAGGCGAGCGCGTCTGATTTGTACGAAGCTCCAGTAGAACGCTTTTAAGAATTTTTTTAAAAAGTTTTTTTCTTTTTTTAAAAAAAAGCTTTTTCTATTTTTTTAATTTTTGTTTTTCTTTTTTTCGCTTTGCTTTAAAAGCAACAATAAAAGTTAGGAATTTTTTATGAATCTTCGCGTTTGCATTCATCTTCATTATTTCGTTAAATTTCGACTTTTCAGTGATACAACAAGAACCAACCGCCGTATATGTTGATCAGCAACAGCCTTCCCCCGTTCCGGTGCCGACCGAAGACCAGAAAAATCCCTCAAAAGCATCAAAACTAAATTCGCCACAATCGAAAAAGCCAAACACGAAAGGGAAATCTGCGGAACCTACTTCCGCGGGAGGCCCACGGCAGCAACGAGTTGTGGCGGCTCCGCAACAAAGGATGTATGTTTTTTCTTTTAAATACTGAGCAGAGTCCTTTGTTGCTTCTTTTTGGTTGTAAATTGATTCACAAAAAATACTTTTTTTTAATAAAAAAGAATCAAATGTTTAGAGTTCAACAACCGGCGCCGGTTATCGTCCAAGACCCGTACCCAATTTATCCAGCCCCAGTTTTTGTTCCAATGGTGGAACCAGTCGTCTACGTCGATCCTGTTTACGCCTACGATTGTGATCCCGTTATTATCCTTTGATTTCACCAATTTCTGAGGACTTTTTGGACTCTTCAACAGTTTTGTCTCTTTTTTTATCCAGCCGATAAATTCGTATTTTGATTTGTGTCGAATTACATTAATTTGAACACGAAAAGCATGTTTCAGCTTCTTCTCTATACAAATAAAACTTCACCTATACAAAACACACTATCAAAGACAAGCCTATTGGCTCGCCCACGCGACCGGCGTTCTCGTTGACTGCTTGGCGCAATGGTAGCGCGTTCGACTCCAGATCGAAAGGTTGGGCGTTCGATCCGCTCAGTGGTCAGAACTTTTTTGCCATTTTTCTCGCAGTCTTTTTTGATTCGTTTCTGAAGTTTTTAAGCCTTAAAAGGCTTAAAAATTCATGGAAACTAGAATTTATGTAACTTTTCATCACATAGTTTGAAAACGAGGTTTTATAGGACGTTTAAAAAAGATTTGGAAGCTTCAGACTTCTATAATAACGTCAGACTTCTATAATAATAAGTTATATAACTCAGTCGGAAAAGAGGAAGGTCAAAATCCCTTATAACCAAAAAAATATATATTTTTCATGGATGAATTTTTTTCTTAAAGACCAGAATTCATGCCACAGCTACGCAAAAAGAGTAATATGGGCGATAACTGCCATTGGGAATCAGCATGACTGCTTGGCGCAATGGTAGCGCGTTCGACTCCAGATCGAAAGGTTGGGCGTTCGATCCGCTCAGTGGTCAAAACTTTTTTTTGCCGTTTCTCATTGCATCTCAAAACTTCATTATCTCAAAGAAAAGAAGAAGAAAATCGCTTTCATTCAATTCTTCCATTCTGAAAATAAGTAATTTTGATGGAAGATCGAAAAAAAGCAACTTCGGTATTCTCGGAGGGAAAGCCGGCCTCGCCGAGCGAGATAGGTGCATTCGAGTATTTAATTTGATATCTTATAATTGGTTTGTAATGTTTATCTGCATTCTCATCCAACTCGACTGAAGGCTCACTAAACAGCAGTTGAGTGTTGAAACTTCCTGAAAAACGGAAACGAAAAATATAAACAAATTGATGAACCGACCCAGTTTACGTTGAAAATAAATTGTAAAAAATCCAATTGAAAGTTGAACTACTATGGAGCCGATGAACAACAATGTTATCAAGCCGACCAATACGACAATGACCAACTGTAAAAAGCCGAATAAAAAGAAGTTCCTTGATGAGCTTTTTCACTAATTTTATCGATCCTCGCTCGAGTCCAAAAGTCGGGAAATATTCGAAACTCACCGCGTAAAACTCAGGGACTTTATGAGGGACACCGAAAGCCAGGAAAGGTCGGAAGCAGAAAATCAAGGGTTCTTCGGGATTGCAAGGTTTGGATTCCAAGGGCCAGACCATTTTAGACATTGATTTTGGTTAGCAATGAAGAAATTAGTGAACTATTTATTTACAAGGATAAAACAACGTGTCAAAGATTCGTTTTGGTTATTTTCGGGGTCAGGACGTTTCCAGGAGTGTGACCGTTGGGGGTCAGCTCACCATTGTGCGTTGAGAGCTTTTTTCGAGATCGGTGGTCGGAGAACTGGAAAAGATTCGAATAATGGAAAAAAAGGAAAAAAAAAGTTAGAGGGGCTGTTTTGGATCTTGAAATTTGGTTAGAGAGGTTTCGACCCTGCCGAAATTGGTCATGAGATTTCAAAAATATTTAGGCGCTGCTTAAAACATTTAGGCGCTGCTTAAAATATTTAGGCGCTGCCAAAAATGTTAAGGCGCTGCTTAAAATATTTAGGCGCTGCTTCAAATATTGAGGCGCTGCTTAAAATATTGAGGCGCTGCCAAAAACATATAGGCGCTGCTTAAAATATTTAGGCGCTGCTTAAAACATTTAGGCGCTGCTTAAAATATTTAGGCGCTGCTTAAAATATTTAGGCGCTGCTGAACAGAAGTTCGGTCAACATCAAGGGAACACTAAAGAGGCGCGCAAATAAATTTCAAATTTCCTCAACATTCTCAGAACCGTCCGGTAGGAAAGAGCTAAATCCAGGAATCGAATAATTAGAAAAAAAATGCCAAAAAACCAACCTTATTGAGGTTCAGGGCGAACCTCAGCTCGTAGAGCAACTCGTCAAGGAATGGCTTCTAAATTGCAAGATCAACATCAAATCGTGTAATTGTTTTCAAACATTCTCCTTCTTGGAAATGTGATAGCATCTGTAGATGAGCTCAAAGATGACGACGACGACGGCGATGAGGATTCCGACGATCAACGTGATGAAAAGGCCGGCGACGTTGTAGATGCTCAGGGCGAAGCGGTCTTGTTTCACAGAAGACGTCGTGCCGGCGCAAGTGGCTCCCCTGAAAAAGTGGATTTTTAGTCCATTCTCTGAAAGTCGCTCAAAGACATAAAGGGTGCCATTTTTACTAGAAAAAAAAAACCAACTTGCTCCTCCACCATTTCGTCTTTTTCATCTCAATGATTCCCCGTTTTGCATAGAGCAAAATTTGTCTCGAAATCCGGTCGGTCCACTCCGATTCTGAAACAAAAATTTAAAATTGTATTATTTTTTGTGAGAACTTTTCTGTAAGGCGATTCCATAGCCCTTTGAGCCCAAGACCCCTCCAATTTGGGTAAGATTACAATTTTGCTGAACTTCGTACTCCAGGGAAGTCGATTCCATGAGGTAGGCGTAGTTGCTACTGAAAATCAATCATTTTGAAATATTTCAAGTCTCAGGTAATATAGTCCGCCCGCCGCTACTTGACAGTTTTCGCGTGTCTGCGTCTCTCTGTTCCCTCACCGGAGAGGTCAGAAAAAGTAAACATGATAGAGACCTCGAGAGATAAGGAGGGCGCAGAGAGTCGCGAAAAACGGACTATAATGAAACTTATGAATCGATTCAGGACCACCAGAAATATTTTTTTCTGCTGATTTTGAATTATTAGTCTAATTTTATAGATGAGAAAAAAGCGCTAGAAACCAAAAAAAAGGCCACCGAACCAGTTTCTTTTTTGGAATGTCTATTGCAGCTCTCAAAAAATCCTAACTCAAAAAAAAAATGCAATACTCATTTTTCATTTTTCATAACGACCGGGATCATTTCCATAATAAGAATGAACTAAAAAATTGGTATATTTTAATTTTTCATCATTTTTTCCCGCCTTACCCTCAATTTTTTGGATTCAGATTCATAATCAGCGTGAAAAAATACACTATATCGTACTCAAAATTCGTAAATATTCACCTCAAAACCCTCTCAACGCCCTTTCCGTTGCTCGTCACAAAAACGTCCTTATCTTTCATGTATTCCCACATTTTTATATGGGTTTGGATTCTTGACTCCTAAATTTCTTCATCATCACTAGCTTTGAAAAATGAATCACCTGGAAAAACTGCATAGTGCTCCCGCCACGAATAGTACCGTAGGAAATGGCGGTTTGATTGGCCAAATCGTCAAGGTTTTTGATGGGGATGTAAGGCCGGGAAACGGTCAGGACGGCGGCCAGGTTGGCCGTGTAGGCTGAGATAATGACCAGGTAGAATACCCACCAGGTTCCTAACAGTTCAGAAACTCATAAAAATCGATTACTTCCTCCAGAACCTCCCAAAAGTCGCGTAGAAACAGCACGAGGCCCAAAATCACAGCCCCCTTTGAGCATCGTGCTCAAAACATACCTGGAAAACTTTTCATGGTTGCTTTTTTTTTGATTAAAACAAACCAAACAGTGTTCCAGAAACTATAATTATTGGACATGGCGATTGGAGCATCGGTGGCGGAAAAAGCGGCAGCCGGGTGAGGTTCATGGGCGGTACAACAGGAGAAATTGAGATTCCATTCATAGGGAGTTATATTAGCCACCACGTACATCCCGACAGTTACCGTTACTGTAAAAAGTCGTTAAAAAGGCGCTCAAAATCTAGAAAAAACTGTTCTTTTTGGATAAAACATCTATAGTCTGTTCAAATTTTGAATGGCAAGTCTTCTTTCAAACTCCGCCCCTAATTGGCTGATAAACCAGTCAGAGAGCGAGCCACACACATAGCGTTTTCCAATGACGTCATTGTACTTGACATTCAAGGTCTAAACAGACTTATGACAAGCTACCAAGAGATGAACTACTTGGGGCCACCAGAGTGGTCCCTAAAGGGGCAATCTTCGGGGAGCATTTTGCCTCCCTCTATAGGGGCCACTAAAGCTTGCAAAAAAGACCTGCAAAAATCTCTAGTGGCCATTTAAGAGGTTCCTCAAGGAGAGGGCTCTAAAGTGATTACTGAACCACTTCTACATATAAAAGTCACTACTTTGCGTTTTAGTGGCCATTATAGTAGTTTTAAGTGGCCAAAAAAAAACCTTGAAACCCTAAAGTGGCCACTCGAAAATCTGCCAGTATCTGAAGAAAGATCGTCTTATTATATTTTTTGACGATTTTTAAAAAATCTGTCTGAACTCTTTTTGATATCTCTGATATCCCCAGCCTGTAAAACTTCTCAATTTTTTAAAAATAAGTTGTCAAAATTTCCAATTTTTTCTGAGCTTTTCGTTGAGATTTTTCGGACTAAATTTATTTTCAAGTACTTTATCTAGTATATTGAAAAGTGATCATTAATCGAAAAAGTTCATAAAAAAATTTTTTTCACCAATAGCCGTCCCAATCGCCACCCAAATCTGCCAAGACAAAGGATTCAGGAAAGAAAAATAGGTCCGGTTGTTGATCGTCAGGCACCTGGAAAAATTCCAATTTTTATTTATTGAAAAAAAAATGAAACCTTATAAAGAATACTAATTCCGAGGGACAAAAACGGTTTGGTAAAATCGACGACTTCTGATCTCCGGAAATTGACCGTAAGTGGGGCGACGGCCATTTCGGCCTCCTGGAAAAAAAACTTGAATTTCTGGCTTCTCTGTGCCCTCTCATTTTTGAATTCTATTTACATCTCTCGACAGCAAGAGGAAAGAGAGCGGAGACAGGTCAGAATATTTTTCAATCAAAAAAAAAGTCTCACCCCTCTCAGAATCTCGCCAATCATCCCATCCCAAGTTCCATTCCCAAAATTGTCATTTCCGTATTTTCCATCTCTAACTGCGTGAACTGTGTAGGTGAAACCTTAAAAAAATTTTTTTTGATCTTATTTTTTGGTAAAACCTAGATCTTTGGACAGCTCAGCCAGTAAATCAATACAAAACCCTTCGAATTTCGAATTCGCATCCAACTCGTAGTGGTTTTTCTTCAACATGACGTATGGGCGCTCCTGAAACAAGAAATCAAAAAAATGCAATAAAAATCTCCTCAAGCGGATTTGAAACCGCGTCGCTTACTTTGAAGACAGTTATGCAAACCACTAAACCAGAAGCTAACAAAAATGAAAACTTCATGTCGCTCTTTCCCTTCATGTAATCCAAGCTTAGGCGGTGATAAGTCCAGATCTGGCGCCAGAAACCGCATCAGCGTTCGTGGTGTAATGGTCAGCATGGATGCCTTCCAAGCATTCGACGGGGGTTCGATTCCCCCCGAACGCAGAACTCTTTTTGCCATTTTTCATTGCCATCAAAATCTCTTGTAAGCTCTCAATAAAGCAAGGGAAAGTTTTAAATGACCAATTTTTTCAATTGCTTAATATTTTAAAATATTTTAATAAATTCTAAAAATGCTTACCATGATAGTAGTGACTCGAAAATGGGGCTTCAACTCGTCGGAAACTTGAACATTCCTTTGAAGTTGAGCTTTCGAGTCGCCGGACATGTTGACGTGGACATTGGTAGCTGGTTCCCAGAATCCAATCTGATTTGAAATTTTAAAAATTCATTTTAGAATAGTCTGATTTCTCTGCGTTCTCTCGTCTTTCCATGCTACTTTCAGGGTTCTACGACCTAGACGGTGAATGAAAAGAGAGCGTAGACAGGTCAGAGTGTCATTCAAGTCTTACATCTTCCAGTCTGCCGCTGTAGCCAAGAAGGTGGATTCTCATCGAGAAGTTGCTCTTCAACGGGTGTCCGTTAAGCCTTCGCAAGTCTCCGCTCAAACCATGCAGATTCTGAGACAGTTTTAAAGTTCAGACGTTTATTTATTTCTGCGGAGAGCTTACATTATGAACTAGTCCATTAATAATTGACCGCCCGTGTTGATATTTCCTGGCACTATGAGTGGGCCTACGACAACTCGTCTGTGGTGCGTCGTGCATCTGAATAAGTGGTCCCTCAAGTGAACAAACTTTGAAGACTGCAACTTTTGAGAAGGCGAACAACAAAATGAAGAAAAACTCAAACTTTATAATACCTCTTAAAGTGACCAACTTGGTCAGTTAAGTGAGAAGAAAATCTGGTTTTCAAACGAGATAGAAATACCTGCATGACATTGGACAGATCAGCGAAGACGTTGGCAAACGCGTAAACTGCATCAAAGGTGAAAACAGCTTCCATCTGAACTTTCTCGATTTCTTCATCCTCATCAAAGTTTCGTTCATAACCATTTTCAAGTTTTTACTGTTTTCAGTCTTTGAGGCCCAGGTGTCCGAAATGTGCTCCTTAAAGTGGGTGAAGTTGAAGGCGTCGCGATTTTCTGTGAGCCAGTTGGCGTCGACCGGATAAGGAGAGATAAACCGGGCATGATTGTACCGGAACAATTCCATGTTCATCGTCGACAGTTCCTGAAGACTTTTTTGAAACTTGCAGCTCTCAAAAGCCCGGAAGCCCGGAAGCCCAAAAGATCCTTCTTACCAGAGAAAACCAAAAAAAACTTCGAAGATTTTAAAAACAACCTCCCAGGAAGAACTTCCCAGAAAGCAGCTCCCAGGAAGCAGCGCCCAAGAAGCAGCGCCCGAAAAGCAGCTCCCAGGAAGCAGCTCCCAGAAAGCAGCGCCCAGTAAGCAGCGCCCAGTAAGCAGCGCCCAGAAAGCAGCGCCCAGGAAGAACTTCCCAGAAAGCAGCTCCCAAGAAGCAGCGCCCAGTAAGCAGCGCCCAGTAAGCAGCGCCCAGTAAGCAGCTCCCAGAAAGCAGCGCCCAGTAAGCAGCGCCCAGTAAACAGCGCCCAGTAAGCAGCGCCCAGTAAGCAGCGCCCAGTAAGCAGCGCCCAGTAAGCAGCGCCCAGAAAGCAGCTCCCAGTAAGCAGCGCCCAGTAAGCAGCGCCCAAAAAGCAGCTCCCAGTAAGCAGCGCCCAAAAAGCAGCTCCCAGTAAGCAGCGCCCAGAAAGCAGCGCCCAAAAAGCAGCTCCCAGGAAGCAGCGCCCAGTAAGCAGCGCCCAGAAAGCAGCGCCCAGTAAGCAGCGCCCAGAAAGCAGCTCCCAAAAAGCAGCTCCCAAAAAGCAGATCCCAGTAAGCAGCGCCCAGAAAGCAGCCCCCAAGAAGCAGTGCCCAAAAAGCAGCTCCCAAAAAGCAGCTCCCAGTAAGCGGCGCCCAGTAAGCAGCGCCCAGAAAGCAGCTCCCAGAATGCAGCGCCCAAAAAGCAGCTCCCAAAAAGCAGCTCCCAGATTTTAATCTAAAAACCTAAAGATAGGGACCGCAAAGCCACGCCCCTTTTCGCGATAGAAAAAGTGGCTTTTTTTTGGTTTTCAACTTTCATTTTGTTGTAGTTGTAAAATATGTGGAACTGGCGAATAAAATTTGACACACATGTACAGAAAAAGCTTCCTCTTTCGTTTAAAAAAATATTTCACGCTTTTTTTGATGCGTTCTCGCGGAATGTCGTACAAAAAAACGTGAATGGAACTAAAAAAATTTTTGTCGTTTTTTTGCTTTTTTTCATGTGTTTTTAGGTCGAACGCACTCTTTCTTTTTTTAAATAATGATTTTTGATTCAAGTAACGGTAATTTTTAAAACAATAAAATAAAAAAATTCGTCTTTGCCAAAAAAATTTTTAGGGAGCGCCGAAAGTCATAATTCAAAATATCGTTAATAAGCGAATATAATCGAGTTTTTTTGTTTTTTTCAAAAATTTAGACCATGGTCTTACTTAAATTTTTTTCTCCACAGCACCTGTGCTTGAAAAAAAGTTGTTTAATACGCAAAAAAATGCTCTTGAAACTAGAGAAAAAAATTAGCGGCGTTTATCACACAGAAAGCGGTCGAACGCAGGTTTTTTTCAAACGATTATATACATTTATTAGTAAAAAAATCTTTCAATTAAAAGAATAAAAATAAAAAAAATTCGTCTTTGCCAAAAAAATTTACGGGGCCGTTTTTAATGCAGCGATCGTTAAACGAGGCAAAAAGCACTAAAAAAACAGTTTTTTTCGAAGTGAATTTCCACGAAACGTTTGAGTAAAGATTTGCGAACATATTCTGATAAAAAAATAGCTAAATTACTTCAAGTTTTTTTATTTTTTTGAAATAGGCAATCTGTGCTATTCAAACGGCTCAAGGGTATGGCGGATGGAAGCTCCCCGCGTTGGACCTAACAGCTTGGCGCAACGCGTGCGCTCCGATTTTACATTTTGAGGTCGCGAGTTCGATGCCCGCAAGCGCCAGTTTTTTGTTTTCTGGAAAATACCGACTTTTTCGGCAAACTAGCTGATTAGCATCATTTCAGCACTCTATTATGATTTGTTACATCATAATAGACCAGTATCAAAACTTGTTCTAGAAGAAAAATCGAGAAAAATGTCAAAAATGGAAATACCAAATTTTCAGTACTAAAAACATGGTGCGCGGCGCGCCACCTTTTCCGTCATAACTTTTTTCATCCTCAATCTTTTTTGAAAAACTAAACGGTTCTGAGTTTTGAATCGAAACAGCTATCGAACCATACAAAGCTCAATGCTGAAAAAATTTTTTTGAAAATTCGTCTGCGGTCCCTACCTAAAGACTTACCATGTTCGTCAACAAGAACCAATGCTTCAACTCGATGAGACCCATTTGCAGCGCCTAAAATTTTTTTTTCAATTTTCTCAAATATACTACCGCCAAAAGAAAATTGTTGGTTTGTTCCGGGTTCAAATCAAGTAATAATCTGCTGAATTCAGGGCAGTCTTTCCGGTGCAAAACACGACATTCCTCCAATTCTTTGACCTTCAAAAATCGTTTTTAACTTGGAAAGATTAATTTCAGAAGGACCTCCCGGGCGGCTGTTAAATAATTTCCTTCTTGGACTTTGATCAAATAAAAACGTATTGTAGAATATTGCTCACTTTCTAGGAGCTGTTCGAGTCTTCTTATCCCTGAAAATGTCAATTTTTAGGAGTTATCTAATGAAAATTGTCAGAAACGGGCATTTCCGACATTTTGAAACTAAAACCGTCTTGAGAAAATGGTTAATCAAAAGGTTCGGAAATTAGAAGGAAAGAAAAAAAACCCTTCATGTTACCGGGAAGCATTAGCGGCGATATGTCCAAATCTGGCGCCAGGAACTGCATCAGCGTTCGTGGTGTAATGGTCAGCATGGATGCCTTCCAAGAATTCGACGGGGGTTCGATTCCCCCCGAACGCAGAACCTTTTTTGCCATTTTTTTCCTTTTTGAAAATTGATAGTTCTAATCGTCTCAGTGCGAATTTGGGCAGTTCACCAGCCGTTTTTTAACTTTTAATCGTCTTTCTCTACCTTTAAAACTCTTGAGAAAAATAAGAAAACCAACTCTCATCATCCTCGTAGACCAAAACGATCCGGTTCCATTTCCAATGGGTGAAAAGGTCTACGACGGCTTCGAAAAGTTGGGGCCTTGGGAAAAAGTCGATTTTCGTTGTGCCCAAGCGCGTGTCCAAGTCGTCGGTGGCTGTTAAGAGAGGAATATCCAACTGAAAGATTTTTTTATATTTTCAATTGAATATTATATTCCAAACCTCATCAGTCAATCTCTCTAATTGAGAGTTCAAGGCGGCATGGGATCCCCCGACCAAGGCGATCACGTCCTTCTTGCCGACCATCGCGCAAGCTTAAAATATTTATTTACTTCGTAATACAAACTCTGGAGTTCTTAGAATCAGTAAAATCGAAAGTCATTTCAAACAAACCCTTTTTGAGCGCATCGTAATGGTCCAAAACTGTTATATGCTCGATCAACAAGTCGATTTCGCCGTAAATTCCTCGTTGGGTGAGCCATTCCGCGGCATATCTCAAAGCTGCCTCGATATGAGCGTCTTCTTTTTCTCGCAATATAGCTCCTGTAAACATTCGTGAATTCAAAAAAAAGAATCGAGAACTTTTGCAGTACTTGGACTTGTCCAAAGTCAGTCTGGGTTCTCTTTCGGAAAAAAATCCAAAAACTTTTTCTTGTACTTTTTACAATTTTCATGTATTCTTGCATTTAAGGTTGCTCAATAAATATAAATTTGACTAGAAATTAAAAAAACAACCGACTTTGGTCATCTTTTAGAATATTAGTTGGGCTGGTTCAAAACGCTTTTTTGAAAAAAAAAATTTTTTTCCCAACTTTTTTTGAAGCATTTGCTTGTTCAGAGTTTTTGCGCTGATTTCAAAAAAATAAAAAAATATATCGCTTTTTAAGATCTGCTCTTTTTTTAAAGCTCTTTTAGAAAATCGGAAAATTTTCATTTTCCTGAAACTCCAAAGCTTCAACCTGTGCGAAATTTTCCGCCAAATCCAAAAATTTAAATCTTAACTTCCAATTCAAAAAACTAACGCCGTTGAATGATTTTCTGTATAATTCTACTTGGCAAAATACGATTTTGAGAGCCTTATTTTGCGTTATTTTCGAGTTTTACTACGGTTTTGCTTATTAATTTGCTTGAAACATTTTCTTTTCGATAAAAATGTGCTTTTGGTGTTTCTAAAGCGTACTGAAAGCGTTCTGACAAGCATTAAAAAAAGCGCGACATCGCGCGCGGCACTTTGCCGCCGCCTCTTCCGGTCCAACACTCAAAAAGTGACACCTAACCAGGGATATTTCTCTAGTTGGCCAAATAGGATTATGTTCTGGTCGACTTCTGAATGAGAATAGGTCCACTAGATCAGGGTAGTTCGAGGTGTGCCTTTTTGAGGTCTGGAACCGCAAAGAAACGATTTTCGAAATGCATATTTATCAGCGGGACGTAAGGATATTTGGTAATTCAAACCAGCTTCTTGAGGCCAAAATGACAATAATTAAGAATAAGTAAGAAACTCAATAGTCCGAGTTCAAAATTTCGAGTCAAAAGCGCTCAAATAAATCCAAAATTTTCAATTTGTTTGAGAAAATCGCTATATCGTTCCTGCTCAAATTTGTTTAGGCTCGCGAAATTTTCATATCTCGCCTAGTTATTCAACATGAATGGATCATCAAGTTAGAACTAGCCGAAATTGCTTTGAAAATGGATTTGAACTGAAAAAAAAATGGCGAGTGCGATGGAGCAGCTTGGAAGCTTCTCCGATTTTGATCAAATCAAATTTTTTTCATTTTCTTCATTTTATTGTTTTTTTATTTTTTTGTTCATGTTTTTAAATAAAGTTTTTATACTTTGCTGATCAGTTGAAATATTGCGGTGCCAACTTGGCGTTCCTTCTATCTTTTCAAAACTCAAATTAGGCTTATTTTTTTGAGGGAAAAATATTTTTTTTTCTAGATACTTTGTCCTTTGAATATGTTTCTACAGACCAATTTTGTAGGGATGACCGAGAACTTCATTCAAAACAAGGAATATTGCGACTATCTTCTTCATAATCTCTTCACACGTTGGAACGTCATTTCACCTGAAAAAGAAATCCGAAAATTGACGCCGTCATTTTCATTTTTCTTTGTCGTCTCGAAATGAAGTTTTTGAAGCGATTGAAGAAGATTATAAGCGGTGAAAAGAAGAAGAAGGGAGAGAAGAGCGTTCAGAAGGAAGAATGTGAAACGACAACAAAAGAAGAAAGTTAGTTTTCTATTACATTTTCTATTATTTTTAGAGATTGAGCCCCAAAGAGTGGATGAAGATTCTGAAAAAAGCGATGCGAGGGAATTTTGAGATCCAAAAGGAAAAAGAAATGGGAAGTCCGAGATTGGTTGGGAGGATAAAGAGGGCAAAACGAGCAGCTTCTTGAAGGTGCCTTCGGCTGCCCTCCGCGCACGCCGCGCACAATTGAATCTTTGAGTTGGTTGAGAAGTTTCCGCTTCAGAACTTACTCGGGTTGAATTTTAAATTATTTATGAATTGGAAATGTGGGTCTACCTGTTCCTTCCACCATTTCTTTCATCAAATTTTGGAAATTTTCAAGTTTAGAGTCATTTTTTCACGAGAAAAAAGTCGCAATTGACAGAAGTTTTTGAAAAGTTCTGTTTCCCTGACTTCTTCAACTTTAAAAGTCTATAACTTTTTTCGAAGACTTCCACGGCATTTTTCGTACACAGATTCGGAATAAGCGTAAAAAACTGCATCGGATAAATTAGCCTTTGTAAGAAATCCCCCATTAGTTTTAAGTTGAAAAAAATCGAAAAACTCAATATCAAAAATAATTGAAAAAAAATTAATTATACGCCTAAAAATAATACAAGTGAATTTGGAAGTCTAGATTTTGGGCGTTAATGTGTAAATTTGGAACATTAAAAGAAAGATGCGGGAGAAAATTCCGATATTTTTCACCAGACACGCATATCGAAATCATATTTGTGGTGCTGAAGGAAACTCGTTAGAGCCCGCCTTTTTTTCCATTTTTTTGAATCCTTTCCAAATATTTTTTTACCTAATTCAGGAACATCATTAAGTTATATTAATATAACAGTTTGAAGATCCAATTTTACTCTACGAAAATTCCAAAAATGAGAAAAACCAAAGGGATATATGAGTAAAAGGCTACGGGAGAAAACGCGTTCGGCAAAAAAAAATGTGAAAATGTGAAAAATGTGGCAGAAGACATGCTTTTCTCTAGCCTAGTTTTTCATTCACAGTGGAGACGCACATTTCGATGTGAATGACTTGTTCTGGCTTTGAAATTATGAACGCGGCAAAAAAGAATGGAAATTGGCTCACATTTTAGCCGCTTTCTAAGTGGTTTTTTCAAAATTTGAGAGCTTATTCTAGAAAATATTGGTTTGTAGCATTGAACACTAACTTATAATGGTATTATCATCATTATAATAAAAATGTTTTTCATCATTTTCTGTTTAATTTATGAAAAACGCGACATTCGAATATTTATACCGAATATTTTAAATTTTCGTCTTCTAATTTTTGTCCTGATTTTCATTTCATGTATTGCTTTAGAGTAACTTGTTCTTTCTCCTCATAAGACGCTTGTAAACTAGCTTAGCTTACAGTAACCTCAAGAATTTTCGGAGTATGCAGGGTTTCGTGCAGACGTCGGCGGCCAAAACACCACGGACAAAAATAATTTTTTGTCGCTTTTTAATCCTCTATCTTTCTTTCTTTCAGTTTTGAGGGCATTTTCTCATTTTGCAACTATTTCAGCCATGGAATTTGGGTCGGAGGCCGAGGCGAATAGTTCGAAAGCCGGCGGACCGCCAACAGTCACTGGCTTGTCCCCAAATGAAGGTTTTCTTAAATTAAAATTTTTCATTTATTTCAGTTATTTTCTGTAATATTCTAATTTTATCTGTGTTAAGGATCGCCTGGAACACAAGTCACGATTCGTGGCGAAAATTTGGGAATTGATCAGAATGACATTTTGATGTTGTTTATTTGCGGTACAGATTGCCTACCAACGGCGAGGTTATTTTTTTTCATTTTACTAATTTTTAGCTCAAAGATTGTTATGATTTTTTTCTTTCAAATTTTGTTTCAACATTTAAATCACAGCTTCAAACCGGTTACATTTTTATTCCGCTTTTTAACTATTTTTCGAAGCCAATTTTGAATTTCAGATGGAAATCCTCTTCAAAGATCGTTGCCCGAATAGGTCAGGCCAGCCGTGGGCTGGGCGATGTTCGGATTATGACCAAATCTGGCGGTCGCGGCGTTTCTCACGTCAAGTTTCGGTTAGTTTTTACTATTTTTTTTTTGTTTTCAGCGTTTTTTGATTCTTTTACTTCCATTTTATGTTGGCCAACAAGTTAAGCTACAGGTTTTTCAAAACTTTGTTGAGTTTTTCAGCAAACATGAACTAGTTAGGCATGTATGAGTATTTTTAAAGATACATATCGGGCCTTAGCTAACAAAAACAGTTTTTTTTTTCAAGTTTCATACTTCGCCATGATTATACCACGATTGCTGGAAGTATCGAGAGCTCAAGAAAATTAGGCGCTGCTTAAGAATTTTGAAAGCTGGATGAAAACTTCAGATTTTCATAGGCGCTGCTAATTTGATTTTCATAGGCGCTGCTTATTTGAACTGAGATTTTAGGCGCTGCTTATTTGAACTAGGGTTTTAGGCGCTGCTTATTCGAACTGAGCTTTAAGGCGCTGCTTATTCGAACTGAGTTTCTAGGCGCTGCTTATTCGAACTGAGGTTCTAGGCGCTGCTGATTTGAACTGAGCTTTAAGGCGCTGCTTATTCGAACTGAACTTCTAGGCGCTGCTTATTTGAACTAGGGTTTTAGGCGCTGCTTATTCGAACTGAGCTTGTAGGCGCTGCTTATTAGAACTGAGATTTTAGGCGCTGCTTATTCGAACTGAACTTTTAGGCGCTGCTTATTCGAACTGAGCTCCTAGGCGCTGCTTATTCGAACTGAACTTTTAGGCGCTGCTTATTCGAACGGAGATGTACTGAATTTAATAGATCTTCATGTGTCTCTGTGCATAATACGTGATAGAAAAATCAATTTTTCAAAAATATGATTTTGAAAAAATATTATCCTGCTGAATGGATGAATAAAAGTTTGAATTTGAATATTTTAGAGTATTCATCCCTCAAATCGGCCCACTGGAAGAATCGGCAGTTTGGGTCGATGAATCGAGAACCGTTCCTGGCAGGGAGGTGGGTTTTTGTTCATTGTCCCAATTTTTTTTCTCAGTTTTTTGTATCAAAATTTCGTTTTTCAGCTATTCAGTACGTTATTTTTGTTTTTCTTTCACATCTTTTTTCATTTTCTATCTTTTTCAGTGTTAGATTTTCTTTAGAAATGAGCTCTCATTTTAGGCGATTCGAAGCGTTGCTCAAATTGCTGACGATCGTGACGCTCTCGGCCTCCTGCCAAATGGTCGCAAAATCGAAACGTCCGTCTTGATGCGCGATTTTCCGGACGCTTCAGGAAACCTGCGAATGGAGAATTTTTCCCCGCAATGGTATTTGCTGGAGAATCATGCCGATGCAACGTGCGTAAAGTTTTTTTGGCTTGAAGTTTCAAAGTCCTATAAAAGTCAGTGAAAACTGGAAAAATTCTAAATAGAATTAGAAAGCTGCTCTAAAAATTGATGCAGCTCTCAGAAAATAATGCAACTCTCAGAAAATAATGCAGCTCTCAAAACAAATACTAAAATCCATAAAAAGAGCATGAAAAAAGTCGAATTCGAGTAGAATCCCAACATTTTTAATAATTGAATTTCACTCCTTAATCTTTCTTTTTGCAAAAACAAAGGTTCAGAAAATTTTATTAACCTTATGATTTTTTAGAATCGGAGATCTCCGGGAGGCGATCAAAAATATGGAACTGGCCAAGAAAAATGACGCGAAACGAAGCGAAGAAATGCACAAGGTGATTGAAAAAATTTAATAGTTTGTTTTTCGATTTTTAAGTTCGGAAGGAATCTCAAACTAAAATTTGAGAAAATATTCGTATTATCCTTTTCGGGATACTGGTTAGGCCTCGAAATTAAAAAAATATAATCTTTAGTGGAGAAAATTAGGAAACTTCGTAACAATAATAAGAGCCAAAATGCACAATTTTTTTCCAGAGATTGTAGTTTTGATTGTTTTAAAATAAACTCTTGAAAAAAATTTAAAAAAATGAAAAAATGACGGCGTTTTCAATTTATCATTAGGCTACAAAATTTCCGTACATTTTCTGTTTTTTTAGTCTTTTTGCTTTTTCATCATGATCCTACATTTTGACTCGAATAAGGACTTTCAAAAAATTGAATTAGCGGTTTTTAAGGCTCAAGCTTTGAAAAAAATTGAAAAAGTTCCTTATTTTGAGAAGCCTTTCCACTACCAAAATTACTTGAACCTCTTGTCGCGGCCGGAATCGAACTTGTGACCCTTTGGACCATAGACAAGCAGACAACTTGTTGTGCTACGGCGCTTATTTTATGATAGTCAATTAAGAAAATGTGTAATTGAAGGCGAATTTGTACGCGCTGATCAGCTGCGTCGATACGTTGGCTCAGCTGCACACGGAACTGGAAAGGGGCGTGAAAGCCGGAGATTTTGCCGTCATGAACCAAATCGGCAAATTGGTTCTTTTTCCAGATCCTTTTTTGTATTCTTTCCATTCTTTTTTGGATCTCCGATTCGAAACAAAAGGCGGAGAGCGTTTTCGCGGACGTTTTGACCCGAAAAGACCAGGCCGACGCTACCCGAAATGCCCTCGGAATTATCATGCGCTTCAAATTCATCTTCTTCCTTTCTCATACCATCGATGAGAACATGAAAAAGGTTCTTTTCGAAAAAAAAATCCCATTAAAAATGGATTTTTTAGGGAGAATATGTGACCATTTTGAATGATTACACACGCGCAAAGTCCCTATATGGAAATACCGAAGTCCCTCTTTTTAAAGAAGGTTTTCCCGATTCCTTTCCTTTTTAAAAATTTCTATTTACAGTAATGGAAGAAGTCGACGCAAAAATGAGCCGTTTCAAAGAGGAAATGAAGCGAAAAATTAATCGACACTCCCTGTTTCTTACGAGGAACAAAGCAAATTGATCAAATATCTCAAGGTTCGGTGCTGTTTCATTATAAAATTGTATTGAATGATGTCTATTTTTTTATATTTTTAATTGTTCAAAAAGATTATTGGAGGTCTAATTTTTATAGTTTTTGAAGTGTTTTCAAGAGAATTTTTTGAAGTTTTGGTATTTTATTGATAAGAGCTCGAGGTTTTTCACTTTTTTTAGGTGATTTTTTTATTTTTTTGATAGTCGTTGAAGGGATTTAAGGTGGTTATACTGGAATTTTAAGAGGTTCTGAGCTGAAATTTTTTTAGAATTTTTTGAAGTTGGCTCTGATTTTCGCCCTATTAGGGAACGTTTTTTTGGCCACTGGTTGGAATTTTGATGAACTTGGATTATTTAAAGCCCTCCTGGTCCCACAAATATTAAAAATATTTCTTGCAATAGATGTATTTTTTTCAATTTAAAACATTTGAAAAAGTTTGAAAAAAAGCGCTTTTTTTGTAATATTTTTGCGTATTTTTTTCTAACTTCGAGCTTTCATAAATCGAAAAAAAGATTTTTTTCCGAAAAATTTTTTTATTTTTTTGGATTCAGAAGGTTTAGAAAATATTTATCAAAAATTTCAATGGGGGCCGAAAAAAATTTTCCAATGTTAGAAGGATTTGGGAGGGTTATATTGGTTAAAATTGTATAGGTTTTTGATATATTTTCAGTAACATTTTGGTTATATATTGATTAGAGAGCAAGAGTTTATGAATTTTTTTGAAAATTTCAAAGTAACTTTTTAATTTTTCCTGTCGATTTCCAGAAGGATTTATGAGTGTTATATTTGAATTTTTAAAGCCTTTTTGAGCTCCTTCGAATGGATTTTTGATTTTTTCATTGATTTTTTCCAGATCCTTGACCCGGAATCGGATCCGACTTGGGAATGTATCACATCGTACTATGTTTGGCTGGAGAAAGTTTTGTGGGATATGCAACGAGATTATTCCGTCAAAGCTCTTGGTTCATTAGTTTTCCGTTTCATTCGGCTTATAAAATGTCCTTTTTATAATCAATACCCAATTTTGTATGTATAGTTGTCTTTCTCGATCCATAACATTGATTTGAACACTTTTAGGGACGCCAGAGTGGTCCCTATAGGGATAAACTTAGGGCCTCTTGAAGAGTCCGCTTTAGGGACCACTTTACCTCCTCTAATAGGGACACTAAAACTTGCAAAAATGGCCTTTATAGGGGTAACCTTAGGCTCTCTTGAAGGGTCCACTTTAGGGGTCACTTTACCTCTCACAATGAGTTTATTGAAGCTTGCAAAAGGGACCCCTATAAGGACCCTAGGAAGGGGTCTTGAAGGGTCCCCTTTAGGGACCACTTAACATCTTCCTATAGGTAGCACTAAAGCTGGAAAAAGTGGTCCTTATAGGGGTAACATTAGGGTCCCTTGAAGAATCCTCTTTAGGGACCACTTCACCTCCCCCCCCAGGGGTACTGAAGCTTGCATAAATGGCCCCTATAGGGTAAACTTCTAGTCGTTTATTGTTATGACCTTAAGGGACCACTCTGAAGTTTCTAAGATTGTAATATTTTTTTCAGTGAAAGAACAAGACAAAAAGATGAACCAACAGAGCCAAAGCGATCGATTTGGATGTGAGTTTTTGGGGAAAAATGAATTTTCCAGTGCAATATCTTTCATTGAAATTTTGATGAATCCCCTATTTTCAGTAGTGGAAACGAATGAACGCCAAGAATTCGTGACTTCCCTCGTGACTTTGCTTCTGAACAAGCTGCCGGCCTTCTGGAAACTTGCCAACACCTACCATTCCCAAGACGAGAGGTGGACCCAGCGTCTCGAGGATATCAATGTTGATTTCAATTATTTTGAAATAATAACGTGAAAACTTCCAGCAAATGCTCACCAACGTGATAAACGTCTCGTCGTGGTTGATTCTGAACGCCCTCGTCCCGAAGGTTGGTGTTGAACAGGGTGAAGTTTCAGATTGCCATAGGTAAAATGAATCGTTTGAGGCGATGTTGAGGTTGCAAAATCAATTTTGACATGTTTCAGTGATACTTCAGGGCTAGAATTATTCGATAGGAAGCTGGAAAGTTTGTTAAAGGCGCAGGGCGGAGCTTAATTTTCCGTCGTTGTGAGACCCTCTTTGTTAGAGTTTACAGCGTTAAGGGCGTCAGAAGTTCTTTATAAAGCTATAAGAACATTAAAAGCACCCCGAATACTCTTCAAAGGCTCAGAGAGGAGCCAAAAATGAGGTTTTTAAAGGCGTAGGGTGAAGATTAAATTTTCGTCGTTGTGGGACCCTTTTTGCTATAATTTAAAGTGTTAAAAGTGTCAAAAGTGAACTTTAAAGCTAAAATTGAATGGGAAGCATTTAGAATACTTTTTGAAGGCTCAGGGAGGACAAAAAATGAGGTTTTTAAAGGCGCAGGGCGAAGCTTGATTTTCTGTCGTTTTGGGACCCTTTTTGTGCTATAATTTAAAGTGTTAAAAGTGTCAAAAGTGAACTTTAAAGCTAAAATTGAATGGGAAGCATTTAGAATACTTTTTTAAGGCTCAGGGAGGACAAAAAATGAGATTTTTAAAGGCGCAGGGCGAAGCTTGTTTTCTGTCGTTTTGGGACCATTTTTTGCTATCATTCACAGCGTTAAGCGCGGCAAGAGCTTTTTTCAAAGCTATAATTGAATGGGAAGCATTTAGAATACTTTTTGAAGGCTCAAGGAGGAAAAAAACCGTGATTTTTTAAGGCGCAACGCGGAGCTTGGTTTCGCGTCGTTGTGGGACCCTCTTTGCTAGATTTTACAGCGTTAAGAAGGTCAAAAGTGTACTTTGAATCTATGATTACATCGAAAGCACCTAGAAAGTTTCTGAAAGACGCATGGAGGAGCCAAAAAGGAGGTTTTTAAAGGCGCAGGGCGAAGCTTGATTTTCTGTCGTTGTGGGACCCTTTTTGTGCTATAATTTACAGGGTTAAGGGCGTCAAAAGTTTATTTTAGAGCTCGAAGTACATTTCAAGCACCTAGAATACTCTTCAAAGGCACAGGGAGGAGCCAAAACTAAGGTTTTTAAAGGCGCATGGCGGAGCTAGATTTTTAGTCTTTCTGGGGCCCTTCTTGCTATAATTCACAGCGTTAAGCGCGCCAAAAGTCGGGAAGAATATTTTGAAACAAAAATCAAATTATCTGCACTCAAAAGACTTTTAAAGGCGCAGGGCGGAGCCAAAACTGAGTCATTCAAAGGCGCATGCGGAGCTTAGATTTCTGTCGCCGTGACACCCTTTTTGCTATAATTTACCGCGTTAAAAGCGTCCGGAAGCTAGTATTTAAAATAAATCAGAATAAATTGAAATTTCAGGCTCTTCCCGACAACGTCTCCAAGCAGTACGGCGATGAATTTGCTCGTTGGCCAGAGATTTCGGCGAACGTTGGAAGGGGAAACCTTGTCCAGAGCTTGAAAACTACTAGGTAACCGTTTGAAGTGGTCTCTTTAGGGTTATTAGTTCAAATTACAGCTTGGAACTTCTTTTGAGATCATATTAACACTATTGGGGATCATGAAATTTCTTTCCAGCAGTTTTGATGATTTCATCGATTTAGATCACTGATATCGTCCTTATCGGAGCACCAGTTCACTGTTGCTCATGTTCAGCCCCTGGTCGAGCTCTGTATGACCGTCCGACTCAAGCTTATCTCTGACGTCATCGATAGGGGCGTCGAGGGTGAGTACTATCATGTCATGTTTGCTCTATCGATAACTTTTGGGGCATATTACAGTATAGCCCCCCGCATATGTTGGATATAACCCCCCGCGACACGTTCGAACAAGCCCCCCACACTTATCCAATATAGCCCTCCGGAACTATCCAGTATAACCCCCCACACCGAAAAAAAGATCACGCAACGATCACGCAGGACACGTGTCGCAGGACCTTCCATTTTTTTAATTTATTTTTCTAATTTTTTTCGTATCATTCGTCGTTCTTGGTTGTTTCAAATGGTTTTTTGTATTTTTCGCATGTAAATTCGTGTTCTTTTTTTGTGAATTTAATAATTTTTTTGTGATTTGATTTGTAGATCATGGAAGAAATTAGGTCGCTGACCGAGTTTCATGAGAAGTTCAAGTCAGACAAAGAAGTTTACGGGTACGTCTCGCCGAGATACGTACGAATATCATAAAAAGTATGGGGCGCTGACCACTTAGAAAAAAATTTAAGATGAACTTTATTAGTTTTTCAATCAAGTAATTGTTCTGAGGAATAGAATTTTTTTGCTTTTTTTCTTTTCATGCACATTAATTAATAAATTACTTAGGAAAATAGGCTTAGTTTTTAAGGCTTCACACGGAGGCGGAGCGCGCATAGCGCGAAGCCGACTGTGGCTCGCTTCGAAAAAACTGAGCCACAGTGAACAATTCGTCAAAGAAATAAAATACTTGACATGGAGGGGGGTCATTCTGAAATAGAGGGGGGCCATTCTGAAATGGGAGGGGGCCATTCTGAAATGGAGGGGGCCATTCTGAAATGAGAGGGGGTCATTCTGAAATGGGAGGGGGGCTTGTTCGAATGAGCTCTGGGGGACTATTTCAAAGCCGTGCGGGGGGCAAATATGAAAGATTGCCTAGGCATTTCAGAATCGCCCCCCGTTTTGTACTGCGGGGGGCCATTCTAGAATACATATTCACCCCCCGCGTTCGATTCTTCCCCCCCACATGAAGTCCTCTTATTTTACCCCCCGCAGATCGGAACTTGGCTTGGTGGGGGGCTTGTTGGAACGCGGGGGGCAAAAACAGTGTGGGGGGCGATTCTGGAATTTTCCCTAACTTTTGCGAAAAAGAAAAAACATTGGTTAAAGGCTCTGTAGTAGATTCACAATTGTTTAACACGCTCTGACGCACTACTGATATATTTTAGAAATATTTATGTATCCTCTATTGTAAACACAGTGCGAAAATGACGCTCTGACGCACAACTATCCAATTTTTTTTTTCATTGATCCTCTTTCGTAACAGAAAAAGACGCTCTGGCGCACAACTAAGCTGATATTAAAAGGATTATTTTATCCTGTTTAGAAATTCACATGGAGAAAAGACGCCCTGACGCACAACTAAGCTGATATTAGGATGATTAATTGATCCTCTTTAGAAATTTACATGGAGAAAAGACGCTCTGAAGCACAACTAAGCTGATATTAGGATGATCAATTCATCCTATTTCGAAAATTACACAGAAAAAAGACGCTCTGACGTACAGCTACCCTATTTTTATGAAAATTTATTGATCCTCTTTTGAAACTGACACAGAAAAAAAGACGCTCTGACGCACAGTCACGGATTTTTTGGATTATTCATTGATCCTGCTTGAAAATTTAAATGAAGAAAAGACGCTCTGACCCACAAATTATTGAATTTTAGGGTTTTTAGTAATTTTGCATTAATTTTTGAAAAGAGAAAAGGCGCTGTAACGAGAAATCGATTTATTTTTTTTAGTAATTTATTGATCCGTTATCGAAATCGACACAGATAAAAGACGCTCTGGCGCACAACTACGCTAATTTTAAGATTCTTAGTGAAAAGTTTTACTAATAAATGAGAAATTTCCTTCAATTTTTGTCCCTTTCAAGGGTGTTTTTCTGTTTTGAACTGAACTCCTACGATGATAATGATAAGATAGCCTTGTTTACAATCTATTGCCTAGTATGAGAGTTGTTTTCTCAATGGAGCGAACTATAACTTGAAAATTTAGCTGTTTTTGTGTTTTATAACTTTTTATTTTATCCGTTTTTCTTATCATTCATTTTTTTTCAGTATTTTCTCATTTTTTCGCTTTTTGTTTCCAGGAGTCGTTTACCTGGCCCAAAAAGTCAACTGGAAGCAGGATATTGTCGGCGCTCAGCACACGAAAACTGCTCTGCCCGACTTTTTTGAAAATGAGGTTTTTCAACTAAAAAAAAAAAGAATGACCGTATTTTAAAGGTCTGCAATTGTATATCTGGCGTCCGGGAGGCCCTCTCGACGACTGGCTACCCAGGAGAAGCTTGTCTCTTCTCGAGGGAACGCTTCCGGGAAACTCTCATTGAGCTTTTCGTTCACCTCGTCTTCTCCATCAAAGCTTGTTTTGATAGGTAAATATTTGTTTAATTTCAATATCATGTATTTTTAGAGTTATAAGTTGCTAACTAAGGTCTAAAAATGGCAAAAAAAATAGTAGCTTCTGTGCGATTTTGTAGTGTATGGGCTTTGTTACATTTTCTCAATTTTCGTTAGATTTAAAATTTCTTTTTCTCAGATTATTCAATTTACAACGACAAAGACCGCAGGAGCTCGGTTTGAATGGGACGTCGGTGCCGAAAAAACCCGTGGTCTGTTTTTTTGAAACGTTGAAAAAAATTTGTATTTTTCTTTAAATTTAAAATGAATTGTGGAGTTCGCAGCGTTTTTTTCCGATTCCTGGTCATTATATTTAGGTTATACCATTTTTTTTATAGTTCTATCCTTTTTTGCGACCTCCGAGGGATTTTCGGGGCTCTATAGAAGGTTTCTTAAAGTTTTAAAAAAATTTTTTTCCATCTTTTTATAGCTTTTTTTAAGCATGTTTCTATAGCTTTTTGCTAAAAATAACATATGGGATTCGAAACTTAACTTTTTTTGGTAATAGAACAATAAGAAAGGACCAATTTAAAACAAAAAAAGCTAAAAGGGGAGGTCATTTTACTAGGCGGTCTGGAATTTCCTAAAAATTGGCCAGAACACTTTTTGATGTACCAAATGAAAATCCTGGAAGTTTTAACCTGCACAACTTCCTAGTTTTTCGAGAAAATAAGCTTCAAAGTCAGAGAAAACCCTTAAATTCCATAAAAAAATAGATGACGCTTCAAGCTCTTATTTTCGGAAACTAGCTTTAATTTTGTGAGGCTTGAGCCTTTCAGAATATTCTTCTGGTACATCAAAGAGCGTTCTGGCCGATTTTCAAGGAAATCCCAACCGTAATGGGAAATTTGTCAGTTGTGATAGCTATAAGCAGCGCCTGAAATTCCAGTCAAGACCTGATCTTCTCATTAGACTTTAAAATCTTTGAACAGCGCCCAAATTCTTTAGGATTTTTTCTTCCATATAGGCCGTTCCGCGCCAACTTGTCACGGTTTTCTTTCCGCCAAAAGGCCAGGTCAAATTTGACCAACTTCGCTTCAAGACCTTTGTTTCCTGCCGTTATAAAAACAGAAATTGGATCTATTTTGGTATACGGTCTTTTTGACGAAAAGAAAAACGTGACAAGCTCGCGCGGAATAGGCTATATCTCATAATTTATGCGAAATTTTCAGATCACAACGAAAAAGCTGCTCGTTGGAATCGGAGACGTCGAATTCATCATTGCGAAAACGTTGAACAACATCAGCAAGCGGATGACCGAATGCGGCGTCAGATATGTCGATCAGATCCAGGAGGTTTTCTATTTTATGGATTTTTGAGTAAAAAATGATATTTTACAGATTCTAGAAAGTTATATTTGAAAAAAGTCAGGAAAAATTATTCAATGTAAGAAAAACGGCTACCAAAAGAGAATTACCGCCGAAAATGGCTTCGAAACAAAAATTTAGCCTCGGGCGAAAAAACAATGTACAACTCTTCACGGCTGTTTTCTGTGGCTCGTTTTAGCGCGGCTGTTTTTTTCCCCCTTATAAATATCCTTTTAGATATCTCTCTGGCTCATTTACACGGTTTTTCTAAGGCACCCTAGTCTTTTGAAAGCGGCAGGCTTCTCTCCGCTCTCCTCGTCTCTCGGCGACCCTCTCATTTTGTTGTGCTATTTTCAAATTTCTGTGACCTTGTCGGTGGGAGAACAGAGAGACGCAGACACTCGAAAAATTTCAAGTCACAGAGAATGGACTATATTTTGAGATTTTTCAAGATTCAAGCCCAAAAAGTTTGTTTTCCAGAGAAGCCGCGCGAAACTGTCCTTATTCCGGTCGAAAATGGTCGCCGACTGCATCGCCATGATGTGCAGCGCTTTCGATCCGCTGATCTCCTCGGCAACCTATGAATATCCTCCGGATGATGGTCTGCTTGAAAATGAAGTCGCTGAACAACCTGTTCAAATCGTTCAGATGTCTCGGACTACACGAAGGAGATGATCATGTGCTGTGTTCTGCAGCAGGCCGAGCTCCAGTTGTACGCCCCTCAACTCAATTCAGAGTGTCTACAGGTACTTTTATTTGTCCTTGGAGCGCAGTTTAGGTTTAGAAAAAACCTTGGGAAGGTTTCTTGAAAACTTACTTAGATACTTAGGTGGTCCATCTTCGCTTACGACCTTTTATTGTCTTTTATTGATCGAAGCGGGAAATTTTTGAAATTCTGTTCGAAAAAACTCTGAAAAATGTTCATTTTAAGACGTTCGACTGGACAGATTTCTGTATCGAGCGAACTTTTTAAAAGTCAAATGTAATATGAACTCAAAATCGCTTTTTTTTCTAGAAGTTTTGCGTTTTTGTGCGAAATTTTGAGCTAGTATGGTGATTGGACATTTTTATCCGTAGAGCGCATTTTGAGAAAAAAAATGGCCTTGAAATTTTGATGAGCGTGTTTTTCAAACCCTTCAAAAGCCTTCAAAATGAGAACTGCATTTTTTTTCGAATTTACAAGCGCAAGGTTTCCGAAAGCGACTGAAAACCATTACCTTCTTCCTCACAAGTTCAAAAGATCGTTTCTCGAAAATTATGAGAGATTTCAAGACGAGATTATAATTTAGCGCGGCCTGAACCCAGAACTCCCCTCTACTTCGTTTTTTTCCTACACGTATCCTTATTTTAGGAACCATTGAGTGATCACTCAAGAGTTGTTAGACCCTCTTAAGGGATAACTTGGCGAAACTGGAATTATCCTCAAACAGGAGCTTTTTTTGAGGTTCCAAACCTACACGGACCGTCTCAAGTGTTCTCCACGTCTCTTAGAAGATCCAGAGCCTTTGAGTGATCCCTTGAGTGCTGTGAGAGCCTCTTAAGGGGTCACTTGGCGAAACCAGTGTTTTCACCAAAGAAACAGCTTTAGTTTATGAGCTTTGACGCTCAAAAGGAAGGCGGCAGATACCCTTACACTCGAAAACTATTCTGAGCCTTTCAGTGTTCACTCGAGCGGTGTGAGGCCCTCTTAAGTGGTCACTCGGCGAAGCCAGAAATGTCCTCAAAGCCTTCAGTTTATGAGTCCATACGCCCAGAGGGAAAGCGGTAAATGTCCTTATAATCTCGGATTCTGACCCTTTGAGTGATCATTTGAGCGATGTGAAAGCCACTTAAGTGAACACTTGGTGAAGTCAGAATTGTCCTCAAACAAGGGTCTTCAGTTTGTAAGGTTTAAACCTGCACGGACAGCCTCAAGTGTCCTTCACATCGTTTAGACAATCATTAACCTTTGAGTGGTCACTTGAGTGACGTTAGACCCTCTTAAGTGGTCACTTGGTGGTGACCGCATTGTCCTGAAGCTTGAGCCTTCGGTTTATAAGATTTCAACTTTTCAAGGACGACCCCTCTCAATGATTTTATTTGCGGTGTTAGCGCCTCTTTAGGGACCACTTGGCAAAACCAGAGATTTCCTGCAAAAAAAGCTCCAGTATATGAGTTCATCCGCTCAGAAAAGGCAGTAGATTGCCTTGTGACTTGCATACGATTCTGAACCTTTCAGAATCACTTGAGTGACGTTAGAGCCCCTTTAGGGACCACTTGGCAAAGCCATCAGTTTGTATCTCTTTTTTCCAGGCCACGGTGACCTACGCGATCGAGCAACTTCTGCGCAGATTGGCGTCGTTGAACGTGGTCGCCTCGACGACGACGTCGCCTTTCGTCGTCACCCAGATCGTCATCGACGTGACGGCCCTCGAAGAAGCCCTTGGCGCTTTCGCCAACTTGGAGATCCGGTACCTTGAGAAAATATCAAATATTTCATCAAGAAGAGGCTTTCAGAGCGCAGATCAACGCCTACCGGGCCAGTTTGGTCGGACGATTTGATCAGGAGTGAGTTTTGGAAGAAATGGGCTTTTAAAATGGCTTCATGTGAGGGGTGCAGGTAACTTTGAGTAGGAAAAAATTCAATAATTTTAGAAATCTAACTTTTTAAAAATCAGCTTGAGGGAATGGGTTTAAAAATAGCTTCGAAAATTAGCCTTAGAAAAATCTGTACTTTAAGCATTTTAAAGCTCAATGGAGCGCATGAGTTGCAATTTTCGCGGCTATTTTTTTTCTATAGGCAATCATTTCCAATTTTTGGCAAGCGTGAAGCGTTGCGTATGCGACGCGGCTTACTGGCGGGAAACTCGCGTTTTTCCTCAATTTTCCCGCCAAAAAAGGCCGCATCGCGTACGCAACGCGTCACTAGCAAATAACTCGCGTTTGACATCAATTTTCCCGCCAAAAAAGGCCGCGTCGCGTACGCAACGCGTCACTAGCAAATAACTCACGTTTGATCTCAATTTTCCCGCCAAAAAAAAGCCGCGTCGCGTACGCAACGCGTCACTAGCAAATAACTCGCGTTTGACCTCAATTTCCCCGCCAATTAAAGCCGCGTCGCGTACGCAACGCGTCACTAGCAAATAACTCGCGTTTGACCTCAATTTCCCCGCCAATTAAAGCCGCGTCGCGTACGCAACGCGTCACTAGCAAATAACTCGCGTTTGACCTCAATTTTTCCCCGCCAATTAAAAGCCGCGTCGCGTACGCAACGCGTCACTAGCAAATAACTCGCGTTTGACTTCAATTTTCCCCGCCAATTAAAGCCGCGTCGCGTACGCAACGCGTCACTAGCAAATAACTCGCGTTTGACTTCAATTTCCCCGCCAATTAAAGCCGCGTCGCGTACGCAACGCGTCACTAGCAAATAACTCGCGTTTGACCTCAATTTTCCCGCCAAAAAAAGCCGCGTCGCGCACGCAACGCGTCACTAGCAAATAACTCGCGTTTGACCTCAATTTCCCCGCCAATTAAAGCCGCGTCGCGTACGCAACGCGTCACTAGCAAATAACTCGCGTTTGACCTCAATTTCCCCGCCAATTAAAGCCGCGTCGCGTACGCAACGCGTCACTAGCAAATAACTCGCGTTTGACCTCAATTTCCCCGCCAATTAAAGCCGCGTCGCGTACGCAACGCGTCACTAGCAAATAACTCGCGTTTGACTTCAATTTCCCCGCCAATTAAAGCCGCGTCGCGTACGCAACGCGTCACTAGCAAATAACTCGCGTTTTGACCTCAATTTTCCCCGCCAATTAAAGCCGCGTCGCGTACGCAACGCGTCACTAGCAAATAACTCGCGTTTGACCTCAATTTTCCCCTGCCAATTAAAAGCCGCGTCGCGTACGCAACGCGTCACTAGCAAATAACTCGCGTTTGACTTCAATTTCCCCGCCAATTAAAGCCGCGTCGCGTACGCAACGCGTCACTAGCAAATAACTCGCGTTTGACTTCAATTTCCCCGCCAATTAAAGCCGCGTCGCGTACGCAACGCGTCACTAGCAAATAACTCGCGTTTGACTTCAATTTCCCCGCCAATTAAAGCCGCGTCGCGTACGCAACGCGTCACTAGCAAATAACTCGCGTTTGACTTCAATTTCCCCGCCAATTAAAGCCGCGTCGCGTACGCAACGCGTCACTAGCAAATAACTCGCGTTTGACCTCAATTTTCCCGCCAAAAAAGGCCGCGTCGCGTACGCAACGCGTAACGCTTGCCTTTCAAGTAGGACCATACACATTTCCAACCAATTTTCTTCCAGAAAACTCCAAAAATGCATGCAAATGATGCGGACAACGATGCGTATGGCCCTGGAAAGCCTGGAACAAGCGGCGGTCGATGACCTCAACACTTCTAGTATTTAAAATTATCCCTATTTACCGTTTCAATTTTCTCCCTGGTGCTTTAAGTATTGTTTTCTAGGTTCAATTTTCATATTCTATTGCCCATTTTCAGGTTTAATTTTGCGAAAGAAATAACCATACGAGTAAAGTATACCAAACGATTTCCCAAATTGTTCATTGTATTTTTATATTCTACTGCTCATTTTCATTCGCCTACTGTGATTTTTTTGATTAGAAATAATAAATTTTATTCGATTATTCGTTTCAAAAAAAATTTTGAAGAGGTTATTTTACCTGTGGAAAATTTTTTTGTCAATTTTTTTCAACTCGAAACTTGATTTTTTTCCGCAGAGATTATCATGATAACGATGAAAAAAAGCGTCGGTGGCGATTTTTGGTCCTCATTTGGACCATTTTAACCTACTTTTTCCGCTTCATGGGTCAGTTTTTGTTTAATTTATTGGTTTTTCCAAAAGTTTTTCTCTTTCTTTCAGGATTTTTATTCTACGGACTTTTTTTAAAAAAAGAACTGGACAAGTGTAAAATTTATGAGGCGGTAAAGTTGGTCGCTTGTGCGCTCCATGGCTAATTCTCCAAATTTTTTTGATTTTTCCCAGCCATTTTTTTATCAATTTCGTCCTAAAATTTTCAATTATATCTTCCCAATTTTTAAAATTTTCTAACATTATATTGAGAAGTAGAGCAGTTTCAAGCATCTTTGAAGCTTACAAGGTTCCAAAAAAATCAGAAATAAAATTGAAAAAAAGTGATTTTTTTGATCGAAAAAAACGAGTTTTCTATGCCAAAAAAAGCAGTGGAATGCTAAAAAAGGAAATATTTCCATGTTAATTTTGGATTAAAACAGCCTTCATTATGTTCAATTGTTTAAAGTTCTAAGTTTCATTCCTAATTTTCACGAATAGAAAAAAAAAACGCCGCAAGGCTATAAAGTTGCCACTAATGCGCTCCACGGCTAATCTATTGGAAAATTTGATTTTCCTAGCTTAGTCAAGCGATTTTCTTCAGATAAACGCCGCGGAAGGCTATAAAATCGGAAACCGCCGCCGGATAATAGCAGTCCTACGCTTGGAGGTTCAAAAAAATCTTCATTTTTTCATCGTAATTAAATTTTCAGACAATGATGACCCTGCTGAACATCTTGGTGTACAGCGAACTGATGGAATGGTTCGAGGAATCCCTGAAAACCGCCACCAAGTTCGAACGTCGCGGGATCCAGGTTTGCAACAAAAAACGTTTTATCCCCCAGGAGCAGAAGAAAAATAACAAATTCAAAGTTCAAACGGGACATTTTCCAACACCTTGGAAACGTAAAAAAAAAGGAAAGAAAATCCAGAATCGTACATAAAACGGGGGATTTTGTTAGGGAATTGTCAAAGTTGAGAACATTTTGCATTGATTCATAAGGAAAAAAACAGAAAAACATGAACAATTGCCAGAGAAAAGTGTACAGTGAAGAGAGAAGGAAAAGTTATATTTTTTCTTCAAAAAAAGGCGCAAAAAGAAGGCATCCAAAGGCAATATAGATCATCGAATCAAGGCAAAACGAATATATAGATAAAACATGGAAAAAAAGAAACGTAGTTAATTTTCGAGGAATGACAACTACGTGGTTTTTTTTTGTATCAAGGCAGGTTGACCCAAGGAAAAGTTTTATAAAAAGAGAAAAAAAGAAGCTACAAGAGAAAAAAATGCGGATGAGAACATGAAAAAAATGTTTGTGCGTGTGTAAAAATATACAGTTTTTTGTTGAAGAATAACAATTTCGGAGAAAAATGGGGATCAATATTGTAAATTGGAGTGATTCGCGGCCATCATGACACTTTCGTCGTCGTCGTAGAGGCTGAAGTCTTCTTCCATCAGCTCGCCTTCCACTTCCTGGGAAAAAAATCAATAATTAATTGAATAATTTTTTTATTTTTTTATAATGATTCCAAATCCGAAATAGCCGTTTTTTTCGACCAATTTTTAAAAAGTCCATGAAAATCAATAATTGTTTAGAAACGTTTAAAAAAATTTCATAATAACTCCAAAACCTACGTTTTCGACCAAATTCCAAAAAGTAAAAAAACAAGCTTTTTCTAGAATTAGAGACCCAAAATTCTTGGAAAGTGAGCTCCAATGATAGCTTAAACTAAGAGCCAAAATGCTCGAAAAAAAGCTCAAAAAAAAATGTCATGATCAATCAGAAAAGGCGCTCCATTGAGAAATATATCATGTTCACAAAATGGAGACATCTAGAACCTTTTTTCCATTGAAAAATACCAAAAATAAGACCTTTCCAGAAGAAAATAGTTTTCAAAGCAATCGTTTCTAACTCTACAGATCGAAATGGTGGATAATGGTCGCTGAAAGGGAGAGGCTAAAAAAAGGCCGCAAAAAGGCAGCAAAAAAGCACCAAAAAGGCCGCAAAAAGGGTCCTTTTTATCGAGCCTTCCATTGTTTCTGGGATTTTAAGCGTTCAAGAAATGGTGGGAAAAGAGAGAGGCAGCAAAAACGGTGCATAATAGCCAATGAAATGGCGCAAAAAGGCAGCAAAAAAGGAACCTTTGTCACCCTAAAAGCAAAATTTCTATGGACCCTTATGTCTTTGCTCATGTGAAAACAGAGTCCCAAGTCCCGAGCAGATGTCAAAACTAAATGGCGGGAGAGTTCAATCTCCTTTTTCAAAAGTACATATAGCTGATTCACGGCTGGCGTGGAAAAAAGGATCCTGACACGGTGAGAAAAGAGACAGTGATTGGTGGAGAGCGCAGACAAGCTTTTGCGTCCCAAACTAGCCATGAATCGGCTATATATCTTTGGTTTTTTAATTAGATTTGCAAAAGCTCTTAAGATACTGTTTTACAGACGATTCACGGCTAGCTTGGGACGCAAAAAGGCGTGGCCTGTCTGCACTCTCCACCAACCAGGGCACTGTCTCATCTCTTTTCGTGGCAGGACCCTTTTCTTAATGGCTCAAGCCAGCCGTGAATCAGCTATAACCTCAAACGCCAATTTTTACTGGCCATGCGCCTTTAAAAGTCAAAGGCTATTTTCTCCTGAAACCAACCTCGAAGCTTTCCGGAAAATCGGACGCCATTTTGGGCCTCTGCTGCTGCAAGTGAGACATCCGCATTTGCTGCTGCTTTTGCTGTTGGATTTGGTGTTGCTGGAGGGCGAATTGACGGTGCGGCGGGAGTGTCTGGGGCGCCTGAACTTGTTGAACGGGTCGCTGAACCTGCTGCTGCTGCTGGTTGTTGGGGGTTTCTGGAAAAGTTATTTCATCAGATCTTCTATCAATTTTCGAACTAACTAATGTAATAGCGAGATCTCGGGTTGGTATTGTGATGGATTTGAATGGTTCCCGAGCTGTTGACCCCGTTGACGGTTCGTTGTGGGGTTCCGCTGCTCTGAATTTAAGTTTTTAGAGAACCTTCTTCTAAATTTCCACGGAAAATCCTTATTTAAATTCCTTTTTTTCTGAAAATAGGTTCGAAATGAATATAAATCCGCCTTAGTCCAACAAAATTTGGACGAATATGGTTGACGATTCATTAATTTCTTTAATTTGTCTTAGAAAAAACCGTTTTTCTCCCAATTTTTCCATCTCTAAAGACTATTCCTTATATTCTTTTGACCTTAGGCTTGAAAAATTAAATTTTAAACAAACGCCGTTTTTTCTCGCTCATAAGACATTGTTGTCCATTCTCATTCCTACTCAACCTTAAAAAAATTAACCTTGATTCAGGCCTTTGTCATTAGAAAAGGGTCTCGACACGATAAAAAGGAAATAGTATCTGGTTAATGGAGAGCGCAGACAATGCTTTAACCTTTTGCGTCTCAAGCTACCTGGAAATCTTAGGAACGCCAGAGTGGTCCCTATAGGGCAAAATTAGAGACCCTTTGGAGGGTCCCCTCTAGGGACAATTACGAACCCCTATAGATGTCACTTAGGCTTGCAAAAGTGGTCTCTTTGGGAGTTTGTATAATGGCCCCTATAGGGGACATGGTGGTCGATATATTTGAAAGCTATGCGAAAAAGCATTTCCATGCAGATCCTGAACCCCTATAGGAACCATTTTTTCGGCCCTTGAAGTCACTGTTTTACCCCCTAACCCCTATAGGGACCACTTTGAAACTCCCAAGAAGGTAAGGAAAAGTTAAGGTGACAAAATAGTGTTCCCTAGAGGGCTAAAACTGAGGGACTTCACAAGAAATTTGATAGATTTCTCGCAAGGAAATGAGGGGACCTACAAGTGCCCTTAAGGGACCCTAAGAGAGCCTTTAGTAACCTTAAAATCCTCATAGCTAAAAATGAAGTTTTTCAACTTTCCCAATACCTTGACAACGATCGGCTGTTTGTTGACGAAATAACAAGCGGTGTTGGTTGGATTGGGATTGGCGGGGCCGCGGATCGGGGCGCGCATCGACTGCGGATTCTGTGCGTAGACGACCCTCGGCTGCTGCTGCTGCTGTTGCTGCGGCTGCAGTGAACGAACAGCGCCCGACGGCTGCTGCTGCGGAGCCCCAGAAGTCGACGCCAAGTACATCGGATCGATCGGTTGGCTCACAGGTCGCTGACCCGGGCGCTCCACTCTGAAATGTGCAAAAATCAGGATATCTGTGGAATATCTTCTTGGAAAAGGAGGAATCTCGGGAGATCTCTTCATATTTTGGACTCTTTTTATGGCTAAAATCTCACGATGAAGGCTTCTCAAGTCAAGTCAAAGGGATCATAAATTTGTTCAGGGGTCGATTTACTTCCTAGAAAGGACAGATACGTGTGATGGGACGACCGCATAACACCCCGGGGCGACTCGCGCCTCAAAACTGCCAAAAGAGCCATTTTAGGAGCCTCAGAGTGGTCACTGTAGGGTCAACCTTAGGGGCCTTGAAGCATCCCCTCTAGTGATCACTTGACCAACCCCTATAGGGGCATACATGGGCTAACCGACTACTTTTTGTGACGTCATCACGTACCCCCTTGGAAAAGTACGTTTTAGTTAGTGGCCCCTATAGGGGTGCTAGTCGATAACTTTTATGCGAAGAAGCATCTCCATGGGAAAAAAACTGAACAAATAAGCGTTTTGAATGAAAAATGAAAGAACCCTATAGGGACCACTTAAGTTTTGGGGGCTGAATGGTCAGACCCTAAACCCCTATAGGGACCACTATTTCGACTCCTATGAAGACTGTTTTCCCGCTAACCCCTATAGGGGTCACTCTAAACCTCCTCAGTACCCATCAAAACTCACGGAAGCACGAATCCACTCATCGGATCGTCAATCTGTTCCTCTTCCCCCTCCTGCTGCTGTTGCTGCTGCTGCTGTTGAGGCTCCTCGTCGATCTCCTCGATGTTCGATCCCCCATTGCTGATGATGTCATCGACGTAGGGCCGAATCAGGTAGGGCAGGTAGGACTTGGCCTCCTCGCGTTGTTCTTCCGTCGCCACGCCCGTGTCCAACCCGCACGACATGCCGAGCCGCTTCAAAACTTCCACGTCGTCGTGAATCTCGAAGGTCTGGTCGAACGAGAAAAGGTACTCGGATTTGTCGTTGGCCACGCTGCATTCCACCGTCGCGCTGCAAATTTGAGGATGTTTATTTGAAAATGGCTCGAAAAGTGAAGAAAGTAGCTGATCTTTGGAATGCTCAAGGCTATGTTACTATCAAGGACGTGATGATCAACTACAGCTTCGTGAACCGACAAAATACTCTTCAATTAACCCATAATCCAGCAGAAAATGTACGGAGAATGACTAGGGAACGTTCTTTACCCCCCTTTTATGAACCTTCGCTGAACTGTACTTTAGGACCTTCTGATCCCAGAACAAGAAAAAACTTATCGCAATATCTTTTTTTCCGATTTACGAAGCTTCAAAGTCCGCAAAATCCACAAATTATGACAAAAAAAAGCGCTATTTTGAGCTTTGAAAGTTTCCTACTCGAAAAAAAAAAAATCTATTGCGAGAAATTTTCTTCTTGTTCTGAAATCAGAAGGTCCTAAAGTACACTTTAGTGAAGTTTCATCAAAAGTTAAACCGGAGGCTAAATAAACGAAAAAATAAGTATGCATAAATTGTATCAAAGCTACACAAGAATCAATGGGTAAAAATTTTAGAACAATCCCAAGAAACCAAATTATTATTTCACATTTTTGAAAGCTACACAAGTTTAGATATGAAATTTGAGCTGAAAATCTAGTTTTTAATGAAAATTAGGAGCAAAAAGTCTTTTCAGATCATATTTTACCACTGCAATCAAAAAAAAATTCAGAAATTTCAGGATCTTGTGAGCAAAATAAGACGAATCAGAAATCTTTCCAAGAAAATTTCCGTTTTTTTTTTCAAAATCCCACTTCCTGTCAGTATTCACAATGATGAATGGCAAGTAGAGGAGCGAATTCTGATCGGGACGTCCTTCGATTCTGAAAAAAATCACATGCGCCTTTAAATTCGCCGCAAGACCCACGTTTCTCTCTGACGATTCCGGTTGACAAGCGATTTGTACGAAACCAGCTGAACGATCATTTCTTGGAGGACTTCCAACTTTTCGCGAATTCTCAGCTCCCGCCGTTCCTGTTATTAAAGGAGCATGCGCCTTTAATAAGCGATTTTCTGAACCTTTTCCTCCTCGAGGCGCTTGATTTCCTGCGCCGATGAAGCTGGCAGCCCAACCCAGCGAATATCCTGGAAAATGGGGATATTTGAAGATTTTCAATGGGGATATTTTCACTTTTTTATTCTTCTCGATAATATTCATGGCCAATAAAACGTTCAGGGCGTCGTAGACACGTCGACGAATATTCTTCATCTCGTACTCTTGTTTTTGCTGAAACAGGAAACATTTATTCTTTTTCGAAACTTTAAAAATTACATCAACATGATGGACCATGTTGCTTTCGAAATATTCGGCCACCAACTCGTCGGCTACCTGAAAAAAATAATTTTTTTATAATGTTTTTTTAGTTTCTATTTACCTCATTATAGTTGGTGAGGCCCTTTTGCTTGACTTTCTCGCAGACTTTTGTCGAGAAATGGCGAAGTCCCGTCGGTTTTTCGCTCGTTTTCTTCTTCTGCCACTCGCCTCGTTCTCCTTTGTCGGCGAATCTTGAAAATTGTTCATTTTTGAATGTTTTGAAGGTTTAAATTGACAAAAATTAGAGCTAATATTACGATTTCCGTCTATTTTCAACATAGGAACTGTAAAAAAGAAAATTTATCATCAATAAATAATGCTAAAATGCTCAAAATTCTTCCAAGAAGGGAAAATTTTCAATCGAAAACAGCTTTTTTAAAGAAGATATCTTCAATTTTGATGAATTTGAAGCATTTTTAAACCTTTCGAAGTATATAATTTCGTAAAGTAGAGCTTGAAAAGTACAGAAAACTCGAAAAAATCAAAAATACCTATTTTTTTTTAGGAAAATATTTTCATTTTTGATGAATTTGAAGCAAATTTTGACCTTTAAAAGTATATATTTCTGAAAATTGTGGCTTGAAAAGTACAGAAAACTCGAAAAATCGATTTCTCCATTACATACTTGCGGCCGGAGCCGTGAATGACAGCGACGGAGGGATTGAAGGGAAAAGCCGCCTGGGGCCGGACCACAGTCCCGTGCTGCTGGGCGACCCTCCGCGGGGCCGTCTGAAGGGCCATTTGCTGACGATTTTGGGCCGCTTGGACCATTGTCGTGTCATAGTGCGCCTGTTTCACTGGCGGTGGACCCTGGAATCACATTTTCAGTGTGTAAAATTAAATTTGAAGATTTTTTGATACAAAAAGTCCTAATTTAAGAAGCTCAAGAGAATAGAAAAAAAGCTCAAAAAAATCGAAAAAAATATACTTTTTCAAAGAATTTTTTTGCCTTTTTTTCCTTTTTGAAAAAGCCCTACAGCAATGTCTTCAGTAAAGATAACTTACGTCCCAAAATCGAGCAAAAATGCTTCAAAATTAAATGAATATATTGATTTTCGCTCACATAATGAACGATTTTTGAGTCATTTTTTTCAAAACTTAAAAATTTTTTTAATAGACTTCTTATCACGCTTCTCAAGTCCCTTACGTTTCAAAAATTCATTTTTAAAACACTAACTGAATGATTTGACCGAATATTTGTCGCTGACGACTGTGTTTGATAAAAAAACGCTGTTGATTCATTATTTATTTAATTTTTTTATTTTTGTTCGGCTTCAATTTGACCCTGAAAACGTTTCATTAACACGAGATAGATAATAAAAAAATGTTGACTTTAACGCACGAAAAAAACGATAAAAAAACGGGAAAAAGAGATAGAAAAAAATCACTCATAATGGATTGAAATACAGAACATTTATCAAAATCAAGCGAATAATGTTCAAAAAAATTAGATTTCAAAAAAAGTTTTTTTGCGCGTCATATAAACATTAAACTTCAATTTCAACAAACCAAATGTAATGAAACAACATGGAAACGTGGAAAACTTCCCAAAAAGTCATATTGAGACAAAAAAGAAACTTGGGAATTGACGTAAATTTGAATGACACCGGCCGCGAGGTGTGTCAAATCGATAAATTTGGCGACGAAAAGTTGTGGCAAAACGGATATTTTTCGTTGCAATTCTGGAAGTCATGCAGGAAATGAAACGGGTTTTGCGTCAAGAAGTCATAAAAGACACCGCTGAACCATCCACTTTTGATAATTGAAAAATAAAACGAAAAAAAGTTTTTCATGGTAATTTTTGTAGAAAAGCCTTATCGGACTTAAATATCAAGACAAGTCTTTTCCTAGTGGAAAACGTCAAAAATTTCAAATATTTCTCTTGAAAATGGAAAGCAAGAAAGATTTGAGGAAAACTGATTGGAAATCGGTTTTTGAGAGACTAAATTTTTTTGAAGCACCCGCCCGTCGCCGGAGACTCACATGGGACCTTCGAGTGGCCACTTTAGTGATTGTTTACCACTTGAGTGGCTAGCGTAGGGGTCTTTTGCGTACGGACCGGAGTGTTGTAGCGAGTTTTTTACGGAACCCAAAATTTTTTGTTTTTCAAATTTTTTTTTCTCTCTTTCTTGTTTTCAAGGCTCTTTTGTTTGTGTGTGCTTTTTTAATCGCATTGTTTGACAGAATTTCAAAACTGATTTTTTTCTCTACTTTTTTTATTCGATCTTGAGGAAAGAAAGCTTTCAAATTAAATTAATAATTTGAGAAAATTGGATTAAGCAATTGAGAACGGAAATTCAAATTTATGATCTTCATGAAAGTCGTGAATTCAGGCATAAAACTCGATTTGAACAACTAAATATTTTCGTTTCAGCAACAACAAAAAGCGATGGTCATGGGCTCTATTATTCTTCCTAATCGCCGCTCAAGCCATTTATCTAATGTATTATGCTCCAGAATCCGTACAGGTTAAAAACCCTACAAAAATATTTTTAATTTTTCAAAGTTTTTCAGTATTTCCTGTTTGATTTCACGGCAATCGCCGCCGGTTTTTTTGGACAAATATGATTGCATTTGTTTGCGGATTTTACTTGGTCAATCTTCTGGCTCCAATTATGATGGTTTGAAGTTTAAAATTCTTTAACCTCGTTTTGAAATCTAATTTTCAGAAATACGGTCCAACTAGGGCCTTTCTGGAAGCAGTTGGTCATTGGAAATGGCTGAGGGGATTGATTTGGAACAGGAAATCACAAATAAGGTAGTTAAATGGTTCAAGTAGGATTTTAATAGTTTTAATTTGCAGATTCACTCTCTGGATTACGATAATTTTGTCACTGGCTATGTATTTCACGAAAGATATGGTTGTGATCAAAGAAAAGACGATTTATATTCCGGTAGGCTGTGGATTTCTTCAAAGAAAAAATGTAAGTTTTCAGAATTTCTCGGCGGAAAGAGGAGAACTCAGATTGGCTGTGGTTTCAGATATTCATGCTGGAGCCAGTGTGTACAGGAAACAGGTAAAAAAAAAATCTAAATAATGATTTTCATTAAAAGTGATACTTTCAGGTGGAAAAAGTGGTGGATAAAGTTTTGGACACGAAAGCCGATGCGGTTTTAATTGTTGGAGATATGGTTGATGGCTCCGTGGCGGATTTGGAAAGCAGAGTGGATCCTTTTTGGTTCATTTTTTTGAAAGGAAAATATTGGAATATGATATTTCAGGATCCTCCCCCACCGATACCCGACCTATTTCGTCACTGGAAATCACGAATATTACTATGGAGACGCCTCGGAATGGGTTAAACTGTATAAGAAGAACGGGATCAACGTCTTGGAGAACAAGTTTGACGGAAAAACTTCATTGAAATCATTATTTTTTAACTTTTCAGCAGCACAATGTTCAAAGGGGTCTGCTTGGCTGGTGTCAACGATATTTCGAGTGGGAAAATGGGGTTAAAAATAGAAAAAATTTTGAAATTGCAAACTGAAAATTCAGGATTGCCGATCATTACATGAACGTGTCAACTGCGATTCGTGGGTGTCCGGCCAAAGCTTCGAGGATTTTGATGGCACACAATCCGGCCTCAGTTCTGGATTTCCCGCCCGAAGACCTTCAAACAATTGATCTGATTCTATCTGGTGCGATTTGGAGTGAACTAGAACAAAAAAATCTATTTTTTCACATAAAAACCATTTTCAATAAAATTAGGCGCTGTTTAACGACTTTGGGCGCTGCTTAACCATTTCGGGCGCTGCTTAACATTTTTGGGCGCTGCTTAACAATTTTGGACGTTGCTTAACGTTTTTGGGCGCTGCTCAACAGTTTTGGCGCTGCTTAACAATTTTGGGCGCTGCTTAACAATTTTGGGGGCTGCTATTTTTGGGCGCTGCTAAACATTTTTGAGCGCTGCTTAACAATTTCGGGCGCTGCTTAACATTTTTGGGCGCTGCTTAACATTTTGGGCGCTGCTTAACGTTTTTGGGCGCTGCTTAACAGTTTGGGCGCTGCTTAACAATTTTGGGCGCTGCTTAAATTTTTCGGAAAGCAAAAATATTCCAGTAATATCGATTTTCGAGTAGTTTCACCTTATTTTCGTCAAAGTTAAATCATTTCATTTCAAAAACTTTTCGTAAAAAGGATAAATTTAAGGTCACACCCACGCCGGACAGTTCTACGTGGTGATTCCCGTCGTTTATTGGATGTTGCCATATTTTTATGGGCTTTACAACATTGCCCCTCATACCCAAATGATGATCTCGGCTGGAAGCCTTTATCAGGTAATTTTTCAAAAGAATTCTGAATTATAAATTTTAAAAATGGATTAATTTAGGGACCGCCCATGAAGATGCTCGGAATGTCCGAAGTTTGGCTTCTCACCATCAAATCTGCTTAATTTTTTTTTTCATCCAGTAAAAAAAATGTATTGATAGAAACACTAACAAGTTCTAAAATGATCTGACACTTTCTTTTCCAGTTTTCCAGCGATCTTGGGTATTATTCAGTTTTATTCATTCTTTTTTATTGCTCGGGTTCCGTTTTTTTTCTGTTTCTTGACGGTGATTCAAGTTGGATTGAACCTAATTTAATAAATTATTTGTTTCTTCGAATCTTGTGAACTTTTTCCATTGGTTTGAACCTTAATATTTGAAATGTGTTATTGTTTTAGTGGATTTTTCGAAGTTTCTTTTTTCAGAACAGGGTTGAGCGGCTGTGAAACTATCAGCCGTGATAATTTTTAACGAATCGATACATTTTCCTTGAAAAAATGTCGATTTTGGCCGAGCCTAAGCGCCGACAGCGTATAAGTGTCGATCCACAAAACCTTGGCTGGAAAAAAATGATGATCAGAAGTAAGATTTTTTTGAATGAAATTATTTTTTTAGGTTAAAAAAATTTCATTCAAATGATTATTTTGCTAGAAACAATTTTTTTCAAAGATCAATTTTGCATTTATTTTTTTGAAGATATGACCCTTTCACTACTAAATTTCAGTTTGATTCGTGATTTTTTTGTATATTTTTGATAAATAGAAAAAAATTATTTAACTTATTATTCTTCCGGTAATTTGATAAAATTTTTGATAGGTGAAAAATTTTTTTCTTTTGAAAAATTAGACTTTAAATTTTTAGCTGTGTTCCTTTTCAACATTTGAGGCTAATTTTAAAATCAATCCGAAGAAAAATTGGTTAAAACTTTGAAAAATGGATATACAGTTCAAGTTTTCATTCGAAATTTTTTAGGTTCTCGAAAAAGCTAATGGAAAAGATGGGTTGGAACGAAGGAGACGGTCTCGGAAAAAATCGCCAGGGAAATTCCAACAACATCAAATTGAATCCGAATGTGTCTGGAAAAGGTGGGAAATTTGACGATATCTTTTTCAATAAAAAAAAAATAGTAAGCATTCATTCCCGTTTCAGTTATTTCTCCAATAGCTATTTCGATTTTTAAGAGAGATCGCGTAGAAATTTTCAACAGGTTTGGATATGATTACATTTTATTGCTTATTTTTCCAGGAGTTTAAATTACATGGGATTTAAAGATTTTTTTTTTCGAAATTACTCCTTTTTAGATTTTTGCGTCTTGTTCAATTGTAACCGTAATTTTAACTGAAGGATTTTTTATGTATAAATTTTACTTTTTACCGTATTTTCATTGAGGTAATGAACAATTTCTTTATTTTCCATGTTTCCAGGTCTTGGCGCCGATAAATTGGCCTCTTATGACGCCACTTGGATCGCTTGTCATGACGATTTTGCCGATTTATTGAACGCCTTGAACAAAAATAAAGAAGAGGTCTTCAAAAAATGAATTTAAATAAGGTATTTGTTGATTTTCAGGACCCTCAAGACGAGACGGAGCAGCAAAAACAAGCCGAAAAGATTTCCATCGAGCTGAAAAGCAAATCATTAAAAAGACGGATTCAGTTGGTTTTTGCCTTCTATTTAAACAAAAATTTATTCATTTAAAAAAAATTTAAAATTTCAGCTACCAAAAGTTCGCCCGGGCCAAAGACACGGCCAACCACAGCGAAAACGACAAAACCGCCATCTTCGGGCTCGGAAAGGGCAGGAAAGCCCAGGAGGAGGAGTTGAGCCCGAAGAAGGCCGATTCGGCGACGTCTTCCGACGAGAATGAGGGGAAAAATGTGAGGATTGAAGTACTGTAGGATACTGTAGGGGTTGATGAACTTAGTTGAAGGTTTTCAACGAAGAAACTGGACCAAAAAGCTTTTAGTTTTTAAAATTCTGAGAAGATAGGTTTCTTTAGGATTACTGTAGACATCACTAGGTCTAATTACTGTAAGAGAAAAATGTGAGGATTGAAATACTGTAGGATACTGTAGTGATTGATAAATTTAGTTGAAGATTTTGTACGAAGGACCTAGACCAAAAAGCTTCTAGTTCTCAAAGTTCTGTAAGATACGGAACTGTAGGATTACTGAAGGAAAGGAATTTGAGGACTAGAGTACTGTAGGTTACTGTAGGATTGATAAACTTAGTTTATCGTTTTCAGCGAAGAAACTAGGCCAAAAAGATACTAGTTCTCGAAACGCTATAAGAAGATACGGAACTGTAGGATTACTGTAGATATCACTAGGTTGATATACTGTAGGAGAGAAATTTGAGGATTAAATTACTGTAGGACACTGTAGTGATTGATAAATTTAGTTGAAGATTTTGTACGAAGGACCTAGACCAAAAAGCTTCTAGTTCTCAAAGTTCTGTAAGATACGGAACTGTAGGATTACTGAAGGAAAGGAATTTGAGGACTAGAGTACTGTAGGATTGATAAACTTAGTTTATCGTTTTCAGCGAAGAAACTAGATCAAAAAGATACTAGTTCTCGAAACGCTATAAGAAGATACGGAACTGTAGGATTACTGTAGATATCACTAGGTTGATATACTGTAGGAGAGAAATTTGAGGATTAAATTACTGTAGGACACTGTAGTGATTGACAAATTTAGTTGAACGTTTTGAACGAAGAAACTAGACCAAAAAGATTCAAGTTCTCAAAGTTCTGTAAGATACGGAACTGTAGGATTACTGAAGGAAAGGAATTTGAGGACTAGAGTACTGTAGGTTACTGTAGGATTGATAAACTTAGTTTATCGTTTTCAGCGAAGAAACTAGATCAAAAAGATACTAGTTCTCGAAACGCTATAAGAAGATACGGAACTGTAGGATTACTGTAGATATCACTAGGTTGATATACTGTAGGAGAGAAATTTGAGGATTAAATTACTGTAGGACACTGTAGTGATTGATAAATTTAGTTGAACGTTTTGAACGAAGAAACTAGACCAAAAAGATTCAAGTTCTCAAGACTTTGTTAAAAGATACGGGACGGTAGGATTAGTGTAGGAGAAAAATGGGAATACTTCTGTACTGTAGGTAACTGTAGCGGCTGATAGACGAAGTTTAAGGTTTTTGACGAAGAAACTAGACCGAAAAGTTCTAATTTTCAAAATTCTGTAAGATGATAGGGAGCTGTAGGATTACTGTAGACAGCACGAGGTCGAACTACTGTAAGAGAAACATTTGAGACTCAAAGTACTGTAGTTTACTGTAAAGGCTGATAGATCAAGTTGAAGCTTTCGAACGAAGACACTAGACCAAAAAGTTCTAATTTTCAAAATTCTGTAAGAAGATACGGAACTGTAGGATTACTGTAGTAAGAAATATGATGAATGAAGTACTGTAGGATACTGTAGCGGCTGATAGACAAAGTTGAAGGCTTTTGAACGTATAAGATACGGAACAGAAGGATTACTGTAGAAGAAAAATGTGAGTATGAAGGTACTGTAGGATATTGAAATACTGTAAGATTGAAATGTCGGTAAAAATCAAAAGCTAGATTGCACTACAGCATCTCTTTTATTAAATGAGATTCAAGTTCTGAGCTGCAGAGTACTGTAATTACCGTATCCTAATATTATATATCCGAAAATTTCCAGGACGATGAGCCCAAAGGCGAAGGCAACACGACGGTCAGTACCATGTCCGTCAGCCAGTATTTTGCCGCTAAAATGGCAGCGATCAAAGCGAAACGAGTCGACGTCAAGGTCGAAGACGACGGAGAAGTCGTCGTCAAGGTCGAGGAAACAGAAGAAGTCGTCGAGGAGGAAGATGAAGAAGCCGTCAGAAAAAGAGAAAAAAAGGAAAGGAAGCGACTGAGGAGGGAGCAGCGGCAGAAAGAGCAAGAAGTTCGTCATTTGGAGTGTCGTTGTTAGTAAAAACTGCAACAGAATGCTCAGTAGGGATGACTCCGTCATTTGGAATGTTGTTGAGGATCTTGAAATTTGGAAACCAAGGCATTATGAAAGTGAATTTTCTGTTGTAGTTATCAAATTTGTAAGTTTTAGCGTTGTTTGGAACTTTGTTATTGAAAAATATAGATTAGAACGTTTTTTGAAGATTATGGCCGTAATTTGGAGTGTCGTTTTTATAAAATGGAACAGAGAGTTCATAAGGAATGATTGCGTCATTTGGAGTGTCGTTGTTATGAAAAATTGAATATAATTATCTTTAGGAATAACTCCGTCATTTGGATTGTCGTTGTTATGAAAAATTGAATAGAATTGTCTTTAAGAATAACTCCGTCATTTGGATTGTCGTTCAAAAAAAATTTTTTTTTGGAAAAAACGGTTTGAATTGGAATCGATAGGGTTATGTTTCTGAATTTTGTGTCGTTCGGAGCTTCGTATGGAAAAGGATAATTTGGGGTAGTTCTGAAAAAAAAATCTAGTGCCACTTTTACCCATAAATTTTGTGATTTCATTCTAATTTTCGGTTATGGGCGTCATTTGGAGCATCGCTAGTCAAAAAAAAAAATGGAGCAAACTTTTTTTTTTTGCAAGATCCCATCTTCAGATTTTGCTTTTTGGATTTTCATCATTTTTTTTTAGTTTAAAGTTATTTTTTTCGGTTTCAGTTTTCACTTTTTTAGGCCAAAATTAGGTATATCATTTTTAGGAAGAAGCCGAAGCCGTGCAAGTTGAAGTGAAAGAAGAAGTAAAGGAAGAAGAGGAGGAAGTAGTTGAAGACGAAGAAGCTGAACGAAAACGGAGGAAAAAGGAGAAGAAACGGGCCCGGGAGCTGGAGAAGGTCGAACAAGCTGAAGAAGGTGCCTTTTTGGGGACCTGGTCCAATTTTTCCCAGAAAATATCAGTTTTTTTTTGATGAAGGATAGTTCGACACAACTATGCTCCATTGAGAAAACCCTCAATTTTTTTACAAGAAATTTTTTTGCAGGAGGAGAACCGGAGGAGGAACCGCCGAAGAAAAAGAGCAAAAAATCGAAGAAAAACAGCGATGAGTAATAAATAAAAATGTTGTTTTGAAACTGTTTTTTTGAACCGTTAACCTTGAATTGTTGAAAATTGTTAGTTGCCTTCGTTTTTTATGATAAATTTGAAGTCTTTTTCTCAAAAAAATTGGAAGAAGTTATAAAAATCGAGGTCCTTTCGGGGCTGTGAAGCGGTTAGTTAAAAGTTGCGCCCGACCATCAAACGGCTTGCGCCCTTTCAGCTACTTCACTGTTAAAAATGATACGTACAGCCGATTCACGGCTAGTTTGAGACGCGAATAGGCGTGGCTGTCTGCGCTCTCCATCAACCAGGCACTATTTCTTTTCTTATCGTGTCAGGACCCTTTTCCGAGGAATTTTTGAGCGGTCTTTCTATAGGGGTTAGGGGGAAAAACAACCCTTTCAGAGACCGAAAAAGTGGTCCCTACAGGGTAAAATCAAGCTTCTCGTAGTTTTTATAACAATTTTCGGCACTAGCATGTCCCCTATAGGGACCACTTTTGCAAGCTTTAGTGGACCCGGGGTTGCTAAAGTGATTTCTTAAGGGGACCCTCGAAGGGTCACTATAGAGATCACTCTGGAGTTTTTAAGTTTAGCCAGCTATAATCGCGAGATTTTCTCTGCGAGTTGAACAAATTTTATTAATCACGAGCGGTTCTAATCATTTCCAATACTCAGCTTTCTATCTTCAGGATGGTTTTGTGAGTTTTAGATAAATTTTTTTTTATTCGGGGTTTTCCTTGAACTTCAGAGAACTCACGAAGGAAGATCGACTGAAGAGAATCGTTGAATCTAGAAAAATGTATAGGTGAATATTTTCACTTGAAAGGTTTTGAATTAACGGTTGAGAATTTCCTGACAAGTGGCCTTCAAGCTTGAAAGTCTTGACCGACAAAATTTATCAGTTTACGAGAAAAAAAAATCAAAAAAGTTCATGAGAATGGCCCATTTTTAGCCGCTTTTTCTCAAAAAATCAGAAATTTGAGAGGCTGAGAATCTTGAAATCATAATCTGGTGCATCAAGAAGTGTTTAAAAAAAGGAAGAAGAAAGGAAAACATTTGAAAATTGCCGGGTTTTTTTGAAATCTGTGGTCAAAGTCGGAATGCTGGTTAATGGTCGCTAAAAGGCTCAAAAAAGGCCGCTAAAGGGCTCAAAACAGGAAGCAAAAAGGCTCAAAAAAGGCCGCTAAAAGGCTCGAAAAAGGCTGCAGAAAGGCACCAAAAAGAGTCCCTTTATCTGTCATTTTTTCTGGGATTTAAAAGGCTCAAGGAGTTGTGAAAAAAAAGGGAGAGGCAGCAAAAACGGTGCAAAAGAGCCGATGAAAGAGTGCAAAAAGGCAGCAAAAAAGGAGCCTTTGTCACCCTAAAAGGAACATTTTTGGGGCCCTTTTTGACTTTTCTTGACTTTTCCTATGATTAAAGAGCCGAAAAACTTGCAAATCAATGGATTTTTCAAAATTTACAGTTCAATATCGCGTACGAAAGGGCCACTGATCGTCGCTGCTTTAAACAAGCCAAAATTGGAAGTTCGGTTAGTTTTTTGGCTTGAAAAATGACAAAAGAATAGGCCAAGCCATATTTTGTGACAGAAATCCCGTTTTTTTCCCTTTTTTATTCCAGTTTTTAGTTCTAGCTCTAGTTTCAATATCATTTTTCTCAAAAATAATGAAATTTTGAGCTTTTTCCTGTTTTTGCGCGCGATAGAAGATCTTAAAATTCATATCGAATTTCATTATCATACTTTAAAAATTACTCTGTCTTCAATGGACCCTTTTAGGCCCACCAAGGTACCAGAAAAAACCGGGAACGAGTCTGAACTTTCAGAAATCTGAAAAAAGTCAATATTCGATTCGCGGTGGTACTCTTAACGCGTTAGAAAAATCAAAAATTGACCTTCCGTCTCAAACTTTTTATATCCTGTCTGAAAAATATATTTATAAATAAATTAATGGACCATTTTTTTAGACCCCCTCAGGGTGCCAGAAAAATCGGAAGCGGTCCAGAAAATGGTCCCTAGACCTTCAAAACCAGCTCCTGTCGTGGCGAGACCCACCCTTCCTGAACGATCAAGAAAATCTGTAATAATCTTTTTTTTTTCGTCTTTATGAGTTTCCAGCGAGTTATCGGTCCACGGCCGAGTTGCTTGCCCCTTGGAATCAATTTATTCGAGGCGAATTCGGCCGAACGTCTCAAGGTACAGGAATAATCGTTCACTCTAGTGGTTTGTAGTGATTTTTTCGTCCCTTAAGTGGCCACTAATTCGACTATACTTCTCAGACCCTAAAGACGCCACTGAACGGTTTCCTTAGGGACCGCAAAGCCACGCCCCTTTTCGCGATAGAAAAAGTGGCTTTTTTTTGGTTTTCAACTTTCATTTTGATGTAGTTGTAAAATTTGTGGAACTGGCAAATAAAATTTGACACACTTGTACAGAAAAGCTTCCTCTTTCGTTTAAAAAATATTTCACGCTTTTTTGATGCGTTCGCGCGGAATGTCGTACAAAAACGTGAATGGAACTAAAAAAATTTTTGTCGTTTTTTTGCTTTTTTTCATGTGTTTTTCAGGTCGAACGCACTCTTTCTTTTTTTAAATAATGATTTTTGATTCAAGTAACGGTAATTTTTAAAACAATAAAATAAAAAAATTCGTCTTTGCCAAAAAAATTTTTAGGGAGTGCCGAAAGTCGTAATTCAAAAATATCGTTAATATGCGAATATAATCGAGTTTTTTTCTTTTTTTCAAAATTTAGATCACGGGCTTACTTAAATATTTCTCCACAGAATATGTGCTTGAAAAAAAGTTGTTTAATACGCAAAAAAATGCTCTTGAAACTAGAGGATAAAAATTAGCGGCGTTTATCACACAGAAAGCGGTCGAACGCAGGTTTTTTTAAACGATTATATACATTTATTAGTAAAAAAATCTTTCAATTAAAAAGAATAAAATAAAAAAAATTCGTCTTTGCCAAAAAAATTTACGGGGCCGTTTTTAATGCAGCGATCGTTAAACGAGGCAAAAAGCACTAAAAAAACAGTTTTTTTCGAAGTGAATTTCCACGAACCGTTTGAGTAAAGATTTGCAAACATATTCTGATAAAAAAATAGCTAAATTACTTCAAGTTTTTTTCTTTTTGAAATAGACAATCTGTGCTATTCAAACGGCTCAAGGGTATGGCGGATGGAAGCTCCCCGCGTTGGACCTAACAGCTTGGCGCAACGCGTGCGCTCCGATTTTTACATTTTGAGGTAGCGAGTTCGATGCCCGCAAGCGGCAGTTTTTTTGTTTTTCTGGAAAAATACCGACTTTTTTTCGACAAACTAGCTGATTAGCATCATTTTAGCACTCTAGTATGATTTGTTACATCATAATAGACCAGTATCAAAATTTGTTCTAGAAGAAAAATCGAAAAAAATGTCAAAAATGGATAATACCAAAATTTCAGTACTAAAAAAATGGTGCGCGGCGCGCCACCTTTTCCGTCATAACTTTTTTCATCCTCAATCTTTTTTGAAAAACTAAACGGTTCTGAGTTTTGAATCGAAACAGCTATCGAACCATACAAAGCTCAATGCTGAAAAAAATTTTTTGAAAATTCGTCTGCGGTCCCTAGGTTTCCTAGAACTGCCAGGAAAAACAGCCTTTGGTCCCTATAGGCCTTAGGGGAACAAAGAGCCCTATAGGGGCCGAAAAAGTGGTCCCTTTAGGGGTAAAATTAAGGTGGTCCTTTTGGGGTTTAGGCTCTGAGTCAGAACTTCTGATCCCTCAGCCTCTAAAGCTTAAGTGGTCACTATAGGGACTGGAGGAAACGAACCCCTATAAGGGCCCGTAAAAGTGGTCACTATAGGGGTTCAAGATGTGCACCCTATGGGGGAAATGCTACTTCGCTTAGAGTTCATAACAATTATCGCCTAGAATGTCCTCTATAGGGACTACTTTTGCAAGCTTTAGTGGCCCCTATAGGGTTCGGTAAAGTGGTCCCTAGAGGAATCAGCATTATTCATATATGCTGTGGTTAGTTTTATTGAAATTTGACCCCTTTTTCGGTCCCTATAGGGGCTGTTTGTTACTTTAACCCCTATAGGGACCACTCTGGAATTTCTAAAATTGAAAAATTGAAGGTTCGAGAGTATATTCGGAAGATTTCGACGCCTGGTCCCAAGCAAATGACAAATATAGTTGCAAATAACGATCACATTGCCAAGGTTTTTGTTTCGAATTGACAATTTCGAACCAAATTATTTCCTAGAAATTGCTGTTTTCGGATGAAAAAGTGAAGCCAACGCGTCTTGATCTGGAGAACGTTTTTGGGTATTCTAAAATCGACTCAAAATTAATAAGTATGATGTTTGAAACAGTTTTGTCATGTCGATCAGAGCCGACGATGAGGATTTCTCGACCCACGTCGAAAAGTACAAAGCGATGTGTTCTCACCTTCAAAATCTATTTATTTGAAATAAAAAGTCCTATTTTCAGAGAAAAATAAGAGACGGGGAAAAAAGTAAAGTCATGTTTGCCCTACACTTGAACCTGTCGACTTGTGGCTTTCTTTTGGGATTTTTCAAGTTTTGATTATTGTCCCTACCCAAAGATCAATTTTCGAACGAAATTTTCACTTATTTCGAAACTAACAGCAGATCAATCATAGTTGAAGCGCGCTAGTTTAAAAACGTTGACGGGCTTTCCGGAAATTCGAGACTTTCCCTGTTTCTCCTTCTCAGCTGCTCTTCATTTTTTGTTTCTTTCATTTTTGAAAAGTTGGAAAATAAACGTACTTTCCTGTTTCAAGAGAATGATTTTGCTATGAAATTTGTTGTGAAGTTGTTCCTCTGGTCTTACGACTACAAATCATAAATTGTTGATTCGGACAAGCAAATCCAGAGAAAATAGCCGTGAAAAATAGCTCCGGATTTTGGTATGCTCTATTGATAAAAATGTTTTATTTAGTGAGGGCGTCACTGGATTTACGATGATTTTTCAAGGATTAAAAAAAAAGCCGTGAAAATTAGTCTCCGATGCTGTATGTATGCTCCATTGATAATTTTGAAATAACCTGGAAAAATAGCCTTTTGATCAGGATATTGTGCTCCGTTGAGAAACTGGAAAAGCTCTAGTGGCCACTTAAGAGTTTCCTCAAGGAATATTGGGAGAGGACACTATAGTGACCACTGAAAGTACCTCTATAGAAGCAACTATGTATTTTGCTTTTTAGTGGCCACTATAGTGGTTTGTAGTGGTCACTTTTCTTTCGTCACAAAAGTGGCCGCTAATTCAAGTACTATAGTGGCCTCTAAAATGTCTAAACCCTAAAGAGGCCACTTGAAATTCCCCCAGAACTGCCAGAAAAAAAACAGCCTTCTTTGGACTTCCAGAGTGCTCCCTCTAGTAGGGGAGGTAAAACCCTCCCTAGGGCCGAGAAAGTCTCAAGTGGACCCTATAGGGGTCTCTCAATTTCATTCAAAAAACGCTTGTTTTTCAGTTTTCTCATGGAAATGCTTCTACACTCGGAGTCCATAACAAGTATCGACTAGAATCTTCTCGAAAAGGACCACTTTTGCAAGCTTTAGTGGTCCCTATAGGGGTTGGTAAAGCGATCCCTAGAGGGTGCCTTCCAAGGACCCCTAAGGTTGCTCCTATAGGGACCACTCTGGACTTCTGAAGTTTGGAAAATTCTACTGCTTTTTTAAAAAATTTCCTTTTTTGTAAACTTTTAGAACTATCGCTCCTCGGTTGCAGTACTAATTCCTTCCTTCAAGGAAGACAAGGGGAAAAAAATTCGCCCCACAAAGCAATTAACATTGGGAGCATGGAGGCGTTAATTGGTTCCGGAAGAAAAGTCTCTTCTTTCTTTTTCCTTCCCCTTTTTGGAATTCTCCCTTTGATTATTCTGACCAGGGAATGGTCTCCGGTCGCAGTGGGATCTCTCAATGAGACCAATTTTTCCAGATGTAGTTTTTCACGCTGATCTCAAATCTGGTCTCAAAAACTGCCGAAGAGCTCTGTGAAAAAAGTTATGGACCCTCAAAAGTCGAAAATTTCAGTGTCTCCGATTGAGCTCATTTTTGGAGGGTATATAGACCTTGTCCCTCTGGTAAAGAAAAACCATTGAAGTTTTCACAAAAAAATTTCGGAGCCCAGATATGATGTTTCAAAGCCTAGCCTCACACAAGAGCTTGCGAGCGCGGTGTCCTATTGCGATCCGGCGACCGTCGAAGCAACGGCAGCAAGGAGCAGTGGTAAGGCGGTGGACTGGGGATCACGAGGTCATAGGTTCGGTGCCCACTCTGTGCAAACTTTTTGCATTTTTTCTATTTTTCTATGATTTCGTTTAAGGGCTCCTATTTTTGAGTTTTTGAGGCGTATAAACATGAAAAAAATCTTCGTTTTTAGCCCATTCGAACATCTAGAATTATTTTCGTCAAAAAAATTTTTTCATGGAATTTTTTTCGAGATTTTTTTCATGTATATGAGCATGGGCTGGAGTGAGAAAAATTTTCAGGAAAAATTTTTTTGTTTTTCCATTTTTTTCGTTCCTAAAAAGATTTATAAGTTTAAATAGTCATAGATACGCCGACATATCCCACAGAAAAATTTTTTCCTGGCTTTTTTAGACCTCACCGCTCAACTACGACTGATGGAAGTTTCGGAAAATTTTTGCGTAGGTGCTCTTTTTCGAGTTTTGAAGCGTTAAACTGTGAAAGTTCTCCGTTTTGAAACTATTCAAACACCTGGACCTTTTTTTGTCAAAAATTTCTTCATATAATTTTTCGTTATTTTCCATGTGTATGAGTATAGGCTCGAGTGTGGAAAATTTTCAAAAAATTTTTTTTTGGTTCTTTTTCTTTTTTTTTAAATTTTATTTAAAGTTTTTTAGTCCATTTATTCATCGATAAACCAAAAAAAAACCACAGTAATTTTTTTTCTTCTAAAAACTTCTTTGAGAGTTGCAGTGATTTACCTATGATCATCACCTTATGCCTGAAAAAGTTTTTTTGCGCGATTTTTCCCGAAGTAGAAAAAAATGAGAGTGCGCAAAAAAACAAAATTTATTGTTGAATAAAAAAATTTCTTTTTCTTTCCTCGAAATTTTTCTCTCGAAAAAGTCTGACTGGACTGTGAACTTTCACAAGTTCCATTAGAACGAATTATTTGGGGGATTTCGGTCCCATTTTTGTTATCTATCAATCAGAAGGGATTTCTTTGAAAGTTTCAGCAAAAATTTGAGAAAAAGCGGATTTATTTTTTTCTCTTATGAAGTCGTAGTTGAACGGTAAGGTCTAAAAAAGCCAGGAAAAAATTTTTCTGTGGGATATGTCGGCGTATCTATGACTATTTAAACTTATAAATCTTTTAGGAACGAAAAAATGGAAAAAAAAACAAAAAAATTTTCCTGAAAATTTTCTCACTCCAGCCCATGCTCATATACATGAAAAATCTCGAAAAATTCCATGAAAAAAATTTTTGACGAAAATAATTCCAGATGTTCGAATAGGCTAAAAACGAAGATTTCTCATGTTTATACGCCTCAAAACTCAAAACAGGAGCCCTTAAACGAAATCATGAAAAATAGAAAAAACTGCAAAAAAATTTGCACAGAGTGGGCACCGAACCTATGACCTCGTGATCCCCAGTCCACCGCCTTACCACTGCTCCTTGCTGCCGTTGCTTCGACGGTCGCCGGATCGCAATAGGACACCGCGCTCGCAAGCTCTTGTGTGAGGCGGGGCTTTGAAACATCATATCTGGGCTCCGAAATTTTTTTGTGAAAACTTCAATGGTTTTTCTTTACCAGAGGGACAAGGTCTATATACCCTCCAAAAATGAGCTCAATCGGAGACACTGAAATTTTCGACTTTTGAGGGTCCATAACTTTTTTCACAGAGCTCTTCGGCAGTTTCTGAGACCAGATTTGAGATCAGCGTGAAAAACTACATCTGGAAAAATTGGTCTCATTGAGAGATCCCACTGCGACCGGAGACCATTCCCTGGTGAGGTAGGAAAACCTGACGTTTTGGAGACTACTATAGTGGCCACTTAAGTAACGGTAAATCGGGGCCTTTTTAAATCGACGTAGGACTACTAGACCACTATAGTGGCCACTAAAACGCAAAATTCATAGTTGCCTCTATAGAGATACTTTCAGTGGTCACTATAGTGTCCCCTCCCAATATTCCTTGAGGAACCCCTTAAGTGGCCACTAGAGCTCTTGCAATTTCTCAAGGGAGCACAATATTCTGGTCAAAAGGCTGTTTTTTCCTTGAAAGTGGCCTCTTCAGGGTTTAAACATTTTAGAGGCCACTATAGTAGTCGAATTAAACCCTTGAGAAACTTGGAAAAACTCTAGTGGCCACTTAAGAGGTTCCTATAAGACTGCCTAAGTATTTCAAAATTATCAATGGAGCATACATACAGCATCGGAGACTAATTTTCAAGGCTTTTTTTCCAGGACAGAAAATCCATGAAAAATTTCATTGAAGCCCTCCCTAAATAAAATATTTTATCAATGGAGCATACAAAAATCCGGAGCTATTTTTCACGGCTATTTTTTCCATATTTGCTTGTCCGAATCAACAATTTATGATTTGTAGTCATAAAACCAGAGAAACAACTTCACAACAAGTTTCATAAAAAAAATAATCCTCTTGAAACAGGAAAGTACGTTTATTTTTCCAACTTTTTTTAAAAAAATAACGTTTTGAGAAAAAAACAATGAAGAGGATGAAACTTTCCGGAAAACAAAAAAATTGAAGTTTAGTGAAATTTTGAGACTTTTTCGGTTTAAAAAAATAAATTGAAGAGAAAAGTTCACAACAGCACTAAAAAGGTTTCAAAGGGAAAATCCGCTTCTTTGATAATTCCCTTTAAAAATAAAGTTCTAGGGTTCGAAAACCGGAAAAAATGACAATCAGGAAAAAAAAAAGTTGATAAATCTGGCGATTATGAGATTTCTAACGAAAAATACTAGAGAAAAAAAGTGCTTAGTAAGAAGTTTTTTTCTAAATTCTAGGGTTTGAAAAAAAAAATCTTTCCCAAAAAAATTATTCTTTTTTTCATGTGTTTTTCAAACTCTAGATATCTAATTTTTAGGGGAATTATCAATGGAGCGCATTTTCCTACAAAAAATGGCCTACTCATTTTTGGAACCTTGATCCTCCATTTATTTTTCAACTAAAAAAGGCTTGAAATCCCATAAATTTTCTTTTTTTTTATAAGACGTTTCATTTTCAAACCCTAGTACTTTAATTTTAAGGGAGTTATCAATAGAGCGCATTTTCCTACTGTAATTGGCCGTTTATCCATTTTTGGAACCCTGATCCTATATTTATTTTCTAACCGAAAAAGGCTCAAATCACCCTGAATTTGAATTTTTTTTTGTTCATCTTCTTTATTTTTTCAATCCCTGGAACTTTAATTTCAGGGGGAATTACCAATGGAGCGCATTTTCCTACAAAAAATGGCCGTTTTCATTTTCTTGATCGTTTATCTTACACCTCTTTTTCATATTCCCGAACCCTAGAACGTTAATTTCAATTTTTATATGGGTTGTCAATAGGGCGAACTTTTCTCCTAGAAAATGGCCTTGAACCATAGGCAAAGTCGGGAGGACCCTTTAGACGTCCGTTATGGATCAAAAGGTTTCCAATAATTGTTCCCAAACGGGTGGCAACGGTTCCCTTTTTACTGCCGTTTTCCGCCTTTTCATCGGCCTTTTTGGACCCATTTCGGAAATAATCAATGGCCTTGACTTTCCGTACCCTTTTAGCACCCTTTTTGAGGTTTTTCAGCCGACCAAGAAAGAAAAAAAAGTTCACTGGGAATGTCGAAAACGCGAAAAACGGGTGCAAAATGGCCGCTAAAAGGGGTTCCGTTTTGTGGCCTTTATTGAGCTCAAGTGAACTCTGATCTTATTGTAAACCAAAAAAAAAATTCCCAAAAAAAATGGCAATTAATTGCTCCAGCAAGAGAAGTACACAATTTGCGTTGTAACGTCTGGACCCGGTTCCATCAAAAAAAAAAAAAGAACAGCGGAAATGTTGCATTTTGAACGAGTTTCCTTGAAAAATGTCCCGTTCCTTGGGAATTTTTAGAGTTTTTTTCAAGAAATCGTATAGAAGGTATACTGTATTGTTTGATGAAATCCATTTTTTTCAATTTTTCGAAAATAGTTTGTATTGTCTCATGTCGTGATCGCACTTGGAATGGCTCGAAGCGTTGCGGTTTTTCGGATTTTCCGCAAGTCGTTTCAGGTCGGCCGCAGGCACAAGCCATTCCGCGTTTATTTTTATTCTTTGAAAAAGAAATTTTTCAGATCAACTTGGATAATTTTCCAGCAATGACTTCCTGGCTCCCACAGACGTTATTCAAGTTCCAGGTTTCTTTTTTTTTTTCAAATATGGTCGCATTTGGAATGGCTCGTCCCATTTTTTAATGACTGAATTTGATTGTTAGTGATGTCAATGATTCCGCTACTGGAAAACTTAAAAAAAAATGGAAAAACTTTAGAAAATTGCGAAAAAAAACCGTACGCCCCGAGCCATTCCAAACGCGTCCAGAGAACTCCATTTTGTCATTTTGAACCTTCAGAATATCGCCAGAACATCTAGAGCCAATCTGTACGTTGGTTCGAATGTCAAACTGCGAAAAGAGCTCTCTGGAAGCCTTTTGGGCGGTGTGAATGTGAGTTTTTTGAATTTTTCCGATGAAATCAGAAGAAAAATCGAGAAAAATAAGAAAAAGAATGAAAATCTCATTAAAAATGGATCACTCCGTGTTATCCGATCCAATTAGAAGGGATATCTCCAAATCTGGCGCCAGGAACCGCATCAGCGTTCGTGGTGTAATGGTCAGCATGGATGCCTTCCAAGCATTCGACGGGGGTTCGATTCCCCCCGAACGCAGAAACATTTTTGCCATTTTTCTAGTCAGTGGATATTATTCTTTTGAGGTTCATCTTGCTTGTGAGAAGTTTCTTGCGGTTTTTAAGAGACTTTCAAAAAGTGCGACCGTTTCAAGTCAACACGAAACCATTTTGAACGTTTTTAGGAGTGCGAAAACTTATTTATTCTTTTGAAAGGCCAAATTTTTGAATATTTGGTTTCTTGATTTTAATATGACACAGCATTATATTATGACATTCAATCATCAAAAATTCGAGCCTTTATCGGTGAGAAAGGGATCAATTTAGCCATTTTACTCAATATCAGGGAAAAATTTTTCGCCTTGATCAGCGAAAAAAATGGTCCTGGAAGAAGATTGTTTCGTTTATTTAATTTCAAAATTGCATTTTTTGTTCAAAATGATTCCGCCAAATATACATAATTGTGTCCTACAACACGATTTTACGACCGAAATTTATATTTCGCGTATTTCGCGACATCTTTTAAAACGAATAACGGGATCATTTCAATTCACATCGAGCAAGGTATAGCTGATTCACGGCTGACTTGAGCCATCTAAAAAAGGGTCCTGACACGATAATGCACGAGACAGTGCATGACTCGTGGAGAGCGCAGACAGGCCACGCCCCTTAGCGTGCCAAGTTAGCCGTGACTCGGGCATACAAGTTCATTCATCCCCTAGAGGATCCCAAAATTAGAGAGCAGCTCACCGGCCCCTTCACCTTTTATTTAAGGCTTCAAAACCATCGGACCAATCGGAAAAATTTGAGCCGCCACTCTTTTCCACGCCGCTGCGTTTCGGTCCGACAGTCGGGGCCAGGCGAACATTGCTCCGGAACGTTCAAAATATACCAAAAATTGTTTGCGTCCCTTGCGGCGTTGCTACCGACGCGCAGCGGCTTGCGCGCCGTCATATCATATTATCGATTTTCGCTGGAGCGCGTTCGCTCATTGTTTCAAAGTCAGCATTTTCATTTTTTCGTCATTTTTTTACTTTTAAAATCATTCTATATATAGTGCGTTCCGCGCGTGACGATCACGTTTTAAAAGCACAGAAAAAATTGATCGCAAATACAAATTTTTGCTCTACTAAATTGCTGAAAAGACAGCAAATAACAAAAGTAAGATACTCTTTTTGATTTTGATCTACTCCGGTTTACGTTTTTTTTTGGCGGAAAAAAAAACGTGAAAAGCTGGCGCGGAATGGGCTATAAATGTCTTTATTTCTGGTGATTTTTAGGACATCTCGCTCGAATTTAGCACTTTTTCAAGTAGGAAAAATGAAAGATTTACTCAAAAAAATTTATTATGCATTTTTTTATCATTTCACTCGACTCAGTTATTTGTTCATGAAGTATATAATCATCGTAAAAAAATTTCTAGATTTTTTTAACTAGAAAAATTAAATTTTTTCTTTTTTTATTTTTTTAAAAAAAGCTCAAAGGGTTTCTGCTCGACTTTTTTTCAAACTAAATCATGTTCAGAATAAGTTTTTTTAACAACGAAAAGGATTTTGAAACGTTTTTCATTTAAAATTTTGTCACTTCTTTTGAAGTTTATCAGGTTTTATTTTTGTTCTAATTTTTAGGCAGTTCTCAATAATTAATTTCTCTTCGATCATTCATTTATATGTCTCAAGTTGAGTTTTCGTTAAATCGCAAACCGCTACTCCCTGACGTCATTTCATGACACCATTCGTAACACAAGAAATAAGCGTAATCGAAATATTTATTTTATTCACGTGAACATGATTCAGCAGATTATTATTATCTCATTTCATCACGTCGACTGGTCGGTCTCTTTGCCGCTCTCGCATGGGATAATATTCCGACGCCCGTCAGCCCTGGACAAGCTGGGCGCTGTACTGTTCCAACATGGTGAAGCAGTTTATTCGCTGGTACTACCAACGGGCCAACATTATTTCCCAACGCTAGCTGTCACTCCGGGACGTATTGGACAACGATTGTGGACCGTCACCCGCGCCGACGACTAACTCTTCGATTATACCATGATTCAGCAGAGATTTTCTTCAACTTACTCTGAAGACTGAATAAATTGATATGAATTGAAATTGAGATTAAAAAAATTGAAGAATGGGAGGAGCCTGAATTGCGCCTTTGCATTAAAACTGCGCCTACAGGTTCATTCATTACTTAAGAAAATAGGCTTAGTTTTAAGGCTTCACACGGAGGCGGAGCGCGCATAGCGCGAAGCCGACTGTGGCTCGCTTCGAAAAAACTGAGCCACAGTAAAAAATTCGTCAAATAAATGAAATACTTGACATAAAAGGCATTTAGTTTCAAAAAGTGGACACTAATAACACTATCAGGTCACTCTAAACGATTTGCAAACTTGATACGCGTAGCGAAAAAATCTGCAAAATGTATTTCCCAAAAAAAAAAGAAAAAAATTAAAGGAGCACACTGTGCGTAGGCGTGGGCCTCGACGCCTCGGATTATTCCAAACCTTTAAAAGGTTTCTAAAAAAAGTAAGAAAATAGAAGAATAAAAAGTTTCCAATCAAAAAGGGGATTTTTCAAGTGTGTTATCTTTCTGTTTCTCATGTGACCGGAAAAAGTTTTCACGTCGAATCTAATTTTATAAATTGGAACGTAAAAAAATGAATAAAATGATATGGCTGCGTGCGCAAGTTTTTGCAAATGAAGATGATGTCATAGGGATGACGTCAGGGAGTAGCGGTTTACGATTTAACGGGAAGTCTCAAGTTGATGTATTTTTACAGGTAATCGCAGTTCACGGCGACAAAAACACCCATTTGGTGACGAAAGTCCTGGCCGACCATGGGGCCAATGTCCGGCATTTCGATATTAAAGTTTTCCATCATAAGTATTGATTTTATCGATTCTCTTGATTTGAGGGCGTTTCGACTCAAAAATATACGGCTCCGGAACGAGAAATCGACCTGAAAAAATCGGATGACCTGGTGTATTTGGAAAATGTTATAAGGTTGGTTTTGAGCTGAAAAATGGTGGAAAATTCATATTTTGAGTCTGGTTTGGTACCATTTTTTGCTTTAAACAGGCTCAGGAAGGATTTTTGGCGATATTTTGCGCTTCAGAATCTTCCAGCACCTTTAAACGGCCTTTTGAAATTTTTTTTTCAAAATTGGAACTTCTAAATCTCGAAAAGTTCTATCAACAGCTTTTGAAGGTTTTTTTTTGATCATGTATGATTTAAATCATCTTTTTCATACAAAACGCAAAAAAACGCGATGTCGCCATGTGTTTGAGATCCAATTAGAAGGGATATCTCCAAATCTGGCGCCAGGAAGCACATCAGCGTTCGTGGTGTAATGGTCAGCATGGATGCCTTCCAAGCATTCGACGGGGGTTCGATTCCCCCCGAACGCAGAACCTTTTTTGCCATTTTTCTAGTCAGCGGATATTATGTTTTTGACATTCATCTTGCTTATTAGAAGTTTCCTGCGGTTTTCAAGACTCTTTAAAGTGCGACCGTTTCAAATTAACACGAAAATTCAACTTTCAGACAACAGAAACTCGTAAAATTAGGATTCTACTTTTTTTCAGCGAGTTTTTCTGAAATGAAATTTGTTCAGGAAAGCCGACGTTTTTGTCGATGGCCTCCAAAAAGGCGGATTATTGGAGAAGGCGGCCGCTAGAAACAGCCAACTGATCGTGGCTCGGTGTGATTGTTAGTTTTGAGTTTGTAAATGAAAAATGGGTACTTAGGGTAGGGACCGCAAGGCCACACCCCCTCGCTGACCAAAAAACGTCGTATATTTCGTTGCATTTTTGACATTTCATTGTTGTTTATGCAGTTTCCCTGAACCGTTTTGGGGAAAAAAAATTGAGGGAAACATACAATCGGCTATCCTCTACAATTCTACATAGGAGAAATAGCTGTAAATAAAAAAAGAATCGGTTAAAATTACGTTTTTTCGCGACGCCTTTGTGCGAAAAAGTGGAAAAACGTTGAATACTTACAATCCCGCTCTTAGGCAAGTTATTTTTTTCTTATTTTTGCTAAGCATGTAAAAAAATACACCATATAAGTAAAAAAATAAAAAAATATTCCTGCTTGTGCTTTCAAATATCGAAGCGTCGGAAAAAAACGCAACTTTCGAAATTCGGTAACTTTGGCATTTTTCCGCGAAACATCGTAAAAAAATTTTTTTGAACTGTTCTCTATGAATTTTTAGAACATTTTTAAAAAAATAAAAAAACAAAACTTTTATTGCAACCTTAATTTTTAAAAAAATAAGTTTTGATTTTTTTGATTTTTTTCTGAAACACTTGGGAAAGTGTTTTTACCAGCCAGTAGGAAAATTATTTTTTTCTTATTTTTGATTTGAATTACTTTTTTTCTTCAACATAGTCAAAAAAATGAAAAAAATCCTGCTTGTGCTTTCAAAATTTGATTCATTCGAACAATAAAAACAGCATCCTGCATTTGCGCGTTGGCGAAATTGTGCATTCACCGACCCACGAAAATTCCGAATTCGCGATGTTTTCAAAGCAAGCGTAAAACTTTTTTGAAATGAGTCAAAACGTTCAGTAATGTAATTCGGAAAACAAAATAGAACTTCACATGCTTTTCCGGAACAAAAAAATTATTTTAGTCTCGCCAAACTCCCACTATCCGGATTCCACTGGAAAACACGTTCAAAGTCGGGAAATTCACCTGAATAGTACTTAAATGTGGATTTTAATGAGTTGAGCGCATTTAAAAGTACTGTATTGCTACAAGAATGGTTATAAAAGTCATCAATAATTAATTTGTTTGTGTTTCTATAGGTTCACAACCTTTTATCGGTTCCGAATTCTGTATCGAATCTTTTTTCAGGGAGAATTTGCGTTTATCCGTGCTTCCTAGTGATATTCTATCAGTTTTGAACATCAGAAGCATTGAAAACTCCGTAAATATTAATTTTGCTTTTATAGCCGCTGAAAATCGTTCAAATTATTCTTTTTCAGTGTTTATTTTTGCTGGTCCTCATCTTTTGACATTGTTCTATCATTTCCAATAATGAAAAACCATCATTACTGTGTTTTAGTGCGAAAAAAATTAACAAGAAAGTTTTTCTGTAATTTTTTTACTGCTCTTTGAGAGCGCGCCGCACCCTTGCAACGCCCACTTTTTTCGCGACCTCGACCAAATTTTCTACAGAGAATTGAAATCGCGAAACGCGCGCTTTAATAGCTGTAACTTCTTTCAGAGTCGATCTTTTTGCAAGATCTCTTTTTTTAAAAGTTGTCAGGACTATGGGCTACACGGCCATATGAAAATCATTTAAATTTAATGGTTTCTAGAAAACTGCCTGCGGTCCCTAACTTAGGGGCCTGAAAAAACCTTTTTGAGCCATGTTTCGAGGCAGAAAAGTCGTTTTTTTTATGTGAAACAGTCGAAAAATTCACATTTTCTTCGATATTTCTGTGTAATAATTCAGGTAATGATCCTTTCTCGGCCTTATCTGCCGTCTCATCCATCGCCATGGCTTTGTATTCCAAGGAAAAGCGATCAGTTGGGCAGGTAATTCCCAATTTTCATTTTTTAAAACAGCGACGTTCAACACTATATAATTGCCAAAGCTTCAAATTTTTCTAAAAATCGAAGAAAAAAGGTTTTTTCCAGCACCTGGTCATCGAAGACAAGATGGACTACTGGAAGGAGCTCAATGATTCGTTCAGATGACGTTGGACTCAGCGAAACTCGAAAATTGTGCTTTGAATGAACATATTTTGTATACAAGACTTCTTTATATTTTTCAAAAAGAATCGAACCAGTTTTTCAGGAAAAATTTCAAAAAAATTGCTTTTATTTATGAAGCTTTTTCAAGCATGTGAATCTCAAAAAAATGGTTGGAAAAAGTAAAGTGAGGGTAGAAAAACTTTACTTCAGCCGATTCTGAGCATTTTGAGCCGAGATATGAAGTTTTGAAGTTGTAAGTGACAAAATTGACCCGAAACGCGGAAAAAACGATATTTCGAGAACCCAATGGTTTGTTGAGGACATAAGATGGTTCTATATGAAAAAAGACCTCCTGAATACAAAAAAAAATTTTACTTCACCCGATTCCAAGCGTTTTGAGTCGAGATATGAATTTTTGAAGTTGGGATTGACAAAGTTGACCCAAAACAAAGAAAGTCGATATTTCGAGAACCCAATGGTTTGTTGAGGACATAAGATGGTTCTATATGAAAAAAGACCTTCTGAAAATGTTAAAAAACTTCACCTCAGCCGATTCTGAACATTTTGAACCGATATATGAATTTTTGAGTTTATAAAGGACAAAATTGACCCAAAATAAGGAAAAATCGATACTTCGAGAGGGTGCCAGATGGTTCTATATGAAAAAGGACCCTCTGAACACGATGAAAAGTTTTACTCCATCCGATTCTAGCGTTTGAAGGTCCAGGCCAAGCTTTCAAAGTTTTCGACACGAAAAAATGCTGCGAATAATTTTCACAATGAGAAAAGGGATGAAAATCGAGAGATCCCGGGCTTTTCGAAGCCTGAAAGTAAAGGGAAAAGGTGATAATTGGCTTGAAGAAAGGTTTCAACGGTTCCGAGGGAATAAAGAACTTCCAAATTTCGAATCCCTTCGAAAAAATGAGGCAAAAAACGCTCAAATATGAAAATACGCGATATTTAAAAGTTTCCTATGAAATCGGATAAAAAGCGGTTTATTGTCACCATTTCGAGCAATCTTTGGGGGCGAAAAAAAGGACAAAGAAAACTGTCAGCAAAGAAGGAAAAATGCCGGCTTTTTCGAAAGTCATTGGAGCGGTCAGATCTTCGGCGAGGCTGGAGAGAGGTAGGCTGGAAAATTGGGCGATTTTAATTGTTTGGAAAAATATTTATTTATTCAAAAAATTCCTATTGTAATTGGTGTGGCTTATAATTATTGTAAACGTAATTTTCTTGAAGGCACTTTTTTATACCTTTACTCAAAAGTAAAGGTTGTTCCCTACAGGGACCATTTTTGCAAGCTTTAGTGGCCCCTCTAGGGATTGGTAAAGTGGTATCTAGAGAGGACCCTCCAAGGACCCCTATAGGGACCACTCCGGAGTTCCTAAGGTTTTCTTAGATGGACTACAGGTCCTGATCAAGAAACCTTTGAATTTCTAGGAATCAAAACATTGATTCTTACAGTTGGAAATGGACGCATCGGTCGTCGACTTTTCCTTTTCCTTATTCGAATAGAGATAAATCGAGAGAAGCGTCAAGCTGATGACGGCGGCCAGTAGGAAAATCAACAAGAAAACTCCGGCTCCGACCAAATCGTCTGAAAATATTTCATTTCGACAGAGAAGAAATTGGATTTTCGCTCAAATTTTATATCAAAATATTGTTCTTTTTCAAATAAATTGAATCAGTAGGGCACTTCGATTCAAAAAAGAATGGTTACTGTAGTACCGTAATCTTTCAATAACAAATAAGGACCTTGGTATCGCAACCCAGACGTGTCAGGGCATTTCTAGTGACCACTTTAGTAGCCTCAGAACTCTTAAGTGACCCCTAGAATCTCCCATAAACGTCCGTTACGCGTTACCAATGTCCGAGTACCTTTGCTAAAAAGTAAAGGTCCCAAAAATTATCGTTGGGGTCTTATGAAAGGCCCTGAAAATATCGATACATTTTCAAATTCAGTCTAGTTAGGTCAGAGACTATTCGAATCGCTGTCCCCGACTTGTAGCGGCTTTCGCCACCTCCTAGTTCTCATCACTATTAGCTCAAGCAAGAAAGCCTGTCTGCGTCTCCTCCATCATAACACTATCTCTTTCATTATCGTGTCAGGACCATTTTTCGATGGCTCCGTGAATCTGCTATAATGTGAGAAAATGCCCGAATTCATCAAATTGTTCAAAATAAACACCGTAACCTCATTTACCGTAACCTTTTACCTTTACTGAAAAGTAAAGGTTCCAAAATTTATTCTTTGGGTCTTATTTAAGGCCCTGAAGTGTGTTCATTGGAGAAACGTGGTATGAAAATTTAAACAAAGCAATTTATTAACCTGTGCGCCCGACTTTCAGAGGCTTACGCCACTTTCTATCTTACATCATTAGAAATATGAATTTTCATATAAGACCTTTTTGGAAGACAGGTTTTTTTCAAGTTAACATGGTAAATTGCTCATTTTTTTGAGGCTCTATTAGTCTCTTAACCTTATAAAAACCTTTTTTAAGGAATTTTTTCAAGCAAATACATTTTTTAAACCTTAAATTTGAATGAATTTTGCTCTTTGAAGTCCTCATTTCCCATTAAAATCGTCAAAATTAGTATAAAAAAATATTAAAATCGAATAAAAATACGCTCACTATTCAGTAAGCGTCCCAAAATTTATCTTAAGGTCTTATGAAAGGCCCTGAGAAAATCGTTTGATTTACGAGCTGGCCTTTTCAGGCCTGAGACCCGATTAATCGCTGCCCCCGACTCGTAGCGACTTTCGCCAACTCGTACGCTTCACCAAAAGGTTCTAATTTCGAGGTTATTTTTTAACTGTAATTTGTAGAAAAAAGAGGTTTTGCTCAATTTTCAAATAGAAAAGTTGTTCCATCAAAACGGAAAACTATGCGTTTGGGTTACGGTAGGGATACGGTAGCTTTGAAATTTTTTTGTTAGATGGATTGTTTGAATTTTTTGTGATTCATGAGAACACTCTGGAAAAATTGATATTTAGAGAAAAAAAAGTTTTTTTTTACATTTATTAAGAACATTGAAAATCCCTTGATTAAGACTTCGACCATTTTATTTTTCTCGTTTTAAAGTTCTTAGAGTCTTTGAAAACCCCTATAGGGATCGGAAAAGTTGTCCTCATAGTAATAAAATCAAGGTGGCCCGCATAGGGGTTTTAAGTCCGATTCCCAAGCCTCTAAACCTTAAGTGGTCCCTATAGGGATCTTTCAACTTCATTCAAAAACGCTTTTCAGTTTTTCGCAGGAAAATGCTCCTTTGTATAGATTTCATAGCTATTATCGACAAGCATGTCCCTATAGGGACCACTTTTGCAACTTCTAGTGGTCCCTAAAGGGGTTGATAAAGTGGTCCCTAGAGGAAACCCTTCAGGAACCACTCTGGAGTCCCTAAGGAAATCTCACCGCTTATACACTTTTTCTCCCGCTCCTCCTTCCACCTGCGACGTGCCGCCGCCGCGCTTTCAGTTGTGGAAGAATCATCAGAAGCGCCAGTTGAAGTCTCGGAAGGATTCTGTGGCGAGAGGTCGGGAGAATCGAAAGGTTCCTCAGTAGTCGTCTTCTTGGTGCTTTTAGTCGGCCCCTTTTTGGTGGTGGTAGGCTTCGGAGGACGCCGGGTCCTCTTTGAAGTCGTCGTCTTCAGAGGTACTGTAGTTGGTGAAGTTGGGGGTACGGTAGGGCCGTCACAAACGGCCAGAGTCTGAATGGAGAGCTTTTAGTGGTCCCTTTAGTGATCTTACTTTGATTCAAGGGATCAGAATAGGAGCAAGTCTCTTTTAGGAGTGTTATTGAACACTTGAGGGTTCTAGCAAGTGGTTAGTAGTGATCACTTTAGGGGAATAGCTTGAAAAGGCTACTGAAGTGATTTTAAAGAAGTTACGGAATTTCTGATAGTAGTACTGGGAAAATTTTAAGTGGCCACTATAGAGTTTGGACGTTCTAGTGGCCACTACAGTAGTCAAAACAGTGGCCACTTAAGAGGTTAAATGTTAGTGGCCGCTATAGGGTTTTGACGCGTTAGTGGCCACTATAGGGTTCTGACGTTTTAGTGGCTATTATAGGAGTCAAATTAGTGGCCACTTAAGGGGTTTAACTATAGTGGCCACAAAAGAGGTCTAAGTGCTCCTACTAGACCACTAAAAACTTTAGTGGCCACTTTAGGGGTCAATGGATCAACATAACTGGTCCAATCTGTTTGTTTGAAAATTATCAGAGTTACTGGAAAAACTACTGGATGAAAAACTACTGAAGTGGCCACTAAAACGGAAAATTGTGGTCACTACAGAGGTGGGTTTAGTGGCCACTTTAGTGTCCTCTCCAAGTAGTCCTTGCCTTTATAGTGGCCACTAAAAACTTTCCCATAAGAGGTTACGAAATTTCTGATAGTGATGGGGAGGTTTTGAATGATATATGGGCACACTAGGGGTGTAAATGAAGTGACCACTTTAGTTTTTGTTTAGTTATCGCTTTAGAAGCCATTTCAAAGATTAGAATGGGCTCTTATTAACTTCAGCTTTGCTCACTTCAAGGTAGAAGATCCATTTTTTGTCCCTCAAGAAGGAAAACTTTCACCTTTCGCGCAATTTTCTTCAGCCGATCCATCACAACTTGCGAGATCTGTGATTCGAAAACGATCAAATCTCTCTTCTGACAGTAAATCAGCGGTTCATCGACAATGATTTCTTTCAAATTGACAAAGGAAATCGAGGCAATGTCGGCGTCGAAAAATCTGATGGCTGGTCCTGCAACGAATCGTAGAGTTTTTAAAGGAGCATAGAGAAGAGATTATAGGCTCTTGCGCCTTCAAAAAAGCATATTTTATCAAAATTTACTATCAGTATTATCGAGACTTTAGGTTGTGCCTTTAAAGGCATAGGGGCAGTGAAAAATGGGGTTTCAGGTGAAAGCAGTATCTTATATAGTTTTTCTTTGCGAATCGAATGGTGTACTCAAAAAAATACAGATGTGACAACTTTAGAAGAAAAACGCGATTTTAATTTCCCGCCTTTATTTTTGAAAAAAGCTTTGGATCGGCCTACGGACAAATGTTTACAGTAGCCGTGAACGCGATGTTGCGGACGTCTCATTATACTCGCATTTTTTTTTAGAAATAACCGGCTCTCTGCTTCAAATTAAGGGTTTCTTTTCTGAAAAAAACGTTTAGTCAAACAAAAAACACACACCGATAATAAAGGAAACACAAATAATCGCTATCCCAATCGAAACCGATGTAAAATCATCATTTTTCACCAAAGAAGCATTTTTGCGATCAAAGTTTGCAAATTATACATGAATCGAAAGCTTTTGTGACGAAAAGAACTTTGGTGACAACAGAAAAAATTGAAAATTGAAAGAAACGAAGAAAAAAGCGAGAATCCGAAAAATGGCGGAGCCTGTTGTCCATAGAGCGACTTTACTGCAAAACCCCCTTTTTCGCGGGAACTCAAACTTTCCTCTCTCCGACTTTGAATAATTTTTTCTTCAAAACTAGGAACTTCTGTACGTTTTCAAGTTCACCGTTCGATTCGCAATCAAAAGCTCTATAAATAACCGCTTTGAACTGAAACATCGTTTTTTACTGCCCCTATGCCTTTAAAGGAGCATAGGGGGAAAATTTCAATTGAAAATTGGCACGAAAAAATTCAATTATTTTAGGCAAGATTTTAAATTTTTTGATGTTTTCCGACTTTAAAGCTCTACCGTACCCTTAATGAACCTAAGATCAAAAATTTCCAAAAAGTAAAAACCAGTTTTCTAGCAACAATAACGCACCACTGCCGTGATGAACGATCCTCTCCAATTTATTGAATTCTAACGGCTTCCCCCTGTTGGAAATCACAGTGAGCGTGCTGATTTGTGTCGCTTCGAAGGCGAAATTCCAAATAAGACGATGATTTACATTCGGATTAACGACCAGAATAATATCGTCAGTGCAAGCCAGCTTCAGGCATTCGTCGGGAAAAGCCTCGCCCGACGAGAAACTCACCATCGGCTGTGTACAACAATTTCCTGTAGCTTTTACTGATAAAGAAATAAGAAGCAAAAATATTACCTGCTAGGACAGAAGAGAAAATTGAGATTAAGGTTATGAAGAATAACAAGAGTGAGCATTGGAACGACGCTGAAATAATTTCTATTTTTTTTTGTTACCTTGCTTCAGATTTTCATGAATCAACTAATAAACGTAAAAATAGAAGAGAGAATTTTTCATTTTTTTCTGAAAATTTCTTTCCAATTTTTGCCTGAACCGCGTTTTGTACGCGAACAACGAGTGCACGGGAGGCGTTGTAGATTACGCGCAAAAAAATAGATTACGGTAGCAAATTTTTCTTCTAATAATTTTTTTAAAATTATTTTTTTATTAAAGAAATTTTTTTCAAAGTTTCTATAGCCAGCTATCTATTATTATGGCTGTCTCATTTTCATTCCCTCAAGGAGGAACCTGTAGATTTTACTTCGCGTTAAATCGCAAACCGCTACTCCCTGACGTCATCCCTATGACATCATCTTCATTTGCAAAACTTGCACACGCAGCCATATCATTTTATTCATTTTTTTACGTTCCAATTTATAAAATTAGATTCGACGTGAAAACTTTTTCCGGTCACATGAGAAACAGAAAGATAACACACTTGAAAATCCCCTTTTGGTTGGAAACTTTTTTTATTCTTCTATTTTTCTTACTTTTTTTAGAAAAAGGTTTGGAATAATCCGAGGCGTCGAGGCTTACGCCTACGCACAGTGTGCTCCTTTAATTTTTTTCTGGGAAATACACTTCGCAGATTTTTTCGCTACGCGTATCAAGTTTGCAAATCGTTTAGAGCTACCTGATAGTGTTATTAGTGTCCACTTTTTGAAACTAAATGCCTTTTATGTCAAGTATTTCATTTATTTGACGGATTTTTCACTGTGGCTCAGTTTTTCGAAGCGAGCCACAGTCGGCTTCGCGCTATGCGCGCTCCGCCTCCGCGTGAAGCCTTAAAACTAAGCCTATTTTCTTAAGTAATGCATGAACCTGTAGGTAGGGACCGCAGAGCCACGCCCACTTCGCTGTTCAAAAAAACTTCGTCATTTTTCGTTGCATTTTTGGTTCTTTTTTTATATTTTAAAACAGTTTTTCTTGTACCGATTTGGGGAAAAAAATTAGGGGAAACATACAATCGGCTATGCTTAACAATCCTACATGAAAGAGAATACTGAAAAAAATGAGAAATAAGAATGTACGACGACAGTTTTTCAAAAACGCATTTGTGGCCGAAAACAGATAAAAAAATCCCGTTTTTTTCTTGAAAGTTTCTGGGCAACTTTTTTTATTCTTGAATATCATAAAAGCAACTAAAAAAACGCATATTCTGGCGAAAAAAATAAAAAAATTCTATGGTTGGCCTCAAAAAAATAACGCAATTTGAAAATCACGATTTTTCGAAATTCCTTATTTTTCGAAAAAAACGCAATCGATAATTACTGATTATATTTTTTTAAACGGTTGTTTGCAGTTGTTTGCAAATTTTAAAAAAATATAAAACTAAGTTTTTTTCATCGATTATATAGTTTATATGAAAGCTTAAAATTTGGGTTTTTTTCGTAACGCTTTGAAAACGGCCCAAAAGCGTTCTGGGCAAGTTTTTTTATTTCATAATATCAAACATTAGACATTTCTCTACAACATATCAAAAAATAAAAAAATTCCTAGGATGGCCCGAAAAGTATGGTTAATTTAAACGCTCGAAAGTTATTTTTAAAACTGCGCGTCGCTGAAAATCTGCAGACACCGCGAAGGCCACGAAATTTTTCGAAAGCGTCAAGAAGGTTTTTTTTTAACTATTTATGTATTCTATTCAAGTTTTCTCATTTTATTGTGGCTTTATAGTTGCTTTTTACTCATTTCATAATTGGAATCTTTTTCCTATATCATTATATCCATTATAGCAGCGAGAAAAGTATTAAATTTCGCTTTTTACTCAACTTTTTTTGAATTTTTTTCAGAATGTCAAGTAAAGAATTCTGAAAAAAATTGTCTACGTACACTCCATGTAGACGCACAAACTTTAGAGAAAAAAATAAAAAGAAGTAGAAAATCAAAAGTAAAAACGATTTCGCCCATTTTTTTAAAAAACTCTCTGAAAAAAAGGACTTGGTGATTATTTACATATTTTTTTCAGTAAATTTCTTAGTAGACTGTTACATTTTTCAATTCGGTTTAATGCTGTTCGTCCTTCGCAGAGGTCTATTTTGTCGGTTATTTTTCTTTTTTTACGAAATGCATTAAAACCTTCTTCAAAACTCGCTTTTTCAGCAGCGTGAGTGCTTGAAGAGTAGGCTGATATTGAAAAAGAGCAATATTCAATATGAAAACTCTAATATTTCATTTAAAACTTCTAAAAACTCAAATAAATATGTTTTCGAAACGTCTCCTGCGTGAATTAACGCACAGCAAGGAGCGCGCGGCATCTATAAACACGCCCCTTTTCCTGCGACCCTGACGAAAGTTTCTACACAAAAGTGGTTCCCCCGATTTCGCCACTTTTTTTGCTTATAACTTTTTTTCATTTTTTTCATATTTTTTTCTTTTCTGTTTTTCGCAGTTAGCTCTCGATTGCCATCAGCTTTCTTTTTCATATAGGTTTCATGTTTATATCACTGACTTTGGAAATTGGCCTGCGGTCCCTACCTGTAGGCGCAGTTTTAATGCAAAGGCGCAATTCAGGCTCCTCCCATTCTTCAATTTTTTTCAATCTCAATTTCAATTCATATCAATTTATTCAGTATTCAGAGTAAGTTGAAGAAAATCTCTGCTGAATCATGGTATAATCGAAGAGTTAGTCGTCGGCGCGGGTGACGGTCCACAATCGTTGTCCAATACGTCCCGGAATGACAGCTAGCGTTGGGAAATAATGTTGGCCCGTTGGTAGTACCAGCGAATAAACTGCTTCACCATGTTGGAACAGTACAGCGCCCAGCTTGTCCAGGGCTGACGGGCGTCGGAATATTATCCCATGAGTAGGGGGCGCAAAGCCCCGCCCCTTCATGCCACCAAAATGACGATTTTTTTGTTGCAAAAACGGTTTCGAGGCGTTTATACTAGCTAAAGTCCCACTTTAAAAATGAACTGTTTCTGTTAATCTATGTAATCGACAACGCTCTACAAGACTGAAAAAAATTTTTTTAAACTATGTATTTTTTTCAAAAAAATAAGCGAAAAAAAGTAAGATTTAACACGAAAAAAACTGACAAGTTTCACAAAAATCGTCGCGTTTCTGAAAACCAAGTGAGGAACGCTTCCGAATTTTTGAGTATGTTATACATTAACACTTTCTCTATTTTTTTGAGTAAAAATGAAAAAAATCTACCGACGCGAAAAAATTATTAAAGCTTGTAAAGTGACACCAAACTTTGAAGCTGAAATGCGAAAAAATTTCAGCGACATGGTATACTTTTTATTTGATTTAAAAACTAACAGTGTGTCCAAAAATAAGAATTCAAAATGAAAATAATTATTGGGACAGCGAATCAAGTTATATTTGAGTTTTACCAAAACCTCCTTTTTTCGCCTGCCTCGTTGACGCATGAGAGAATAGGATCGCGTCTATACTTTTGCTTATGTTATTAAGCGTTCAAAACTCTATCAATGAAAAAATTATGAAAAAAATCGATCGACGCGAAAAAAATAACGGCTTTGAAAACCTCGAAAAAATGGCAATTTTTTTTGAAATTTTGGAAGATTTCGTGCAAGTGTCCGCGGCTGTGTTTGCGTCAAACACACCGATACGCCATTTTAAATGTCGCAGGAGCCGTTTTTTTCGGAGTCAAATTGCACTTTTTTTCCTGTTTTATTTCGAAATAACATTATTTTTTTCATTTTTTTCTTTTTTTCCAAATCGAATGATAATAATTTTTTTCTGAGTAGAAAAAAAGAAAAAAATAAGCTGAAAAAAATCCCTTTAACCTTTTTTTAGGTAGTTTTTTTGATATTCTATCAAAAAAATTCTTATGAGGATTGTACAAAAAGATTCATACCAAAACATGAGGCTCAGTTCGGACAACCTCTCAGAACAGAAAACCGATTTAAAAACGGTCCAGAAACGTGCAAAAACATTTAAAAAGAAAGCGTGCGGCAGCGGGTAAACCGTGAGATTTTGCCTCCAGTTGTACGCCGCGCGCGCTCGTTTTTTGGCCATAACTTTTTTCTTAGTGGAGCTTTTTTCAAAAAACTAAACGGATTATGAAAATGGACAGTCTCTTCTATCGAACAATGTGAAAAACATATTTTTTGAATCGTTCTGAAGAAATGGCTTGCGGTCCCTACCCATGAGAGAGCGGCAAAGAGACCGACCAGTCGACGTGATGAAATGAGATAATAATAATCTGCTGAATCATGTTCACGTGAATAAAATAAATATTTCGATTACGCTTATTTCTTGTGTTACGAATAATGTCATGAAATGAAGTCAGGGAGTAGCGGTTTGCGATTTAACGAAAACAGTAGATTTTATAATGCTCTCAATAGTTTTCTCGCATTTTTTGAATGAAGCAAAAATGAACGGAAAGTCTTTTAGGCAACAGTTTTCGAGTGATTTTCACTTATTTTTGTGTTCTGGCTGCTTTTTTATATAGTTCTCAACCAGAGCCTGTTTTTTTCTAAAATTGTTAAATAATACTTGAGATTTGGTTTCTAAAGTTGTTATTTTTAACCTTTGAGTTCCTTGTACTTGAAGGAACAGCTCATCGCGACGAGATGCAGTGGTGCAGGTCGACGCGGATCGGAAGAATGAGCTTGGCGAGAAGCTCTTCGCCTTTTTTTCTTTTTAAAAGAAACGTACGGTTTTTTTATTTTTCTTTTAATGTATTCAATCATTCTGCATGTTTTTTTCAGTTGTCTAATTCAAGCGTTAAGGTCTTATTTCTCGAATTTTAATATTAGTAGAAAGTTTAAAAAGCTTCTTTTTTTCTCAAACGAAATGAAAACCAGCTTATAGTCATTTTTTTCTGCCAAATTTCCAACAAAAAAATATCCATTTCCATGAAATTTCTCAAGAAAGGAAGTAATTGAGGCGAAGATGGCAATTTTGGAAATTCTCACAAATAGTGATTTTCATCACTATTTCGAGAATTAAAAAAATTATCTCTTTTATTTGGCAAATGCAACCTTAGTCTAGCCTTCTTTTAGAGTAATTTTTCACTTTCCCAAATTTTTTTTTCAAATCCTGATATGCTCATTTTGCCTTCAAAGTCCAATTTTTAAGTCATCAGAGCGAAATATTTATTAAAGATCGCCTTATTAGTAGACGAGAATAATCGGACCAGAAAGTCCAAAGTTTTTTGCTCATTCTCACTACGTAATCATAAGTTGCCTTATTATAATTTCAAATTTTCAACTGCAGAAGGCGGAAAAATGGAGCCGTCGCTTTTGGAGACGTTTCTGGAGATGAACGACTATCCTTTTTGTGAAAATGGCCCGGAAGATTCCAAGATAATCGGCTTGAGAAGTGTCGAAATCGTCTTGGCTTTCCTATTTCTGCCCCTGAGTCTCACTTCCCTCTACTGTATTTTATTCAAATCCCCGAAATCTATGAGAATTTATCGATGGTATCAACTTAATTATCAAATTTGGTGGGTTTTCGATGGGAAAAACTGTTTTTTTGTATCTTTTTGCTTGATTTAATGAGGACACTTTTCCAGGGTCCTTCTATGGGATTTGTTATTTTCGATCTGTATAACGCCTATCCTGTACTTTCCAATGATTGCTGGCTGTTCCATTGGATTTTTCCAGTTTCTCGGAATCCCAGTCAAAGTCCAGCTAGTATTGGGCTTTATTGCTTTTGGAAGTAAGCTCCTTGGAATTTTGGGTCCGTGAATATTCGTGAGCGTGAATTGTGCATGCACCAATCGAACGATTCTTGGGGATATTCACTTTTTTTTTTTGATTTTTCATCTTTTTTTCGTTCAATTCGTTTTTTGTTGTTGTTTTATTGTAAGGATGTCGTGTTTCGACCAGAAGGAAAATTCATTAAAATCAAAAAATCAATGAATGTTTCCAAGGTTCGAGCCCCCCAAGATTGGTGTATGCACAAATCACGCTCACGAATATTCACGGACTCGATCAAAAAGAATTCCAAGTTCCAGACATGGTCATAGCGATTGTTTCGCTTTTCGTGTACCGTCACTACTGCGTTTTGCCGCCTTCTATCAAAATAAAACTTCGAAAATCGATTTATTTCTCATATTGGTCCGTCGTGTACCTCGTTTTCATGGGAACCTATGTGAGATTTGCACTCGGGGTCCCGGAAAAACAGTTCGAGGCCCAGGTTTTTGTTGTCAAGGTGAATTTTTGTCAGTTACCAGCTCTGCAAAGTTGTTTAAAATGACATTTTTTTAGGTCGAAGTTTTAATGTCAAGTTTTCACATAGAAGGCTCGAAGTAGCTTTTTAGTCTTGAAATGTTAAAGCTCCGCCCCTATGGCGCGATGAGCCAATCAGAGAGCGAGCCTTCCAGAAAGCGTTTTCGAATGACGTCATTTGACATCAAATATTTTTAAAGACTGTGATTTTTATCAATATTATCATTTTTTTATCCTTGACAAAATGCGATTCCTCTTAAATGATGAGTTTTTTTCATTAATTTAACTTTTTGAAAATGATTTTTTTAACATATCAATTTAGTTAAGACGGCACCGCTAGATTTTTGAAGTCATGAGATTTAAAAAATAATTTTTTTTTTTGCAGTTTATAGCTGATTATTGACTGTTTTAATTGATTAAAAACTTGAAAAAACCTTTTTTCGGATCAGGGTTTTTTGAATCAATAAAGCTTCATGGTGGATAATGGCTGCTAGACTTGAAAAAGGCAGCAAAAAGGCTCGAAAAAGGCCGCAGAAAGAGTCCCTTTATTGAGCCTTTCATTTTTCCTAGGATTTTAAAAGCTCAAGAAATGGTGAAAAAAGGAAAGAGGCAGCAAAAAGGGTGCAAAATAGCTGTTGAAATGGCCCAAAAAGGCAGCAAAAAGGAACCTCTCTATGAGCCTTTTTCCACCCTTTTCGACTTTTTTCATAGAAAAAAATCCGTCTTGAATAAATTTCAATTTTTCTCAGACTATGAACTGCCGTCCCCCACGGATTTTCACCCCATGTGCCCTTGTTGTGGACACTTCCTATGCCTACGCCTGGTTCATCGTCATCGGGGCTGTCATTTTCGGTGGCCACGTCATTTTCTTCACCGCCCACAGCATCTACATCCTCAGTGATCCTCAAATTATCATGTCCCAGAAGACGAGGAAGATCCAGAAGTCGTTCCTATATTCCCTATGCATCCAGGTTTTGAAAATGAACGTTTTTGAACGGGGTTTTTTGTTCCAGGTTTTCGTCCCCCTGATGTTCCTCTTGATCCCATTTTCTACGATTGCCGTCCTCGTCTACACTGGCAGAGTTGTTCCATGTGATTTTCTGCTTTTTCTGCAGCTTTTGAAAAATCCTCTGACACGGCGTTATTGTTAGTGAAAGATGGGCGGAGCCAAAATATCTGCCGTTCCCACGTAACGTCATGGGAACGACAGAGATTTCGGCTCCGAGAGCGGAAATAACAGGGCATATTAAAGGCGCAGGCCGCCGTATTGCCGGAGGTCTTTAAGACGAATCGAAATTTCTCTACATAAACGCAATTTTCTGCACGAAAGCGGCGCAGTGTATGCACACGACACACGGCACTTTACGGAGAAAAGTGGGCGTGGCGTCGTTGAAAAAAAAGGCCGTGCTGAAATTGATTTTTTGTTTGTTTTTATCATGTTTTTGAGCTTAAATTTTATTGGGTTTTCATGCAAAAATCAAATTTCACGGTTTTCCATTCTTCCGTACAGAAGTCGCTTGATAAAAAAAATCTATTTTCTTTTTTTTCGAAGTAATTTTTTTTGATATATTTGAGATATGAAAATTAGGAGTTAAACAATTTTTTATTCCAGCGATGGCCTCACTAATCGTCATCTGGATAACTCTACACGGCGGCGCTTCTCCTTGCACTATAATCATATTAAATAAAAAGCTACCGATACTTTTTACTGGACATTTTTCGATTAAACCGTCCCGGCGGGAAAAATGGTGTTTTTATTGACTTCCTCAACCTTGAGCCTCATTTTTTTTATTACAGAAAATTCGATGCCCCGATCCTTGTGGATCTCGCGGAATGTCACGCCCGTTTCTTGATGATTTGTACCCACTAGGACAAATACGGGGAATAAAGATTTTTTTTTTTCTTCAAAGTTTGCATAAAATATATGTTTCCGCTTTGCAAAACTTGGGTTATTGGAATTCGAGTCAACCGAGCGCAAACTTCTTTTTAAGAAAAATTGCATTAAAACACACATTTTCAACTTTTATTGTAACACAGAGAAAAAGCTTCATTTAAAATTAATCCGAATTTAAATTTGATGGAAAAAGTGGTTAATAATGGCTTCGAGGAAATCATGGCAAGAAAAAAATATCAATTAAAAAGCGATTAAACAAAGATTAAATTTTAAAATGCTTTTTCCTTACACCAAATAATAAAAAATTCGAATAATTGAGATTTTTTTCTCCAAATTGATCATATTAATTTCTAAGAAAAAATAAAACAAATAAAAAAAAAAGGAAGAAAAGCGAAAAAGAAAAATTTTTATTCGAAATCGACCACCGTAACTCAAAAATGTTTTGGCCGTAAGCACACTCCACGTCCAACTTATTTGATTTGACGACACATTCTAGAAATAAGCATTTTTTCAATTTAATACAAATTTTTCTGAAAGAACCAGCTTCACAGTGAGCGAAACCACAATATTTTTAAAAATATAGAGACAATTCTTTAGTTATGAGCTGTGAACTTTTAATTTTTCTCCTGTTTTTTGTTTTGAAGTTATTGCCATTAAGAACTACTTTTCTTATAAAACCTAGAGTTTCAGGAGCTGCCTATCTCTAGTAATATTAAAGTCACATGGGGAATGATTTTTTCAGGATTCTGAGGACCTGAGCTTCATCTTGAAGCTTCAAATGTTCTACGTTCCTTTTTTTTGAATAGCTACTAGCCATGAAGTGTATCGAACTGTTATTTTTCAGAAGCTCTATCAATAGAATGTGCAATAATTCTGTTGAAGGGAAAAGCTGGAGATTCCCAATTGAATTCGAGTCGATTTTTTGGATTCTCAACACTTCTGGAAACATGATGAAAGGTCATTTTCCTGGTTGTGGAACTGAATGAAAGGGACGATCATCTGCGGCCGGAATGATGGATCGTCTGTTGACCGCGGCGGCGTCCCTTTGCTACTGGTGGAAGTTCTCATTTCTAACTTTCTTCCGTTTTCCATTTCTCTCCTCGTTTCGTGTTCCTCATTGGAAAGCTCAAGCTCGGCTTTGATTTAGTGATTATTCTATATTTTCTCGAAAAATTTTTTTACTGCCTTTTCCCGCCCTTTCATCGGTCTTTATCCACCATTTTTAGACTTTTTTGGACCCTTTCAGGAGCCTTTTTGGACCCTTTTTTGGACCCTTTTTGGAGCCTTTTTGCACCCTTTTTGGACCTTGTTTGAACCTTTTTTGGACCCTTTTTGGACCCTTTTTGAACCTTTTTCTGACCTTTTTTTGGATCCTGTCAGGAGCCTTTTTGGACACTTTTTGGACCCTTTTTGGAGTCTTTTTAGCCCTCCAAGAAAAAAAAAAGGCTCAATGAAGGCTTCATCAATGATATTGTTAACTACATTGACCATGAAACCTCAATCTTTCTGTTCGCTGATGATATAAAAATTTACAGTTTTAACCCTGAATCTCTCCAACGTAGTATTAATTCCATATTTGAATGGTCTTCCATTTGGGGCTTACCTCTTGCTGCGCACAAAACTTTTGCTATCAACCTTGGTCCCCTCAATCCCAAAACAACTTATTTAATCAATGGTCTGTCTATTCCCAGAAAAACCATTATCCGTGATCTAGGTGTTCTTATCGATGATAAACTAACTCTCGCTCCTCACATTAACAATATCGTTTCTTTAGCAACCCTTCGTTCCAATCAGATACTCAACTGTTTTCGTTCCAAATCACCTGATCTATTGTTCAAAATTTTTAACACCTATGTAAGGCCTATTCTAGAATACTGCTCCGAAGTTTTTAACCATCCCTTTAATTCTGATCTCTGCTACAAACTGGAATCTCCTCTCAGAATTTTTTTTCGTAAAATTTTTATTAGGTCCAACTTATCCTTTGAATCTTACTCTGATCGCCTTGAACAATTTGATATCTCTCCACTTTACCTCAGACGAGCTATATCTAACATTCTGACCCTTCATAAAATTGTCTTCGGTATCGATCATTTTCCCCAGTTCGAAATTTTTGTCCTCAGGTCCAATTTAAGGCGAAATCCACTTCGACTGCGTTCTCAAGGTCAGTTTTCTAATGATTTTTTCTTTAAAACAATTCCTACTTGGAACAAACTCATTTCCAAATTTCAATTCAGCCACCACTCCAAGTCTTTAAAAAATTTACTGGTCAATCTACCATTGCACGAGATCTTCTTGTCTATTCCTCCACGACTCAAATGATGTATAACTGTATAATGTATTTTTCTCAAATTCTAGATCCAAGTGAACTCGTTAGGGTTCACGCTGATCTGTCAATAAATTATTATTATTAAAAATAGTATACAATTCTAGGGCTATTTTTCGATCTTTTTCTTCTTCTCAAAAATTTTTGTTAGGAATAAAAAAATTCCATCTTTAAAAGGCTCCAAAATGGAACCCTTTCAGCGGCCTTTTTGCACCTGTTTTACGCACTTCCGGCTTTGGCTGTGTCCAAATTTCGCTTATACCCAAAAAAATAAATCTGGAAATACTGAATTAATTTTAAAAGAGCCGGTTTTTATAGATCTTTAACCAACTCAAAGTTCTAATTTGTCTTTTTAAGCTCTAACAAATTTAATAATCCGTATGATCAGTTTCTGTTTCCACAAGGAAAATAAGGCATAAATTTCGCAATAAAAAGCTCAGAAATGAAATATTTGAATTATTCACAACTAGAGGCTTTAATTTGGTCGATTTCTGCGCTCTATTGATAAAGTCTTAAAATTAGGCCCTTTATTGAAAAAAATGTCCAAGAAACTTTTATAATACGCTCTTAATTTGATTAAAATCGAAGTCTGTATCTCAGGCCATGTACAAAGAACGATTCGCGTGAACTGAAAAGTGGGCGGAGCCTTCCAAACCCTCTCCGAAAATTTGACCGGTCACCCGACCAGTCACTGTTTACCTACACACTTCCCGTTGAGAATCGTCATTTTGATTTTCTTATCAATGGGGCGCACTATCAACCTGATACTGTAGAAAATGAACAAAAAGTTTGTTAGAACTGACCGGCTTAAAATGAGAGCAAAAAATGATGAAAAACACTTCTGTTAGAATATAGTTTTGCGTAAGCCGCGACGGGTCGGATGCAAAAATTTTCTGGGAAGTCGGGTGCAAATCTTATTTTCAAAAAAAAAATTTCCAAGAAAATCCCACTTCAAAAAATGACGCCTTTCAATACAGTGCTCCCAGTAATACAGTACTACTAGCTTCAGTACTACAGTATTCTTAGATACAGTAATACTACAATGAAACTACAGCCCTCCAAGTTACAGTAATACAGTACTCTTAGCTTCAGTACTACAGTATTCTTAGTTACTGTAATTCTACAGTAATACTATAGTCCTCAAAGTTACGTGATACTACAGTAATACAGTTTTACTAGCTACAATACTACAGTACTCCCAGTTCCAGTACTTCAGTACTCCCAGTTAAAGTACCACAGTACTTTCAGTTACAGTACTACTAAGGTACCGCCATACTAACTTGAAACACGGAAATAACCGAACAAAAAAATTGTTTTTTCTTTTTTCCAAAATACAGAAATCCCGTCACCTAACCAGGTCTATAATCCCTTTGTGGGGCAACCGAAAAACACGAAATGTCGGTCATTTTATTGTATTTACATGCCCTTTCTAGAGGAAAAACTGGAAATTCGTGCTGATCCACGGTAAAAATGACTAAAAAGTAAACTTTGAAGCCGTCTATTGGTCATTTTATTCTATGATTCGAAAAGCCAAAAAAGTTTTGAAAGTTAAAACTGGAGAGGGGTCGAACCTGCAAGCTTCGCACGGCAGACTACCGTCTAACCGACTGCGCTATCGAGTAACCTGCTCAGTTTTGCGTCTTTTAATACTATAACTATATTTTTTTATCCAGTTTTTTTCAAAAATTAAGCCGATCAATGTTGTTTTTCGCTTTAAGAAAATGAAAAATCAAACAAAACACTACTTTTTCCTCGACTTTCTGATTTTGTTCATATTTTTCACAATTTTCCGACTCCAATACACTGTTCGCTTTTTCAAAACGTCCTTTTTTAATTTCCTGTTCTATAAAACTTCAAAAATCAACAAGTTTCAGAAAAAAATTAATGACACAGGCCCCTGAAAACGTCGAGAAAACCAGGTATCTTTTAAATTTTTCAGCTACTATAGTGGTCACTAAAGCTTGAAAAAGTGGCCTCTATAGGGGACATGCTAGTTGTGAACTCTATGCTAAGAAGCATTGCCATGGGAAAAACTGAATAAATAAGCGTTTTTGAAATGAAATTGAGAGGCTCCTACAGGGGCCACTTGAGCTTTAGAAGCTTATGGGTCAGACCCTAAACCCCTATAGGTATCACTTTAATTTTACCTCTATAGGGGCCGCTTTTTCGGCCCCTAACCCCTATAGGGACCCCTCTGATATTCCTAAGTTTTGGCGGTCATTCAAACTATTTGATACGATCAATGAAAATGAATCCTAATTTATTAAGAATTTTTAAGGGAAACCGGAAGTGAAGATTCAACGTCACAAGCTTCTGACAATGACAACTACTTGACAGTTCGGACCCTTCGATCCGTTAAAAAGCTGGTCAGAAGTTTGCAATTTTCTTTTTTGAAAAAAAAGCCAAGTTTTCAAAAATTCAAAGTGTTTTTCTTCTACCATTTGCTACGAAAGTTGTTAAGTAGTAATGAAATAGTTAGCGACCTTTGTAGGGCCTCCTCAAGGGGCCACCTTAAGAACCCCTATAGGGGCCACTAACGCTTGCAAAAGTGGCCCCTATAGGGGCAGGCTAATCTATAATTGTTATGAGCTCTAAGAGAAGAAGCAATTCCATGGGAAAAACTGAGAAAAAGCGTTTTTTGAAAGAAGTTGAACGGCCCCTATAGGGTCCACTTGAGCTTTAGGGGATAAGGGGACAGATGCTAGACCCTTATAGGGGCCACCTTGATTTTAGATAGACCCTTATAGGGACCACTTGCTGAGGGGGCAGATGCTCGACCTCTATAGGGACCACTCTAGTTTTAACCCTATAGGGTCCCCTTGAGCTTTAAGGAATGAGGGGACAGACCCTGAACCCCTATAGGGACCACCTGGATTTTAGAAAGACCCCTATAGGGTCCACTTGAGCTTTGGGAGCTAAGGAGTCAGACCCTGAACCACTACAGGGGACTCCTTAGTTTTACCTCTTTAGGGACCACTTTTTCGGTCCCTACAGTGGTGGTTTTCCTCCTAACCCCTATAGGGACCACTCTGGCCTCTTCAGAACACTTCAATCACCAGTTGAAAGACTTCCAATTCCTCTAATTTTCCAAATCAAACTGATAAGAATGAGAAAAAAAAGGGCGGCCCCACACATTTTTCATATTTACCCACACAAAAAAACTCCAAATTCTATGTTTGAAAAGGGACAAAAAAAGACGGAAATGTTCATGTTTTTTTCCTCGCAATGACCTCCTCAAACAAGAACGAAAATGGCTCCAGTTTTCTCGCCAAATTGTGAGTTTCTTCATTTTTTTTTGGGTAGTTTTGAGTTGGAATTCTCAGAAGGGACAATAAAACGCTTTTTTAGAGATCCTTTTAAGCTAATTAAAGTAATTATAATGACTTGAAAGACCGAAATTTCGAGTTCTCTGAGCTAAAATTGAGAAAAAAAACTGTTTTTCGAAGATTTTTTTGCTATATTTTTTTAATAGAAAGCCTTTTTTTGCCTTCCAAGCCGAAAAATAATTAATTAAACCAGTGATATATCGAATTTTTGAAAAGTGAATATTGGAAAAAAATAATGAAAAAAAGTGGTCATAAAAAAACACAAAATTCTTTAACTTTGGAAAAAAAAAGAATTTTTCAATTATTCCAAAGATCAATTTGGAAATAAATATTTTTGTTTCACGGCTTAAAATTATCGCAAAACGTGACAAGAAAATCTTCTCTTATCAATTTTTCGACGATCCTCACATGGATGGTTAACTTTTCGGTTGAAATTTTCTTGAAAACTTGACAGGATACTCCTTAAAGTACCAAATGAAGATTCTGAAAGTCTCAACCTGCAAAAATCCCTAGTTTTTGAGAAATAACATCTCGAAATCTGATAAAAATAGGCAAATTTGAAGCTTTAAGCGCTTATTTCTTGAAAACCCAGGATTTGGGCGGGCTGAAATTTTCAGGATAGTTTTCTGGTACATCAAGAAGTATCCTGGCCAATTTTCAAAAAATTCCCAATCCCAAAGTGAAATGACCTCCTTATTAAGGCTAGAACAAAATTAATTGAAAAAATTAAAAATGTGAAAAAATTTTTTTTGCTCACATCAGTCTACTTATAATTTTCTTAAAAAACACCACTATTTTTTGAAATTTTTCTATTAAATTACCCAACCTAAAAATAACCAATTTCAAACCAAAAAGTGAATCATTCCCACTACAATCGTGTTATGCATTGTTGAACAAATAATCTTTTTTTATTCATTTTTAAATGTTTTGACCCGATTCACGGCTCATCGAGCCGTGAATCATAGAAAATGTTTGTTTTTTTTTCCAGAGGAATGTTTTGAAACTTTTTTTGAAACAAGCACATTGTTTATCGGCTGAAAAGCTAGTTTCTTATTGGAAATAAAAAAATAGAAACGTTATATTTATATTTATATTTTCTAAACCTCATAGCTAGCTTCAATCCGGAATTTCAGAGTGATCCCTATAGGGGTTAGGGGGAAGAACAGCCCGAATAGGGGCCGAGAAAGTGGTCCTCATAGAGATAAAATCGAGGTGGTTCCTATAGGGGTTTAGGGTCTGACTCCCTAGCCTCAAAAGCTTAAGTGGTCCCTATAGGGGTCTTTCAATTATATTCAAAAAACGCCTTTTTAGTTTTTTCCGCGGAAATGCTTCTTCGCTTAAAGTTCAAGTTCCCTTATAGGGGCCACCAACTTAAACCCTACAGGGACCACTTTTGCAAGCTTTAGTGGCCTTTATAGGGGTTGGTGAAGTGGTTTCTAGGGGGTCCAAGGGCGCCTAAGATTGCCCCTGAAGGGACCGCTCTGGAGTTTCTAAAAAAGCGATTTTTCAGGGCATCGGCGGGCAGAAAAAGGGCCTCACACATCGTTATTCAAGTTCCAGCAGCTTCCGTTCGGAAATTCAAGAAATATGAAGGCGTCGGGTCGATGCACCGAGAAACGATGCATTTTTGCCGTGAGTTATACTTCTTTTTTATTTTTTTCTAACTCTTTGAGGTGGGCTAGAAAAATCATTAGAGCTCCTCAGAGTGTCTCCCAAATGTCTTATTCACGATTTGATAGGAAAATTTCTTCTCTCGAGTCCTGAATAGAAAAACAGTTGGTTCTTCTACAGGAGCTTCAGACTGACACTGAAATTAGCCTGAGCCCGAACAAAAACTCATTTATGACCGATTTCTGTTCTTTCTGACCCCTCCCGAGGTCTGGGCCGAGTCCGACAGCGGTGCAACGCCGGAACGACCCTCGGAAGGCCGGAGCAAGCTCCAGAATCCCTCCTTGGCTCCAAAAATGAATTAACCTATACAGAGCTCGATGAGCTCATATCGTAGGTTAATACGATAAGAACGGTAACTACAAACTGATCTTAGCCAATAGGCCGAGAAGCGATACTGGAGAACGTTTTCGAGCAGTAGTGATGGGTGAGCGTGTCCCGACGCTAACCGACTTGGTGGCTGGGCTGAGAGATGAGAGTGGCAGGCGGCGAGAGGAGCTTGGCCTCTTTTGGCGTTTTCTTTGGTTCTTTTCACGGGCAAAGTCCAAGTTACCTTTTAGGGTCATAAAAAAAAATTACGGTGAAAAGGCATCGTTTCTCCATACAAAACCTTCATGTATCTTGAATTTACGTTGGAAACTGGCTGGAAACCAAAACTAGAGCTTCCGATCACTTCTAAAGTCCGAAGTACGGAAAACGGACGCAAAATGACCACTAAAGGGTTCCTTTTTGCGGCCTTTATTGAGCCTTTCTTTCATGGAGGGATGAAAAGCTTCAAAAAAGGGTGAAAAAAAGAAGAGGCCGCAAAAATGGTGCAAAAAGGGTGCAAAAAGGGTGTTGAAAGACTCGGCCATTGATGATTTCCGATTTTATTATTGTAGCACTTTTTGGTTTATATACAATCACTGATTATTCTCAATTCAAAAAATTTATTTGTTTCTGAGAAGGGTCAAAAGGGTCCAAAAAGGGTCCAAAAAGGGTCCAAAAATGGTCCAAAAAAGGTCCAAAAAGGGTCAAAAAATGGTCCAAAAATGGTCCAAAATGGGTCCAAAAAAGGTCCAAAAAGGGTCAAAAAATGGTCAAAAAATGGTCCAAAAAGGGTCCAAAAATGGTCCAACAAGGGTCAAAAAATGGTCCAGAAAAGGTCCAAAAAGGGTGGATAAAGGCCGAGGAAAGGACCGAAAAAGGCAGTTAAAAGGAACCGTTGCCACTCGTTTAGGAATATTTAATGGAAACAGACGGATCCGTAACGGACGCTCAAAGGGCCCGAAAAGGGTCCTTCCGACTTAGCCCATGGTCAACAAGACCTTTCCAAACCTTTGACCCAGGAAAAAGTCCTCTTTTCAGAAACGACGACGATGCACGGTCCGAAGCGAATATTCCAAGGAAAAGGTCGGGCGATGGGTTTCTGGGTGATGATGTGCACCGTCGCCATGGCTCTTCTCATTTTTCAGACCGTCCAATTGCTAACTATCTACTTCTCAAAGCCAACTCTCTCACAGGTAATGATCCAGGTTTATCAAAAAATTGCATTGAATTTTTTTTCATGTATAAAAATGACCCCTTTACATAGGGTCCGCAAGCCATTTCTTCAGAATGATTCAAAAAATATGTTTTTCACATTGTTCGATAGGGGAGACTGTCCATTTTCATAATCCGTTTAGTTTTTGAAAAAAGGTTCACTAAGAAAAAAGTTATGGCCAAAAAACGAGCGCGCGCGGCGTACAACTGGAGGCAAAATCTCACGGTTTACCCGCTGCCGCACGCTTTCTTTTTAAATGTTTTTTTGCGCGTTTCTGGACCGTTTTTTTAAATCGGTTTTTCTGTTCTGAGAGGTTGTCCGAACTGAGCCTCATGTTTTTGGTATGAATCTTTTGTACAATCCTCATAAGAAGTTTTTGATGAAAATATCAAAAAAACTACCTAGAAAAAAAGGTCAAAAGGATTTTTTTCAGCTTATTTTTTTCTTTTTTTCTACTCAGAAAAAAATTATTATCATTCGATTTGGAAAAAAAGAAAAAAATGAAAAAAATAATGTTATTTCGAAATAAAACAGGAAAAAAAGTGCAATTTGACTCCGAAAAAAACGGCTCCTGCGACATTTAAAAAGGGCGCATCGGTGTGTTTGACGCAAACACTGCTACGGACACTTGCACGAAATCTTCCGAAATTTCAAAAAAATTGCCATTTTTTTCGAGGATTTTCAAAGCCGTTATTTTTTTCGCGTCGATCGATTTTTTTCATAATTTTTTTCATTGATAGAGTTTTTGAACGCTTAATAACATAATCAAAAAAATATAGACGCGATCCTATTCTCTCATGCGTCAACGAGGCAGGCGAAAAAAGGAGGTTTTGGTAAAACTCAAATATAATTTGATTCGCTGTCCCAATAATTATTTTCATTTTGAATTTTTATTCTTGGACACACTGTTAGTTTTTAAATCAAATAAAAAAAGTATACCATGTCGCTGAAATTTTTTTCGCATTTCAGCTTCAAAGTTTGGTGTCACTTTACAAGCTTTAATATTTTTTTCGCGTCGGTAGATTTTTTTCATTTTCACTCAAAAAATAAAGAAAGTGTTAATGTATAACATACTAAAAAAATTTAGAAGCGTTCCTCACTTGGTTTTCTGAAACGCGACGATTTTGTGAAACTTGTCAGTTTTTTTCGTGTTAAATCTTACTTTTTCGCTTATTTTTGAAAAATACATAGTTTTAAAAATATTCAGTCTTGTAGAGCGTTGTCGATTACATAGGTTTTCAGAAACAGTTGATTTTTAAAGTGGGACTTTAGCTAGTATAAACGCCTCAAAACCGTTTTTGCAACAAAAAAATCGTCATTTTGGTGGCGTGAAGGGGCGGGGCTTTGCGCCCCCTACCTTTACACATAGGAAAAAACTGAAAACGGCCATTTTGAAGTCTAAAAACTCGCGATTTGAGGTCTCATTTATCGTCAACGACACGGGTCTCCATTTTCCGGCCATAACTATTTGCAATTTCAATCCAATCAAGAAGTCTCACGTTCGAGGTACAGTCGAAGCCTATTTTGAAATGGTCGCACGTGGAATGGTTCGAAGCGTCGCGGCTTACGTTGAGATTTTCAGTTTTCCAGTAGAAAAATGACTTTTAAATGAGATAAAATTCACCAGATGCAGTTTTTAGAGCTGATCTCAATTATGTGCCCAAAATTCTTCAAAAAGGTCTGTGAAAAAAATTTTGACCGCTCAAAGTTCAAAAATAAATTCCCGTTTCCATCTGCTTATGAATGAAGGAAGCTCCAAAAAAGTACTCTAGCTCAAAAAATGGGTCCATCAGGACTTATTTCATCCAACTTAGTACTCGGGCAAATTCATAATGGTGCAAAATGGCCCTTAAAAGGGAGAGGCTTGAAAAAGGCACCAAAAAGGCTCAAAAAAGGCTGCAAAAAGGCACCAAAAAGGCCGAAAAAAGACAGCAAAAAGGGAGCAAAAAGGCCGCAAAAAGGCTCGAAAAAGGCACCAAAAAGGCTCCAAAAAAGCTGCAAAAAGGGTCTCTTTATAGAGCCTTCTATTTCACCTGAAATCTTTCTAAATCCCTCCTCTTTGATGCCAAAGGGCGTGAACCGTTTTGGGTCGGGCGCATTTCAGAAACACGTTTCGAGCCATTCTTAACGCGCCCTTCCGAAAAAATCTAATAACTTCTCCCAGAATTGAACGCCTCGGGCGACTTATCCGGAGAAACTCTACAGTACTTCTTATTAACCAACGCTGATGCCATGACTATCTACAGTAACCCGGATAGAGGGAAACTGAAAAGAGGTCGAATTTTTCCATTCCAAATAAAAACAATCCCCGTTTTTAGATAACGACATGGCCGAAGAGTACATCAAAAACCATACGGACTTCAAAATAACCCATTTTTTGAAGACGGCTGGGTAAGGAAAGGATATTCTCAATGTTGTCCATGGAGTAAACTTTCCTAAATTTGCAGTTACGAGTGCGAGGAAATGTTCAAAAAGTGCTATTTTGGAGGCAGGAGGTCAGTTTTTGATGGGAAATTGTTTTTTCGAGTTGGTTCAATCCTACAAAAATGCACGAACTTTACAGATTCGAGTGCTGTCAGCTCATGAAACCGATAATAACAGGTCTTGGAAAATGTTTCCAATTGGACCTGGGCCATCGGGGTCACGAATGGATGAGGAAACAGAAATGGCCGGGCGTCGAGGCTGGGTGAGCCATTTTTATCGATTTTTTGATTGATTTATCTAAACTTTTTGAAACAGTAAGTCATGATTATCGTGTTTTTGTCACTGAAAATTCCCATTTTTTTTAAAGTCAAAGTCAATGATAATTCCTACAGTAACTCTCCCTGGAAACTGAAAAAATACTTAGGAATTTCAGAGTGGCCCCTATAGGGCTCGAAAAAGTAGTTAAGGTGATCCCAATAGGGGTTTAGGCTCTGACTCCTTAGTCCCTAAAGCTCAAGTGGTCCCTACAGGGGTTGGTAAAGTGGATGCCCTTATAGGGACCACTCTGGACTTCTAAACGTCCCAATTTCAGGCTTCAAATCATCGCCGACGCTCATCTCGAAGAAGTTCTGAGCAAATCAACAGGTTTTGACTTCCGGGCTACTGTAAGTCTTACGGTAGCTCATTACAGACAGTGCTGGTCCGATATTCTCGAACCTGTTCGAGAATGGCTTCCGCTACTACGTCCACGACGTCTCCCAGGTACCGTACCTCTCATCAGAAGGCGTCAGTGCCTCGCCTTCGACTACAGTATACTCGGCTATCAAGACGTCTACGGTAGGTTCAATTTGATCTTTCTTTTTCAAGTTGTGAATTAAAAGGAGCGGTTCAAGGTGTTTCTAACTTGCGCCTGACCAAATACGGCTTACGCGCGACAGCAATGGATAGAGTAAAGACGAGCCGCGGCGCGACCGCAACGCGTCAAGCCATTCTGAATGCGGCCAACATAAGCAATACTTTTCGAAATTTTTTTTTTGAATGATCATGGAATTCTAGTAGAGCTTTTGGACATCTTGGCGTCGCATTGCGGCCACTAGAACACTTTCTGACGGGTCGGTTGCAAATTGAGCCATTCCAAACGCGACCATAGCCTAACGGAATCGACTCTAACTCAAATAAGTAACCGCAGAAGTTTCCTTTGAAGAAAAACTCTTATTTTCCAACTATCCGGACTTAAAAACCCCTTTTTCAGCACCAACTCCTAACAGTCGACGAATGGGGGAACTGTACGAGGGACTGGCCTCCCGGCTACCGTACCTCCCTACAGTACTCTGCTCAATCGTGCAAATACCTCTGCCTCGCCGATCACTTCATGAAAATGTGCAATTGCTCTCCATTTACTTATAATATCGATGGAAGTTGGTTTTAAAAATTCAAGTATATTTTTCAAAATTCCGAGTTTAGAGCGACCAATCTGCACGCCGCTACAAACTGTCACCTGTATGGGTCAGAATATGGGTCCTTTTGTCAATGGTCAGTACAAAAAAAAGCGTTTCCAGAAGGATATTATATATTTAAAACTCTTAAAAGTCTTCTGCGCGCAGCTTTCTCATTGGAGCAACCTTTCCAGGCAGTCAAAGCCTTAACCTTCCGGAGTGCGGCGAATGTCGGATGGAATGCGAAAGTACATCCTATCACGCTTACAACTCCTATGGGAATGGATTCAATGAAGGAGCCTTGTTTTGGATGCAACAAAATAGTGAAAATGTCACTGATGAGCATATCAAGTCAGTTGGAAGCTTCGAATTTCACAAGATTCTAAGAAAACTTCAATTTTTTCAACCGAAAAGCTTTTTTATCATCTTTAAGACCATTTTTCCACTGAACTTTTAACGGTAACAACCAAAAAATTAGATAGCAAGATTGAAAAAAGTAAAAAATATGCTTTTTTTGTTCATTCGAAGTTTTTTCAAGAAAAATTCTTATTTTGTTCCTGCCAGACTATCAAAATCTCGAAATTCACTCAGATCCCTCGTTAATTAGCCTCAAAAAGTGAGTGAAATCCCTCAAATTAGAGTTTGAAACAAAAACAAAAATGGCAAAAAAAATGTCTTCCGTTGCCGGGAATCGAACCCGGGCCTTACGGGTGAGAGCCGTAAATCCTAACCACTAGACCACAACGGACACGACAGCGAGGCGCTGGCAGTTGTGCCAAGTTCCTTGCCATTCATCGCGTGTATTGGAGCTTTTCCATAGTTTTTTTTTCCTTTTCTGATCTTCAACTCAATTTTTACATTTTTCAAATAAAGAAATCAATAACTACAGGAAAAACTACGTGATAATCAACATTTTCTTCCGCGAAATGTTCTACACGGCCTACACCCAAGTGACGGCGACATCATTGACCGAAATTCTCAGTAGGTTCTTCGTTAAATTTTCATTTTATTTGTAAAAAGGTACATGAAATCATTGAAGCACGGCTTCGAAAACGAAAATTGGTAGCAAGAGTAAACCAATTGCGATGTGGGGCTGAAAATTTTGATTTTTGGGGTTAAAAAAACAAAGAAGTGAAGATTTTATGAAGAAAACCGACTGTAAAGCCACGAAAATTGTGAGAAAATTATATTTTAGCCTTGAAGCATATATGAAGATGAAAAAAAGCGTTTTTTTAAATATTCTCTTTAGCTACATTTCCATTATGAAGATAGCTATATTGGAATAAAAAAACTCAGTTTTTCAAACCCACTGATTCTAGGGATCACTTAAGAGACCTGACCCTACTAAAGTGGCCACTAGAAATGCTCAGAAAACGAGCGATTTTTTCTCTGCGTCTCTTCATCCCTAACGCTCTCTAACCTTTATCCTCTTGAACTTTCTTTTCAAAGTCTCTCTTACTTTAATTCATAACATTCTCTTTTCGGGACCTTTTCAAAAAAGAAAACCCACTCCATTTGCCCCGCCCCTGGCTCGTCTCACTTCCCCATCAACGATAAGAACTTGTTCTGAATCTGTAGTCTAAAAATCACAAAAAATTATTCAGCGACATTTTTTAAAAATTATACTGTCTTCTCACGTAGTTTTTTGTATGGCCTCGCGGCATCGCATGAGAAAATCTGGAAAAAATCGACTTTTTTACGGAAATCTTTCTGGAAACTCACCAACAGTATGAAAATCAAGACTATTTTGAGAAAGAACTTCATTCGGAAATGAACATTTTTCACGGGAAGAAAAAACCACGTTTTTTTTACGAGAGCCTCTACTCATAGCATAGGTAAAACGGATAAATTCGGAAGTGCAAAAAAACGGTAGGGAGTGACTGCAAAATGGCTTCTAAAAGGGTTACTTTTGGTTTTATTACTGTAGTCCATTTTGGTTCATACACACTGGTAAAGATTATTCTCAATCCAAAAAATTTTGTGTTCCTCGGAAGGATCCAAAAAGGGTCCAAAAAGTGTTCAAAAAGGATCCAAAAAGGGTTCAAAAATGGTCCAAAAAGGGTCCATAAAGGGTCCAGAAAGGGTCCAAAAAGGGTCTAAGAAGGGTCCAAAAAAGGTCCAAAAAGGGTCCAAGAAGGGTTCAAAAAAGGTCCAAAAAAGGTCCAAAAAGGATCCAAAAAGGGTCCAAAAAGGGTTCATAAAGGGTGGATAAAGACCGATGAAGGGACGGAAAAAGGCAGTAAAAAGGTAAAAATTAATTAATCCCCCAATTACAGGTGACATTGGCGGCAACATGGGAATGTTCCTGGGAATGTCCGTCATCACAATCACCGAACTTTATCTTTATTTTTCGAAAATGTTCTGGATTTGCATGTCGAAAAGGCGGAGGGACTACCTGTTCAGCAAGAAGAAGCAGGAGGAGGTAGGAATTTCACAAGGAAAACTTGGAAACTTATTGAAAAAAAAGCCTTAAAATGGCCTATAACTTGAGATGTTCTTCTTCAAAAATAGGAAGTTGTGTAGGTTAGAAAACTTTAAGTGACCACCTCAGGGTTTTGGCTTTTCAGTGGCCACTATAGTGGACGAATAACTGGCCTCTAATTGGTACTATTAAACCACCGAAAACTACTATAGTGGCTTCTAAAATGCAAAATAGTGGCTTTTAAAGAGGTGGTTTTAGTGGCCACTTTAGTGTCTTCTCCAAGAAGTCCTTGAGAGACCACTTAAGTGGCCACCAGAGCTTTTTTTATGGGACATCATTCCGAGACCGAAAAATGGGTCCCTATAAGGGTGACGACGTAGCCTCTAAAGCTTAAGTGGACCCTATAGGGGCCTTAAAAGCCTTCCCCCTACAGGGACCACTCTGAAGATCCTAAATTACAGGAAAAGAAGAAGCATTTGAACGAGGCCGTGGAGGAATATCGAGAAATGAGATCGAGACGAAGTTCCAGGGACAATGTTGCTTATATCACCCCACCCAATGGACATAAAATCGCTCCGACGGTAGGAAACGCCCTTTTTCGAACCTTGGTCGCATTTGGAATGGCTCAACGCGGCTTCCAGCGCCTTTTTCCATAGTCTTTCTTGCAAAAATACGTAAGTCGTTCAAAGTCTGGCGCGTTATGCGTTTTACCGTTCCAAGTGCTACCATGAGCTTCAAATTTCCTTGAAAAAGCGAAAATTAATTTCAATTTTTGTTTAAAAAAAGAAACACCTCAAACTTGAAACTCTTTCAGTATAATTCCAAATATTCAGTTAATCATTCCAACCGTGGCTGAAAAAATCGACGAAAGTGAGAAAATGGAGCGAAGTCCCAGCAGTGAAAGTGTAGTAAGTTTATTTTTGAAGTTCAATTCACCAAAAAAAAAACTAACGTTAACTATCGAACAAGAAAAATGGCGTCATTTGGAGCGTCGTTCAGAAAAAAAATTGTAAACTACAGCCCAAAAAACCTTCATTTTTTAGTTTCGAGCTTTTAAAAGCTTTGAGAGTCTTGACGCCGCCCCGCCCATTTTTATTCTGTAAAGTGTAGTGTCTCGTGTGCATGCACTGCGGCGCTCTCGCACATACCGTGTTCAAATTAATTTTCGCCAAGTTCAGTTTTATTTTTCCTTCTCTGACGGCTATTTTGAATTTCGCGGAATCTCATTGAACACACAAACAGAAAAAAATCGTCTGAAAAAAATTAAAAAAATCGATTAAAAAAATTTAAAAACCCTTTTTTTCCATGACGTCACATGGAAACGGCGGTGGTTTTCGACTCTGTCCCCTTTATTTTTCAATATTAAATTTTCTACCACTATTAAAAAAACGCCGTGACTACAAAAAAATCTTTAAATGAAAATCTTTTGCGCGGGAAATTTGACGCACGCAGTGCGCACGTGTATGCACCTACACATTTTGTTCTACGACTTATTTGGTAAGAGCCCAAAATCAATAAAAAAAAACATTTTTGGCGAATCTCGGACGCTTTGAAAATCAATTTTTTGAATGAATTGTTTTCAATTTTTCTTTTCATTTATTTTTTGACTTCACGCACTTCCGAAGCCGTTTTTTCGCGAATTTCTTTATGCGAATTTCAAGAAAAGTCATTTTTCAGTTAGAAATTATCTTCCAGGTCGAGCTAAAAATCGACATAAACGACCTAAAAGAGCAACTGGCCTTGGGTACCAGAAAACCCTCCGTAAAAGCTGAGATAAATCGTCGGAAAAGCTTCAAACAAAGTTCCACACCTACATTCCACATAGAGCAGCCTAATGATTAAAAAATTGTTATTTTTCCATGTAAAAACGATTTTCTACGTGTATAATTGCCCATTCAGGTTATAGCCTCATAATATTCCTTAAATTTACGGTTTTTTTTTCGAATAAATTAAATCAAATGACAAAATATACATCGTTCAATTCATGAGCTTAGCATTTCGTTGTTATTTAAAAATACAAAATATTGCAGGAAAATGTAAATTTTATTTATGTACATACACGTATGAAAAGGCAACCGAATCTGTGAAAAAACTCTTGAAAAAGTACAAAATGAGTCGAAATCAGCTAACTTAAGAATTTTCGAGTGGCCCCCATAGGGGTTAGGGGGAAGGACAGCCTCTGTAGAGGCCGAAAAAGTGGTCCCTATAGGGATTTAGGACGCGACCCCATGCTTCTCCGCTTAGAGTTCATAAAAATTATCGACCAGCATGTCCCCTATCGGGACCACGATTGCAAGGCTTAGTGGCCCCTATAGGGGTTGGTAAATTGGTCCCTGAGACCACTCTGGAGTTCCTAAGGAAGGGACAACTTCTCATTGCGATACATCATGAAAAAACTAGACTCCGTCATTTATTGAGTGGGATTGGGGTTTCTGCGAATCTCGCGAGCCATCTTGTTGATCTTGGCTCGGTAGTACTGCTCCTGGAGGTCGAGAATCCGCTGCCGCTGAAGCTGGAGTTGTTCTTCACGAGCCAGAACTCGTGCCCGGGTCGCTTCGTTTTGGATTTGCGCCTCCAGTTTTCTCTCTTCCAGGGCCGTGAGGTCTTCTGGCAACATCATGGGCCTGAAAAAACGGACTTTTTTTTGAGAAAAATATAGGAATTTGTGAAAATTGAGGCATTACTAAAGGGTCCCTCCAGAGAATCAAAAAAATCGTTCAGCTCAACTTTTTTCAATAAATATATCAAGGAACCCTGAAAAGCAGATTTTCAACAAGAATTCTCAATTTTCACTTTTTCATTTTGAAAAAACACCGATTCCCATCATTTTTCTCAACTAAAAACTTCAAAACTCAACATTTTACCAACTAAAATTAACCTTCAGTTCCATTTTTTTTCAAAACTCACGGATCATTATAAGCATCATTGAAAGAAGGTCCTTCGTTCATCGCGATATCCCCAAAACCATCGTCTTCCTCCACTTTCACAACATTCACCTGGAAATTTTGATTATTTTCAAGCGGTCGACTTTAAATGAAAACCATGTTGTTTTGCATAAAAAACCTTGTAAACTTCTACAAATTCAATAGATTCTTCCTAGGGGAGTTTGGCAAAAAAAGATCATCTTCAAAAAGTTTCGAACCCCGGTCACATACTCCGCAGCGCAAGGCTCTAGCCACTAGACCACGCTGCCAGCTGGAGCAGGGGGATCCTACGCGAGCTACAATCCCTCTCGTCTTGCAGCTCTTTTTCAGCGCGCAAACTTTGAAGCTCCATAACTCGAAAACGAGAATTATTTCGAGAAATTTTATTCGTGTTCTCAAAAGAGGAGGTCTTATAGTACATTTCAGCAAAGTTTCAACCGGCCACCAAAAAATCTTCCCTCGTCAGAAAAAAAAACAGAGTTAACTATAGTTTGAAGAACCAGTTATTTTTTGAAAAACAAATCCGAGAATTTTTGAAGCTTCAACTCAACTAAAAAGCTCACAAAATCCACTTAAAAATACTATTTTCCAACAATGAACCTCTTCTTCCTCGTTATCCACTTCGGGTGACTTCTCTTTCTCGGCTTCTTGCGGCATATTCGACTCAATTTTGCCCAAAATGAGCTTCAGGTGGTCTGGGGCAGCCTTAAGGATGCACTCTGCTGCGACGGAGTTCGGCGCATTTTCCTGGAAAATTGTCATTTTTGACATGTTCTTAAGAATTTCAGAGTGGTCCCTATAGGGATTAGGGAGGAAAACAACGCTTATGGGGGCCGAAAAAGTGGTCCCTATAGGGGCTTAGGGTTAGATTTTTTCCATGGAAATGCTTCTTCACTTTGAGTTAATAACAATTATCGACTAACATATCCCTATAGGGACCTCTTTTGCAAGCTTCAGTGGCCCCTATAGGGTTGGGCAAAAGAGTAGCTGAAGGATAACTTCAGAGGGGCCCATTTCTTTATTTTTCTGCGCCTAACTTCAAGTTTGTTAACACAAGGTTCCTATGCTCAAGTAGTCTAAAAAGCCAAAATCAATGACCGCATTTGGAATGGCTCAATTTACAGGCGCCTCAAGACTTTGAGCCATTCCAAACTCAAGAAAAGACTCACAATCCTACTGATAAGCTTCCTCGTCATTCTCATATTATCGGCGATCCTATTTTCCACCGCTTTCTCCGTTCTTTCTTCAAATCCTCGCCCTCTCAATTCCTCCACGATTTGTTCCAAAACTCGTCTTCTGTCCTAAAAAAACTTTATTGCATACAATATTTTTCATTTTTCAAACCAACCGATTTACCAGCACTTTTACCGCGTCCACCATTGGTGCTGTAGTAAAGGTCATAATTTTCCAGGAAAATTTGGGTGAGCAATCGATTTTCTTCGCCTGTCATTGGCGGCGCCACCCTCATTGTAGGCTGAAAAACGATGAAAATCAACTTCCGATAAAACACAGCTTGTTTTAAATTTTGGAAGCAAACATTTAAAAAAAAACCAACCCGTGGTTCAACGTTGTCCGAGGTATTTGATTTCAGAAAATTGGAAATCTGAAAAAATTCATTTCAAACAGAAATTCAAAGCATGAGTAAAATAACCACTGGAAAGCCGAAAAGAATAAAAAAATTTTTTTCCGAAATTCATAGGAAAGTTTTTCCCTTTAAACTGTGACATATTCAAAATCCAGCGCATTTGAAACAAATTTTGGTTCAGCTCACTATTAAAAACAATGCTAAAAGTCGCGAAAAGATATTAGACAAAAAAAAAAGAAAATGAAAATACAAATAACCTAAAAAATACGTTTTGCGCGGGAAATCCGATATGCGCAGTGCGCACGTGTATGCGGCGACACATTTTATTTTACGACAATTGAGAAAATTCTTTTTTTTTCCAAAGAATATTCAGAACATTATAAGATACTCACTTTCAGTCTAGTTGATTCGTTTCGAATCAATGTATCATAAGGTCTTGATCCACTCGTTGGCGATCCTTCTTGGGGTGATTTTGACCTTAAAATGTTTTTTTCCGTGATTTTCAATCAGTCTGCTCTGAAATCCATGCTCTGATCTTTCGAAACGCGCAAGTCAATATTGAAAATGGCTTTCCTCTTCAAGGAACACCAGGAAATCATAATTTCAAACTCACTTATCGACGTAGGGAGGATCGTCGTCTTTTTTGCCTTTCTTCGGCTGAAAAGTCATTTTTTAATCTTTATTATTTTTTTAATGAACAAACACTCGGAGTATCGTCAATTTCTTCACTGGAACTTCTTTTAGTCGCACTAGTTTGAATGAGTCTTCCCAAAATTAACTTGATATGTTCGGGAGCCGAGCGAAGCAAGTATTCCTGGTCCTTTTGGCTGGTGGTGGACTCCTGAATTTATTATTTTTCCTCATGGAATATATTTTCAGATTCACAATTTTATGGATAAGACCCTTGGTGATCTTCATGAGGTCTTTGATGCGATTTTCACAGGTTTTCGGCAATCTTTCTTCGTATCCGTGTTCTTTCAGTTCATTGATCATCAGCTCGATAACTTTCTTTCGATCCTGGAAAAAATAAAGTTTTGAAGAATATTCACATACATCGACTCTAGGTGGTCTAAAAAAATAGGTCTGAAATGGGTCAAAATAAAAATTTTTAAGATGGATTTTTTCAATGGACTTCAAAAAATACTCGAAATATCGCTCACTAAAATCCCCCCCAAAAAAAGTGGTAAAGATACATTTTCCTTATCTTGCCAATTTTTCTCCCTCACTCTATTTTTAAAATGTTTTAACGAAAAAATATTTTTGAGTTTTTTTCTCACCATTTCCCCACGCACTCTTCCCCTGCCACCACCGCTGCTGTAGTAAAAATAATAATTGTCCAATAAAAACCCGAACAATCAAAGAACTTTCGTGATTCGACATGGGCGAGGCCTTCAACAACACCTGAAAAAAATCGTTAAAATTCTTCAAAAAAATTGATTGATAACCTTGTTTTTCGGGTGAAGGAACTCGTGTGCGATTCCCTCGACTATTCATTTTTTTATCTTGAAAAATTCTGGAAAAAAACAAAAAAACAAAATTATTGTTTGAGATATCTCCGGAATCAAGTCAGAGTCGAAAAAAATTGACAGGAAAAAAAGATGGAAATTGTGAAAATTGAAAAAAACATTAAGCTTGAAATAAAAACTTGAACATGTATTTTTATGAAAAAAAGAAATTACAATTATCCTCCGAATCACCAAAAAGTTTTTAAAACAGAGACTTAAAAAAAGTTATTATGGCTTCAAGTCTATAAAATAGAAGGAAAAAAATATGTATATAATATTTTTTTAGAAGGTTCTAAAATACTCCGTGCTTATTTTTTTGAAGTTTTTTTCTAAATGAATTTACAAAAAAAACGTAAAAAAATTAAGAAACGTGAGAAAAAAACAAAGAAAACGACTGAAAATAGGAGATTTTTGAGTATTTTTTTTAAATAAATTTCATGTCAACCTTTTAAGTTTGACCTGAAAACGAAACGTGTCAAGTGCGAAATAGTGTTAAGAGAGAATTTTTGGCGAAATTTAGAAAATTCTGAAAAAAAGGGAATTTTTAAAATATAATGGCCAGAATGACCTCGAAACTCGTCATATAATGAAGAAATAGGTACTTTAAAACAATTAAAACCTTTATAAGCCCAAAAAACTTTTCTTGAAAACTTGAAAAAAGAGGCGTTATAAAAAAGTGACCGACAATTCCAGCATGCCCACGTATAAAACGAAAAGGCGGGTGGGGTGCGCCGGCGCTCTCTCGCCTGTTTGCGAGGGAGGAGCGCCGACACGCAGAGGAAGAGTGGCGCACTTCCAAAACCGCAAATATTGATTGAGAAACATTTTTCAAACGTGATAACTGCCGTTTTAGGGCTTCTGAAATCATATACAGAGAAAAATAAAATATTCATTTATGGATAAAAAAAGCTTTCGTGAATAGGAAGAATGTAGATAAAAGTAAAAATTGACAAATTGGGTTAAACTGAAAAATTTGGAAAATTGGAAATTGAGCTCTTAATCCATCCATCTATCATAAAAACCTTCGCAAAAAAACTTTCTCAACTATCTAAAAAAATTTCAAAAAAAGAAAAAAATGGAGAAAAAAAAAAAAAAAGAAAAAAATTTCTAACTGCGGAAAGCGAGCTCCACTGCGAAGTTCGATTTTTCAAAATTTTTATTTTTTTATTCATTCATATTTTCAGATGTCTCTGCTTTTTTTCTGTGTTTTTAAACTGAAAAATTACTCGACTCACGGCTGGCTTGAGTGAAAATTTCAGAAGAAATGATTACTGATACGCCAAGAAAATGAGTGTGTGATGGAAATTACAACACGGTGTTCCGCGCAATGAAAAAAAATGCGAAATTTTGGGTCCCAGCCAGGCTTGTGCGAGGGCCGGCCCGTCACCCTTCCGGCACCCCGACCATTTCGTAAGCCCGGCCACGGCGTTCTTTTGACGACGCCCCTCCCACAATTTCCGTAATATTTGACGTCTTTTGTGCATACACAGAACGACGCTAACTCGCATACTCATAAAATTCAAAAATAATTTTTTTTTTTCTCGAAAAATAGCGTTTTTTCAAAACTATAGACGTGGAAAAAATCGATCCTTTCACAATTCCTTTTCTAGTTGACAAAAAACATTTGGGTGAAAGTTTTTCTTATTTTCTGAACACTTTCATACCTTTCATCCTCAAAATTGGTTAAAGTCCTTTTTTTGAGTGAAAAACGTGGAGTTTTGTGCCGAAAATGACTTATTGTGGTTCTATGTGTCTTTCCCGACTTATTGAAAATTTAAAAAAAGTTTTCTTTACAGATTTAGTTTAGTTCATCCACCTAGTGGTATTTTTTCTCCTCTGCAACATCGCCATACCATTCTGATGTTGCGAAAATGAAGAGATTGATTGATTCGAATAAAAAATTTAATTTGACACTGAAAATGTTGCTGAAAGGCTTTTTTTTTGCTTTAAAGGGAAAATTTGGTCAAAACACAGCAATTAATATTGAAAATTGAAAAAAAAAAGTTCCTTCGCATTTTGCTATCGCAATAAAAAATAATTACCGTAAATCAGTACGAAACAAATAAAGATACAACTGAAATAAACATGAAAAATCACGTTAAGCACTTGAGCAACAAGAAATTCAAATGTTCGCGCGCAAGCTGTCTACCGTAAATCTAGGTGGAGCAACCCTTCCAAGCCGCTCCACATTTTTCAAAAAAATTTTACATTTTTCTTCCACTACGCAGAACGCCGTGCGGCCTGGCCTCGAAGGGGCCTCAAGAAAAAATGGCCCGCCCGGCCCGAAGCGCGCAATTTTTTTTCTAGTCGGATATCAAGTTTTTTTTACGACAAAAATTGTGTTTTTGCTCATTTTTTCACTTAAAGTTTAACAAAAACTACGATTTCAGAAGTAAAAGTAACATTTCGTTGAAAATTTTTCAAATGGAATTTTAAATTTTTTTTTTTGAAGCCCGGCCCGGCCCGAGCCCACGCGGACTTTTTCCTGAAAATAAGACCCAAAGCCCGGGCCAGACCGGCCTGACGCACAAGCCCGGTCCCAGCGGCATATTGTCCGTGGCGCATTATTGCGCCCTTCTCATGGTTTCTGATGAAAAAATTGAATTTCTTCACTTTTTTCTTTGGTTTTTTACTTTTTTCTATTGCCTCTCTATGGGTACATCTTGTGGAGCTTTAAATTGCGCACTTTTCTAAACCGGTTTCAGATCTTTAACTTTTTTTCTCAAAAGAGTTGAAGATTTTTCTAAAAGTCCTAATTTTTCAAAATTTTGAAATCTGTTTCGCGACATGAAAAGAGTCACTCTATTTCGGAACTATAGTTTTTTTAATTTAATCAATTAATAATAAAAAAAGTTATTATCTAGTTTTTTTGACGTAGTTTGAAACCGGTTTCGTGTAAATTAGAGCCCAAATTGAATTTGCTGATGCAGTTTAATGATTTTTGATATATGCATCATCTAAATTATATATTTTTTTCTAGTTTTTTTGATGGTTTTTTTCGGATTTAAACAAAAAAATTTCGCCATTCGAGGTTTTTTTCTCTAAAATTTCTGCTTTCTATCCATCATTTGTTTTTTTCTGAAGCTAGGTTTTCGAGGTATATAAAATGTTTTCATTTGCTACTCGAATTTTTCCTCATTTCAATATTTTTTTCGTATTTATAAATGCTTATTCAATGGGAGCTAATTCACCTTCATAATATTTTTTGTTTTTATTTTGCAATCAGTAATTTAGAGTTTTCCCCTTTCGAAATCAATCCTAAATGTTTTTTTAATGTAAGTGAATGTTTTTTTCACATCATATTCTTCAAAATGACAAATTTCGAACATTTCAGGAGCTATTATCCTGAAATCGCAAATTCTAAAATTGAAAAAAAACATTTTGAGTATGCGATAGTGCGTCTCGGTGTGCTTACACCATAAGCAGCATAATTTACGAAAATTCTTGATCTTTCGTAATGAAAAAAACACCGTGACAAAGATCCAGAAATTTTCAAGTTTTCTGTGTTCCAAGTCACCCGTGAAAAAGCCGATGAAGTTGATAGAAATTTCAAGTCATTGCCACTGTTTTTATAGGAAAATAAATTCATTTTTTCCTAGTTTTCTTGCCGAAATGTAATTCTACGTCATTTCTCTCTGTAGGATCTCACTACGATTGCAAATTTTCGGTCGTCTGAATAAATAATAAAAAGAGATTTTTTTCAGAAATTTTTCGAAAAAAATGAGTTGAAACAACAGATACCATAGAATCTGATAATTGTAATTTTTTCTCTTTTCTTTCCAGCAGCATTTTTTTTATGAAATCAATGATAAATCGTGAATTTTTAAAGTTCTTATCGGTCTGTTCGTAATCTTAAAATAATAGTCGCACCTTTTTATGTTCCACGTCGCTCCGCCCACTTTTCACTCCAAAGTTTCGCTGATAAAAATATTTATTTTAAGTTTTACAGATCTTCATGCAATGAGAAGCTTGGCGCAGTTGGGAATTTCAGCGAAAAATGGTAAGATTTTTTTCTTTCCATGGTTTTTCCTAAATATAATAGTTATAGATTTTTTTCACATAATTTGAAGCTTTGGATTCTTTCAAGAGTAGTTAAAATTTTTTTAGTGGAAGGATAGACTTGGGAGTAAAAAAAATAAAGACGAATAAATTTTATTTTTTCTAGTCATAGCCACTGAAAAACGTTCGAAAAGGAGTTTGAAACTATCAAAAAATGGCAAAAAAGTGTCTTCCGTTGCCGGGAATCGAACCCGGGCCTTACGGGTGAGAGCCGTAAATCCTAACCACTAGACCACAACGGACACGCAGTTCCAGACCGACACTTTCAGCCACATTGCTTGCCGTAGAGCATGACTTTGACGTAGAGAATCTGGAACAAATCATTTTTAGAAAAAAACTGTTATCAAACTAGAAAATGTGTTCTCTAGGAAGTTCGACTTTGAAACTATAAAGCAATGGTCAAAGTTTCTTTTTGATAAATCATTTTTCTTTTGTCAGCTGTTCCCACAAAAGATATTCAAATCAACCAACGGAGAGAGTGGAAAAAAAGCATAAAAGAAGAAAAATTTTTGTTCCTTGGAGACATTTTGCGGTTTTTTGACTTTACTATTTTCTAAGGAGGTTCAAGTCAATTTTTCAATGGTTTTTCATTCCATAAATAACGGGCGTATTTTAAAATGATCCGTGTTTGATTCTCAATTTTCGAGCTTTTATTCTGTTCAAAAAAATAATAAAAAAACTTTTTGAACGAAATCCAGGACTTGAAGGACTTTTTTTAAATAGGAAAAACCATGATTTTGAAGATTTTTTTCAAAACTGTTTTTTTGATTAGTAACTTGATTGCAGGAACTTTTATTTAACCATATTTGTTAATTTTGACCTTTTTGAACGATTCCCACACTTTAAAAAAATTTCAAGAAGGCCTAATATTGAATAAATAATATTTTTAGCATTAATAATATCTGTCATAAGTTTATCTTATTGCAGAGAGTTATAGATTTTTTGTCTTAAAAAAAAATTTTTTTTCGGTTAATTTTTCTCTTTATGTTCGCCTGTTTTTCATTCTTCAGAAGCTTCAAATAAGCCTAAAACTGTATAAAAAAGCTTCTCAACTCCTGCTTATCGAAAAGTGTGCGTCCATTCGCTAGCCATAAAAATCATAACCAATCTTTTTATCAGCCTTTCCCTCAAAAACGGTAGCCAAAAGCTCATTGAGCCGTCAATTGAAGGCTCACCGATGGCTCACATTTTTCCGTGATTTATTGATAACGATTCCAAAGAAATTCGCCATGCCAAATTCGGCCAACCTCAAATATTTACCCATTTTTTACTATGATACTCCGCCCTTACTTTTTTCTTTTTTCACCGGGTACAGAAAAGGTCGTTAAACAGTTATCATCAGTTTCTCACTCTTGCCTTTCGATCTTACTTTTTAATCTTGAATTACTTTTTTTTGAAGGTTTCCAAACGAAAAGAAAGTTTCGCGCTCTATTTTGCTTGAAAATTGAAAATTTTCGAAAATTTGGAAGTTTTTTTTGTCATTTGCAGAGTATCATATGTTTGCCACTCATTTTTTTATTGAAAAAAAGTTGAATTTTTCAAGTTTTAAAAAGTCCGAAAAAAATTACTTTTCCCTCTTTTTTTGGGGGGCGGGGGTATTATATATTTTTCATTGAACTTTATTTCCATTCTCATACAAAAAAGGCCAAAAAAGAAAATGAAAATGTTCAGGTTAAGTTCTAATTTATCATGGTTTTTTTTTCCAGAAAACTACAAAATCTACTGAATGGGCCATCACTACGACGTGGACCACGAAAATGAAGGGTAAATTGATATTTACTAGAAAAAAAGCAAAAAAACTTTTTAAAAAAAATAGCTGATGTTCTTGTTTTGACTTGATTTTAAAAGTTGGATATCAATTTGTTCTAATAATTAGTTTGTTTTATAGTTCAAAAATAATCAGATCGAAAGGGCTTAACATTAGCCATGTTAAGCCCTTTCGATCTGTAAGGTTTATTTTTTTTTTGTAGTTCAAACAAGAAAACGATGTGGAAGTGCGACAATGATGGTTTCGTGACGGATGGCGACGATATTTTGGTGAATTTTCTTTTCCCATTTCAATTATAATGAGACAAAGGAACTAAATTCGAAATTTTATAAAAAAAAACACTGGAAAAAATTATTCTTTATTTAAGCTGTAAATCGTTTCGAAGCGCAGGAGCATATAATTTTTTGAATTCATCTAATTTTAGGTTCGTTTCGAGACTCAAAATCGTGAAGTCAACTCCAACACGGAAAGTTCGACGTGAGTTTTTGAGTTTTCAATAAAATGCTCAAAAGTTGATTAATGTGTTTTAGGGCACATGTGGGACGTTTGAATGAGGAAAGTCATGTGGAAGGAAAAGACGCTTTCCAGCGTGAAACCAAGCATTTTACCGGTAATTTTGATGGATTCTAATCTGGATTCCAAGAAAATATTTTCGGGCTTTTGAAGACGACTTCTGTGAAAAACAGCTGTTCATAGTGATTTTGGACTTGAAAAATATTATTTTTTCACATTCTCCTTCGCTAATCTTACGTAAAAGCTCATTAGTTGATGCTTTAGACAAGGAATTTACTATTCCTGTATTTTTCAGAAACTACGACGATGCACGGTCCGAAAAGAATATTCCAGGGAAAGAGGTATCCACATTTTACATTCTAAATGCGATCCTTAATTTCTTCTTCATCTTTACTTGGAAAATGTAGAAGAAAAGTTGATGACAATAAGTACCCTTTTTCACGACTCTCTCTGTTGATTCTAGAAACAGAACATTTTTTCTTCTTGTTTCCTAGCCTGCTTCTAACCTTGTAAAGTTTTATTACTTTTTCAATTGACTTTTTTCAGCTGGGCAATGTTTTTCTGGGCGATTGCTGTAGTTTGTGCAATGGGTTTACTAATACTGCAAGTCTACATCCTGACGTCCACCTATTTGTCACAACCAATCATTTCTCAGGTGATTGAAAATTGCTCGAAAATTTAGAAAACTGCTTAAAAGTCTTGAAGGCTGCAAAAAGTTTAGGCGCTGCTTAAAAGTCTTGAAGGCTGCAAAAAGTTTAGGCGCTGCTTAAAAGTTTTGAAGGCTGCAAAAAGTTTAGGCGCTGCTTAAAAGTTTTGAAGGCTGCAAAAAGTTTAGGCGCTGCTTAAAAAGTTTTGAAGGCTGCAAAAAGTTTAGGCGCTGCTTAAAAAGTTTTTGAAGGCTGCGAAAAGTTTAGGCGCTGCTTAAGAGTCTTGAAGGCTGCAAAAAGTTTAGGCGCTGCTTAAAAAGTCTTGAAGGCTGCAAAAAGTTTAGGCGCTGCTTAAAAGTTTTGAAGGCTGCGAAAAGTTTAGGCGCTGCTTAAAAGTTTTGAAGGCTGCGAAAAGTTTAGGCGCTGCTTAAAAGTTTTGAAGGCTGCAAAAAGTTTAGGCGCTGCTTAAAAGCTTTGAAGGCTGCAAAAAGTTTAGGCGCTGCTTAAGAGTCTTGAAGGCTGCAAAAAGTTTAGGCGCTGCTTAAAAGTCTTGAAGGCTGCAAAAAGTTTAGGCGCTGCTTAAAAGTTTTGAAGGCTGCAAAAAGTTTAGGCGCTGCTTAAAAGTTTTGAAGGCTGCAAAAAGTTTAGGCGCTGCTTAAAAGTTTTGAAGGCTGCAAAAAGTTTAGGCGCTGCTTAAAAGTTTTGAAGGCTGCGAAAAGTTTAGGCGCTGCTTAAGAGTCTTGAAGGCTGCAAAAAGTTTAGGCGCTGCTTAAAAGTCTTGAAGGCTGCAAAAAGTTTAGGCGGTGCCTAAAAGTTTTGAAGGCTGCAAAAAGTTTAGGCGCTGCTTAAAAGTTTTGAAGGCTGCGAAAAGTTTAGGCGCTGCTTAAAAGTTTTGAAGGCTGCAAAAAGTTTAGGCGCTGCTTAAAAGTCTTGAAGGCTGCAAAAAGTTTAGGCGCTGCTTAAAAGTCTTGAAGGCTGCAAAAAGTTTAGGCGCTGCTTAAAAGTTTTGAAGGCTGCAAAAAGTTTAGGCGCTGCTTAAAAGTTTTGAAGGCTGCAAAAAGTTTAGGCGCTGCTTAATAGGTTTGAAGAAAATTCTGAATTTCAGGTGACTTTCGTACTCAGTGAAGATGGAATGGAGTTTCCGCTTGTCACATTCTGCAATCTGAACCCCGTCCGGAAAGCTTATGCTTTACGTGAGTTTGAAAAAATATAAAAAAAAATGTAGCAACGGCCACCAAATGTTTGAAGTTCTTGTAGAGATTAATAAGGCTCCTGTTTTCTGTAACTTGTAAAAAAGTTGATTGTTCAATACTTTCCGTATAGATTTTATGAATGGAAATGAACATGCAGGTTCATGAATGATATAAACAGGGAAGCGAGCTTTAAAGGATTGCTTTGAATTCAATTTAAACGCGTGAAGCCATTCCCGGTGCGGCAGGGACTTCAGGTCAATTCTAAAGATTATTTTACAAGTTCAGAAATGAACTCAACTGGCGACGTTCCACCGCATTTACTCGAATATTTGATGTATTACAACGATGATGCCCTTTCTCTTTATGGCGGCTCTGATCCTCAATCGTTACACGAAGGTTAAAAATTTTATTTTCTTATAAAATATTTAGAATTTCAGGCGATGAAGAACTGCGAGTTTATCAAAAATTGTATCCTAATTTCACTGCCGATAAGTTTTACTTCAACTCTGGGTTTGTTTTTTGGAACTCGCCCAGTCATTTCCAGTTTGACTATTTATGAAGGATTTTTGAGATCATAATGAACTTTTCGGTTTTTCATTAAAAGTTCTTTTTACAGGTTTGAGTGCAAGGAAATCTTTAAAATGTGCGTTTTTGAAGGACGACAGTGAGTTTTTTTTTTTTGCCAGCTTGAAGGAAATAAGCTTCATAGGGCTAATTTAATTTTTTGCTCATTTTTTTTAACGATGCGTCCTTATGCCACGTCCTTATGCGTCGATGAGTAGGAATTTTATTCAAATTTTGGTTTGCCGATGTCATTTTTCTCTGAATTTTTCGACCCTTATTTGAAACTTTTGTCAGTTCTATCAAATTCGAAATATGTTGAAAAAACAGAGGAAAATTTAGATTCGATTGCTGTCAATACGCCAAACCTTCCCTTACCAGCCTTGGAAAGTGTTATACGTTGGATTTGCTCAACAGCGACAAGGAATGGATGCACGAGCAAGTTGAGCCGGGAATCGCGGCTGGGTTTGTCTAAGGCTATTTTTGACGTTGAAAGGGCGCTCTGGTTATGACGTTTCATTTTAGTATGTCCCAGAAGTTCGAGATTTGTTCAGCCAAAAATCGCTTTAACGATAAAATAGAGTTCGAAAAGGATGAAAAGAGACTCTAGATTTTCGAAAAATTTGCCTTATGTGGATGCTTTGATAAGGGTTCAATGTGTGTATTAAAAATTTAATTTTTCTCTTTCAAAGCCTTTTTTTCAATTTTTTTTTGTTCTTTCTTGTTTCGCAGCTTTTGTCGCAACTGTACATTTATACATCGCTCTTGTATTTTTAAAATAAGCCTTGCTTTTTCCAGGCTTCAAGTGATTTTGGACGCTCGTGTCGATGAACAGTTTGATGGGACTGATGGTTAGTCTCGCTCAACATTGCTCATGTTAATTAAGAATCGTTTCAGGCCACGCCCCGTTATTCACCAATTCTTTCGTCGACGGCTACCGTTACTTTGTACACCCTGCCAACACCATACCGTACCTCGCTTCAGACGAGATTACTGTATCACCGAATTCTGTAGCCTACTCGGCCATTTCTAGTGATCGGGTAAGCTGTAGAAGAAAATCTTCGTCAGTGTGGAGATTTTCCAGTTTGTCCTCCTACCGTCAAACGAAGGTGGCAACTGTAGCGATGAATGGCCTCAGGGCTACAGTACCGACATACCGTACTCCGCATCAAACTGCGCCTATTTGTGTAAAGCACGGTATTTCGTCGAGAACTGTGGCTGCTCGCCGGCCGTTTATAACTTGAACAGAAGTCAGTTTGGTACTGGCCGCATTTGGAATGGCTAGCGTTTTTTTTTTTGATTATGAGTTGCGTCGGACTCCAAGCGATTAGCGCAAAGAGGCGGAAAACACTAAAGTGAGCTAGTTTGAGCCATTTAAAGTGCTATAATTTGTTTAAATTTTTTTAAAACGTTAAGAGTTTGTGACATTTTTTTTTCAAGCTTTGAAATCCGCAAATTTAGAATTCACAACCTGCACCCCCTACGAGACCTACGTTTGCATGGACGCCAAAATGCGAGTTGTTCATAATGGTAATTTCAAAATTCGTAATGAAGATAATTTTGGGGAAATATGGAATATCTACTTGAAATAATTTTTTTTTTCAGTTGATCATTTTTTTGACATGCTTGTTTCATTTTAAAGCAATAAAAATAAAAAGTTTTGAGTGTCATTTTTTTAAAATATTTTTTCCAATTTATCACTTCTTTTTCTATTTTTCTATTTTTCTCATTTTCTTTTCACATTTTTTAGGGTCTGTGAATATCGAAATGCCCCCTTGCAAAGAATGCGACAAGGAGTGCAGCAGTTTGATCTACAGAGCGTATAATTCGTACGGAAATGGCTTGTCGATGGGAGCCATGACCTATTTGAACAAAAAGAACTCGTCTTGGACTACAAAGTATATGAGGTAGAGGAGTGTGTGCTTAAATCGAGATAAAATGCTCGGTTATTACGGAACTTCATAAAAAAAGTTTTCAGAGCGAACTTCCAAATTATCAACGTTTTCTTTCGCGATATGTCTTATACGGAGTACAATCAAGTGGCCGATTACTCCATAACACAGCTTCTCAGTGAGTTTTTGAAGAACTTTTCCCATTTCGATTAGTTTAGGCGCTGCTTAAAAGTTTTGAAGGCTGCAAAACTAGTTTAGGCGCTGCTTAAAAATTTCAAAGGCTGCAAAACTAGTTTAGGCGCTGCTTAAAAATTTCAAAGGCTGCAAAACTAGTTTAGGCGCTGCTTAAAAATTTCAAAGGCTGCAAAACTAGTTTAGGCGCTGCTTAAAAATTTCAAAGGCTGCAAAACTAGTTTAGGCGCTGCTTAAAAATTTCAAAGGCTGCAAAACTAGTTTAGGCGCTGCTTAAAAATTTCAAAGGCTGCAAAACTAGTTTAGGCGCTGCTTAAAAATTTCAAAGGCTGCAAAAAAAATTCAGGCTCTGCTTAAAAATTTCAAAGGCTGCAAAAAAATTCAGGCTCTGCTTAAAAATTTCAAAGGCTGCAAAACTAGTTTAGGCGCTGCTTAAAAATTTCAAAGGCTGCAAAAAAAATTCAGGCGCTGCTTAAAAGTTTTGAAGGCTGCAAAACTAGTTTAGGCGCTGCTTAAAAGTCTTGAAGGCTGCAAAACTAGTTTAGGCGCTGCTTAAAAGTCTTGAAGACTGCAAAACTAGTTTAGGCGCTGCTTAAAAGTCTTGAAGACTGCAAAACTAGTTTAGGCGCTGCTTAAAAAGTCTTGAAGACTGCAAGAAAAAAATTCAGGCGCTGCTTAAAAGTCTTGAAGACTGCAAAAACTAGTTTAGGCGCTGCTTAAAAAGTCTTGAAGACTGCAAAAAACTAGTTTAGGCGCTGCTTAAAAAGTCTTGAAGACTGCAAAAACTAGTTTAGGCGCTGCTTAAAAAGTCTTGAAGACTGCAAAACTAGTTTAGGCGCTGCTAAAAAGTCTTGAAGGCTGCAAAACTAGTTTAGGCGCTGCTTAAAAGTCTTGAAGGCTGCAAAACTAGTTTAGGCGCTGCTTAAAAGTCTTGAAGACTGCAAAACTAGTTTAGGCGCTGCTTAAAAGTCTTGAAGACTGCAAGAAAAATTCAGGCGCTGCTTAAAGTCTTGAAGACTGCAAAACTAGTTTAGGCGCTGCTTAAAAGTCTTGAAGACTGCAAGAAAAATTCAGGCGCTGCTTAAAAGTCTTGAAGACTGCAAGAAAAATTCAGGCGCTGCTTAAAAGTCTTGAAGACTGCAAAACTAGTTTAGGCGCTGCTAAAAAGTCTTGAAGGCTGCAAAACTAGTTTAGGCGCTGCTTAAAAGTCTTGAAGGCTGCAAAACTAGTTTAGGCGCTGCTTAAAAGTCTTGAAGACTGCAAAACTAGTTTAGGCGCTGCTTAAAAGTCTTGAAGACTGCAAGAAAAATTCAGGCGCTGCTTAAAAGTCTTGAAGACTGCAAAAAACTAGTTTAGGCGCTGCTTAAAAGTCTTGAAGACTGCAAAACTAGTTTAGGCGCTGCTTAAAAGTCTTGAAGGCTGCAAAACTAGTTTAGGCGCTGCTTAAAAGTCTTGAAGGCTGCAAAACTAGTTTAGGCGCTGCTTAAAAAGTCTTGAAGGCTGCAAAACTAGTTTAGGCGCTGCTTAAAAGTCTTGAAGGCTGCAAAACTAGTTTAGGCGCTGCTTAAAAGTCTTGAAGACTGCAAAACTAGTTTAGGCGCTGCTTAAAAGTCTTGAAGGCTGCAAAACTAGTTTAGGCGCTGCTTAAAAGTCTTGAAGACTGCAAGAAAAATTCAGGCGCTGCTTAAAAGTCTTGAAGACTGCAAGAAAAATTCAGGCGCTGCTTAAAAGTCTTGAAGACTGCAAAACTAGTTTAGGCGCTGCTTAAAAGTCTTGAAGGCTGCAAAACTAGTTTAGGCGCTGCTTAAAAGTCTTGAAGGCTGCAAAACTAGTTTAGGCGCTGCTTAAAAAGTCTTGAAGGCTGCAAAACTAGTTTAGGCGCTGCTCTAAAAGTCTTGAAGGCTGCAAAACTAGTTTAGGCGCTGCTTAAAAGTCTTGAAGGCTGCAAAACTAGTTTAGGCGCTGCTTAAAAGTCTTGAAGACTGCAAAACTAGTTTAGGCGCTGCTTAAAAGTCTTGAAGGCTGCAAAACTAGTTTAGGCGCTGCTTAAAAGTCTTGAAGGCTGCAAAACTAGTTTAGGCGCTGCTTAAAAGTCTTGAAGGCTGCAAAACTAGTTTAGGCGCTGCTTAAAAGTCTTGAAGACTGCAAAACTAGTTTAGGCGCTGCTTAAAAGTTTTGAAGGCTGCAAGAAAAATTCAGGCGCTGCTTAAAAGTTTTGAAGGCTGCAAGACAAATACTTTTATCCGTTGTATTTTGACCTTTCCTTCAACTTTTTCTTGTAGGTGACATTGGCGGCAACATGGGAATGTTCCTGGGAATGTCTGTCATTACGATAACCGAAATTTTGATGTACTTTTCGAAAATGTTCTGGATTGGACTATCGAGTAAACGACGCGACTACATGTACAACAAGAAGCATAAAGAACAGGTTGGGAGGATTTTAATTTTTTTTTTTACAAAAGCTCTTTTATGTCGGAAAACATTAAAAAAGGTTTCGTAATTTAGAAGAAAAATAAACTTTTGTTCAGAACCGCGAAATCGCCATCGATGAAACTATAACCAACTTCAAGGCGATCAGTAGTCAGGCGTCTTTGGGGTGAGTTTTTATTATTTTTTAAAATTACATAAATTTTTTTCAGTACTTCGCCGCACATCGTCGCACCATTGGACCCGATTCAATTAAGCAAATCAAGTCATTAAGGACAGGTATTATTTTGAAGTAGTTTGCCGTTTCAGTCTTGATTCAAAATTTTTTTAAAATTTTGCTTCGATAGTGTTTTTAACAGCTTTTTAAAAGAAATGTGAAATATCGACTTTTGTTTCAGAAATGGTTTCTAGAAACCGAAAGTTTTTCTTTGACCATCCATTTTTGGCATGATCTCTCACCTTTTTTGGGAAAATTATTTAAGTAACGATTTTCAGAACGATTCTGTGGCGATTATTGTTTATATTCTGGAAATAATAGAAGTGCGGACGGTTTTTAATTCTGGAGAAATCTCAATATTTCCTTCTCAAACTGCTTTTTTTCCCGTTCCAATTAAACCGATTCAGCCTTTTTTCTTGTGATTTTTATGATTTTTTCTTGTGATTTTTATCATTTTTTTTCTTGAAAGTTTACAAACTTCGATCTCTTTGTGTGATTTTGTTTGCATAATTCCTTTTTCCAAAATAACTTTTTTTTTGCGATTTTTCACGGGTTACAAAATTCTTTATTTCCATTGTATAAATTGTTGTGAAACTGATGAATGTTGAATAAAAGTTTAATTTTTTGAAAATATATTGCGAATTAAACTGGGTGGTCATTTATGCCATGTATATCTAGAAAAAGAAGAAACAGGTCAATTTGACAGCTCTGATGAAGGCGATGGCGCGAAACCGGTGCGAGTCAGGCGCATCGATTAATGGGGTCTCATGGCGAGCGGACAGCTTTGGTTAATACCCAGTTACACAAGGTAATTGAGTGTTCTGACCATTCATAGAATGTGTTAGAAACAATTTTTGGATCGCTCAACCGGGGTCTCCGGATGAGCAAAAAGAAATTTTTTCCAGGTGTTTGCTCCTTTTGTAACAAATTTTCTGATCATTATAGTTCAAAAATTGTTAGAAAAAATCAAAATCTACAAAATTAGTTCTCGAAAAAAAGAAAAAATGATTTCAATGTGTTCTGATATCATTGCGGTATTGGAATTTCCTTAAAAACTTTCCCGACGATAATTCCCTGATTTTTTAAAATTTTTTTAAAGTAGCCTTGGTTGTCTCCTTCTAGTTTTGATGAGACCTTCTTAATCAACATTTTTACCACCTGAGCAAAAAAAAGGCGCATTTTCGCATTACGACTGTTTTTCTAGATGGGTCGACGCGAAAGCCGGTGCGAGTCGGACGCAGCAATTCGCTGGGTCACGTGGCGCGATAATCATTTTGGTTAATACCCAGTTACACAAGGTAATTGAGTGCTCTGACCATTCAAAGAATGTGTTAGAATTAATTTTTGGATAGCTCGACCGGGGTCTCCGGATGAGCAAAAATATACTCGGAGGTTGGTAACTCGAAACGGACGCGTACCAGACGTTTCTGGAAAATTCTAGGGGTCATTTAAGCGCCGAGGCTACTAAAGTAGCCACTAGAAATGCCCCGACACGTCCGATTCGCGTTACCAAGGTCCGAGTATTATAGTCGATGTGCCACAAGTTGAAATTTCATGGAACGACACTCCGCTGTTTCCATTTGTGCGGTAGCGCGCATCTTGCGAATTTGCCAACCTCGGCCACGCTAATTTTTTTTTGGTTTTAATTCTGATTTTGATCGTTTTTTAATTGTTTTATGTCTTCAAAATGTATTATTATCGTTGCAAAGAATTGTGTTGTACAAATGTAAACAAAAGAACACAGCAAATTTCACAATCTTTATCGAAAAAAGCGATAAAAAAAAGTTTGAAAAACTTCATGTATTCGTCAATCGCTTTAATATTGTTTTTCTCGTTTCTCAAAAAAGGTTTCAAAGGTTTACCAAAAAGATTTGCGGGTGAAATAGGCCGTAAACACCACAATATTCTACAAAAGTTTCTGTGTTTTTTTTAAGGCCATGTTTTTAATGTTTTCATCGTTTTTCTGTTTGCAGTCGTTAATGGTTTTTTCAGAAATTGAGTGTCTTATAAAATGAAGACGTTTACTTCCATGAGCACATGCACCATAATTTGAAGAAAGGTTTTTCGTTCCTTTTTTTAAATGGAGCTTTAGATAAATCGTATTGCTGAACTTTACGTCAGAAATGGGGCGTGAACAGGGAGCAATTGGAACAGTGGAAACGATGTGCTGAACGAAATGTCCAGCAAACTAATTATTTTTTTCCTTTGAACTTATTTATCTGTTTTTTTAAAAAAATAAAATTCGTCGATGTAGAAACATTCAATTTTTTTCAAAATCATTCACTGTGTATTTTATTTCTGATTGGGATATTATTTAAATTCTTTGAAATGAAAAAAAGAAATGTCGATTAAGGCTCAATGAAGGTTAAATAACGGAATATATTGAACAAAACCAAAGACCATCTCATGAAAAACTTTCAAATATTATAAACGCATTTTCTCTTTAAATTCGATAATCACTCTACTTTATTTGTATCAATGAAACAGTCTATCCACTAGAAAAAGATAATTATGAGTTTGGCACGGAGAAAACTATTAAAAACATAATTAAAAATAATGAAAATTTTTCAAATGAAAGAAAAAAATGGAAAGCGCGACTGAAATTCGCAAAGGCAAGGCGCTTTCACGGCCACGGCCACCCAACGGAGTGTCGTTCCATGAAATTTCAAGTCGTGGCACATCGACTATATCAAGGGACCTTTTTTTATCTTTTCTTCTAACAAATCTTATCAATAATGAAGTTTCGAGAGGTTTGATGTTCCTAAAAAGAAACTCATCTATGTTCCACGAGAAAAATCTAAGAATTTTTTGTCGAAAAAGGAAAAAAATACAATTTTAACGTGTTCTATCATGCAGAATAGGAGTTCTATGAAAATCTTCTTAGCTATAGTGTTCTGGATTTGAAGATAAATAAATATAAATTAAAATTTGTATCACCTCAGTCAAAAAAGCAAACTTTCACATCACGACTATTTTTCAAGATGGATTGGCGCGAAAGCCGGTGCGAGTCGGACGCAACATTTGGGGAGCTCACGTGGAACAATGACGGCTTTGGTTAATACCCAGTTACTAAAGGTAATTGAGTGTTCTGACCATTTCTCTGAAATGTGTTAGAAACAATTTTTGGATCGCTTAACCGGGGTCTCCGGATGAGCAAAAATAAATGAAGGATAAGAACGAAAATCCTGAAACTAAACAATTTTTATTGAAAAAGAAATCAATTTAGAAAACTCAAGATTTTTTTGTAAAAAACACGAAAAAGGCATGTTTTGTTACCATATTTTTAAACCCTTAAGTGATTTTTTTTGATACGTGATTGTTATCAACTTCAACCGTAATTTTAAGCACCAATAAGCCTCGCGACTTTTCACTTTTGATTTATTAATCCCTTTCTTATCATTTTCCCTAATCAATGATAAGATCATAATCACTTCCAGGGCTTCTCTTTCCGTTTTTTTTTTCCATTTTAAAATCAATTTAAATTTTTTCGAAGCGTTCCTTTAGAGTGGTTTTTTTGAGGTCTACACTATTTTCTGGGTTTTATATCTAATTTCATCTGTTTGTCAGTAGCTCAATCAAAAGAGTTGTTAGCTGGGATGTATTTGCTTATTTTTTTTTGATTTATCTTCAAAAAATGAGCAAAAATAAGCCAGCAAAAAAACTTTGACCTGGGCAGGATTCGAACCTGCGACCCCTGGAGTGGTGCTAACAGTTTACCTACTGGGTTAAGGCGTTCTATTTATGATTTCCAATAATTTTTGGGGTTTCAATTGAAAATCATCAATCTTTGAAGTAAAAATATAATTAAAAGGGCCTTTTTTTTCAAAACGAAACCGTTCAAATTCGGCCAGGAACCATGAAAAATCGATAGCGAACCCCGCAAAGGAGCAGCTTTTCATTAAATCACGATGATAAGCCGCGAAAATTAGCGCTTATCACCTCAGGTGTCGTCCTCAAAAACTGCCCCCCTCCGATTTTTGTTCTTTTCACCATTTTTATAGCCATTTTTATTGTTTTTTGTTCAGTTTTTGCACATAAAAACTGTTTTTTTACTCCAAAAACGACTTGATTTTAGAAATCGAGTCAAAAAGTGGAATATTTCATATATAATTTGTAAAAAATGGACATACCCGCCATTGTTGTACCTGATAGGTGGGTTTAGAATCATTGCAAATTGAATTTTTTCGATTTTCTAGGGGTTAAACTTGTCTTGATGTACTGATTAGTACATAAATGGCATATTTTTTGAATTTTGAATTTTTCAATCCTTTTTCTGTTCAATGGGAATTTTTTAGTGTTTAAAAATCAGAAAAAAAACTACGTCAAGTTCAAGTTTTAGTACAGAATCTTGATTCATTTAACTTAAGAAAATGAAAAATTTTTTTGAAGTTTTTTTATTATTTTTTTATTTCGAATATCTTGAAAAAAAGCGACGGAAAAAAATCAAATTTCAACACGGAAAATTTTTTTAAATTACCTTCAAAAAAATGTCTTTTTTCATTTTATAACTGATGAATTCATGAGGGATTTTTTTAAAATCAAAAATTACCAATATTTTTCCAGTCGTTTTTTCACGCGTTTTTTTCACGCGATCCTCACTCTTAATACCGGGTACAAACAAAACTCTTGAATTCAGTGTGGAAAATGAGAAATTAAATAAATATTGATATAATTGAAGGAATCGAAAAAAAGAAAAAAAGATTTTTTTCCTCTCATTTCAGGCTGGAAGACGATAAATTGTACATGGATGCGCCTGGTAACGATTCGACTACGTTTCGAAATGTTCGCGATTTTTTTCAATTTTTTTCTGTATTTTTTTAGAAACAAGAAAAACATGCTCTAAAACTTCTAGAAGTCGATTTTTTATTATTTTTTGAAAGAAATAGGTTGAATAGGCCTCTTGGATATTATTTAAATCTTTTAATATAGAGCAAAAATAGTTTGAACCTGATGAGGATCCGAACCTGTGACCCCTGGTATGTTACCTAAAATTTAACCCATTGCACTAGAGTTCCCTAAAAAGTCTCTCCAGGCTTTAAGAAAAAATAGTCTGACTCTTCTATATCCCAAAAAAGAAGTAAAATAAGAAAAAAAAGCAGGATATATTTTTAGAGATTACGGTATTCAAAAGTCCGCATTCTCTGTGCTTGCACTTTTTGCGCGTGAAAAATTTTTTTAAATTCAATTTTTTTCAAGCTGATCAAAATTTTTGATTTTTAAAGCTGTTTAGGTGAAAATTTAGCCATTGAAAGTTTTCTTCAGTTAAACTATCAATTTTTTGAAAAAAGAAATGAAATAAAAGTCAACAAGAAACAGGGAACCTTTTTTCAATATATTAATAACTTTTACCTATACAGGTATATTTTTCAACTGGGAATGACTATCATGACGATACTTGCTCCTCGGATTCGGACCAAAATCAGTTAAAGTAAATCATATCATTGATTATCATTGACAAGGAAAATAATTCAGGGCATCGCCATCAAAATCGTCATTCCTGTCGGATTTGAAGCTGAAAAGGGCCTCTCAACTGATTGTCGACCTTCCGGTTTATCACCTGAACAAAATCAAAAATACTGAAGGCGTCGGATCGATCGATCGGGAAACTATGCATTTCAGTAGTGGGTTCTCATTTATTCAGTGGGCGCCAGAGGGGTCACTAAAGGGGAGGGAACCCTTAGGGCTCTTGTAGGTACTCCTCAAGGGACTTTCGCTTATAGGGGTCACTTAAGCTTGCAAGAGTGGTCACTAAAGGGGAGGGGAACCTTAGGGGCTCTTGTAGGTTCCCCTCAAGGGAGCTCCTCTTATAGGGGTCACTAGAGCTTTCAAAAATGGCCACTCTAGGGCTTTTAGTTGAGAGTCATTCTAGGGGAGCAGGTTAGTGACCCCTGTACGTCTTTTAATAAGACTTTTCAGCTTTGAAGGCAGAAAAAAAAAATGTTAAAAGATCACTAGAGGGACCACTTGAGCTGTAGGAAGTTAGATGTCTAAGGATCACCTAGATTTTACCCCTCTAGGGACCACTATTTTGTTCACCATTTGGACTTTTTTGACCTAACCCCTCTAGTGACCACTTTGACCTAAGTTATCCCACTTTTGATTTAAAAAAAAATGAAGCGCAAACTGAAAAAAATGCGAAAAATAATGGAAAAATGCGCTTAAGGATAGTGTAGAGACGATTTTTCTGGTCGAAAAATGATAAGAAAAATCAGAAAATTCAGTTTTAATCTAGAAAAAAATGTGAGAAAATAAGCAGAGCTCAACGTAGGAAAATCAAATGAGACACATTTGAATAGACCAGGGGAAGTTTGATAAACGATTTTATTAGGTTCATCCAAAAATAGGGACGAGAAATCGTAAAAAATTTTGAGTATTCCCGTTGATAAAATCTGATAGATCAAGGTTTTCTTAATTTTTTTCAGAATTTTTAGGCGTTTTTGAAAGTGATTTTGTGCAGAAAAACTGAAATTTTTGAGCTTATTCAATACATTTTTTTAAAGCTTCCTTGGAAGATTTTTTTGTTTCTTGTATGGAATTTGCTGATTCCGAAGCTTGACAGTAGGATTTTAAACTATCTTTTGGAATGAAATTAGAAATTACTGAATAAATAATTTAATTTCTATACGAAGTGGGGCTTTTTCTATAACCTGGGATAAAAAAGAGTGTCGCGGCCAAGCTCCTCTCACCGCCTGCACCTCTCATCTCTCACCTTAGCCACCAAGTCGGTTAGGGTCGGGACGCGCTGCCCCATGTCTACTGCCCCAAATAATTGCTCCTCATCGCTTCTCGGCCTTTTGGCTAAGATCAGTTTGTAGTTACCGTTCTTATCGTATTAACCTACGATATGAGCTCATCGAGCTCTGCATAGGTTATTCCATTTTTGGAGCCAAGGAAGGATTCTGGAGCTTGCTCCGGCCTTCCGAGGGTCGTTCCGGCGTTGCACCGCTGTCGGACTCGGCCCAGACCTCGGGAGGGGTCAAAAAGAGATCAGTAATAAATAAATCAGTAGGTATGACATTTGAGCTTCTGTAAGACGAAGCTTCACCTATTCTTTGAGGTTTTTCGGGTACTTTTAGGTCTTAGAACAGTTTTCTGCTTCCAAAAGGACTCTAGATGGTTGTTATCCGCACAAAAGTCAAACTCGCATATTTGTAACGCGAATCGGACGTGTCGGAGCATTTCTAGTGACCACTTTAGTAGCTTCAGCCCTCTTAAGGGATCCCTATAACTAGCCAGAAACGTCCGTTCTGTGTTACGAATGCCCGAGAATTTATCTTTTAAAGAAATTGTTTCCGAAGAGTACAAAGGCATCAACTATCATGTTAACAATGGAAAAAAGATGTTAAAAGTCCATTAAAAGCCCAAAAACTGAGGAGAATATAAGGATATTTTGAACTTCATCATTTTTTGAGAGTCATCTTTGCAAAAAAAAATTTTTTTATCGATTAGAAACCTCAAAGTTAGTAACAGCCATAAGACTATTGGGAAGAATGGTATCCGAAAAAAAAATTAATAAACAAGACCAATGTAAGAGACTCCAGAATTTAGAATTATGCTTTTCCTAATCTTACATTATTTTCACGGTTTTTCAAAAGTCATTTTTTAAATTTCCACTGAACATCTTGAGCGTCATAAAAAACACTAAACGATCCTCAAAAACCTCATTTTTCAGACACCACAACGATGCATGGCCCGAAGCGAATTTACAATGGTAAACGGTGAGAAATTAATCGGAATTAATAGAAAAATTTGGAATTTTAGATTGGCGACAATTTTCTGGGCGATTATCGTCACCGCCTCATTTTCCATGCTGATTTGGCAAATCGTCAACTTGATACTGATATTTTTCTCAAGGCCCACAGTTTCCGAGGTTTTTCCTGACTGAAAAGTGCGCTCCAACGAATTCGGCTTTGATCTTTTTCCCAAGGTAACAGACACCGAAAAGGTCCGAGTCCCAAAGAAGCTCTAGGGATCACTTAAGAGTGCTAACGCTACTCAAGGGGTCACTAGAACTGCTAAATCCGGGACGTGTCCAGTTTGAGCATTTTTCGATTGAGTTCAGTGGAGCGCACTTTCTTCGAACTATTTTAATTAATTAAGTTTATTTGAGGTTTCTTTCGTGATGAGCGACAATGGAATGCCGTTCCCCAGAGTCACAGTCTGTAGTTTCAATCCGATCGCCAAGACTTATGTCGAAAGTGCGTACGGTTTGAAAGTTCGGATGTTTTGAAAATTGAGACTCTAGGGTTATGCCGTGTTCAATTTGATTCCGCGAAATGCAAAATACCCGTCAGAGAAAAGAAAATATCACTAAATTTTGGAGAGTCAGAGATCATTTTGCATTTCGCGGAATCAAATTGAACACGGCATTAATTTTTTCGAGAATATTCGCTTACTTAGGAACTCCAGAGTGGCCCCTATAGGGACGACCTTTGTGGCCCTTGGAGGCACCACTTTACTAACTCCTACAGGGGCCACTGAAGCTTGCAAAAAGTGGTCCCTAAAGGGGAGATGCTAGTCGATGGTTTTTATGATCTCCATGCGAAGAAGGATTTTCATGTGAAAAAAATGAAAAAATAAACGTTTTTTTGAAATAAATTCGACCCCTATAAAGACCACTTGAGCTTTAGAGGCTATATATGGACCACCTAAATTTCACCCCTATAGGGACTGTTCTTCCCCCTAGCCCCTGTCGAGACTTCTCTAGAATTCCTAAGAGCTTTTCAGAAAAAATTTGCGCTCGAGGAAGGATTTCAGGAATCGTTCAAACTTTTTGCAGAGAGAATTGAGTGCATTTGACTCGAGGCATTAGGTTTCTAGAGAAAGGGAGTTTGTATAGCCCGGCAAAAACGTTCCGACGTGGAGAGGATCCGAACCTCAGACCCTTAGATTGATATCCCAACTCCGCTAGTATCCTTTCGAAATGTTCTATAAAATTTCCCAAAGAAAATGGCAAAAGAAGTTGGAACCTGGAAGGGAATCGAACCTGCGACCTAAAGATCTTTTTTTCCAAACACTCAAAAAATATAACTTTTTCTGAAAACTCGAATAATTGCTCTTCTATAGTTTGTTCATATTTTGGATTTCAAATACAATGACGTCATTAGAAAACACTATGTGGATGGCTCGCTCTCTGATTGGCTTATCGGGCCATTAGGGGCGGAGCTTTAGAAGCGACTTGACATTCAAACTTTGAACAGACTAGCTTTTTTTTGTGAAGTTACATACATAAGCGACCTCTTTGAGTCATTGAAAAGTTTATATTGGCCTGATTATATGTGTCGTTCCTGGAACGTATTTGAAGCTGGTCCGGTGTGACGCTTATTTTTAGAAATGAGATTTTGAATATTTTCGAAAAAAATTTTCTCATGTGTTTGAAGTACCAATTTTTGAGCTATTTCATGAATTTTTTTCAATTTTTTTTCAGCATTTTCTGGGAGAATACCCTTTGAAATGGCTTCTGAATGAAAATAATAGGTTATTGTCCTTTTTTGTATTTTGTACGTTTCTGAAACTTGTGTGAAGTTTCCAAGAATTAAAAAAAAATGCTTTTTCACAAATTTTAACGGTTATTTTAAGAGCTGAATGATCAAATATAGGGTTTTTCCAATTTTAAACAGATCTCTGATTTTTTAAAAAATGAAAGAAGATTCAATTTTTTCAGGATTGAATACCAGTGGCGGCGGGGATTTCAGCGATGACTTATTGAATTATTTAATGCTTTACAATGTTGATGCTCAAACGTTGTATGGACGTGCTGATGCTCCCGCTCTTCATTATGGTGAATTTTTGGAGAAAACAAAATTTTAAGTAAAAATTCCTTCTTTGGACACTTCTGATCTAGTTAGAAAAATAGGAAGATCAATTTTTTTTTAAAATTTTTTTCGGTTCAGTAGTTTTCGCATCAAACTCAACTTGAAAGAACAAAAATTCCAAAAAAAGCTGAAATTTTTCAGGCGATGGACTGTACCAAGCTTACAGCCAGAAGCACAGCGATTTTTCGGCCGACGAATTTTTTATGGACGCTGGGTTTTTTTAAAATCATTTTCCGGTTTTATATCGAATATTAAAATTCGTAAATAACTTTCGTCGGAGTTTAAATGGCTAGGCGACATAAACAAAACTTTAAGATTTTCGGTACTGTTTTCTCTTGAAGGCTTTTTTGATGTTGCTTGATAGTTTGTTGCGCAAGTAGGTTTGGGTCGGGCGCAGCGCTCCGGAGTCGTCTTGAATTAAATTATTCAGAATTTGACCGATAGTATACGAAAAATCGGAGGAAACAGTACTTTTCGAAGAGAAAATAATGGATAATCAATTAAAATTTTTGGATTTATAAGTTATCCTCACGCATTTGGAACTATTTTAATAAGAAGCCAATTTTTAACTGACCAAAATGATCATCTCCAGGTTCAACTGCTCGCAAATGTTCAAGCTGTGCAGTTTTGCTGGTCGGAGGTTTGCGAAATTCTACGGGTTTTAAGAAAATTTGAGAGCTTGATCAATGGGGCGCATTTGATTCAAGAAGAAAAGCCTCGGAAATTTCAGTTCTAGCCAAAATTTGTCCATGGTCCTTTAATAACAAAATAAGCGCCCATAAAAGTTTTCAAGTATTTTTAAATATAGGCCTTTTGAAGATTCGATTGCTGTCGCTATACCCGCCCAGTGTTCTCGGACCTCGGAAAGTGCTACACGTTAGATGTGCAGGGCAGCGACAAGGAATGGATGCACAAGCAAGTTGAGCCCGGAATCGCGGCTGGGTAAGACTTTCGAATCAAAATTTGAACTGAAAAATCAATTTCCAGACTCCAAATCATCCTCGATTCGCACCTGGAGGAGGTTTTCAACCTGGCCGATGGTTGGTTAACCCCTGGTCGCATTTGGAATGGCTCAAAGATCTCCTTCAGACGGAGTTCCACCCGTGTTCTCGAACACCTATGAGAATGGCTTCCGATATTATGTACACGATTCCCAGTCGGTCCCCTTCCTGTCCACTGAAGGGATCAGTGTCTCGCCGAATTCTGTCGTCTACTCGGCCCTCTCCAGTTCTAGGGTTGGTTTTTTGAGGTTAAGAAGAAAAAAATATATGTTGGGTCAAGGAAAAGGAGCTGAACATTGTTTTTTTTTCATTTCATTTCTGAACATTGAACATTTTTATACACAACAACAACAACAAAAAAAACTTTTATACTGGATTATCACGATATTTTTCTCTATTTTTCTAAAATATTCCAAATCAGACTTAGATCAAAGTTTCCCAGTTACTAAAAGCTGAACTTCAAAGCCATTTATTCTGGCTAATTTTTGAGGCTATTTTTTGGGTTCTAGTCATAGTTTCCAAAGCCATTTCTCTCTACTTTTTTTTTTCTAAAGATAATTTTGAAGCTATTTCTTTGCAGCTATTTTTGTGAGGCTAATATTTTACGTAGTTTAGCGAAATTACTAGAGTTGTGCAAGACTTTTTGGCTAAACAGTTTGCAAAAAGTCCTCTGAAAGTTATTTTTTCGATCATTTTTCGACAGTCATCTTACAAAACCGTTTTCTGCTTGGAATCTTGGAAATTCCAGAAAAAAAAACTTTTTTCGGTATAGTCTGTGTGCCACGACTTGGAATTTCACCGAACGACACTCCGTTGTTCCGCTGCGTGCGTTCGCGAAGCGTCTTTCGAATCTAGGTCACGCTTTCAATTGATTGTTATTGCTGTGGGAGCATATGACAATAGAGTACCTTAATAAAAGGAAAAAAAAATTGAAAGCGCGACCATGATTCGCAAAGGCGCGCAGCGGCACAGCGGAATGTCGTTTGGCGAAATTTCAAGTCGCTGTACGCAGGCTATAGCTATATTTTGGAAGCTAATGTTGATTTTTTCAAGTTTATTGAGCTCAAATCTTAGGTATGTTTTTTAGGGCTTTGACTAAAAGATTTTTTTGTTCGTTTCCCTTTTCAGTTTTAATCATTTCAGTACGTCCTCCTGTCCTCACGCTACTGGGGCAACTGTACGGAAGAGTGGCCGCCGGAATATTCTCATCTAACCTCTACAGTATCCCTACAGTACTCGGCCGACATGTGCTCCTCACTGTGCAAAGCGCGATATTTCTATGAAAATTGCGGCTGCAGCCCGACTATCTATAATTACAAGAATGGTTTAGACCGGAATAATATTCGAAATTTTTTAAAGATTGAGATTCCAGTTTATCCCGACTGCACCCCGTATCAAACCCTCACCTGTATGGACAATAAAATGCGAGTTTTTGTCGATGGTGAGAATATGACGTCATCGATTTGTTATATGACGTCATTATTTTGGAGGTTCGACATCGATTCTTATGCCAAAATGTGCGGAATGCCGTTTGGAATGCAATAGTCTAGTTTATCAGGCTTATAATTCCTACGGTCAAGGCCTTTCTCGTGGAGGACTTGCCTACCTCAGCAAGCAGGGCAACTGGACGATTGAGCATATGCAGTTCGTTTGAAGCTTTTTTCAGAAGGAAAATGTGCTCCAAAACGAATCTTGACGACTTCAGTGAGAAGATGAGAAATTTGCAGGACGAACTTCCAAATCATCAACGTTTTCTTCCGCGACATGTCCTACACCGAATACACTCAAGTACAGGGGTCCTCAATTACTGAAACTCTCAGTATGTTTTTTTCTTTTCGAAGTTTGAAAATTTATGCAAAGGAAGCTAAGTTTTTTTAATTTTTTTCAACTGAACAAAATATTGTCTCTTTCTTTTGAAACGAGAATGCAAAAAAATTTCTCATAAATTGTTCAAAAAAATTATTATAAAGAAAAAAAAAGAGGGGTTTCTTTATGAAGATGGGTCTGATTAGTCACCCCGGTACTTTTTTTCGCTGGAGCGCATTCTCTGAAAAATTAAAGGCCGTCAACTTTTTTTAGATTGATAAAAAAAGATGTAAGAAGTGTTAGAAAATTTTTAAAGAGACTTGCTTTGTTCAGAAACTTCTAGAAAAAAATTGGGCGCTGCTTAAATTAAATTTTTTTAAAAACTCTACAAAAAATTTATCAAAGAAAGAGAATGAGTGAAGTATCTTTATGAAGATAAGTTTGAATAGTCACCCCGGAACTTTGTTCGCTGGAGCGCATTTTCTGAAAATGAAAAGCTTCAAACTTTTTGGGTCGATTATAAAAAGATGTAGGAAGTGATACAAAATGGAAAAAGCTGCTTGGTTCAGAATTTTCTATAATAATTGGGCGCTGCTTGATTTGGGCGCTGCTTAATTCGGGCGCTGCTTAACTCAGGCGCTGCTTAACTCAGGCGCTGCTTAACTCAGGCGCTGCTTAACTCAGGCGCTGCTTAACTAAGGCGCTGCTTAAGTTAGGCGCTGCTTAACTAAGGCGCTGCTTAAGTTAGGCGCTGCTTAACTAAGGCGCTGCTAAAGTTAGGCGCTGCCTAACTCAGGCGCTGCTTAACTCAGGCGCTGCTTAACTCAGGCGCTGCTTAATTCAGGCGCTGCCTTATACGGGCGCTGCTTAACTCGGGCGCTGCTCAACTCAGTCGCTGCTTAACTCAGGCGCTGCTTAACTCGGGCGCTGCTCAACTCAGTCGCTGCTTAACTCAGGCGCTGCTTAACTCGGGCGCTGCTTAACTCAGGCGCTGCGTAACCCGGGCGCAGCTTAACTCGGGCGCTGCTCAACTCAGTCGCTGCTTAACTCAGGCGCTGCTCAACTCGGGCGCTGCTTAACTCGGGCGCTGCTTAACTCAGGCGCTGCTTAACTCAGGCGCTGCTTGACTCGGGCGCTGCTTAACTCAGGCGCTGCGTAACTCGGGCGCAGCTTAACTCGGGCGCTGCTTAACTCAGGCGCTGCTTAATTCAGGCGCTGCTTAAGTTGGGCGCTGCTTAACTCGGGCGCTGCTAAACTCGGGCGCTGCTTTACTCGGGCGCTGCTTATTTTGGGCACTGCTTGAGTTGAAACTTTTAAACTTAAAAAAACCCTTGTAGGTGACATTGGCGGCAACATGGGAATGTTCCTGGGAATGTCCGTGATTACGATAACCGAAATTTCGATGTACCTATCAAAAATCGGCTGGATAGCCGTGTCACGACGCCGCCGTGACTATTTGTTCAGCAAAAAGCAGCACGAAAAGGTTGGGTTTTATTAGTGCAGTGGCTCGACCATTAGCCTCATGTAACAAAAGTCGCTGGTTCGATCCCTGTCCTCATTTTTGCCATTTTTCAGGAACACGAGAAAGAGCTCGAAGAGGTCGTTTCTGGCTTCAAATTATTCAGAAAAAGGAAAAGTGGAGCCGAGTCGATGTCTAATTTGAGGTACCTTGAGTTGCCAAAAAATTGATTGAAAAAAAAATTGTTGAAGAGATAAAATAAGAGGCGTTTCACTACATCGGGTCACCACGACAGAATTGGACGCTTCGCGATTGGCTTGGCAGGAGGAGGTATGAAATTTGATTTTTTTTTTTCGGTTCCCAAGTTTTTTCTTTAATTTTCATAGCTTAAAAAAGATTCAAAAACTTCAAATTTTTATTTCAGAGTGCATTCTTATCTTTCAAAACGATTAAAAAAAAGTTGAAAAAAAATTTGTAAAGAAAGGAATGTCTTAGAGGTTGTTTGAAAATGGACTCTAGAACGATGAAAATTTTTCGATTTTTTTAGTGATTTTTGAAACCCTCAAAAAAAGGTTTTTTTGTTTCCCAAGGTAGTTTAAAATCTGAACTTATACTTTAAATGTATCATGTATTCATGTCGAATTCAAAAATCATCGATTATTCTAGGAAGACGAAGAAAAACGGATTCGATCCGTCACCCAACAATCTGAAGCGCTTCGAAGCACAGCGAAATGAAGCAAGGACCCCAAAAATATTGAAAAAGGTACGGAGATTTAATTTTTTTATTTTTGATGGATGGGTTTTTGTGGGGTACTAATGTTAAAACTTGGAGAAAGAACTGAAGTGGTCACTTTAGAGACTTCAAATCTTGAAATATTTTCCACGAGTGCCAAATGACTTTCTAATTTTGAGTTAGCTCTTTAGGGAAACGAAATTTGGGCGGAGTGGACCCTTCAGGGCATTGTGTGACGTCATCTATAGATGGCCTTTTTTCTGATTCAAAATATTTTTGAGATTCTTCCGAAAGTTTCAGAATATTCTTTTCAATCTAGAAACTCACGTTAAGAACTTTTTTCCAACCAAAAAAAATTAAAGTGATCATTTTAGAGATTTACATGACGTATTCCACTTTAGATCCGCCTGAGCATCGATCTTTGTGAGCTCAAAGAGCAACTTGACAAAGGAAGAAAGACTACGGTGGTCAGGGTGCTCCGAAATCGGTCCGAAACCGCTCCAGCCAGCACTCTTCCTCACTAAACTCATTTTTTCTGTACATTTTTTCAAATACCTCGACTTGAAAAAGATTTTTGTATGTAAAAATGATGTGATTACTGGTACTGTTATTCGTTTCATAAAGTTACGAAATTCCTTGCAGACCTACGTGAAATTCGGCTTGTTATGATGAAAATTCAATTCAAATTTTCAGGTACTTCTATTCATTTTGCTCATCCGGTGAACCCCGGTCGAGCTATCCAAAAATTGTCACTAACACATTCCGAAAAATGGTCAGAGCACGCAATTACCTTGAGTAACTGGGTATAAACCGACGCTATCAATTCGCCGTGGCACCCCATGTTTTCGTGCGCCCGACTCCCAGTGGCTTGCGGCGGGTCTCATGTCTCAGCGTGGGCAAGTGTGTCGTGATGGGATCGACGCGAGGTTTGCTTATTTTCATTGACTTTTTGCTTTTTAATACGAATTTAAAGCTTTTCAAACTTTAGTGGTTATGATTTTGGAATTTCGGAGAGTAATTAGGAATATTAATTGGGGAAAATTGAAAGAAATCGCTTCAAAACGGTTCATATAATTGCACAATCTTTTTTTTTTGGCATTGTTTTCACGGAAATTTATTATTTCTTCTCATCGAAATTTCCATAAAACGAATTTCGAAATTGACTTTATTATGAAATCGTTATGGAAGATTGCATTTTGGACCTTTTTTCTAGCGGTGGCTTGCTTTTTTTCCGAGGAAAACTGCTCGAGAAAAAGCTAATTTTCGTTCCACTTGTTCATTTTTTTCTCAAATTTAGAATCAAAACAACTTGGAGCCCATTGATCTCAAGGATTTTTCTCGAAATTTCATTGGAACTTTGATTTTTTTTTCTCGTTTTTTCTTCCTTTTTTGCCCCTCGAAATGTTCGATTCCCACGGCATGGCACACAAGAACAACAGTCAAATAACATCAAAAAGAGGCCAAGAGGGAGGTGCCGGCGGAAAGGAAAAAAAATCGATTTGCGTGAGATGTGTCATTCTAAATGCAACGCAACGTTGGGTCTGCTCTGATTCAAATAAACAACGGCGCTTTTTGCCCTTGTCGCGTTTAAAATAACCGTTTCTTTGAAGAATCTTTGGAGAAAAATTCGCATTTCGATACATTTTGCTCATCCGGAAACCCCGGTCGCGCTATCCAAAAATTATTTCTAACACATTTCAAAGAAATGGTCAGAGCACGCAATTACCTTTGGTAACTGGGTATTAACCGACGATGAATAATCACAATCGGACCCGGTACTTCTGCGCTCCCGACTCGCGCCGGCTTACGCGTTCATTCATCCCTCATCACCCTCGTTCTTCAATTTTTCTTGATTTTCATTGTTTGTATTCCCATTTTCACATGTTTGGTCAATTGAATATACATTTTTGGACATTCTAAACGCGTAGGGGTGTATTAATATAGTTTTAGAAATATTCCCGTCGAGATATTTTTCAAATTTGCCCTATGCTCCTTTAAGTTTTTGGCCCCCAAAAAGTATTTGAAGCGAAGCGTGCAAAAAAAGCTTGAAGTACTGTGGTTTTTCCTAATTTTTTTTTTCGAAAGGCTCTCCTCAAACCATCGTTTTTTTTTGTACCAAAATTTTGAAATTATTGCTTTTACGTCTTTTATTTTTACACACCTTTTCATTATTCGTGTCATAACGATAAATTTGTTCCTAAATCCATGCGAAAATATTTTTAAGCTTTTTCTGACCCAAGAAACAGCTCAAATAAAGTGCAAATTAGCCTTAAGTGTCCATTTAAAAAAAATTTCTGATTCGGGGTTTTGAATGGGAATTTCTGTTTTTTTGAAAGTCGTTTCTGAATTTTTTTTTTCCACGAAACTTTAGAAAACTTGTATTTCCCTTTTTTACAAGACCTCATACTGCTTTTTTTCTCAAATTGTATTTAAATAATATACTTCAAGTCTAATTTCATTTTTCATTCCATTTCTCTAAAAAAAGGCTTTAAGTCTCATATTTATGACTTTTTTTCGCTTGTCTCCGAAAAAATTGTGTGAACAAATGTGACATTTTCTAACGCATTCAATCGCAAATTCTCTTTTTTTTTCTTTTTTTTTTTTTCGATCAGTTAGATTTGTTCATTTTTCATTACAGGTGTCATTTTAAAGGTCGAAAATGGAAGTGTTACATGCGCTTCTAAATGCCGCTTGTCAAAATCAAGGTGGAGGTTTTTAAAAACTTCGAATTGAATTAATAAAATTATTTTGTTTTAGAATCGGATTTTTGTCGAATCTACTTCATCTTCAACTCAATTTACAGTCGATGATTCGACCAGTGAAGTCCAGAATGAGTATTTAGAGACGTTTGGTATGTCTTGCTTAAAAAAATCTGATCGTGACAGTTTTTGTTGAAAATTTTACTGGTCAGTGAGATTGATAAATTCATATAATTAGGATTTTTGAGTGGAATTTCTGAAAACTTAAATTCTACATAGAATTCAGGACGATTTTTATAATGAATTTAGATGAAATGTTCATTGAAATCACATTTTTATTCATTTTTCTACATGGAAAACTGAATTGAATTGAAATTTTAGAAAAAAAAGTAAGGTATTTCGTCGGAAAAACTATTGGAATTTCAAAAATTCTGATCTTTCATCTTTTCAGACCATCTCAGTGACAAAAAACGCCGAAGATACTCCAGGTCTGGAGGTTTCAAAACGCCCGAAGAGATCCGCGAAATGAACCGATTGAGGCAAAGATTGCGGCGTGAGCGAATCAAAAGTGGAAATCGATCTGAAACCTTTCGATAGCTTTCGGAATTCAGATGGAGAGCCGAAACCAGCTAGGACGGGTCGTCAGAAAATTTTCACAGAAGAAGAAGCGCGATTGAGACGGGCGTCACAACAGAAAGAGTACCGGCAACGGCAAAAAGGTCCTCTTTTCCTTTATTTTATGACCATAAGTTGATTCAGTTGAAGTTTTTTTTCCACTCAGGAGCCTTGTAAATGTTAAATAATTAAAAAAGATTTTTTTCAGTCAGAGAAGATGACGAAAAATCCATCGAGGAATCTCTTCAACATCGAATTCCTGTACAAAGTTCGAACAAAGATAGTTAGTTTCTTAACTTCATTGCTCTGCAATACAGTTCTAGAAAAGTTACTGCATCCAATGATCGAAAAAAATCAGAAAATGTCAGTTTTTCTCCCATTTCTAATATTTTTCGGATTACGGTAGGTGTAGTGCAGACACCGATACATTGGAAACGCACCAGAAGTGTTGGATTTTACGACTTTTCCCAAAAATTGCTTCTTCATGAATTTTTTGCGTTTTCCCATCTTATATTGCATTTATTTTTATATTGATTGATTTTTAACTTCTCAAATTTCAAGTTGATCTTGTTACGTTGCTGAAAATCCATGAGAGAAATCGACTGGCGCGTCATGCCTCCTATCAGAGAAACTATCGGAAGCGACAAAAAGGTTCAATTTTCACTAGATTTTGTTTTAAATGTATCATAATTGTTTTCAGAACGACAAAAAGCTTTGGAGAATCAGCAAGATAAAGGTTTTTTGTACAGAATTTTAATTTTATTTTTTACTTTTTGTAGAACCGGAACCCCTACCGACTTTCCTTCAGTCGATAGTCGAAAAGGCGGTGGAAGAAAAGGAAAAAAATCGGAATCGGGTTTTTCTTATAAACTTTTTTTGCAGAAAAAATGAATATTTATTTTTTTAGAAAAAAATCTCGAGCCGAAGATTTGCTGACGTTGCTTTTTTTGGACACAAAGGTCTTGAAAAATCAAGGGGAAGGTCGGACTTTTTGAACATTTCTTGAAGTATTCATTATTTTTTTCAGACGTTGCGGAAGAGGAAAAAAATTTCGAGAAGTGAGAAAAAAATATAAAAATTGGTAGGTTTTTGGACAAAATTTGAAAAGTAAATGTTTATTTTAAGTGCGAGAAAAAAAGTTGCCGAGTTGAAAAAGAGGCGCCAAGGAGATTGAACAGAAATCGTCGAGTGAAATGAGCCCATTGGAATTTTTTTGGCCTTGAAAGGTGGGCAATGAAATTCGAACTTACCCATTTTTTTCAAGAATTTTTTTCAATTTTTTTCCCCAGATTTCAGAGATTTTGAACAATTTTTGACTTGGAGGAATGTGAATAAAGCCTAATTTTTTTCATACTTTTCTTTCTCATTCGTTTCTAATTTTTGATATTAAAATTTGAGGCTATTTTTTCAGAATTCTGCATGTTGTGAATTTTGATATTACAGTGAACCAAAGGCAAATTGCCTGATTTTATAGATATTGAAGACTTTTTCTTTGTTCTATTAATGTATATTGTTTGTTTTGTTTTGACATTTTGATATTTTGATATTTTGATAATAAAATTGTTGAATATTAAACTTTATAGTTATTTGTTGGTTGGAGCCTTGATTGGGATCAAACTCCTCAACAGGAGAAGATAATTGCCCAGGTGTTCTTTTCGCCTCGCGCCTTTGGCAAGGAAATCAACAGAGATCAAAAGGTGCTAAGAATGCGTGCCACTGGCGCCAAGGAAAATGCCGACTCCGCCTGTTTTTTTCGCACCTCTTGGCGTCCCCTTCTGTCTCGTTCATTTTTGTTTCCTCCTCCTCTTGTTGTTGTTTTTTTTTCTCGTTTTTTGGTGAATTTCGTGTTTTTTTAATGGAGCCATGGCTTCAACTGTATGTAGCCGATTCACGGTTAACTTGGGAAGCTAAGGAGGCGTGGTCTGTCTACACACTATCTCTTTTTTTTTATCGTGTCAAGACCCATTTTTCAATGGCTCAAGCCAGCCGTGAATCAGCTATACACTAGTGATAGTAAAGCATGTTTCTCACCGTTTCTATGATTCAAAAAGAAAGTTAACTGAGATAATATCGCTAAATTTATTGACAAGTTTATTATATTCTATTTAGGTTTTTAAAAAAATAATCTTCTCTTCCTCTAAATGTACTGTCAGTTTTCAAGATCTTCAGTCAGTCATACAGGTTTTTAAACTATTGATTTTAATGATTTTATGCTGGTTCAAAGTAATTTCGGCCAATTGCAAAACTGTCTCTGACTCTCCGAAATAGAGTTGTCTTTTTCTTTCTCTGGCGGCTATTTTGGAGAAATCATTCGAGATTTTGAAATCCTCCGCCTGTTTTTTTTTCGCACTTTTTGGCGTCCCTCCGCTCTCATTCATTTTTGTTTACTCCTCCCACTGTTTTTGTTTTTTTTTCGTCTTAGTCGAGTTTCGGGATTTTTTAATGGAGCCATAGCTTCAATTTAGAGCACTTTTTGAACTTTTTTTTCTATTGAATAGTGGTTTTCTAGACGTTTTAACTGAAATTCGTGTAACTTCCAATTAAAAAAAGATTTTTCGTTCTCAATTTTCGGACAATAATCAAGATCTTCATTACATTAGTTACATTGTTTTTTTTCAACTGTTAAGTTGGTTAATTTTCGGAAAAGTTTCGTACTTGCTTCTGACAAGGAACGGTTTTTTTTTCGTTTTCGAGTTTGGACGCTTCAAAATCTCAGAATAACGTTTTTTTGTCCTATTTTGTGGACTTTGAAGCTTCCTAACTCGAAAACGAGAGCTATTGCAAGACATTTTTATTCTTTTTCTGCAATCAGGAGGTCCTAAAATACATTTCAGCAAAGTTTCATAGAAAGTCCAATCGGGGGGTAAAAACGTTCCCTGGTAAAAAAGTTTTTTTTTTTGAGACCTTTCGAGAAAACATATCTTTTCAAAGTAACGTGCGTCTTTTTATCATTGTCATCTTTTCGACTTCATTCTTTCGAAATCTCTCGTCCCGGAGCAGTTTCGCTCGAAAATCTGTCTCTTTTGATTCGCAAACTTGATGATTTTTCGGTAAATTCTTTGTTATTCTCTGAATTTTTCATTTTTTGTGTATTTTATCGGCGTTTTTTCCCTTTTTCCTCATTGACGAATTTTCCTCAGAGCCTCCTTCCCGGTGACAAGAGAAATGGAATCGAGAGGACCTGCGAATGTCGTCTTGCGTTCTCCGGTTCGAGGCAACCAACGGCCACCCGGCTTCGAGACGATGACCTGGGCCCCGGCCCGCAAGAACGTCAAGAGACCGATCGGTTCGTTGATTTTTTGATTAGAAAAGTTCAAAAAATGTGTATAATTGATCAAAAAAGCATTACCTAACCTTCAACTAGGAAATTTTTAAGGAGGAAATAGCCAAAAAAGTAGGAAATTTGACACTTAGAAGCCCCAGAGTGGCCCCTATAGGGGCAATCTTAGGGGCCCTTGGAGCGTACCCTCTAGGGGCCACTAAAGCTTACATAAGTGGCCCCTTTAGGGACATGTTAGTCGACGATTGTTACGAAAACTAAGCGAAGAAGCATTTTCATGGGAAAAACTGAATAAACAAGCGTTTTTTAATGAAATTGAACGACCCCTATAGGGTCTACTTGGGCTTGAGGGCTAGTAGAAGGGGCTGTTTTTCCCTCTTCACCCCTATAGAGACCACTTAAGCTTTAGAAGCTGAGGTCAGACCCGAAAACCTTTACAGTGACCACCTAAATTTTACCCCTACAGTGACCACTTTTTCGGTCCCTATAGGGGCTGTTTTTCCCCCCAGCCCTATAGGTATCACTCTGGAATACAAATATGACCAATTTGAAATTTTTATTTTAACTATTATTCTACATTATCGAAGTTAAATCAATATTTGTCGTGACTTGAAAATTTACAGACAGAAGCGTGAAGCTCCCGCAGCTCATCTTCACGTCATCTGACGAGGAGAACGAAGAAGTCGCCCGGAATCCACTTCAGGCTCGCGAGAACCTACCTCCGGCCAATAATTGTGAGTTTTCAGCACTTTGATAAACTGTGCGGCAATTGCAAGTATAACTGCGCCCACTTTGCATTTTCAAATTTCTTCTGGGAAATGCCAATTTTTTGAAATTTTTGATGTTTTTGAGAGCTTTTCAGCAAATGCGATAATTGCTAGCATAACTGCGCCCATTTTGCATACTATTTAATTTGAAGAATCGAGGAAATAAGTCAAAAAATGAGCCATTTTGATGATTTTTGATATTGAAAAACCGTGCCCAGTTTGCATATGTCATTCGCAGAGGCGTGGCGAAACAAATAAAAACGTCTTTTTCTCCTCTTATTTAAATAATAAATAAACACTAAACGTTTTTTTATTTGCAGAACCACACTGGATGGGAAGTTGGCCCCGCCTCTCGCTTGTGACAACTCGAAAAATCAACGGATCCTCCAATCGATAATAATGCAAAAACATATATAAAAATAATCATCAAGATTTAACCTTCAAATGTACACTTTTTATTGCCGACGTGTATTCGTTTGTGTTCTTGATAAATATTGATACGATTTATTGAGTTTTTAGTTCGAAAAAAAGAAGTAGAGATCAACAATATTTGAAAGGAATGGGCGTAAAGAAAATATATAGAGAAAATAAACCCGTAACTTGAAGTTTGATTGGAATTCGCCGTGGAGCGCAGAAGATCTTTAGCGTTGAAAAATAAGGCGCATTTTCGGAATTTTAGATGCTTTCTAGCTCAAATTTATCGTTACAGAGAAAAAAAAAACCATGAAAAAGCCAAAAATTACTTAAATTATCATTGGAGCGCAGAATATCACTTTTTCGAGGCGATTTTTTCACAATCTTCGGAGTCGATTTTTTTTTTCAAAATTTGAAAAAGTATGCGCATTTTCGGAATTTTCGATGGTTTCTAGTTCATTTTTCATCGTTAGAAAGCAAGTTTACGTGAGAAAAATCATGAAAAAGTCAAAAATCGATTAATTATCATTGGAGCGCAGAATACCACTTTAGGAAGGTTATTTTTTCACAATTTGAGAAAATCCCGAGTTTTCCAATCGCTTTCCTGTTTCAAAGTTAGTATATAACAGGAATGTCGAAAATAGCTTCAATAAAATAGAAAATTAGTAGTTGAGCATATAAGTTGGCATTTTCAATATTTTTGAATTTTCGCCAGAATTTTTTTCCAAAAATAATCTTGCAACGAAAAGAGGGATAGTTTTCGACCCGTGCTCATTTGAAAAAAGAAAAAATACATTTTCAATCCTCATTTTCGACGAAAAACACCGTACTCGGCCCTGCTGTACTGTGAGATCTCTGCCGTTCGTTTTTCGAATTTTCGGCCAGGATATTTTTCAAACTAGACTGGACATTCGGAGGAAAATGGCCGAGTTCCAATTGATTCCTGAGGTCGGACAGGTTGATGCTGAACTCGATCTGAAAATGAGTGGAATTCATAAAAAAAAATTGCCGGCTGAAAAAGAGGATTTTGCGCTCTGTGGATAATTAGAACAGAAAAAAGCCGCAATTTGAAAATTTTTTCTTTCTATGCCTAAAAATGAACTTGAAAATGTCGAAATCTAGGTAAATTATCAAATTTTCGAATCGGCTCATTTTGGCTAAAAGGTTAGATAGCATGGAGAAAGTGGAGATTTTAGAGAAATTCAGAAATTCTCAACATGTGGGTTTTTTTAAATTTTGGTTATTGTTGAAGGAAATCACCGAACAAAATAATTTGAAAAATCTCCTTTTTTCAGCCTAGGTCGAAACGGGAATCCCAGATAAATCGAAAAAAATCCTAGCTGCTGCGAAGTAAAGAGCATAGGAAAAAGTGGAGAGATTAGATTCGAATTAAATTTCTAAAAAAATAGAAAGCAAGGGAAATGGGAGGGTTTAGTGAACCAGAGAAAATGTCTAACGTCTGTCGTCTCTCCGTTTCCCACACTTTCTGTTAGGTTTAATATACTTTGAAAAATTCTCATCATACTGGATTCTTTCTTATTGATTAATAGACGGAAATCACCGAACGAAATAATTTGAAAAATTCCCCCTTTTTATGCCCTAGTCGAAACGGGAATCCCAACAAAATCGAAAAAAAAAAATTCTAGCTGCCGAACAGTAAAGAGTATAGGAAAAGTGGAGAGATTAGATTCGAATTAAATTTTTAAAAAAAGCAAGGGAAATAGGAGGGTTTAGAGAACCAGAGAAAATGTCTAACGTCTGTCGTCTCTCCATTTCCCACACTCTCTGTTTATTTACTTTGAAAAATCCTCATCATACTGGATTCTTTCTTATTGATTAATAGACGGAAATCACCGAACGAATTAATTTGAAAAATTCCCCCTTTTTATGCCCTAGTCGAAACGGGAATCCCAACAAAATCGAAAAAATTCTAGCTGCCGAACAGTAAAGAGTATAGGAAAAGTGGAGAGATTAGATTCGAATTAAATTTTTAAAAAAAGCAAGGGAAATGGGAGGGTTTAGTGAACCAGAGAAAATGTCTAACGTCTGTCGTCTCTCCGTTTCCCACACTTTCTGTTAGGTTTAATATACTTTGAAAAATTCTCATTATACTGGGTTCTTTTTTTTTTGATTACTACACTGCTCCACAAAATTATACATCCACCCGAGATTTTTCGAAAAATTAAAATTTTTAAAAACATTTTTTTTTTCAATAAGAACTTTGTTGATAGATGATATAGTTTGATCAAAATTCCCATCTTTTGATAACAATAAGATTTTCAGAAACTCTCAAAATATTCGATTTTTCAAAAAATCTCAAGTGGGTATATTTTTTATGTGGAGCAATGTAGAGGGCAATCCTCGAACAAAATAATTGGGAATTCCCCTTTTTTACGCCCTAGTCGAAACGGGAGTCCCAACTATATCGAAAAAAAAAAAATCATAGCTTCCGAACAGTAAAGATAGGAATAGTGGAGAGATTAGACTAAACTGGAATTATTAAACGAAAGAGATTCTCTAAAGCGAAAAAAACAGAGAGCAAGGGAAATAGGAGGGTTCAGAAAACCAGAGAAAATGTCTAACGTCTGTCGTCTCTCCATTTTCCACACTCTCTGTGAGGTTTTAATTTACTTTGAAAAATTCTCATCATACTGGATTCTTTCTTATTGATTAATAGAGCAGAGCATCCTAAAACATGATTCGAAAATTTCCCTTTTTTTAACCCCAAACCGAAACAGGAATCCCAGATAAATCGAAAAAAAAAATCATAGCTGCCGAACAGTAAAGAGCATAGGAAAAGTGGAGAGATTAGATTCGAATTAAATTTCTATAAACTAAAGAAATTTTTTCAAAGCGAAGAAAATAGAGAGCAAAGGAAATAGGATGGTTTAGAGAAGCAGAGAAAATGTCTAACGTCTGTCGTCTCTCCATTTCCCACACTCTCTCTGTTATTTTTTTTTACTTCGAAAAGTCCTCACCATACTCGCCGTGCTGTCCTGCGACCCGTTTCGATAGTATTTCTGCAAAAAAAAAGTGCTCGTACTTTAAAAATGTCCAATAAGATGACTCACCGAAGCCTCAGCTTCGGAAATCGTTTGAGATCGGCCCAGTTTTGTCTGATCCACGTACTTTGATCGTTGATTCTGAATAGAAAATTGATTTTAGCGATGGAGCGCGATTGAGATGGAAGAAACAGCCGTCAAGAGTTTATACGTCTTTTGTTCGGATCGAAAAACGGTTAGTTTTAATTTAATTAACTTTTATTATTTGCATGAAAATTGGGTATCTGAAGCGCCCTTGAACTCACAAAAGGTCGAAAAAATATTTATCAAATTTTGGACTTTTTATTAGGGACCGCAGACGAATTTTTCAAAAAAATTTTTTTCGAACTTCAATATTACTATGGTTGGATAGCTGCTCTAATTTACTATTCAAAAACAGTTTAGTTTTTTTCAAAAAAAGGTTGAGAAAAAAAGTTATGGTCAAAACAGTAGTGAAAAAAAGTCGCGAAATTTAGTACTGAAAGTTTAGATTTTACACTTTTTGGTCGTTCATTTTGTTTTCATATCGGATTTAAACTTTTTTTAGTAGTTTAGTTTGGTTTTTCAAAGTCGTAATAAGTCATTAAAACAGTATAAAACCACAAGTTTGAAAAAGAAAAAGCTATTTTTTTCTTGAAAAAAATAAAAAAATTGCCGCTGCGAGGATTGAACTCGCGATATCAAAACTGTATGCAAGCGCACTTGCGCTGCTCTACGTACATCTCTCGAAGATAGGAGGCGTTCGCGCTATACACCACTTCACCTCAAAGTACAGCATTAACCGACTATCTTGTTTAAAAAAAAGTTATAGTAGTTGAACAATTATGAGTCACGTGTGTTCGGGCCACCTAAAAATAATTTATTCGTAGAGATTCAGTTCAAAAATGCTTCCGTTTTTCGGTGTTTTTTTCTTATTTTAACGTTGTCTTCAAACTAACACTGATTAAACTTTTTAGGCACCGCTAAAAATTTTTTTATTTTTATTTTTTTAATTGATTGAAAATTGAGATACGCTAATATTTAAGAAATAAAAAAAGGCGCCAACGACATCTGACCATGTTAAAATGAATTTCGAAATTTTGACTGTCTATTTTTTTCTCAGAAAAACAAAGTTTTTCGGAATAAGTTTTATATTAATAAAATTTTAGTTACAATTTAATCCACAAGTTAAAATAAAAAAATTTTTTTCACTTACACGCTCTCGAAAGCGAGTACAACATTTTCAACTTTGCGCGGCCTCACGAAGATTAGGCACCGTAAAAACTTTATTTTTTTGTCCTAAAAGATTTTTTTTTCACTTAAGAATCGAATTCGAAAATAAAAAAAGGCGCCAACGACATGGAACTAGGTTAAAAACCCGAAGAAAAAAAGTAGTTTTGGTTTTTTGTACGACACACCGCTAAAACGCTACGAAAATCGGGGGAAAAATATATCAGATTAAAGAGGAAGGTTTTCTCTATGTTTCTCCCAATTTTCTCTGTTTTTGGTTCAGTATTGTGCTTTTACGAAAACATCAAACACAAAATCTAAAAAATCAGTGCATTTCACCATCGCAAAAAGGGGCGTGGCTCTGCGGTCTCTACTTTTTATAAAGAAATTGCGCTCCAATGATAAGAATAGAAATTTGAAACGTACGGTAATGACGTCATCTGAAGTGGGGCTAACTGTGGATCCACCAAAGTTTCGGTTTTGTGCTAGAGCCAAGATCTGAAATAATTTATCAGAGAGGCGATAATTTCGAGGAAAAGTTGCTCCACTGAGAAATGCTCGAAGTTTTCAAAAAATGATGTACCTTTGCCTTCAAAGCCCTCATCGATCCATTGGCTTTTCGACTTTTCATATTTTTCATATTCGTCACCGCTTCTTCGATATTTTTCTGAGCTTCCTGGAAAAAAAAAATTTGAAGGTTTATGATCCGATGATCGCATGGGGAATAGCTCGGCTATAAAAAGGTTAATTTGAAGGTCAACCGACCAAAAACGGCTTGCGCGTTGAGGTATCGAAAAGCGTTAGAACTCAGGCAAAGTCGGATTGGTGGATACTAGAGGGGTGGGGCTCAAAAAAGGTCCAAAAAGGCAGCAAAAAGGCAACAAAAAGGCACCAAAAAGGGTCCCAAAAAGGAACATTTTTATGGAGCCTTTTTCGACCTTTTTTGACCTTTTCCCACTTTGCCTATGAAGTAACCTCTAAGCCATTCCAAGTGCGACCATGAAATTTTATTCAAAAAAAAAATTACCTCTTCGCTGACTTTTTTCTTGTACATGTAGTTCCGTCGTTTCTTCGAAACGACGATCCAACTGCATTTTGAAAGAAAAAGAACAAGTTCGGCGAAAGAAAAGACGCTCATCCCAAGAAATAGGCCCATGTTTCCGCCCATGTCACCTGTAATTTGAAAAAAGGTGCAAAATTTGGAGGTTATAGGTCTAATTTCGAAGAAAAACTTTAAAAAGTAAGATTGACTGTAGAAAAGGACACGAATTAAAACATTGTTCCAAAAAACTAGCTCGAAAATCTCATGGAAAAAATAGCCGCATTGAAAGTTGCATGTGCGCTCCATTGATAATTTCCCTATTTTCGAGCTCAATTCCCCTCGCTTTGGCTCAATTTTCGACTCGGTTTTGGGAGAAGCTCTATTCAAGGTCCTCTGACCCTTTCTGAGAAAACTCACTGAGAATTTCGGTCAGAGAGGTCGCCTGAACCTGCCGATATTCAGTATGAGACATGTCGCGGAAAAACACGTTGATCGTCATGAAATTCGCCCTAGAACTTTAGGAAAATTGATTTTTCTGTATGATAATTGATGATTGAAGCAGCAAAATGGTCGAAAAGCGGTTTTTGGATGCGCCCGACTTAAAACGACTTGCGCTCGAGATACTAGAATATTGTTAGAGAAACCTGTTTTGGAGCCCAGAGAGTTCTAGGAGCTGTATTAGGAAACTTATAATATCTAAAAGCTATTTTGGAAGCCTTCTGGAACATTTTTTGGAGCGCAGAAAGATTATTTCAGAAGCTTGAGCCATTCCAAGTGCGACCAGGGCTTTCTAAATCGATTTTTCCATAAATAGTCGTCAAAAGCCCATTTTCATTTAGTAGATTGGTACTATTTCTCAGAAAAAATTAGATAATCTCAAAAAAAAAGACAAACTTGACATGCGCCGGGGTCCAGGACGAGTTTTTACTATGGAAAAACCGGAGAGCCGCACTATTGAAGCCCTGGCCGTAGGAATTGTAGGCGTGGTAGACTAGACTGTTGCATTCGACCTGGAAAAACGGGAAGTTGGCGGTGAATGAACTATTTTTGAGATGGAGCCTGGAAGTTTTAGGTTTTTCGAAATGTATGGTTTTCCGGTTGAATAGGTTGTTTGACAATACCGTAACCCACTGAGGGGGCGGAGCCTCATAGTAACTATCCTAAAAGCTCACAAACTTTGTCGGGTTACTGTGACAATAGTTTGATTGTTTTTGTCGCATTGATTTATAAAATACGTTTGCATTATGATCGCACTTGACGTAATGAGGTTCTTAATCCGACCAAAAACGGCTTGCGCACAGGGCTATTATAAGTATCAGAGCCATTCCAAATGCGACCAAGCTGAGTATTTTTCAATACGAACCTTGCACTCGCGGCAGTCGGGCATTTGAAAGTAGTCGGTACCTGGAAAAATCAATTTTTCATCTTTCTTTAAATATTTCTACCATTTATCTGCTTCCGGACGTGACGGTCAATGCACTGATAGGTCTGATAAGGGGTGCAGATGTTGAAGGCTGAAAAAAATTTGATTTTTGAACGCTTTTTCGTTCTCAAAGAAGACTTATAGCTGAGAAATCATGAAAAAAGAAGGACTGAGAGATCAACAATGGCTTGAAGAGACGCCAGACAATTAGTCACTCTCTAGCTGTCTGCCGTCTCTTCAAGCCTACAATGTTCTCCCGCTTGTTTTACATGATTTTTGAGTTCTCTAAGAATCTATCAGTCAAGAAAAACGCCAGACAGTTGGAGACTATCTCATTGTGTCTGGCGTCTCTTCAGGCCGGCACTGCTCTCGCTCTCCCTTTCCATAGTTCAGGATTCCCTTATTAACTTCGGAAATACCATGAAAATGAAAGGTATGAAAAACTTGCGTAACGAGAGATCAACAGCGGCCTGAAGAGACGCCAGACAGTTAGAGACCACCTCGTTGTGTCTGGCGTCTTTTCAGTCCGACGCTGCTCTCCCTTCTCTTTTTATGGTTCTCTGTTCATCACAAGAATAACCGATTCTTTCTGATTTTTGACTTTTTTAATCACCTCGATCCAAATTCAAATCGGCCGGCGAACATCCGCAGCTGTCGTTGAAGAACTTGGCCTTGCACAAATGCTCGCAGTTCGCCGTGGAGTACGGTAGCTGGGTACTGTAGCCCGGGGGCCAGTCGTTGGAACAATTGCCCCATTGCTTGTGCGGCAGGAGGATGTACTGCAAAAATGAGTCGTTTTTTTGTTGATTTATTGATTTATTGATTTTTCCCCTTACTAGCGGTGAATGGACTATTTTTTGAAGCTCGGATTTTTCTCGGATTAGGTTTTAATTAGATTTCTTAGATTGGGAATGGATGTTTGGTGCCTTTTTAACTCGACAGAAAGTTTTGGTATACTGACTCCGCCCCTTTTTACAAATTTTCCACTATGATGGTGATGAATGGACTATTTTTTAATGCTTCGATTCTTCTCATTTTTATCAAGTTTCTCGGGTTGATAATCATTTTTGGCGCTTTTGGAAACTCAACAAAAATGTCTGGCTCATTGGCCACGCCCCGTTTCACAAGTTTTTCACTAAGATGGCGGTGAATGGACTATTTTTTGAAAGCTCGGATTTTTCTCGGATTGAGTTTGAATAAACTTTCTCAGGTGGGGAATTGATAATTAGTGCTTTTGAAACTCGACAGAAAGGTGTGGTATACTGGCTCCGCCCCTTTTTACAAATTTTTGACTATGATGGCGGTTAATGGACTAATTGTGGATAGCGCCTTGGAAGATCGAATTTTCTTCTCGTATTTTTGCAAGTTTCTGGGCGGTTCTAGGGATCACTTAAGAACTCTGACGCTACTAGAGGGGTCACTTGGAATGCCCCAACATGTCCGAAGCTCAAGGTACGCTCGAATCCTTCCAAAAATCACCCGATTACTGGCGATCGCCGTGTAAACTCGACTCGAAGGCGAAACACTGATCCCCTCGCTCGCCAAGTACGGAATCGTCCCCAAACTGTGGACGTAGTAACGGAAGCCGTTCTCGTAGGAACTCGCGTAGTATGGGACTGTCTCGGCGTCTGAACTTGATTTCCTGATGAAAAAGAAGCCTCGGTCGCATTTGGAATGGATCAGGGCATTTTTGAAATTTGCGCCCGACCGAAAGCGACCTACGCCCCTCGGCATCTCTCAACATAATTTTAACCAATTTTTCACGCTTTTTCGCTTATAAAACACCTTCAGTTCTTAATTTCGTCTTGAGCCATTCCAAATGCGGTTTTTTGAGACTGTGGAGCAATTTAATTTCGTTAAAAAACGCACGTTCACCTGATTCAAATTGCTCTTCTAGGTGAGCATCAAGCACGAGTTGGAGTCTAAAAAAATGGATTTTTCATTAGTTTTTAAGGTAATTAATATACTGAATGAGTAAAAAATGATAGAAATTTGCATTTGAAGATTTGAAATAAAGCAGGTTTTTAGCACGCTTTACTGTTTCGGAATTTCTTTAAATTAAACAAAAAAATTGAAGTGTTACCGATTGTCTCTGCTTCAACTTTCTGCAAAACTACATGTAATCCTTGAAGCCATTCCAAGTGCGGCCTTTTTCGGATTTTTGAAATTTGGAAAGAAAACGTCAACGAACCCAGCATTGACGCCAGCCGAAACTTGCTTCTTCATCCATTCCTTTTCACTTAAGCGAACATTTAGGGAATAACACTTTCCGAGGCTCGTTAGCTGCTTTTTCGAGTACTTGCAGCAGTCGAATCTGGAATTTTTGATCTGAAATCGGAGAAAAACTAGCGATTTTGAGTATTGATACCGAAGGAAATAGTGAATTTCTACTTTTTTTTAGGTCCCTGGCTTGAAAAATAATTCGAAAATAAAAAAAGACGAACCTTCTGCTCGCAAATGAGCACATCATCATCAGCTCGGAACAATCGAAGCTGAAAAATTTACATCTTTATGGCCGTTTTTTCCAAATCAATTGCGCTCCAGTGATAATTAGGAGATAACTTTGATTCAAATGATGCTTTTTTTGAATAGTAACTCCACCAAAAATAAGTATTTTTTTAAATTAGAGCGAGCTTTCCATAAAAAAAGAGCCTTTTTCGAGAAAAAAATAGGAGCCATTTTTCTTTGTTGGCTATTTTTTTCTCAGCAGAGTTTGCTCCAGTGATAAAAAAAAAGAAATCCATGGTTTATTTCTTTTTTTTTTACCTCGAAATTTCTAATGATTTTATTTCCAATTTCAAAAAGGCTTTTCTCTTATAGAAGCCTTCATGAGGAGTATTTTTTCACTTTATGGCCATTTTTTCGAATCGATTGCGCTCCACGGATAATAAGGAGATAACTTCGATTTAAAGAAGCGTTTTTGATAGTTACTCAACCAAAATAAGTATTTTTATGATTAGAGCGAGCTTCCCATCAAAAAAGAGCCATTTTCTATATTGGCTATTTTTTCGAGCAGAGTTTGCTCCAATGATAAAAAAGAGATATTTATGGTTTTGTATTCTTTTTCGAGAATTTCGGATCTTTTTAAAATAATAAAAAAATGACGGTTTATCAGTGGAGCAAACATTCTGTAAAAATAAGAGCCCATTTTCTTTACCCGCTATTTTCCCCAGCGGATTTTGCTCCATTGATAAGAAGAAATTTTTTTATGATTTTTTTGTAGATTTTTTTCGAGAGTTCCTGATAATATAAAATGAAAAAAACTGCCGATTTATCAGGGGAGCAAACTTTCTCATAGTTGGCTATTTTTTCCCAGCAGAGTTTGCTCCATTAACAAAACAAGAGTTTCAATTGTCCTACCCGGCATCATCAAAAAATCCAGGAATCGTGAAATTCGGATGCTTCTTCTGATACAACTGTAGCATTGCCTCGCCTGTAATTTTTGACTTTTTTTAGACTTTTTTTTCTTAATTTTTAATGATGAAATGAGAAAAATAATACTCTACCAATGTGTAAATCCGCCCGATCGGCCGAATTGAACAGAGTTTCCGTGTCGGCGTTCGATTGGAGCAAATAATTCAGTAGCAGGTCCGAAAAATCGCCCGTTTCGTTGATTTCTGAAGTTAGTAGTTGATTTTTGGGATATAAGAAAGTTGAAAATGATTTTTTTCTTTCGAAAAATGAATGATTTTTTAAGGAATTCTATGGAATTGAGAGCATTTTTAACTATAGGAGACCCTGGTGGCCATTTTTTGAAGTTAATCGCGCCCCATTGACAATAGCTCAAAGAAGCCATTTTTCAGCGAATTCATCCTATTTTCTACCTGTAAAAAGTGTTTTCAACCGTTTATCAATGGAGCATAAATGACTATGAATTTTATTAGAAAATTTTTTTCAAAACTCACTATTGATATAACTTTTCTTGATCGGATTGAAGTTGCAAATTGTGACGATCGGAAAGTCCAATCCATCTTCGCTGATGAGAAATGAGACCTGGAAATTTAAGAAATTTATCAGTCGCATAAGAAAATATAAATTTTCAGCAGGTCCGACCAGAAACTACTTGCGCCTAGGAGCATCTTTCAACATGCAGAGTCATTTTTTCGACCTTTTTTCTGAACTTATTCCGAAGAAAAAGATGCCAGAAATTTTTAGTATGAATCCAGAGCAGCTACTGGTCGCATTAGGAAGGGTTTCAGCAATTTTTTATAATTGCGCCGGACCAGAAACTACTCGCGTCTGATGACATATTTCAGCATGAGAACCGTTATTTGACATATTTTCTAAGTTAATTTTGAAAAAAAAAATTTGAAAGCTTTAATATGAATCTAGAGCAGCTACTGATCGCCTTAGGAGTAGTTCAGCGATGTTTTTAAGTGCGCCCGACCGAAAACTACTTGCGCCGAGTGGCTTGCTTTAGCATGAACAGGCATTTTTAACGTTTTTCAAACAATCCAAAAAAAAATTTGAAAAATGGTTATTGATCTGGAGAAGCTGCTGGTCCTATTAGGATTGCAACAGCGGTTTTTTGTCTTGCGCCCGACTGAAAACTACTTGCGCCGAGAAGCTTCCTTTAGCATGGGCAGTCGTTCTCTGATGCTTTTCATACAATCCAAAAGAATACTGCTTAGAAGAAGCTGCTCGTTCCGTTAGGAATGCTTTGCGATTTTTGTCTTGCACCCGACTTGAAACTACTTGCGCATAGCTTCATTTTTCGCACTAAGAATCGACGTTTTGAGTCAATTTTTTCTCACTTTTTTTTGACAGTCTGAGAGCTTTGGATTTGATTTTAGAGACAAAAAAAATGAAAATATTTACCTGAGAAAGAGTAGGACGACTCGCATAAATAGAGACCAGAGATGAGATCTGATAGATGAGCATGACGACAGCGAACATGGTGATCAGGATCCAGAACCAGGTCGACCACTTTTTCCCGTAGAAGATTCGTTTCGGACCGTGCAGGGTGGTTATATCTTAAGATCGAATTTTCACTTGAGAAGGTTTCCTAGAAGTGAAGACCGCATCCGGAATGGCTTTTGACGCGACGCGGTCGGGAGGGCGGTTTCAGAGACTTTTTCAGGTTTTTTTGTAAGCTGAGAACGTTTTTCCACTCAGAACTTGATGGAGAAAGCAATAAAAATCAAAAATTAAAAAAAAAATTAGCCGCATTTGGAATGGCTTTTGACGCGACGCGGTCGGGAGAGCGTTTTTGAAGATTTATCCGGGTTTTTTTTATGGCTGAGAGCGTTTTTTCACTCAACAAATGAACGAGAAACGGTAGATTGTTAGATTCTTGGAAAAATTCAAAAGGAAAAATTCAAAGGAAAAAATGCCTGCCGCATTTGGAATGGCTTTTGATGCGACGCGGTCCGGAGAGCGGTTTTGAAGGTTTAATCGGGTTTTTGTAGGCTGAGAACAGTTTTTCACTCAAAACTTGATGAAGAGAGTTTTAAAAATCGAAATTTGAGAAAAAGGTCGCATTTGGAATGGTTTGGTGCGACGCGGTCGCGAGAGCGGTTTTGAAGATTTATCCGGGTTTTTTTGTAAGCCGGGAGCATTTTTTTCCACTCAAAATTCCATAAAAAAATAGTATTAAAAACCGAAATTTGAAAAAAATTGGCCGCATTTGGAATGGCTTTTGATGCGTCGCGGTCGAGAAGACGGTTTTGAAGATTTGTTCGCGTTTTTTGTAAGCTGAGATCGTTTTTCCACTCAAAATTTGATCAAGAAAAATCGAAGTTTCCAAAAAAAAATTTTGCCCGCATTTGGAATGGATTAGACCCCGTCGTAGCCCCTTTTTTGAAAATCTACAAATTTTAAAAGAACTGACCCGAAAAATGTTTCGCTTCACGATGAAAAGACCCAACAGATTCGGTCTGTTTGATCCGTTTCAAATGGGCCACGGGTACTTGGAGAATAATCTGAGAAGCTCGTTTTTTGAACGTCAAACGACGGTCTGATGGCAAATCGGTCAGGGTTGAGGAAGCCCGGCTTGAAGAACTGCAAAAATTGGGTTTTAGACTTTTTTCACCGTCTTAAGAGCTCTAGAAAAACTTGAAGAAGTTCAAAAAAAGCTCACCAAATTTCCTTCTTGCTTGAATCTTCCTCACTTGGCGGATCTTTGTCGAATGAAACCTTGAAAATAAATTTTGAAAAATCCATTTTTTCTTCCATAGTTCATTCACCGTTTGGTTAAACTTTAAAGCTTAAAAATTGACCTTAGGCTACTATTTTACAGTGGAATTTGTAGGAACACCTTTGTAATGAAATAAACTTGATTCCTTAAGATTAATCCAAAGAAAAATTTTCAAAAGCCAGAAATAACCTGATTTGAAGTTTTCCGCAGATCAAATTTGTCCATTGAGATACTGGATTTTTCTAAAAAAAGTTATTTTTTTGACAAAACATTTTATGGAAATTTTTCCAACCTTGATTCTCCTTTACAGTAGTCCTCGTGCATTATTTCGAAGAAGGAGATCTGATAAAAAAAATTTTAAAAAAATAAAAAAAAGTAATGTTTCAAAAATTGCGGGATAGAATCGGGAGTAAATAGGGACATAAAAACAACGATTTTTGGAGATTATCCAACTCTGAATGATCAATCCGCACGTTGAACTTTTCTATTGGAAAGTGAAAATTTGTTATTTTTTGGGTTTTAGACGAAATAAGCTCTAGGGGGTTTAAAAGAAGCTAGGAATCTCAAAAATGTCATTTTCCCTTATCAGCTTGATAAAAATGATGCTGTTGATTAGTTTAATGGAAGCTTTTCCGAATTTTAAAGAAAAATTGTCATTGGAGCAACTTTAACTAGGTCCATACAAATACATGAGAACTTCAATGCGCTCTGGAAGACCCTCAAGAGGCCACTTGAGGGTTTTTCGTAGTACAATAACAGGTAAAATTAATTTAGGACCTATTGAGAAGGATCAACTTTTTAGAACCTTCCCTTTGCTCCGCAGATTTTTAAAAAGTTCTAACTACTAAATGGAGAAAATTGAATGAAGTGTTCAAAGGATAAAAGATTTTCCAAGGTAAAAGTTCAGAATTTCAAGTGACCCCTTGAGGGAAAAATATAAAGAAACTGTAGTAGGATTAATGGGACGTAGCCGCGTGACTTGATTTGGGATTTTTTTTTTCGTTCCACAGAAAAATCGTTTTAAGAGATCACTTAAGGGCTCTCAAAAGTAGAATGTTGAGTGAAAGCTTAAAAAAGACCATTGGAGCAAAGTGAAAGCCTTCAGCGAAAGGGGTTTCAAGATACCTCTTAAGGGATTTTATATGAATTAAGTGGAGAAAAGATCAATTTTCAGAGAAGAAACTGTTGGAGCATCGGAGAGAGGTCACTTGAGGGTTTTCTCTGCGCAATAATGAGGAAAATTATTTTTAATAGAAACATCATTATAGAAGTCATATAGCATTTCTAAAAGCTACATGAGACATTCAAACAGCGTTTTAAGAGATCACTTAAGGTCTCTCAAAAGTAGAGCCGTTAGAGCAAGTAAAAAAAGAGCTTCAAAGAACTCGGAAGGAATTTCAAGTGACCCCTTGAGGGAAAAATAAAGAGAAGCAACTGTAGGAACATTGGAACGTAGCCGCGCGACTAGAGTTGTGTTTTTTTTTCTCTCTACAGAACAAGTAACAAAAAGTAAGTATAGGGGCCACTTAAGTGACTAGAAGCTTTCTAAGAGGTATCTTGAGGGTTTTCAGTAGAAAAAGGATTAAAATTCGAAAATAGGCCAATCAAGCAAGCTAGAAGCCTTGACAACTTCAAATTACTCGGAAAGAGTTTCAAGAGGTCTCTTTAGGGAATAAAAAGAAGAAAAATCACTTCAGAGGCAAATTTTAACAGTTTCAAGTTATCTCTTGAGTGAAAAACAAAGAGAAGAAGCGTTTAGGACCATTGGAACGTAGCCGCGATCGACTTAATTTGTAATTTTTTCAGGACCAATTTCCCTATAGGAGCCACTCAGAAGACTAGAATCCCCTTTTTAAGAGGTCTCTTAAGTGTTTTCAAGAGTAGAAAATTGAGTGAAATCTTTAAAAGGACCACTGGAGCAAGATAAAAGCCTTGAGAAATTCGAACCGTTGGGAAAGAGTTTCAAGAGGCCTCTTAAGGGATTATATATGAAATAAATGGAGGGAAGTTACTTCAAAAGCCACTCTTCCAAGATGAAAGTGCAGAAAGTTTCAAGTGGCCCCTTGAGGGAAAAATAAAAAGAAGCAACTGTAGGAAAATTGGAACGTAGCCACGCGACTAGAGTTGTGATTTTTTTTTCTCTCTACAGAACAAGTAACAAAAAGTAAGTATAGGGGCCACTTAAGTGACTAGAAGCTTTCTAAGAGGTCTCTTGAGGGTTTTCAGTAGAAAAAGGATTAAAATTCGAAAATAGGCCAATCAAGCAAGCTAGAAGCCTTGACAGCTTGGAACCGCTCGAAAAGGGTTTTAAGAGATCTCCTAAGGGGGAGAAGAAAGAGGAAAATTACTTCAGAGACAAATTTTAACAGTTTCAAGTTATCTCTTGAGTGAAAAACAAAGAAAAGAAGCTGTAGGAACATTAGAACGCAGCCGCGCTAATTGATTTGGGAGTTTTCCCTCTTTTTCAGAACCAATTGCCCTATAGGAACTACTCAGAAGACCAGAATTCCTTTTTTAAGAGGTCTCTTAAGTTTTTTCAAGAGTAGAAAGTTGACTGAAATCTTTAAAAAGACCATTGGAGCAAGGTAAAGTTCTTGAGAGCGTCTAACCCTTCGGAAAAAGTTTCAAGAGGTCTCTTAAGGGAATCAAAAGAAGGAGACTTCGAAGATAAAAGCTCAGAGAGTTTCAAGTGGCCCCTTGAGGGGAAAATGAACTGAAGAAACTGTAGGACCATTGGAACGTAGTCGCGCGACTTGATTTGGTATTTTTTCAGAACCAATTGCCCTATAGGAGCACTCAGAAGACTAGATTCTCCTTTTTAAGAGGTCTCGTGAGGGTTTTCAAAGTAGAAAAAGGATTGAAACCCGAAAATAGGCCAATCAAGCAAGCTAGAAGCCTTGACATCTTCAAAATACTCGGAAAGATTCAAGAGGCCTCTTAAGGGAATAAAAAAAAGGAGACTTCGAAGATAAAAGCTCAGAGAGTTTCAAGTGGCCCCTTAAGGAAAAATCAAAAACAAGAAACTGTAGGAACTGTAGGAACATTGGAACGTAGCCGCGATCGACTTGATTTGTGATTTTTCTCTCCCTTTTGCAGAACGAAAGAAGAAGCCGCGAATGTTTGCCGGCCCCACACAGACGGTCGCCGCCGCGTCATCGGCTTTTCGACGCCTCTTTTTTTCCCCTTCCGTGAACGTCGGATTGGGTTGGAGATTTTGAGGTGCGGTTGTTGTTGTCCTTTTCGGGTTGCGAAAAAGTAGAAGGATGGTCTTTCCGTTTTGGCCGCTCAAAGTTGAGAAAAAGGGTCCAAAGTCTCGAATTTTGCTCATTTTTGAGATGGCCGCTCACGAGTTTTGTTGAAAAAGCTTCGATAAATGAGAAAAAAGTCGAAATTGAATAAAGTTTCCGAAGATCCCAGTGGTTGAAGCTTCCAAGATCAGAGAAAAGAAGGATGTGAAGAAATAGCCGCGGAGTTCGGTTTTGTGCGCTCTGTCGCTAAAAATAGAGAAAACTTGACTTTTTGTGGTTTTTCAAGGTATAGGAAGACCTAAAACACCATAAAAAGAAAATTACAGCGATTTAAGCCACGCCCTGCGCCTTTAAAATGAGAAAGTCGAGGAAAATAGAAAAAAGCCGTTTTTTGCGCTTTTGGACGGAAGTTTGGTACAGAATCTGAGTAAGGAAAAGTCTTAAAATTTGAAAGATTGTTCTCAAGAAAAAAAAAACAGAGGATGGCTATTTTTTCAGATCAAAAGTGCTCCACGGACAACTAAGAAAAAAGAACTTTTTTTGAAGTTGAAGGTTGGCGCCTCGCCCGACCAACAAACGACTTGCGCTTTAAGACCTTTTAAAGGGTTGGAGAAACAAAGTTAGTTTTTTGAATATTTATTTTTTGAACTATTAATTCCTTTTTCTCTAACGATAATTTGAAAGATCCAAAATTTCTAGAAACAGTAAAATGAGGGGCGGAAAGTAGCACTTTCCCCCGGGCTTATCATTCATTTTGGGGACACTTGGCAATGTTTTCAAATTGGAAAGCAAAACGGAGGCTTCCTTATTTGTCTCCTAATCAGCAGAAAATGTATCGATTCGAATTCTGGGATTAATATGTGTACAGTTTCAAGCTCTTTGTGACAATAAACGACGCAAAATTGAGACAAAGGAGATTTTTTTTTGATAATTTTGAGCCCAAAAATTGGAGGGAAAGTTGGATTTTGGTGCCATTTTGCTTTCCTATCACAAAGCTTGGAAATAATTTTGAAAAAAACTGGCTTTTTTTTTGAAGCCTACTTGCGCCCAAAGGCGACAAAAGCATTGAAAAAATGTTTATTGGCATTTTTTTCGTGAGCCATTCCCAATGCGACCATGGTTAATGCAATTTAGCCAAACAACTACAAAAAAATCGAGAAAAAATAAAAATTAAACGTTTCAAAATAGGAATAAATGATTGTTGACAGGGCTTATCAGTGGAAAATTTATCATTGATGAATGATCAAAATAGTACAAAATACGTCGGAAATGATTTCATCGGTTGATTTGGAAAATTTCATATTTCATTTGAAAGATAAGTACTCGAAAGGTACCTAAGAAGCTGATTTTGTCAATGGGGCGCAAACGTTCCGAAAAAGAATTTTCATTTTCCATACTTTTTTTTTGAAGCTGACGATTTATTTTCACCTATTTTTGGTTTGTTTTTTATTGTTCTATTTCCATTTGAAAGATGAGTATTCAAAAAATGTCTAATGAGCTGATTTTATTAATGGGGCGCGAATGCTTTAAACAAGAGCGGCTCATTTTTCCATATTTTTTTTCTTGAATCAGAAGATTTATTTTCACCGATTTTTGCTCTGATTCACTGTTTTATTGGTCTGTTTCGAAATTTAGGTGGTCCCTATAGGGATTAGGGGGGAAAACAGCCCTATGGGGGATGAAAAAGTGGTCTCTAAAGGTGTAAAGTTCAGGTGGTCCCTATAGAAGTTCTCGATTCAAACCCCATAGTCCCTACAGCTCTAGTGGTCTCTTTAGGTGTAAAATTTGTCCCTATAGAGGTTTCGGATCTGACCCTTCAGTCCCTAAAGCTCGAGTGGTCCTTATAGGGGTCAGGGGAAAAATGAGTCCTTATAGGTAGGGGGCGCAAAGCCCCGCCCCTTCACGCCACCAAAATGACGATTTTTTTGTTGCAAAAACGGTTTTGAGGCGTTTATACTAGCTAAAGTCCCCCTTTAAAAATGAACTGTTTCTGCTAATCTATGTAATCGACAACGCTCTACAAGACTGAATATTTTTAAAACTATGTATTTTTCAAAAATAAGCGAAAAAGTAAGATTTCACACGAAAAAATCTGACAACTTTCATAAAATCGTCGCTTTTCAGAAAACCAAGTGAGGAACGCTTCTAAATTTTAAGTATGTTATACATTAACACTTTCTTTTATTTTTTTGAGTAAAAAAATGAAAAAAATCTACCGACGCGAAAAAAATATTAAAGCTTGTAAAGTGACACCAAACTTTGAAGTTGAAATGTGAAAAAAATTTCAGCGACATGGTATACTTTTTTTATTTGATTTAAAAAAACTAACAGTGTGTCCAAAAAAATAAAAAAATTCAAAATGAAAAATAATTATTGGGACAGTGAATCAAATTATATTTGAGTTTTACCAAAACCTCCTTTTTTCGCCTGCCTCGTTGACGCATGAGAGAATAGGATCGCGTCTACATTTTTGATCAGGTTATTAAGCGTTCAAAACTCTATCAATGAAAAAATTATGAAAAAAATCGATCGACGCGAAAAAAATAACGGCTTTGAAAACCTCGAAAAAATGGCAATTTTTTTTGAAATTTCGGAAGATTTCGTGCAAGTGTCCGTAGCAGTGTTTGCGTCAAACACACCGATGCGCCCTTTTAAATGTTGCAGGAGCCGTTTTTTTCGGAGTCAAATTGCACTTTTTTTCCTGTTTTATTTCGAAATAACATTATTTTTTTCATTTTTTTCTTTTTTTCCAAATCGAATGATAATAATTTTTTTCTGAGTAGAAAAAAATAAGCTAAAAAAATCCCTTTGACCTTTTTTTCTAGGTAGTTTTTTTGATATTTTATTAAAAAAATTCTTATGAGGATTGTACAAAAGATTCATACCAAAACATGAAGCTCAGTTCGGACAACCTCTCAGAACAGAAAACCGATTCGAAAACGGTTCAGAAACGCGCAAAAACATTTAAAAAGAAAGCGTGCGGCAGCGGGTAAACCGTGAGATTTTGCCTCCAGTTGTACGCCGGGCGCGCTCGTTTTTTGACCATAACTTTTTTCTTAGTGGAGCTTTTTTCAAAAACTAAACGGATTATGAAAATGGGCAGTCTCCTCTATCGAACAATGTAAAAAACATATTTTTTGAATCGTTCTGAAGAAATGGCTTGCGGTCCCTACTTATAGGGAACATAAAGTGGTAACTATAGGGATAAAACTTAGGTGATACCTATAGAAGACCCTATAAAGTTATTTCTTATATGGGGACGAAAAAGTGGTCACTCTAGATGGGAAATTCAGGTGATCCCTATAGGGGTTTAGGGTCTGACCTTAGCCCCTAAAGATCTAGGGACCCCTATAGGGGCTAGGGAACAAAGAAGTAGTTCCTAGTTCATTTGTTTCATTCTCGTCAAAAAAAGAAAGAATTGAGCTTTCAGGTAACCAAAAGTTGTATCGTATTCATCTCATAAAAAAAAAATTGGGAACGTTATTGTTTTTCGGATTTTCGCATTGAAACCATTGTTGTTAAGTCAGTCTCATTGTAGTTCTAGAAGAAGAATAAACATACTGTTATTTGACCTGGACGCGAAAAAAAAGTGCGAAAGTCGACAACGAAGCGAGAAAAACGGGGAAAAGTGCGAAAATGATCCCATGTTGCCACAAAATTAACACCTCTTTTTGATGGAAGTTGATCCGGGGTCAGTCGAAATGACAGGCGGGATCGTCTTTCTTCTTCTTTTTTTGGCGTTTTGGGTAATTAGAACATTTTTGGGATCTTTGGTTAATTATATTGGATGGGTACTTTAAAAAATGAAAATCCGATGCTTTTTTATTCTCTATGATCAAAGTTTATAATCTTTTAGGGACTGCCGAATTTTTTTCTGAACTGAAAGTCTAGAAATTTCGAATTTCTTAAAGCTGTTTGAGTACTGGAAGCTCTTTAAAAAATTCAAAATTTTGAATTGGAACCCAATTTTTGGATCAGCTTTTTCCTTTCCCGAGATGGTGTTCCAAAGAAAAAGTTGGTTTTCCAAGTTGATCAGTATTTTTTTCTAAGTAGAAGATTTTTTTCTCTTTTTTTAAAAATGGGACTATTCAAAATAAAAGCTATTTCGGTTAGTATTGCTCCTTTGGCTATTTGAAGTTAAATCTCGAATTTTGAGCCCTAAGGAGTTTTTTGAGTACAAAGTGAGTGATGTATTGAAAGCAGAACGTTCAAGTTTTTGAACTGAAGAAGCTAAAAAAGTTTGAATTTTTTCAAGATTTCCCGGAGTGTATTTCAGCATATTTTTGTTGCTGTCTTTCTTTTTTTGAACAAGTGAACACTTTGTCTTTTTCTTTCGATTTATTCAGGAGGAAACAACAAAGTAATTAGACAATTGAAACAAAGAATAAACGAGTTGACCTGAGTTGGGAAGTTAAAGTTGGAAAGTTAGACACTGACCTAACGGAATTAATTGAGGACCGAGTTAGGGCGAAAAACTAGGAAACAATCACAACTTAGGCAAAACCCGCTCAATGTTACTTAGGAGATGAGATATTAACTATTTAGGAATTTAAGGAAGTTAAACTAGAAGATATTGAGGAATTAGGGGATTAGAGATATTAACTTAGGTGAAATAGTTAAGGAGAAGTGAGGAAACTCAGAGAAGGTAAGGAAAAAGGCAAACGTCGAGTCGAAGAAGTCGGAAGGCGTGGCAGGATTCAGAAGGGCAGCAGCGTTGACGACATCGGATTCAGAGGCTCAGGCGACGGTGGACGACGTCATCTGGAAGAAGAAATTGATTAGAATCAGAAGACGTCAGAGGGGAAACTTACTCTTCTTCGAGAACCGAACTGGCGTCCTGACTGGAGCCCACGAGAGTCGTCTCAATCCCGCTGGACGAATGCAGCTTCTGGCTGGAGACGTCGGCTGCTCGACGACCTCTGGAGCCAGTTGTTCGACGACGTCCGGAACGAGCTGCTCGACGACGACTGGAGCTGGCTGCTCGACGATGACTGGAGCTGGCTGCTCGACGACGATTGGAGCCGGCTGCTCGACGACGACCAGAACCACGTCTTCGGCCTTCGCGGCCTTCTTCTGTGGAGAATCGCAGATGTTGAAGTCGAGAACTGGACAAGGAAGGTTCCTGGCTTCTTCACCTGCAAATCAATCAGGTTAATCAAAGAACGGGAAGAGAATAAACGAACCCATAGAATTGCGAGATCGCTTTCGAATAGGCGCCGTCGAAGTGCGAGTAGCTTCGGCAAGACGGAACTCCGGTCGAACAGGAGTCTTGAGAGAATCAGCAGCAGCTGGAGCAGATCCGGAAAGAGCTGGAGCAGGGTTCATGACTGACTTGAGGTTCAGAGAACGGTTGCGGACTCCTTCGGAGGCTGCTATTTATGCGGATTTCTATGGGCGGAGCCTGAGCGGAAGGGGCGGTCCGACGGTCGCCGGATCTCGCTCCGGTCCGACTTCAGGTGCCAACTTGCCTGAGGTCAGTGGGAATGAATTGGCACATTTCGGAAGATGGATGACATTTCCTTTGAATCGCCGAATTCTCATCGGAAGTTACTGGGAAGTTGTGGAGTTGGTTGAGAATCGGTCACACTTTTGAGCCTCTGGAATTTTAGGATTTGAATGGGAACACTCAGATTATTGAAGAGAATGATTCAAAAACCGGAAAATGTTCATTTTTATAGATCAGTGGCGCATTGAGAAGCATTTCAAACAAAAAAAAAAGATTTCTGATCATTTTATATGGACCTAGGAGAACAAAAAAATAAAATTAAAGAGGAACTTTCGAAAAAAACTTTTTTTGTTTGCTAGATTCCTTTTAAATATTGTTCTACCAGCTTTTCAGGCATTTTTAATAGTCGTGATTTTTTCTCTAGTTTTCAAATCACTGAAAATGTGGTTCTATTTGAAATTTAACTGATTTGGAATTTTCAGACACTTTTTAGGGAGTCTTTCTGATTATTTCCGACTTTATTCGATATCTCAATGATCACAAGAGACTCTAATTACCCAAACAACGAAAAAAGCACTGTATCAAGAGAAGAAAGTCGGTTCCGCCTGACCTCGGATCACATTACTGCCTAAAGTTTTCATGGCGATCGGTGAGAATTTCATGGCGATCGGTGAGAGTTTTCGCACTTTTCCCTGGTCTTTTCGCTTCTTTGCCTTCTCAAGAAGTTGTATAATGTCCTTAAGTATATGTGGATAATTAGTGAAAGAATGAAAAATGAAAGAAAATAAAGTATTTTTCTAATTGAAAGGGTTTCCCAACATGAAAAAAATATACCTAATCCCAACCTTTTAAATTGCAGACTTGACGAATTCATTTCCAGGCATTTCGAAGCAAATATGAAGATGATAACCGGTGAAAAAGGTCTCCTGAAGCTTTTCTGAAATCGAAATCTTGGGAAAGCGCGTCAAGGAGCGTTCGTGGTGCGTTCATCCGCGACGCAAAGTCACATACTGCCAAAAAGTCAATTTCTTATCGAAAGTATTTTTTAAAAAATTTTTCAAAGTATTTCAGTAGTATATACGTTCAAAGCACTTTTTGAGGCGGAATTTCGGCTAAAGAAATCATTCAGATGACTCAATTGACTTGAATTCATCATTTGAGTCTACCTATTTAATAGTTTGTGTACATGTTCTATTTAATTATATCTTCTTCGGCAACATATTTTGAATTTGAATGCTTATAAGATTTTTCAGTTTGAAAAAAAATTGTTTCTTTGGCTAATTTTTATTAAAATTTTATTTCATGAAGTTTTATAGTTTGAACAAAAATTCTGGTTGTTTCCTAGAAATAGAAATAATTAAGATTTGTTTTGACCATAGAAAATTGAATGCTAAAAATATAAGTGACACTTAAAGCACTGGAAAGTTATTCAAAACAGCTCATGTTTGGATTTCTTCGTAAGAACTATTGGATAGTGTTTGTTTTTTATAATTTCAGAAGTCTTGAGTTGAAAATTAAAATAAAGTTACAAATTCGTCATAATGATCGTGCAAACGTTCCTTGTACTGATTTTTATTCTTTTTCATTTCAGATATCATTGGTTGACGTGTTTTGAGAAAGCGAAAAAAAGAAAATGCATAATGAAGATTTTGTGTTCTTCTTTTGGTGAGGATTACTTTTGTAATTGTTTCATGATTCAATATTCAGATTTTTACGCAATTCAACGACGCTGATTTGCGTTGATTTCGTGATTCCATTGATTGGCGATGAATTTTGATGGAAAGCGGTCCGTTTTGGGAAAAAATCGAAGGATTACAACTTTTTACAATAGAAGAACTGGACCAAAGTCGGCATGGTATCGAAATTTTGCTCCATTATCGATTGTGTAAGTGTTTTTTTTAATGATTCATGTTTTTTCTAGATTTTTGCTTCATATTTCTCGGAAATATTCTCTTTTTTGATAGTGCTAATAAAAGTTATAACTAGAAAAGACAACAAGAGAGCTAGATCCCTTTTTTTCAGAGCTCATTTCGGCTTTTTTTCCTAGGAATATTTGTCCCAAAGGTGCCTCAAACGATAATTTTTCAAAGGGAGCAGTTCTGTTAGATTTTTATTCTTTTAGGTTACTGTATAACTTTACAACAAAACCGAAAAATCGGAAACGGGAATGTGTCAAGTCGCTCTCGCCTGTCATTCCTACTGACCCCGGATCACTTTTTCCAAAATAGGCGCTAATTTTGTGACGAAACGCGACAGTTCTCGCACCCTTCCTCTTTTTTCTCGCTTTCTAGTCAACTTTCAAAAAAGTATATATGCGTTTCTGTTTTATTGGCCCATTTTTTTTCTTGATGTTGGCCATTTTAGAACGTAAGAGAATCTGAGGAAAACCTTTAAAAGAAAATTTAGATTAAATCAAGGCTAATTTTCAACAATTTTATTCAGAAACTACGGATAAACCTGTCGTCGCGCCATTTCGAGGACAAATGCATTGGAAACCCAATTTTTAGCTAGAATTTAAGTTCTTCATTGTTTCGTCTGCTTTGTCATGATCTTTGACCGAAAAGAATCGTTGGTTTTTCTTTAATTATTAATTAATAATTGACACTTTTAGGTAGAAATCAATTGTTCGAAAGAAAATATCGGCGTCGCCGGAGAAGCGACTTCAGAGTTACCGAAGCGAAATTTCTGCTTTTCTCGCTGTCATTCTCATCCCAAATTACCGATGTTGAAATTTTCAGAAGTTGTGCTCCTCTTGATTTTAAGACTCCAGTTGGCGATCTGGAATTTCCATATTGTTTGTTTTTGAAAAGGAAAGGCTTTCTCGACGCTGAATTCGGTTTTAAAACAGTGGAATTTATGATTTTCTTTTTTTTTGAGTACCGTATTCTGTTCGTCTGTCAACACAGCATCATTGCGGAAAACGCATTTTATTTCACGCGCAACTCCTGTAAATTTACAGAATTTGGTTTTTCTATTTTAATCATTCAGTTTTTCAATTTTGTCTGGAATACCCATATTTTGAATTTCTTTGCTGATATTTTTTAAATTGCGAATGATTTTCATCGGTTCTAAGAAACCTAATATTGGATTTTTAAAGTTTTTTTTTGGTTTTACCAGCTCTCCACGGCGTGTTCATCGAACAGAAAGAAACGTAAAAGCAAAGTTTTTTTAATCAAAAAATATCAGCTATCCGGAGCAATTGAACGATGTAAAATTTTTGCGTTTCGATTCATGTTCAGTTTCTCGGCCGATGAGCACGCCAATAGACTTTATTTGTGGTTTATTTTTTTGAAGATCGATCGTCGATCCTGAAGCTTTTTTTAGAAGTAACAGCAAGTTTCTATCAATGTGAGCAGTTACCAGAACCGTTAGAAAAAAAAAGATATTTTAATGGTTCCACATTATGAGATTGACGTCTTTATTAATGATCACTATGTTGAATTTGTTTTGTATTTTCAACATTGGCGTAATGAAAAGACATTTAAGGCAAAAATTTCACAAAAAAGACGAGTCTGATCTGTTCAAAATGTTTTGACCTTTCTTGATCTTTTATTTTTGGTTAAAATTGAATTTTGATTTAATACGATTTCCGTGAGATTCAGGAGGTTTCGCGATGCTGAATGACATTTTTCACGTTCAAATGTCGAAGGAAATTGCCAAAAATATCGAGTCTGATCTGGCAGAAATGTTTTGACCCCACGTCATACGGTCATTGGGTCAAAGGCGCCAAAGAATTCTCTCGAATGGCGCCAAACTCGGGCGGCGAAAAACTACGTGTCATTTTTCATTTTCACTCCGTCCTGGACGGCGTGTTGCTGCTGCTTGTCTTTTTAATTGGTTTATTTCTGCATTTTGTCTGAAAATAGTCTATATTGACTACAAATAAGTTCACGTGCTTTATTTTCAAAGCTTTTTGGATCAATTTTTGAATATTTTCATGAGAATTGAAAGTTAAATTTTCTGTAATACATGTTCTTCCGTGATTTTTGTTCGTTGTCCGCATATTTCCTTTTAAATTTTGTTTTATTCAACAGGCGGATACCGCGTTTCTGAAGGATGTCTGGTCGTAGTATTGCGGGAGCCTCTTTTGAGATTTAATAATCTTATTTTCAAGTTACGTTAACTTCTGTAGAAATTCATACTAATAATCTGTTTTCTCCTAGATTGGGAACAGAATGAATGGCAAAACGCCGCCGCTCTAAATGATCATCTACCAAGCTCGAAGACGATTTTGGATGGAAAAAGAGGCAACCTGGAGATGGGCGGGATGGACCGGATGGACGCCTTTTTTGGTATAAATTTTGAATTTTCGTCTCGCTTTTTGCGTTGAGAAACTTTCGTTTAAAAAAAATTTTTGTAATGTTAATCATGTTTCAGTTTTAGTGTTTTTTTTTCAATTCACTTGTATTTTTTCAGAAGTTGCGTTTCTCAACGCAAAAAGTATTGTCTCAAAAAAGTTTTCTTCTCGGAAATTTCAATAAAATGAAAAATTTTAATTTTTTCCAGATTACAGTTTATTTTTCATCATAGAACTGTCGCATGAAGCCACCGGATAGACCTTTTTGTATTCAAATTCAAAACACGCAACGCGGTCGCGATGCGGTCATTTTTTTGGCGGGAATTTGACCCATTCAACAATTGTTTGGATTTTTCTAAATATTTTCTGGATTTTCCTAGGACAACTTGTTGAGCCACAAAATACAGAAGCAATCCACAGTTTCCTTTCTTTTTCAAATTCAGTTATTTTACATGAGTCTTTCGCTTAATTTTTTCCATCATTTGATTTTGTTATTCCCAATTCAAAAACTTGTTGAAAATAGCTGAAATTCTGTAGTCCAGCTTGTGGCTCAAGAAGTTGTGAAAACAAAATTTTAGCTTGTAAATTTCAAATTTGACTGCACCACAACGCGTCTTTCAGTCTTGCTTTCCGATCAAAAAGATCAATTTTTCTCACACAGTTTTCAGTACTAGTGAGTTAGTGATTAAGGTTAGGAGTTCAAAAAGGTCAGGGTGCGAAGTGGTTATATTTTTTTCAAATAACAACTCAATTTTCAGGCTTTTTTTCGATAAGTTACTGTTCACTGCCGGCCAAATTGTCAAGTCCCGAGCTACAGTTCTCCACTTTCGCTTCGAAACACGAGTCTTCACGAGAAACATTTCTGATTCATTTATTTTGTCTGTTGTTTGAAATAGTATTTTTTGTTTCAACGATTTCCAGAATTAGATCAAATTTTCAGCTCGCGGCTTGACAAGTTGGCGAACCAATTAGATCCATAAAAAGGAAAAAAAATGTCCGAAATCTTAGATTCAAAAATAAATCAATAGCCGACCACTTCGCGCGCTTTTCTGCTTTGGTTTTTGAAGTAATCCTTTTTTAGAGCTACTTATATGAAGCTGAATTAGCGATAATCTTAAGGTTTCATTATCTTTTAAAGTTTTAAGCAGGTTCTCTACACTCTTAGTCTTAGTCAGAAGTTTCCATGAGTTTATTTTCTCCTTTCTTTTGAATTTATAAACATTGAACCAAAATTCATTTTTTTTTTGTTCTCTCAAACTAGTGATAAGTAAGCTATAAATTAATTTTTAAAGCTACGTTTAATTCTGTAAAAGGTTTAGTTTTTATAAGATAGTAATAAGTTTACGTAAGGTAGTCGTAAGAGAATTTCGACCGATGGTTTCATGCGATATGTTCATTTTCAAACAAAAGTTGATAATGCAAGAAATTTTCGAGAAGAAAATTTACTTATCGTGTTTTTTTGTGCATGTAGTGTCCTTTTGGGGTGAATGTTGCCGGCTTCGGGCCTTTGGTCGGTGGCGGCGCAGAGAAAAAGACGACTGTCCCTCGGCTTTCGTCCGGCCAGAGAGAGTACAGAAAAACAAGAGAGCTGTAGTCTGCCCTCTCCGAAAATCGCATGCTCTCTCACCGGCTTCAGCCCGAGCATACATGCGCCTTTTCCTCTGTTGAGTGGGAGTACTGTGGGGCGAGGCTCTTTTTTCCTTCCGGGCTCGTCAATTCGAAGGTGGCGTATAGTTTATTGGGTCGTGTATAAATGAATTCCGTTTTTATTATCACTGAGATTTTTGAGTTTTTTTTAAAGAGAAGATAGGGTCTATGCTTAGGATTTTGAAATTGAAGCATTTTGAATAGTTTTAATCATTCCTAACCAGAAAAGTCGTAATCATGCAAAAATTTCACATTTTCATTCATTTTGACCATACAGACAGTCAAGGTTTTGATTCGAAAAATAAGGTTCTTTTAACGTCTTTTTGTAAAGAACTTTTCCAACTGCTTCAATTTTTTTCAATATTAACTCGTAAAGTTATGTTCCGAGGAGTCATGAGAATCATGGATGGTACGACAAAATCTCAAGTCCGCAAATCTCGAGGACCGTAATCTTGTGTACGCAGATCCAAAGTCCCATAATCCTGGAGACAAAAATCTTGGAAACCACAATCTTGGAAAGTAAAAATCAACGCTTTTGCGAATAGATTTTATCAGAAATTGTATTCGGTGATCCAAACAAGAGAATATAAGTAGATAAAGTGCAATAAAGAAGACTAAAAAGGGAGAAGGGTTGCTTTCCAAGATTGTGGTTTCCAAGATTTTGGTCTCCAAGATTTTGGTTTCCAAGATTATGGAACTTTAGATCTGCGTACCAAAGATTACGGTCCTCGAGATTTGCGGACTTGAGATTTTGTCGTACCATCGAATCATGTGCGGCAGATTTTTTTCTCAATTTTCACAGAGTTTATTCTGTTATGTTACATTTCGATCCGAAAAATATGAACTGTTTTGTATCTTTTTGCTTCCCCATTTTCTCAGTTTCTTCTGAAGTGGTTAGAGTTTTTTTACGATTACAATTTACTCGATATGCCGCACATTTTTAATGGCTAGAATAAGATAGGGATCAATAAGCATACATCTAGTTTTTTTTTTATTCATTAGGTTTGACGATTCTGTGACGTTATTTTGAGCTTCTGCAATCCTCCCCATAATCTAGAATCAGCTCGAGATATTTCACGTGATTATGAACTCACCTGAGAAAATAGAAAAATTATCATTCGGTTCAATGAAAAAACGTTTTGCAATTGACATTTTAAAAAAGAAATATTTCATTTCAGAATTTCGATTATCTATTTACTCAAAATGTATTTTCCGTTTAAAAATTTTCAAGCTTGAATTTTCTCGAGGTGGTTTCATAACTAAATGAGGAGCTTGTAGTGATTATCAAATTTTTTTTAGCAGAGTATTTTTCTTATCAACTCAATCGTCTAGTTCGGAGGTCGAATGTATGGAGTTTGAGATTTGTAAACAAGTTCAGGAACTTTTTATATATTTTTAATTTCCAATTTTTTTCCCATTCCTTAGAACATTTTTCAGCTCAAAAATCTTGACAAACACGCACAAAAAAAGAGAAATTTGAAATTTGTGAAATCGTTTATAAAATTTGAACCTCCAAACATTGGGCTTAAGGTTATTTTAATGTATAGGTGAATTTTCCGAGCTCAAATTTTTCCCTTAGGCCTTAGTTAAAGCCGAATTTATTTGCACACGACTTGATTTGATTCCCGATCTCATGCAAAGATGCTCAAAATGCTGGTTGGTATATTGGAGAAATGATTGTTTGGGAAACTAGAGACGAAGGTTCGAATCTTTTTTTTGAGTCATACTTTTTGTAGTTTATCTTCGACCGATTTTAAAAATTTCGGCTAAAAACTCGAAGTCAGAGATTTTCACTAAATCCTTTCCAATATTCAAATAAGAATATTTCACTTTTTTCTTTTTTAAATCATAATTTGTCGAAGGAAAATAGATTTTCAGGAAATAAATAGCCACACTGCTGAGCTCATGAGCTTGACATTCAACCACTTCGTGAAAGAAAATCTCAAAACGTATTTTTCCACCTTAATTATAAAAAAACCAGTTAAACTATCAAAAAAGATGTAATTTTTGAAGGAAGAATGAATTCACCTTTTGAACTCACTAAAAAAGCAATTTTGCAGAAATCTTGCAGTTTTGAAACATTTTCATGGAGCCTGTAAGTAACAACCTCACGAGCGCGATATTTATTTTCAAAATTTAGATTACGTGAAAGACTTCAAGTTCAAAAAAAGATTTCACAAGCAAATTTTTGAATTTTTCTATTCGATAGATTTTTTTAAATTTTTACGCAGTCAAAAAAATAGTGCGGCTAAAATTTTTCTGAAAATCTATTCTCTAATGCAATTCCTTTACAAATTATTGATTTTTTCGAAAGTTCCAAAAAAATAGGTTTTTCCAGTTAGTAGTGTAATTAATTCGAACTTTTTTTCAATAGTTTTCCAATATAGCCATTTTTTTCAAAGAATTTTTTTCAAATTTCATTTTTCTTTAGTAGTTTTTGTTTTTCAAAGTATGCGAAATATGACAATTTTAATTGAACCAAGCAGTACACTGAGTATATTTGCGTTAGTTCGGGCGCCACCAGACAGTATCTTGCAAGGGAATTCATGTCTCTTCTGTTTTATGACACTCTCTGAGCTTCATCTTGAGCCAAGGGAGCTCGACCTCCTCCAACTTGGTCGTAAGATCATTTGAAACGAACATGCTGGACGTGTACTTTGTTGAAAGATTGCTCTTATAGAAAAAAGATACCGATTCCTATTTCAAACTTCACCTGCAAGATTTTTTTTTTGGGTTTTAATTTGAGTTTGAAATCTTCCTAACTCATCTCAGTCATTCACTAACGAATTTAGACAAAAACTGGGTAGCTTGTTTTCCAGTTTCTTGGTACAATTTTCAAGCTTTTCCGGTTTACCATATAGTAAACTTTTAGAAAACGGGAAAAAAACATCAAGAAATGGACAGGGATCATTATAACTTTTTTTTTTTATAACCTATCACTTTAGCTTCTTGGCCCATTAATTTTTGAACTAGGTTAAGAAGGTGTCAAAAAACGAAAAGTTCTTTAGGTGAGAAAAAATATAAAAGCCTTGCAGTTGAACTGAATCGGATTGGACTTTTTTTTTACTCCGTCTAGCGAGTCTCTTGGACTTGAAGCTTTCATTGAAAACTTGTTGAAGTTTAAGATCTTCTTCGGTTCATCCAAGCCTGTAACTTGAAAGATTAGTAGAACATCGAAAAACTTGTGATTTTTTTCAAAAAAACTTATTTGAAATGCCCTTATCATTTTTTTGGATTAAGATTCACTGAATGGAGTGATGAACTTTTTCAAAATATCAAAAAGAGTTCAATGAAAGCTTGGAGAAAAGAAGACTTGTACCTCTGTCAAAAAGAATTTTAAAAAATTCAAGAGCAATCTTTAAACTTAAAGCAAATTCAACATAAGTTTGAAATGGCCTTGTGATCAGGCTGAAGGAGTTCGAGCTTCCTTGGCTCAGGATGAAGCTTAGAGAGTGTGAAAGAACAAAAGTGACATGAACAACCTTGCAAGACACTGTCCTTTGACGAGTTTGGAGGTGAAAGAAGCCTCGCTGGACAGGACTCTCATGAGGCCTCAAGCCACCTACCACAGAGTCGACCTCAGGCTCCACTGCACTCTGGAGTCTGAGGTCGAGGCCTCCGGCTCGGGCTCCACAGCCAGCCTGTGGAGTCTGAGGCCGAAGTCTCCGACTTGGGCCCTTAAGGTCCGGGCTGGAGACCCGAGATCGGAGTCCCCAACCGGCAACGGAAGCTCCAAAAGAAAGTCCGGCAGCGGCTCTGACCCTGCCGGACAAAACCAAATACAAAAGGGGGAGGAGAATACTTTATTTAAAATCATGGTTCAGAGTGTCCGGTTCGATGCCGCCCTCGGAGTACGACGTCGTCCGGCGTCCATCCCGTCACATCGCTCGACCTGAAACCCTCCCCATTAGCCCCCTCGATTTCCCTCCCTTCGGTCTCGGAACCCTCCAACCCTGGGGCGTCATGGACTCAAATGACCCAGAGCCGACCCCTTTTTCTTGCAGTGACCTGAGTGGAAGGTCTTTTGACTGAAAGCTTCTGAATAAAGGATCAATTTTTGCGAAGTCTCACAGAAGATCAGGAGGAGCTCTCTAAAAAAAGACAAAGGGTGAACTTTTGGAAAGAGTGAAGCTTGCCATGTGTCTCAATGACCAAGTGAAAAGCAGATTTTTTCGAGATCCTCTGACGATTGAAGTCATGTTGCTGTGATTTGCAAGTCTCTGATGAATAAATAGTCAAAGTTTTTTGCTTATATTGTGTTTTCAAAGTGCCTCCAAGCTCAATGGAAAGATCGACTACGCTATGTTTTTTTTCTTTTTGATAAAGCTTCAATTCAATTCAATTTGTTTATTTTTCGCAACATCGGGATGGTATGGTGATGTTGCAGGGAGGGAAAAAGACCACAGTGGATTAACTAACCCCACCTGTGAAGAAAAAAAAAGTTAAGCTTCGAAAGCTTCGAAAGAGTTGGAAAGTTCTCACACTAAGTTCGAAGTTTTAAAAGTCAAGTTTCCTGTTTCAATAGAAAATTCGCAACTTTGATAAAATGGTACAAGTGTTTGAACTACTGTGAAAAAAAAAGCAGTCTACAAAAAAAAAAGGAAACATACATTTTTCAGTTTATTATAGCTCATTCAAAAAGGAAGAAGTTTTTTCAAGTTGCGATTGTCCTCTTGAACCGTGTCCAAAAGAAGTTGTAGCTAAAATAATGAGCTATATCGAAAAAATGAATCATTTTTCATCAAGTTCAAAATGTCTAATGGTAACTTTTTTCAATTTCATTGAAAAATTCGGAACATTATGGAATCAAAGTAAGTTTTTAGGCTACATTAAAAAGGCCGTTTTGAAAAATTAATTTCAAAAATGAAGAAGTCTAAAATGTCAAATTTCCGAACTTCAATGAGACTGAAGTATTATGATGTGAAATATTGAACTTCTCCAAAAAGAATGTCGTTTTTTAGAAGTTATCGAAAAACTCAAAGTTGCGAATTCTCTCTTGAAACATTTCCAAAATTAGGCTTAAGTGCATGCTTAAGAACTACAATTCGAATAATCAAAAATATTTCGGCTTGAGCCAACTAACTTCATCAGAACCTTGCAATTTCTAAACAACAGAACTTTATAAGTTCAAAAAAGAATTTGAAATTTCGTCACAAATTCCCAAAATCCCATTGCAAATCACCAAGTCAAAGAATCACTTGACAATCTTTCCCCTTTCAAGAAAATTGCCTTTTCCGGAGCACTTCTCTCGACTTTTTGTGGAACTTTGCAAATTGATCCCTTATCCAAAAGCTTTCAGCCAGACTAACGGATCCAAGTAATTCACCAATCGATCATGAATTTATTCGAATCAATAAACTTTTTAATGAAGAGTCGTGTTGCAGATTCAAATTTCAAACAACTTTAAACCGAAAGAAAAAATAAAGTTCACTAAAGTTCACAATCTACTATTAACTGATAACAAAGCGGATAAAGGATGAATATTGAAAAATTTTTTTCAAAGCATTTTTTTAGCTTGAAAGATCTTACTTTGAAAAAAATGCTTTTTTTATGAATGAAATTTGAAAAATCATATAATTATACCCGCTTGTCTAAACTATACGGATAAAATTATAAAACAAAAATTAAATAAAAGACGTTCGATTGACAAACTATAAAACCACCTCTTTTTTCGTTTTAAAGCTTTGAAAAATTTCGTATAAAAATGGTAAAAAGAATTCGATTTCATAAGGTTTCGACCTGAAAAAATGATGAAAACTTGAAATTTGAGAAAGTTAACAAGCAATTTTTTTCTGTAGTGGGTTCATAGAAAATTTCGAAAAAAAAACGCTGAATTCAAATGCTTTATGGAATTCGTGTTTTAAAAACCAAGATCCTAGAGTGATATCAAGAAAAATTGATCGCGGAAGTACTAACTTTCAATCTAAATAATAAACTTTCATCTATCTGACACCCACACTCGAAAAATGATTTAAATCTATTTTGAAATTTGAAAATCGAAAAAAAACTTGATCTCCTTCTTGAAAAATAAAAATTTTGAAAGCTCTTCACATTTTTGAAAGTTGGACTTCTGAAAAAATGATGAAAAATGCCTTAAAACCTAAAAAAAATGCCTTAAGACTTATGAAGAATTGAATCTGCAACACGAAACTTTCACATGAACGCAATTTCTAGAAGTGCTTTTTATTTCGAAAAATGGGGGTTTCAAATTAAATGTGATAAATCGATGAGCGAAAGACTTGAATCCGTTAGTCGACCTTCCACCCAAGCCCTGCAAAAAAAAAAGAGGCCGGCCATGGGCCATTTGTTCCCAGGAAAATTCTCGAAATCACTTAAAATGGTTGATTTTGAACCGAGAGAATAATCGTGTGGAAACAAAGTTTAAATAAAACAAGTATTCAAAAAAAGAAAAAAATTCTGAAACTGAAAATGCATCAAAAATTCAATGAAAAAAATGAAAGCTATAAAATCTTTCCGCAGAAAAATTCAAGTTTTGAACAACTTTTAGAGGAGAAATCGATTGAATTTTTCATTTCTGGAATCGATGACTTGGAACGCAAAATGTGAGTTTTGAGAATTTTTCTCAAAAAAATCGCAAATTAAACTTTTTCTGCGGGAAAATTTTTGAGCTTGAATACTATATCTTCCCGTACTTTTTTTGGCTGAAAAAGATTTGAAATAAAAAAATTTTTCTAAAAAAAGGGTTAGTCTGAATTGAAAGCTGTGGGAAAAAGAAAATGAAATATAAACTTTTTTTCGCGCTAAAAAAATTCGAAACTTGTAATCTTTGTATTTTTTTATCGAAAAATGACCATTGGAACCTCTGAAATTTGAAAATGTAAAAAAAATTCCAGGAGAATTTGAAAAAGAAAAAAATTCCAGGAGAAAACATTTCAATTTCTTTCAAATGGCTGAAAAAAACAATTAGCGTACTAATATCTTTGTTCAAACATTGTGTTCATACGATTATTTGAAGAGAAAAGCCGATAGATAAAATTGAAAATAAAACAAAAATAAGTTGAATTTTTTTTCCAATTTTTGGTGCATTTCTTTCGAGAATTTTCCCGGGAAAAGACGTCCAGCCGCCCCAGTTTTTAGACGATCCCGATCCCAGACGGGAAGAAAAACCGAAAAAAAGAAAATATTCAAAGCTACCCATTCCGGCCGTCGTCGTCCAAGAAGCCGGGTAGTTGTCGGATCTGCCGCTTTTTCGCGGGATTTTCTGGAAAAATTGAATTGAAATGATAACAAATTCACTTGCAAAAAAGAGCAAAACAACTTAAATTTTAAATCCTGTCGAAATAAATCTCTATGAAACTTCGGGGCAGCTCCTTTTTGACCGATAATCTGGAATTGAAAATTTCAATGATGTAAATGATAAATAGATTTGAAGAAAAAATATTTCAAAACTTAAATTCTTGGAAAATCCTATTGAAACCTTCGCTATCAACATGTCACGAGAAATCTTGTCACGGCTCTGAAAACAGATATCAATAATAAAAGTCGATGGTCACAAATTGAATAACGATCGACGCGATAACGGACAAAAATACGGCGAGGAAAATTTTAAAAAAAACTGACTATTATTTAAAATATTTGAAACGTCACTAACTGATATAGAGAATATTATGTTGCCCAAAGCTTCAAAATTTTGTTTTTGGCCGGAGAAACTATTTCAATTGAAAACTACAATAAAAACTACCTAAAACTATAAAACAAATTCTGAATCAAAACTAGATTTCACTACAAAAAAAAAAGTAGTAACATTCAAAAGATATTTGTCTAAAAAGTGAAATTTTCAACGAAAACAACACTTCATACTGATATAGCCTGAAAAAAATATGATTAGAAACATTAATATAGTAAATTCAAATGAAAAAATGAAACGAGCAGCATTGACACGTCGACCACAACGAAGTAAAAAAGATGAAATGACCCGTTGTTTTTCGCCGCCCGAGTTTGGCGCCATTCGAGAGATTTCTTTGGCGCCTTTGACCCAACGTATGACGTGGGGTCAAAAATTTCTGGCCAGATCAGACTCGATATTTTTGGCGATTTTCTTCGACATTTGAACGTGAAAAATGTCACTCAGCATCGCGAAACCTTCTGAATCCCACGGAAATTTCTTAGAACCAAGTTTCAATTTTAAATCACACGTTTCGTAACCATTAAAATTTCTTTTTTCCTAAATTTTTCGGTAACTTCTCACATTGATAGAAACTTGCTGTTGCTTCTACTAGAGCTTCAGGATCGACGATCGATCTTCAAAAACAATAAAAAACCACAAGTAAAAAAATCCATTGACGTGCTCCTCGGTCGAGAAACTGAACATTAATCGAAACGCGAAAATTATAGTCTGTTCAGATTTTGAATGTCAAGCAGCTAACTCCACCCCCAAGGCTACAATATCTTTCGCGTCAATGTTTTATATCCAGATGACGATGGACCTTTAAAAAGGCTGCATTTTTGACTTCTTTTTCTATCTTTTAGATCAAAAAAGATCAAAATTAGTCCCGCGCGATAAAACATCGACGCGAAAAGGTACCGTCTCAGCAGGGGCAGAGTTAGCTGGTTGACATTCAAAATCTGAACAGACTATAAACATTGGTCAGTTGCTCCGGATAGCTGATACATTTTGATTTGAAGAACTTTGCTTTTACGTTTCAATTTGTTCGATAAACACGCCGTGGAGAGCTAGAAAAGACAAAACAGAATTCGAAAAATCAAATATTGAATAGTCAGAACCGATGAAATAATTCGAAACATGAAAAAAATCAGCAAAAAAAATCTAAAATATGGGTATTCCAGACAAAATTATAGATCTAACTAATTAAAAAAATAAAAAAACCGATTTCTAAATTTACAAGAGTTGTGCGTGAAATGAAATGCGTCTTCCGCAATGACGCGGTGTTGACAGAAAAAAAAAATACGGTACTCAAAAATAAATAGAATTCATCAATTTCCCGGTTTTAAAGACAAATTCAGCGTCAAAAAAGCCTTTTCTGTGAAAAATGAACAACATGGAGTTTCAAATCGCCGACTAGAGTCCTAAAATCAATATGAACAGAAGTTGACAAGAAAAAACGACATTACTAATGGAAAACAAAGAACTTGCAAATGAAAACGTTGCATTTGATACAATGAATGAAGTTTGATTGCGGATTAGAAAGACAGCGAGAAAACCGAAATATTCGGCTTCGGTTACTCTGGAGTTGCTTCTACGGCGGCGGCGATTCTTTCCGGTCAAAAAACACAACAAGGTGACTCAAAATGAAATTCTTGAATGATTCCGGCCAAAAAGTCCGATTCCCAGACAGTTCTTCTCGAAAAGAGGCCTTCATTCCTGAATAGAATTGTTAAAATTCGCCTTTGATACAATCTAAAATTTCTTTTAAAGGTTTCTTCAGATTTCCTTGTGTTCTATAAAGCGTTTTTAAGAGCAAAACCCAGCAGTAAAGAACATGGGCCAATAAAATAGAAAGGCATATATAATTTTTTTAAAGTTGACAAGAAAGCGAGAAAAAGGAGGAAGGGTGCGAGAACTGTCGCGTTTCGTCACAAAATTAGCGCCTATTTTGGAAAAAGTGATCCGGGGTCAGCAGGAATGACAGGCGAGAGCGACTTGACACATTCCCCTTTCCGATTTTTCGGTTTTGTTGTAATGTTATGCCGTGTTCAAAGTGATTCCGCAAAATTCAAAATAGCCGTCAGAGAAAGAGAAAGATAACTAAATTTTGGAGGGTCAGAGACCATTTTGCATTTCGCGGAAATTACTTTGAACACGGCATTATAAAGTAACCTGAAGGAATAAATTCGAAAAGCACTGCTCAGTTTGAAAATTATCGTTTGAGGTATCTTTGGAACAAATATTTATAGGAAAAAGCCCAAATGAACTCTGAAAATAGTGTCAAGTTTTCTCCTTGTCTTTTCTAGTTATAAAAATTATTAGCACCATCGAAAAAAAAAATTGTTTCGAAAAATATGAAATAAAAACCACACGAAGACATGCTTCATTAAAAAAAAACACTTACACAATCGATAATGAAGCAAAATTTGGATCCCATGTCGATTTTGGTCCAGTTCTTCCATTGTACAAAGTTGGAATCCTCCGATTTCTCCTCGAAACGGACCACTTTCCATTGAAATTTATCGCCAGCCAATAAAATCACGAGATCCACATGAATCAGCTCGCTGATTTTCGAGAAATTCTGAATTTTGAAACAAAAATGTTTTCGGAAAAAATGCTTACCAGGAGTAAAACGATGAATCTCTATTATGTATCGCCGTCTTTCCTGTACTTCAAAAAAAAAAACGTCGAGAATTGGTATCTGAAAAGCAATACCATGAAAACAATCAAGATCACATAAAACACCGAAAGATCCTGTTATCTGTAGTGAAAAATCCTTGAACACAGAGAGACGGATTCTCGAACAAAGGTTCTGAAAAAGAATCATGAGCCCCGAAATGAAGTGAAAGCACTTAAAACAACAAAAGCATCGGTAACAAAATCAAAAGAAAAGTTGCGCAAAATATGATAAAACACTCAAATTCAATACGAATGCTTTATAAATTGCTAGCAAAGTAAATTTAGGATTTGGCGAATTAGCTCTGAATGATCTTTTTGAACCTAGGATAATTCCTTCAACCTGATATCCGCCTCAAAATAAACTTCGAACGAACTGGGAAGTTTCTTCAACTGAAAAAATTTCAAACGAAAAATTTTGCAATTTTTTCAAACTGAAAAGTCTTATAAGCATTCAAATTCAAAATATATTGTCGAAGTAGATAGAATCGAATAGAAAATGTACACAAAATATTAAATAATTAGACTCAAATGATGAATTTAAGTCAATTGATTAATCTGAATGATCTCTTCAGCCGAATTTCCGCCTCAAAATGAACTTTGAACGTACCGGGAGGCTTTTTTTCAACTGGAAAAAAATTTTTGAACAAAAAAATTTTTCAAATTGATTTTTTTGGCAGTATGTGACTTTGCGTCGCGGATGAACTCACCACAAACCCTCCTTGACGCGCTTTCCTTTTTTCGATTTCAGAAAAGCTTCAGGAGACCTTCTTCACCGGAAATCATCTTCAAATTCGCTTCTTGATGCCCCAAAATGAATTCGTCGAGTCTGTTATTAAAAAGGTTAGGATTAAATGTCTTTTTTTCATGTTGGAAAACCCTTTTTCAATTAGAAAAGTACTTTATTTTCTTTCATTTCTCATCCTTTCACTAATGATCCAAATATACTAATGGGCATTATATAACTTTTTGAGAAGGCAAAGAAGCGAGAAAACCAAGGAAAAGTGCGAAAACTCTCACCGATCGCCATGAAATTAGCTCCTCGTTAGGAAGAAATGTGATCCGAGGTCAGGCGGAACCGACTTTCTTCTCTTGATACGGTACTTTTTCCGTTGTTTGGGTAATTAGAGTATTTTTTGATCATTGAGATATCGAATAAAAGTACGGAAATAATTAGAAAGACTATAACCTCTTTAAAAAGTGTCTGAAAACTCCAAATCAGTTAAATTTCAAATAGAACCACATTTTCAGTGATTTGAAAACTAGAGAAAAAATCACGACTACTAAAAATCGCTGGTAGAACAATAGTTTGAAGGAATCTACCAAACAAAAAATTTTTTTCGGAAGATTCCTTTTTAATTTCATTTTTCGTTCCCCCAGGTCCACATAAAATTAAAAAAATTAATTTTTTTTTGTCTGAATATTTTCTAAATGCGTCACTAATCTACAAAATGAACATTTTCCGGTTTTTGAATCATTCCCTTCAACAATCTGAGTGTTCCCATTCAAATCCAAACATCCCAAGGCCTGGAAAGTGTGACCGATTCTCAACCAACTCCACAACTTCCCAGTAACTTCCGATGAGAATTCGGCGATTCAAAGGAAATGTCATCCATCTTCCGAAATGTGCCAAGTCATTCCCACCGACCTCAGGCAAGTTGGCACCTGAAGTCGGACCGGAGCGAGATCCGGCGACCGTCGGACCGCCCCTTCCGATCAGGCTCCGCCCCCAGAAATCCGCATAAATAGCAGCCTCCGAAGGGCTCATCTACCGTTCTCTGAACCCAAGTCAGTCATGAACCCTGCTCCAGCTCTTTCCGGATCTGCTCCAGCTGCTGCTGATTCTCTCAAGACTCCTGTTCGACCGGAGTTCCGTCTTGCCGAAGCTACTCGTACCTCGACGGCTCCTATTCGCAAACGATCTCGCAATTCTATGGGTTCGTTTATTCTATTCCCGTTCTTTGATTAACCTGATTGATTTGCAGGTGAAGAAGCCAGGAACCTTCCTTGTCCAGTTCTCGACTTCAACATCTGCGATTCTCCACAGAAGAAGGCCGCGAAGGCCGAAGACGTGGTTCTGGTCGTCGTCGAGCAACCGGCTCCAATCGTCGTCGAGCAACCGGCTCCAATCGTCGTCGAGCAGCCAGCTCCAGTCATCGTCGAGCAGCCAGCTCCAGTCGTCGTCGAGCAGCTCGTTCCGGTCGTCGTCGAGCAACTGGCTCCAGAGGTCGTCGAGCAGCCGACGTCTCCAGCCAGAAGCTGCATTCGTCCTGCGGGATTGAGAAGACTCTCGTGGGCTCCAGTCAGGACGCCAGTTCGGTTCTCGAAGAAGAGTGAGTTTCCCCTCTGACGTCTTCTGATTCTAATTCATTTCTTCTTCCAGATGACGTCGTTCACCGTCGCCTGAGCCTCTGAATCCGATGACGTCAACGCTGCTGCCCTTCTGAATCCTGCCACGCCTTCTGACTTCTTCGACTCGACGTTTGCCTTTTTCCTTACTTAAGTTTCCTCACTTCTCCTTAACTATTTCACCTAAGTTTATATCTCTAATCCTCTAATTCCTCAATATCTTCTAGTTTAACTTCCTTAAATTCCTAAATAGTTAATATCTCATCTCCTAAGTAACATTGAGCGGGTTTTGCCTAAGTTGTGATTGTTTCCTAGTTTTTCGCCCTAACTCGGTCCTCAATTAATTCCGTTTAGGTCAGTGTCTAACTTTCCAACTTTAACTTCCCAACTCAGGTCAACTCGTTTATTCTCTGTTTCAATTGTCTAATTCCTTTGTTGTTTCCTCCTGAATAAATCGAAAGAAAAAGACAAAGTGTTCTCTTGTTCAAAAAAAAGAAAGACAGCAACAAAAATATGCTCAAATACATCTGAGGATCAACCTTGGAGAAAAGTTCAAACTTTTTAGCTTCTTCGGTTCAAAAATCTTGAAAGTTCTCTTCTTATTAGAAGGCTTGCCTTGTACTTCAGTTAAATACACCTAAGAGCTCAAGTTTTCAAAGTTAATAACATGAAAAATTTTGAAAACTTGAAAAAAAGTCTCTAGACCAAAAATTGAAAAATTTTTCTGATGAGAAGATTTTTTTGACTTCTAACCGCTTCTTTTTTTCCTATAAAGAGGTGGATGTTTAATTAAAAAGTTATTCTAAATCATAAAATAGAAAGAAAAAACATTACACTTGATACCTTCTCTTCTAGAATCACGAGAAAACGAACCAACTTTTTTTTCCCATGCATTTTTTTTTTTGAGAAAACGGCTTTATCTCAAAAAACTGAGACCTTCCCTAGTTTCAGTTGACCCAAGAAGTCTCTAAAAACCTTCTAAAGCTTCAAAGTATCATTCAAAGTGTCTAAAATCCAAGAATCTCCTTAGAAAAGTTTCGGAAATTTGAAGAAGTTAGCAAATTGTTCTCCCAATTTCCCATGACCGCTCAACTTCATCAAAAATCTTGACGACTGAGGTTCTAATTGTGTGAAAAAAGAACGTGAATGAGAATCGGTATCGCCTTTCACGTTCCTTCCCAAGTGAAGTGCTAATTTTGTGGCAATCTGCGCCAGTTTTCGCACTTTTTCTCTCGTTTTCGGGTCACCTTTTGAGCCGTACAACACAGAAAGGTACTGGGAAAAAATTGGGAAGATTTGCTTTTGGTTCCTTGGAAGGGTTTGGAAATGTTTCTAGCAAGTGGTCAAACGCCTTCTGCTCACCTTCCGGAAGCCTGCTGGAACATTTTCACATGCCGTACTCCAAGAAGTAATTTCTCTATGGGAAGCTTCCAGCAACCTTCCAGCAGCCTGCCAGAAACCTGCTGGATGGCTTCCGGCGGGTTGCCAGAAGTTTTCAATTTCTTTTTACCTTCCATGGACCTTTCATTACCTTCTGAACATCTTCCGAAAACATTCTTAAGAAACATTTGTGTACAGTATAAATCTGAAAGTCCTGAAACCAATGAACCTACAGTGACCCTCTTTGAATTCATATCAAATCGCGCCAAAATCCTTCTGAAAAATCCAGAGAAACTACCATACTGGGAAAATTTTTAGTGGACACTACAGTAGTCAAATTAGTGGCCACTTAAGGGGTTAAAAATGAGGGGCCACTATAGAGGTCCAAGTGCACCTACTAGACCACTAAAAATTTTAGTGGCCACTTTAGGGGTCAATGGATCAACATAACTGGTCCAATCTGTCTGTTTTAAACATATCAGAGTTACTGGAAGGAAGACTGGATGAAAAACTACTGAATTGGCCACTAAATAGAGAACCTCTATAGTGGCCACTAGAGCGGAAAATAGTGGCCACTATAGAGGTGGATTTAGTGGCCACTTTAGTGTCCTCTCCAAGTTGTCCTAGGCGAGCCTCTATAGAGGCCATTATACATTAAATGATAACAGATTCGTATGCCAAAAATCCATTGAACCATTCCAAAACCTGCAGATCTACAGTAAATTTGAAATCGACCTCAATAATCAAAAAGTGTCAAAAAATTGTATCACATTTCAAGTTGTAAAGGCCTCCAGCACGCATCCTTCCGTTTCCCAAGTTGCCGTCAATTTTCAAATCAAAAGCTGTCAGTTCACGGTTTTGCCGGTTCAGTCACACCTTCCTAGGCCGACTCTCTGTCACATCCGGCTGGGCGCGTCTTCTTGAGGCCCTCTGGCAAAAGAAAATCGTATAGAGTGACATGAATTGTCGGGTGCTCCGCGGGTGTAGATGTGGGACGCACAGAATTTCACCTATCCATTCCTTATGGACTTCCGATGCGCGCTTTTTCATACCGATACCTTCTCACAGTGTCAGGTACAGGTTGGGAAGCTTCTGCCTATCGGTTCTTCGGAAGGCGTTTGGAAGCTTCTTAGCAATTGGTCGAACGTCTTCCAAATGACCTGCCGGAAGCCTGCCGAAAGCCTTCCAGCAGGCTTCTGGCAGCCATTTTCCACTTTACCTTCCAAATACCTTTCCAAAGGCTTTCCCAAGACCTTCTAGCTCCCATTAACCTTCCAACCTCCTACTGGTTACCTTCCCAACATCTTCCCAGGGTTCGCCTGACAAAAGAGGTCATACTACCCTGAGATTGGGAATTTCATGAAAATAGCCCAGAACACTTTTTGAGGTACCTGAAGAAGAATCTGAACGCCTAAACTTCCGATTTTTCAAACTCAAAGCCTCAAAATGACTGATTTTCAGTGCTTTCTTTGATTTGAAGGTGTTTTTTCTCGAAAACTAGGAAGTTGTGCATGTTAAGACTTTCAGAATCTTCATCTGGTAGAGTTTTGACCAATTTTCAGGAAATTCCCAATCGCAAAGTGAAATGACTTCCCTCGTGAGTGTTCAAACGCCTTCTTAAACCTTGCTCTTACCTTCCAGAAGCCTGCTGGAAGGTTTCTGGCTGGGATTTTCTCTCTTCTACCTTCTGAAAACTTTTCCAAGCCCTTCTCAAGGACTTCCATTCACCTTCCAACCTCGACATCGCTCACTTAAAACTCCAACACTCAAAAATTCAGTGATCTCTGATTGACTTCTAAATGCAATTAGGTCCATTAGATGCAGTTTTCCACGCTGATTCCAAATCTGGTCTTAGAAACGGTCTCAAAAATCTGTGAAAACAGTTAGGAACATGAAAAATGTCAAGAGCTCTTGATTTTTCAGGATTACCCGGCTAAAAGCTCTCCAGCACTGGCCTTACCACTTCAAGAAGATCTGATAAGGGCTGATGAAGGCTTTTACATTTTTAAAGGGCTTATGAAGGCTTTTGCAGACTTTTTCAAAAATTTAAAAGCGGAAAATGGTCAAATTTGGTATTATAAAGAGGCGGGGCTTGAAGAGATGGAGAGGCGGGGCCCAAAAAACGTTCCTTTTATTTTTATCGTTTTGTTTCGCTTCTTATACTCTTTTTACTTCTTTTAGTTATCTAAACCTTTAAAAATTGGTCTATCTATGAAAAATAGAGCCTTTGAAGACTTCCTGTCCAGTTAATAAAAATTTTTCCAGGCCTTTTTTCACATTTTTTCGTTCTATCTCACTTCTAGACTTCTCGATTAACTCTGCTGGGAGAAATGGACCTTTTTCTAAATCTCTGGCTCTTTACTGTGTTTTTTATTTTTCATATTGCGCTTCTTCTACACTTTTCGAAGTTGATCCTGTTGTCGAAAATTGAACTTTTCTTTTTTTTTTTTTGCTTTTACTATAGCTTCGTTCTATTTCGCTTTCTATACACTTCAAATTGATTCCGCTACGAAAAATAATATATTTTTTCAAGGTTTCTTCTTGAAAATGAGCTCGACGACGACTCCAGTTGAAGCCCTGGCTCGCCTCTGCTTCGCGCCAAGAAAGCCGCGAGTTCAAAAAGCTTTCGGTTAGTTTTTTTTGTCGTTTTTGAGGCAAAAAAATTCGAGTATAATTTTATTCAAGCTTGAAGAAATGCATAAAGTAGCTTTCATCCCTTCTAGCTGTTCTCAGGCTTCAAAAAACATCCTATTTACATCTAAAACTTCAAAATTTCTGAGTTTTTCGAAATTTAATTTTGAGCGTTTACTCATCAATAAAATGTTAGCAATCTTTGAAATTGAAAAAAATATATGTACTTTAACGTTTCCAGGCATGAAATTCATAAGTGGAACCTTGCAAGAAACATTTTTTTAAGCTCAAATTTCATTTAATTCAACTGTAATTTAAAAATTTTTTTAAATTTGATCCTCAGTGGTTCTGCATGTTTGCGTGGCAGTGTATAATGTCAAAAAAATTGTTTTTTTAAGTTTCGAAACTTTTTTTCCTTTCAAATTGCTTGTAAACTCCTACACTTGATTGAAAAACTAGTATAAATTAATAAAAATTTCAGCCAAAATCAAGAACCGTGCGGTGAGGAAGCTGATCAACGACGACATTGAAGCTAATAAATCGCCAGGTTTTTTTCTTTTATTTCTCAAGATAAAGTTCAAAATTGATTGGTTTTCCGTTGATTTTTCACATTCAAAAAGACTTCCACAAAATAAGTAATTAAAAAAATTTCAGAAAAGCCGTTCCAAGGATTCGCCAAACTTTCGGCTTCCACTGAATCGCTGGAAAATGGCTCGAATACCGATTCTGACGAGGAAAAAGCCGAAAAAATTGATTCGAAGCCAAAAAACCAGGTACTTTTCAACTTTAAAAAAATCAAACTCAAAAAAAATTTCAGACTTTGATTCCTCAAAAATGAAGCTGGAGCTGCTCCTCGAAAAAGTGCCCAACTAAGCAAATTCACTAACTTTTCTTATTAATATCCTTATTTCCCCTCTTTTCACCAACGTATATGGCTTTATGTCTGCTCTCATTGCACTATTTGTAAATATTGTCAAAAATAATGAAATTTGAACCCTGATACTGTTTTTGAAGCTCCAAAAAAAGAAGGAAATGAACAAAAAGGGACTCATGAGCTCTATGAAAAAAAAAAATTGCCAAAAAAAGGAGAAAAATACTCCTTTTCACGGGGAAAGTCTCTTGTAAAAAGCCTTCGAATATTATTCTTACAAGTTTTTAAACTTTCTGATACAATATTAATAGAAGAGCTGGTGGAGAACATGTAAAAGAACTGTTGAAAAGTCGTCAAGAGCATTCTTTTTCAAAAAAAATACATCATTTCTGCGAATCTCCGTAGAAAAATCAAAAAAAAAACAACTACAACCCAAAATCTCCGATTCAACAATGTTATAAACTACTCTGAACCGAAGAAAAACCAATAGTTTGCCCTAAAAACGAAGAAAAACTGCCTCGAAATTCCTCTCCCACACATTATCGTACCAACGCGCGCAAGCCGCTGCGAGTCAGACGCACGAAAAGAGGGCTTGCCACGGCGAAATGATAGCGTTGGTTTATACCCAGTTACTCAAGGTAATTGCGTGCTCTGACCATTTTTCGGAATGTGTTAGTGACAATTTTTGGATAGCTCGACCGGGGTTCACCGGATGAGCAAAAAGTAAAATCAGAGTGGGATTTTGGTAAAGTGCGGTCACTTTGTATCTAGATAGCGAGCGAGATAGAAAACGGGAAGAGACGCAGAGACTGGTGTTTTGAAACTTTTTGACAACATTCGCGTTTGAAATTGAAAGCTTTAAGCCAATACGAGCATTGTGAACTTCTTCGAAATAATTGAATTTGGTTCAAAGTTCGCCTTTCGCAACAAAGGGATATGAAAATGGATCAATTCCCTTATTGACTTATCTCAGAGTATTCAGAACATGTTTCAAGGCAAATGAAAGTGATGCAAAAAAAAATTTTTTTAGATCATATCAACTATCTTAAAATTTTTGAAATGATATGTAACTGGTTGTAGCTGGAACACACAAATGAAAAGGAAAAAAATTAATTCATTTGAAAAAAATATAATTCAGTAAAACCAGTTCAAATTTTTGTCAAATATCATGCCTATCAATGTTTTAATAATATTTCAAATTTCTTTGAGGTGAATAAAAGTGGAAATTGCTATGAAAAGTAAGAAAATCGATCTCAAAGTTTCTTGCCCACACTTTAGCGTAGTGACGCGCGCAAGCCGCTGCGAGTCAGGCGCACGAAAAGAGGGCCTGCCACGGCGAATTGATAGCGTTGGTTTATACCCAGTTACTCAAGGTAATTGCGTGCTCTGACCAATTTGCGGAATGTGTTAGTGACGATTTTTGGATAGCTCGACCGGGGTTCACCGGATGAGCAAAATGTTTTATCAAAGCGTAGTGTTAGTGCGGTCACTTAATGTTTTTGATGCGAGAGGGTAGCAAAACGGGAAGAGACGCAGGGATAGTGATTTTTTTTTTCGAAACGTTCAGTGATTCTCTTGAACACATTTTCAAAGCTTTGTAACGAAATAGCCTGGAAAATGGGAAATCTAGAGAATAAAACAAGTTCACGAAGCGTTCCCATTGAAAAAGAACAATACCATCACACATTTTTTTTATTTTCTCAAGGTCGAAGCACCTGAAAAGGAGGTAAATGAGGTATATCAACACGTTCAGGTCGATAAAGCCGCGCGAATGAGCATTTCAATACGTGCCAAAAATCAACACTTTAGCTTGAGAAAAAGGGCGGAATATTTACAGTGTTTAAAGAAACAAAAAATGAAATTTTGCTCGACCGGTAACCCCGGAAGAGCTATCCAAAAATTGTTTCTAACACATTCTTTGAATGGTCAGGGCACTCAATTACCTTGAGTTACTGGGTATTAACCGACGCTATCAGTTCGCCGAGGAGAGCCGTGTTTTCCTGCGCCCGACTCGCGCCGGCTTACGCGTCGTCCAGTGTTACATCACATACCAAGTAAGAATCGGTATTTCTGGAGCAATTTTTTTCAACTTTTTCATTTGAAATGGTGAATTGAGACTTAGAGAACAAGGAATTGATATAAATTGGTACAGACGGTCAAGAGAATCTTTTAAAAAAAGCCGACTTTATTTGAAACACCAGTCTCTCTCTGCGTCTCTTCTCGTTCTGTTACCCTCTCACTTGGAGAAAACAAAGTGACCGCACTTTACAATAAAAAATCTTACTCTGATTTTACTTTTTGCTCATCCGGTGAACCCCGGGCGAGCTATCCAAAAATTGTCACTAACACATTCCGAAAAATGGTCAGAGCACGCAATTACCTTGAGTAACTGGGTATAAACCAACGCTATCAATCCGCCGTGGCACCCCCTCTTTTCGTGCGCCTGACTCGCACCGGCCTGCGCGCGTAGGCAGGCTAAAGTGTGGGCGAAAACTTTTAAGAGCGATTTTCTTACTTTTCATAGCGATTTCCACTTTTATTCGCCTCGAAGAAATTCGGAATATTTTTAAAACATTAATAGGCATGATATTCAACAAAAGTTTGAACTGGTTTTACTGAATTATTTTCTTTTCAAATGAATTAATTTTTTTCCTTTTTATTTGTGTGTTCCAGCTTCAACCAGTTTCATATTATTTCAAAATTTTAAAAATTTTTGCTTTTTTATTTTCCTTGAAACATGTTCTTGAATACTCTGACACGTGTCTATAAGAAAATTGCTCCATTTTCATATCCCTATGTTGCGAAAGGTGAACTTTGAACCAAATTTAATTATTTCGAAGAAGTTCACAATGCTCGAAATTTATTGACTCAAATCTTTCAATTTCAAACACGAAATTTGTCAAAAAGTTTCGAAACACCAGCCTCTGCGTTTCTTCTCGTTTTTTTACTCTCTCACTTGAAGAAAACAAAGTGACCGCACTTTACCAACATCTATCTCACTCTGATTTTACTTTTCGCTCATCCGGAGAACCCCGGTCGAGCTATCCAAAAATTGTCACTAACACATTCCGAAAAATGGTCAGAGCACGCAATTACCTTGAGTAACTGGGTATAAACCAACGCTATCAATTCGCCGTGGCAGCCCCTCTTTTCGTGCGCCTGACTCGCAGCGGCTTGCGCGCGTTGGTACAATAACGTGTGAGGGAGGCATTTCGCGGCAGTTTTTCCTCGTTTGTTTTCGTTTTTTCTCGCATAATCCTAGTTCCAGTACAGTTTGTAAGAGAGTGGAGACTTCTAGAACCTTTTTTCCATAGGATACTCTGAAATTTTCTAGCAGAAACTTATTTTTTTATTATTTCTTCTGCTATCGCTCAACAAAAGCTGAAGATCCACCCTTTTTGCTTAGAAAAACTCTTTTAATTCCTAAAATACAGGGCTTGTTCCAACTTTTTCGGGTTTCACTTTTCAAAATGTTCTCAACAGTAGGTCAAGGCCGCCGCGGAGGACCTCTCTGTCCATTTTTGGTCCAGAATCGATTTTATTCCTATTTATCTCACTTCTGAAGCTTTTTCCAATTACTACAGCTGTGATATGAACTCAATAATCTGTATAATTAATCTATTGATCCTTATTTTTCATCAAACGTCTGCAGGTTATTCTTATTCATAATTCAATATGTTGAGATTCGAATTGAGAAAAAACATAGAGTCCTAGAAAAACAACCAGAAATATCCAATCTAGAATACAATCACCATTCTTTGAAATATTCCGATGAAATTTCAAAATGTAAAGATGCTAACTTTACTGTTTCTCTCGTTTTTGATAAATTTCAAGAAGGTTTATTTTTCATTAAGTCAAGATATCCAAATATAGCACTAAAAATAGAGTTTTAACATTTTCAAAATGCGGAAAAAATTGCAGTGACGCCATTTTTGGGAGGGGTTCCAGTACCCGGAAGGACTGTTCCGATTCTACGGCTTTTCGAGAATTATGCCTCGTCTTGTAGACCGAAGGAGAAGAAAGACTTCAGTATGGACCAGTTGGCTCAGGTTCAAAATTATTATTTATTGAAAAAAATTATACCAGTCGGTTTCCGACAAAATGGTGCTATGCAAAAAAGGTCGCTTGTAATATGAAGAAAATGCGCTCCAAGGCGAATTATTTCTACTGGGAAAATTCTTAGTGGCCACTATAGGGTTTTGAAGTTTCAGTGGCCGCTATAGTAGTCGAAATAGGGGCCACTCAAGGTTTTAAAATTAGTGGCCACTATAGAGGTTTAAGTGCTACTGGTCCAATCTGTTTGATTTAAAATTATCAGAAATACTGGAAGGAATACTGGATGAAAAACTACTGAAGTGGACACTAAAACGGAAAATAGTGGTCACTATAGAGGTGGGTTTAGTGGCCCCTTTAGTGTAATTTCCAAGTACTTCTTGTCGAGCCTCTATAGTGACCACTTAAATTTTTCCCAGTGATTTCAAAATATTTTTCGGCTTATTATTCATAACAACTGCGCTCCAACGAACAAACACCCAAAGTTTTGCACTACGGGTCTTATTTCTATTGACAGAAAAGCTCATTTAAAAAAAGGCTTCAAAAATCCAGAAACTGCGCTCCATTCAAAAACTATCCAATTTTTCAATTTTCGACTCAAAATTCTATTCAACCTGACGCTACCTTAATTTTGGATATATTTAGGCTCTTAATTCATGGAAACTATGCTCTATGGATAAATTACTTCAAACTCTCCTTTTTCGACTTTTAATTCTCCGAAATTCTACTTTTTGGTGTCAGCTTATATTGAAAATGAGCCACTACAGACAAACCACCTAAATTTTCCCATTTTTGGCTCCTAGGGCTATTTTAAAAATCAAAGCGTGCTCCATTGTGAAATTCCAGCTAGTGCAATCTCTGCAAATGGACGAAGTTGCCCATAAAGTTTACCATTCTTTATTTTTTGCCATGGCCGATATGCAGATCCAGAAGTTCATGGGCAAATGGTATACGGTAAGATTTTTTTATTCTTACAAAAAGCATTATTAATTATATTTTTCAGGTAGTGGATTCCAAAAGGATACATGCAGAGGATTGCGGGGTTTTTCAATGTAAGAGGTTTTTTTAAAAATTGGTGTTTTGGTCGCATTTGGAATGGCTTTTTTTGTTTTGTTTTTTTTGAATAATAATTACAAATGAGGCTTAGAATTTCTGAAGATAGACTTTCATTCACGCTAAAGACTGGAGGGTCCCGTTTAACTTCTTTTGAGACTTTTTTGGTCGCATTTGGAATGGCTCTATCGTTTATAAAATCCTTCCAAAGCTTCAAAACCCCTCAAAAGTTTTCATGAATGAACTATAAAATTCCAGTCGAGCTCCTAATGCAAACCGAGTTCACGGCGACGTTTTCTTCAAGACTGAACGCCGTCCAAAATGGCGAGGACATCTCCTACGAGGGCTACGGGACGATGGTCGGGCCCGATCCCGGAGAAGTCCTTCTGACCACCGGACATCCCAATGATCAATGTCCATGTGAGTCAAGTTGATACTTTATTTGGTTGGCCGCATTTGGAATGGGTCGATTTTTTGCTCTCAAATTGTTCAGCCTGATTTCAAAAGACTCCAAATGCGGCCATGGGAACCTAATTTCCAGCTAAAAAGTCTATGAACGCTTCTCCTTAGGTATCACTGATTACTGTGGTCGCATTTGGAATGGCAAGACGCGCGGGGCGGCAAGGTTGAGCCATTCCAAATGCGGCCATGGGAACCTAATTTCCAGCTATAAAGTCTATGAAAGCTTCTTTCTAGGTATCACTATATACAGTGGTCGCATTTGGAATGGCTTGACGCGCGGGGCGGGTGAGCCATTCCAAATGCGACCATAAGATCCTATGTTTCGAGAAAAGAGTCCATAATAATTATTTTGCAAGCATCACTGAGTACAGTGGTCGCATTTAGAATGGCCTGAAGCGCGGTGCGGGTGAGCCATTCCAAATGCGACCATAAGATCTAATGTTTTGAGAAAAGAGTTCATAGCAATTATTTTGCAAGCATAAATGATTACAGTGGTCGCATTTGGAATGGCTTGATCAAACTAGACATTTTCCCGTCCAAAAGCGACCATATGAACTCAAAAATGAAAAGAAAAAGGTCCAAAGAAGCGAAAAAAGAAGAAAAGCTTCTCAAAAGCTCTATCAGATCGATCTGAAAGCTCGAAATTTGCACACAACTTGAAAATTCCAGACTTTCCGGTGAAATTGGGCGGTTTGAACAAAACCGGCGACTACGAATACATGATTCTGAGTACACCACTGAAATACCCAACGATGGTTCTAGCCAGGTGATTATTTAATTGATTTAAAAAGTTCAAAGTTACTTAGAAATTACTGAATGTTCCATAATTTTGGACCAACTACTCTCTCCTCTCTGAAATCTAACCTAAAAATCGAAAAACTCCAAGAAAAATCTACATTCCCCCATCAAAAAAGCTTCAAAATTCCTCAAGAACACCTTCCCAGAGCAGTACATCAAGTACACAGTGGGGTATACTGATGGAATGACGCGAGCGGTCGACAGTGGAGAGATGGCCGAGCGGTCTAAGGCGCTGGTTTAAGGCACCAGTCTCTTCGGAGGCGTGGGTTCGAATCCCACTCTCTTCAGTTCTTTTTGCCATTTTTTTGAAAGTTTGTTTCTGATACGCTTTGATTGCTAGGAAGCTGCAAAAATTGAAAAAATACTTTTTGAGGTTAAGAAATGAGATTTTTCGACTCTTAAAACAGAAACAAAACATAGCTCCGAGTGAAAAATAGGATAAATGATGAAAAAAAAGGATAAATTGATTAAAATATTCTCATTCTATATATCTACAATGAGAGGGTATGAAAAAAAAGGAGAAAAATAGACTTTCAAGCTTAAAAGTCGACGAAATCCAGCACTAAAACGTCGATAAAAATCTCAGAAAAAAAAAATCCATTTTCAAGATTTCCCATTTTCTGACCCCATCTAAAAGCTCTTCTAATGGAGGATCCTTGATAAACGAGAAAAATTTCAGAAACGTCGAACGATTCGAGGCGAAACACAAGAAGGAAGTGTACGATTTCGTCGAAAAGTACGGATTTATGAGTCCCCTGGCGGCTCTCAATACACGGCTCCACTTCACTGATATCCACGCTTGCCAAAGATCCAACAACTTATTCCCCTACAGTCACATTTGAAGGTCAATAAACTCGAAACGAACGAGAATAAACGATTTTTCTCAAAGAAGACAAGTGAAAACCGAGTAAAATGACGATTCGCTCTACAATTCCATGTGATGGGAAGTGTTCAAGCTGGACCCGATAATTTCAACAAGGGCCGGCGTCACTTTGAAGCAATCATCCAAGTGATAATACTGAAAGGGCCAAAATACCAAAAGGTCTTTCTTATCCTTTTTTTGGGGGAAAAAAATAAAACTGACCAAGAAATGGAAGACGGTGCCGCCAATTATGGACAATGGAAGTGCTGGGGTCGTTCTTTCGGCTGAAAAATGTTTTTGAAGCTCAAAAATGATATAAAAAGATCAAAGAGAGTTCAAGAAAAAATGGCAAAAAAGAACTGAAGAGAGTGGGATTCGAACCCACGCCTCCGAAGAGACTGGTGCCTTAAACCAGCGCCTTAGACCGCTCGGCCATCTCTCCACTGGCGACTGCGGCTCCTAATCAGCACTGTAATGCCTCGGGGTAATTGTTCAATGGCTTTTTCTGCTTTGAATTTTTTTTCTACTCCTTAAAATTCAATGATTTTTTCTAGCTAAACTAAAAATATAACTTATATTCCTTAGAAAACTGTTATTTTAGCTGAATCGAGAATTTTGGCTGAAATTTCCTTACTTTTAGTACTTGAAAAGTGCACCAAAGGTGAAATTGAAGACAATTTTAAAGAAATAACGCTTTTCAGAGGAAATTTTTAAGTACGAATCCAAAAAATACCTAAGAAACGTAAGGAAAATGGGAAATTTTCTGAGGAATACCATCAAAATTCTGAGCCTAAACAATCGATGCCAATTGCATGACGGATCATAGTGCAAGTTGGCTCTGGAAATGGCCGGTGGAGAGATGGCCGAGCGGTCTAAGGCGCTGGTTTAAGGCACCAGTCTCTTCGGAGGCGTGGGTTCGAATCCCACTCTCTTCAGTTCTTTTTGTCATTTTTTCTTGGGCTTGTAATGATCTTTTGAAGCCTTATGAAGGAGTGTAGATGCTTCAACTTGTAGAAAAGCCGAATTCTTGAAGATTTCAAACAAAACAAATTCAAAAAAGGGTCTAAAGAACTATTAAGCTTTATGAAGCTTTAAAAAAATTGACTAAAAGCGCTTTTTGGCTTGAAACTCACAGTTAGAAAAAACGGTCAGCGTCAAAATGAGCCCATAAATGATGCCGAACCCGGCTCCAAACGTTGCCATCAAGCTTCCTATAAATATTTCATTCAAACCTTCAAAGATTTTGCGTTGCCGATTGATTTTATCAGCTTTTTCGAAGTAAAACCAACCGGCTGCCGCCGATTTTCCAATCAAGACGCTGTAAAACACGAAATCGCCCATTCCGAGACGCATCGAGTCTGAAAAAATTAGATTTTTTGGAATTGTTCTCGCGAAAAATGACCATTCGAAAAATTCCTGATTTTACTGTTTCGCTTGAATGATAAAAAAGCAAAACCTTATTTTTCAAGCAATGTGCATTCAGCCGAAATTCTGACTAATATAATGAAATATTAAAACTTTAAAATTTTCACAGAACCGTGGGAGGTCGGGTGCAGTAAGAAAAAAGCTGAGTTACGCTATTTTTGAAGCTAGAAACTATTTATCAAGCTAAAAAGCCCAACTATTTTAGAAAAAGCCTATGCCATTTTTTGACCTGAGAAGGCTCAACTATGCTTATTTTTAACCTAGAAGTCATAACTATGCCAATTATAAATTGAGTACGCTTAACTATGCTTCAAAGCCTAACTATGCCAAAATAATAGACCAACCCGCATCATTAAGGGCATCGGCGGCTGTGTTATGATAGTCCCATTCTTCACTGCACTCCTCGAGTGACGTCACCGATTCAGATGACTCGGATTCAGAAGAAGAAGAAGAAGAAGTATACGTCGAGGTTGATGTTGAAGTCTTTAGAAAATATTTACAAGTCGAAAAAAAAAAATTAAAAACATCAGATTCGGAGTTAGCAGATGACGAAGACGCCGAGGAAGACGAAAATTCCTCCGCAGTTCTTAAAGTTTTGATCTCCAAATCTTCCTCCTTCATTTCCTTCTCTTCTGAAGACTCGCTCGACGACGACGTGTGACCCATTGACTCCCTACGCTTGCGAATCTAAATAATAAAACAACTTCCTCTACAAAAAATGCCTACGAGCGCTGTATAATGTACCTTTTGCATGTAAAACAAAGATATGTAACTGAAAAGGCCCAAAAAGTTTAACAAGAAGCCAGATAAAAAATGGCAAAAAGAACTGAAGAGAGTGGGATTCGAACCCACGCCTCCGAAGAGACTGGTGCCTTAAACCAGCGCCTTAGACCGCTCGGCCATCTCTCCACCGGCGATCTCCAGAGCCAACTTGCACTATGATTCGTCATGCAGGTGGCATTGATTATATAGGCCTGCTGATTGGTGTGTCAATTTCGATCTATTTATGCATTTTCTTTTACTTTCCAGTCAATATTGTAAAGTTATATTAAAACGCTTGGTGGAAAGCGTCATCTCTTGAAGATTCTACTTAATTAAGTCCTAAATAAACCTCTAACAAAGGTGAAAACAAAACTTCAACTGAAAATTTTCAAGAAAGCTAAAAAAAGTATACACTTCTGTTAAATCCACTTGAAATCTATCTATTCATAGTCTTATAGAAAAAAGAGGTAAAAAATGTCAATCAATAAATAAAATGTCTTATCACAATGACCGTGCCCCGAGGCAGTACAGTGATTATTCGGAGCTGCTCTCGCCGGTGGAGAGATGGCCGAGCGGTCTAAGGCGCTGGTTTAAGGCACCAGTCTCTTCGGAGGCGTGGGTTCGAATCCCACTCTCTTCAGTTCTTTTTGCCATTTTTTCTGGAGCTTGGTTCATCATTTTTGAGCTTTAAAAGCAAAAAGGGTTCATTTTTCAGTTCGGCATATTCAAAAAAGCTTCCATTTTGTGGATGATTTGGAAAAAATGAGTAATTTTTGGATGATACCTTTGAAACGAATTCTTCCGAGTGCTGGGCTCCCTTATCATTGAACTTGTTGATAAGGTCCTTGACGGATTCGGCCTGAGTTGGCTCCATTCCAGCGGCAAGCCGATCTCCGGACTTCCGACTTTTTTTCGTTTCGTTTGCGGTGAACATCAAGAAACGGAGGACCTAAAAATGGCTTTTTCAAGGGAACTGGACCGTATTCAGATTGATTTACATCTCCTACTTTCAAAGGAAAGTTTTTTTTCGGCTTAATCAGAACCTAACTTGAAATATGATAAAAAAAATGGAGCGAAATAATAATTTTTTTTTTGAAGATTCCATCTACAAGATCATACTGTAGAAGCTCACATTATTACTGTAATCTCCCGCCTTCTCCTGAATCTTTCTCAACGGTCCCAATGGGGCGAGGACAGCGAAAAAGTCTGAAATTTTATAAAAAGGGATCATTTTTGAAAAATGATATCAACCCCAAATAACGACGCTCCAGAGGACGAACCAGGCCGTGTGACTGGGAAAAGCTCTGGAAATTTATAAAATTTCCTGCAAAAAATTGAAAAAAACCTCAAATAAAAAACTGAAATAAATGAGCAGTTAACAATGACGTAGAACTGATGGCACAGTAGTGGGGCTTCAAAAAAGAAAGCCTAAAAACTTTTTAAATTTTTTTTTTCATTCAAACTTCTAACAGGGAGGTCATTTTACTTGGGAAATCCTTGAAAATTGGCCAGTACACTCCTTGATGTACCAGAAGAATATTCTGAAAGTTTCAACCTGCACAACTTTCTAGTTTTCGAGAAAAAAGGGGTCTAAAGCTTCAAAATAGGTCATTTTAATGGATTTTGACGGTTTTCTGTGACTTTGAAGCGTCTTTTCTCAAAAACAAGAAAATTTCGCAGGTTGAAACTTCCAGAATCTTCTTCTGGTGCATCAAGACGTGTTCTAGCCAATTTTCAGGGAAATCCCAAAGTGAAATGACCTCCTTGTAAGGCAAGAAGTGTAACTTTTCCCAATTTTCTTCCAAATTTCATCTCGAAACAATAAGAAACAATGAAAAATCAAAAAAGCCTCAAACTATCATATAGATATAAAGATAACGAAACCCACATAAAGTCCGCCAAACCCATAAACCAAAGAAAACGCGATCGAAATCGTCACCGCAGCTTTGTTCGTGATTTCGGGGTTGAAGCGGACAGTGGCATCGCTGGAATATTTAAAACCGACCTCTTTTTTTCACAATATCCTCTTAACTTTCAACAAATCTAGCCTAGAAAAACAACAAAAAAAATGGCAAAAAAAAGCTGACACGAGTGGGACTCGAACCCTCGTCTCCGAGGGGAATTGCGCCTTAAGCCAGCGCCTTAGACCACTCGGCCATCTCACCACTGGAGACTGCGGCTCCAAATCAGCACTGTAGTGCCTCGGGGTCATTGTGCCATGGAAATTTCTACATTCTTTTTAACTTTTTATTTTTTTCCCTATTTTTCAAAACTTCAAAGATTTTTTTCTAGTTGAACAAAATAAAAAAATGGGAATAAACGTCTGGATCTCAAAAGGTGTAAAAACTCAAACAATACTAATAGTTATCAATAGAGCGCAACTGACTGAGCAGCGATGCCGGAGATGACGAAAAGGATGAGGATGCAGCTCGTGTGAAGCCACAGCTGAACGATCCGCCGGCAATCGTACAGAGCCAATCCAAGCATCACGAATGAGACGGCGCCAAGTAGGGCCATTGTTCCGAGGCCATTTAGCTGAAAATTGATTTTTTTGAGCTTTTATCACAACAAATACATAAGCTTCTGGAACTTTTAGTTAGGGTTTTAACAGGCTCCGCACCTTTTGTGAAATACTTGAACAAAAACCCGCCGACTCCAAACGACTTGCGCGCGAGAGCATGGAGAACTATGAAAAAACGATTTTGCCAAAAAATTAAGCTCACTCAGTTTATTCGAATTTACGTCCACGGCTTTGCACACGAAACATGTTGAAATCTCGGTTTTTTTTATTCAGCAAGTTTTTCTCAACGTTTTTTAGCTCTAGATAGGATTAATCAAATTCATAAATTCCGAAAAGCTCAAAAATAGAGGTTATATCTGTCCATAAGTAGTCAAAAACAATCTGGAAAATGGTAAGTCTCTTTTCAATAAAAAAAAAAGCTGAAAATTTCAAACTTCCAAGGATTTCTTATCATTTTAATCATGATAACTGTTTCAAACCCTCACCGCCCCATCCAAAAACTCGTTTCCAGTCGTATAATTGGCATGAGAATCGAAGAAAAATGTAGAATGAAGGGTGCTGTCGGTCCGCATTTCGTAGACACCGCTCCAGAGAAGAAGCGTCAGGGACATGTTCAACATAACCGATGTAACCGTCCAAATTAGCTGAAAAATGGACGGAGACTTCAAAAAACTATGAAGACACAAAAACCTGCGTATCAAAACAGAATTCAGCCAATTCCAATTGAAGATTTGTTAACTTTCGTATAAAAACTTCTGAAAACATCGCAATCAGTAAAGAAAAGTAAGCTATGCGTTATAATAATGCGCAGGAAAAATGGCAAAAAGAACTGAAGAGAGTGGGATTCGAACCCACGCCTCCGAAGAGACTGGTGCCTTAAACCAGCGCCTTAGACCGCTCGGCCATCTCTCCACTGGCAACGACAGCTCGCCGAGGCACACACAATACCTGGCATCCCTCCATTGCAGTGTATTGAAAACTTGAGGATTCGCGAAAATTATCACTATTCTCATAGAATTTTGCCAGAACCTTATAGAAACAATATGTTAACAGTTCTTTCTCGATTTTTTGAGATTTAAAAAAAAATTCAAGTCTTTTTGTTTTCCTCTCTTTCATTGTTAAAGAAAGCCTTAATAAAATTTCCTACTTTGAAAGAAAAAAAAATGTATAGCTTTATTTCAATACACTACTTGTTCCTGGAATGTATCATAGTGTGCCTCAGGCTCTCCAAGTCGCCAGTGGAGAGATGGCCGAGCGGTCTAAGGCGCTGGTTTAAGGCACCAGTCTCTTCGGAGGCGTGGGTTCGAATCCCACTCTCTTCAGTTCTTTTTTTGCCATTTTTTTTGAGTTATTTCAGGAATGTACTTGAATAAATTTTTATGAGTCCAAGAAATATCGTTTGTTCAACATTTAAAAAAATAAGGGTAAGTTGAGTTTTCAAATCGCAAAAAAAGCTGAAAACAGTCACTTTTTCTTTTCGAAAAGCCCACTAAATCCATCTCGTGAATTTCAGAACCGCTGTGTTTTTTTTTAAATCAACATAAGAATTTAAAAGAATTTATGAGAGTTAATAGAGAAGTGAAAGAACCAACCCATTGTTAAAAAGTATTACAAAAAGACGAGAAGTCGATTTATTGTACGATTTGAGGAATGAGCACAGCACACCAAACATACACAACACGTGAAAAAGGTCACATCCATTTATTTTTTTATTGTATCTGAAAAAAAACGTTTTACAAAGTTATTTTAAAAAGAAAACGACCGAGAAACAAAGAGATTTTTTTTCTTCCGATAACTTCGAAATCGAAACGATATACAAGACATAAGTTTGAAAAAATCAATAAAATAAGGAAATTACCTTTTCCGAAAAATTTCCCTTGACTTCATCTTGTCTATTGGCGCCACCCCGCTGTGATCTAGCCTTGCCGCGGGCCTGCGAACTCGACCTCCCATGTGGTCTAGTGGTTAGGATTCGTGGTTTTCACCCACGCGGCCCGGGTTCGATTCCCGGCATGGGAAGATGCCTTTTTGCCGTTTTTCTTTGCGTCCTTATACCATTGTATTTATTGAATTGTGTTATAAAATGATAATATCAACAATTTTTGTGAAGAAAAAGAGAATAGAACCACCAAAACTTCTGATAAAGGCACTTTCGAAGCAAATTTGTCAAATAAATAAAACATTTTTGAAAGTTTCTTTGGATGAAGAAAGAAATGAGGATAAAAATCTGTAATTTGTAAGAGAAATTGAACGTTTTTTGGTCGTTTACCCATTCGAAAAGACGTATAAATCTAGAAAAAAACTAACAAACTTATTGCTGTGAAAAACGACGGAAAAAAGCTAGAAACTGAGCAAATCGGGTCGAAAAAAAAAGCCGAAAAGGGTACAATTTACACCGTATTTTGTTGCTTTTGAAGAATCAGTTTACGGTAAGAGGCTTACGATAGGATTGAGCTTGTTTTCGGGGAATCACCGGCCAATATTCTGATTGCTCGCCGAGGCGGCCATCGTACTTTCAGTTTCGTGTCGACATTCGGATTTGAGGCGCACAAAGTCGCGAGCAACCTGGAGATTTTTGGAAGTTAGTTATAGGGTCTTCTAGGGGACAATCTTCCGATTCTAATGATATGAGAAGTTTAAAAAAAAAGTCTTAAAGCTTCTGATGACCCCTTGAGATAATAAATGCATTCTTTTTTCAAATTATCTTCTTTCACAGCTTCCAATGAGCTTCAAATACTTGGTTTCAACGTCTCAACGTTTTGAATATTTCTTGAAATGGTATTGAATTTCGCTTTTAGTTAGATATTCAGCTCGAGACTTCTTTCAAATTTTTCATCCTTTTTCAAACTTCCTTATGAGCTATTGTATGATCCCTACCTTAAAAAAACATGAAAATAGTATTCATGCAAATTTTCACTCCAATAAATCACCTCATCACTTTGTCGCTGCGATAAGATCCTCAAAAGGATCAATCCAGTTTCATCAATGTGTAGCCGAGTGCCGAGTTGTACCCACATTGCACACGAGCCAGCTGAAATAAATCAAAATAGATGAGAAAAAAATGATAAAAATTCATTTATAAAGACTCGGACATTGGTAACGGACGTGCTCCGGACGTTTCTGGGCGATTCTAGGGATCCCTTAAGAGTTTTGAGGCTACTAAAGTGGTCACTAGAAATGCCTCGACACGTCCGATTCGCGTCCCGTTCGCGTTACCAAGGTCTGAGGATAATTTCATGTTTTCCCTGTTTATTTCAAATCCTTTTTTCAAAATTACCGCAAAAAATTGTTTCACAAGTTCTCGAATCTATCCTGTTATAGTGATGCGATTCAAAAAAAAACTAATTTATTGAAAAAAAAGGAATCAAAGAAAAAACGCATCTTCCCATGCCGGGAATCGAACCCGGGCCGCGTGGGTGAAAACCACGAATCCTAACCACTAGACCACATGGGACACGGCGGCTGGAGGCACGGAGGCGCACCAGATAGCTTTTTACAGTGTATTCTTATCATTTTTCGAGTTTTTTAAGAACAGAAAAGCGCTTTTCGGATGAAAAATAACGTTAAAATTGAATAAAAGCCTCGAAAAAAGGTTGAAATAAGTTTGAAAAAAAATATGATACCTTGATCAACGACGTTAGCCAATTGAAGAACGCCCACGCCAACAATGCGATCTTCACGCGCAAAACAGTAGTCTTTGACTTGGAACATGAGCTCGTAGTGCTCCGGTTCGCCCTCGTTTCCGAGGAAACTGAAAAAAAAAAGGTAAAAGTTTTTTGAAACGTATGTACAAAAAACTTTCTTAAAAAACTTCTCGGTTTCTGGAAAATTTCAAAATTTGTAATTTTCTTTTTTAATCAATGGTATAGGACATAGAAAGACGGAAGTAAAAATTGAGAATGCGGAATGCGGAACGAAATTTTTTTATTGCGGAATGCGGAATGCGGAACGCTAAAAAGCGCAGAACGCGGAATTCTGTGCATCTCTGGTATAGAATTATACGCTTTGAAAAAAAGTCGAGAAATAAAAATCCGAAAATGGAATAAAACGTACAAGTGGAAGGTTTCGTTGAACTTGGGCGCCCAGTTGCCCGTTTTGCTTTTTGTGGCCATTTTCCGCTTCTTGTCCGCAAGGAATGGACCGACGAGGTGAACTTCGACGAATGGTTTAAAGGTTGAAGAGGTTTGCCACCGGAGGTCATTAGCGGCAAGGACTGGAAAAATTTTCATTTTAATTTGCTTTCTTTGGAAAGATTTATAACATATCCACTGTTCTACAGTAGCCCTTGATGCTTTTAAGCAGTTCCTAAAGTTTCAAGGCAGTTCCAAAAAAGTTTCTAACAAAGTTTGATGTATTTTAGCAGCGCCCGGAAATTCTAAGCAGCGCCCGGAAATTCTAAGCAGCGCCTGGAAATTTTAAGCAGCGCCTAAAACTCAAAAGCAGCTCCCAAATCTCTCTAGCAAAGCATTTCAGTTGCTCAATTTCACTAGAAGGGCTCAAAATTTTGTTAAGCAGCGCTTGACATTTCTAAGCAGCGGCTGATGTTTCTAAGCAGCGCCTGGAAATTCTAAGCAGCGCCTGGAAATTTTAAGCAGCGCCTAAAACTCAAAAGCAGCTCCCAAATCTCTCTAGCAAAGCTCAAAATTTAGTTAAGCAGCGCCTGACATTTCTAAGCAGCGCCTGGAAATTCTAAGCAGCGCCTGGAAATTCTAAGCAGCGCCTAAAACTCAAAAGCAGCTCCCAAATCTCTCTAGCAACGCTCAAAATTTTGTTAAGCAGCGCCTGACATTTCTAAGCAGCGCCTGGAAATTCTAAGCAGCGCCTGGAAATTTTAAGCAGCGCCTAAAACTCAAAGGCAGCTTCCTAATCTTGCCATTATCCTTAGAGCGCAGATGACACTTGCCATCACGTTTTTTTAAACTTTAAGTCATTGAAACGACTATTTCCTACCATACTTAGGCATCCAGACCACAAATTTCAGCCAAATTGTAAATTTTCGATTTTTTTTTCGCGCGGAGACTGGGCCATTTTTAATCTAAAATTTTAAAAAAGACCAACTTTTAACGGTGACTTTCTGCTCGCCGGTGCCTGGATGACTGAACAGATCCACCTGGACGCTCACTTCGCCAACCGGCTGTTCTTGGGATGGAATGTCTGGAAAAACTTGACTCAGTGTTCTACAAAAATCCGTACCTTGTTGTTTCTGACTCGTTATAAAGGTCTTGATGAGCTGTTCAGTTGTCTGGGTGTACAGACTCAGCGCGTATTTCAACGACTGAAGCTCTGGCGATTTTTCGAAGAACGACTTTTTCAGGCCTTTGCCGCCGGCGTGGAAGCTATCTGTAAGTCAAATGAAGGCATATGGAACTTTAAAAAGTTTGAGAAAAAAAACTTCCGTCAAAAAGGGTCATGAAAATGATCAAATGATCCAAGTTTCTCTAATCTCAATACGAAAATTCTTAATAAAACAACTTTTAAAAATGATACATTATTTCGAGGAATCTAGCGTCATTTATAGAGCCGTAGGACGGTTTTTAAAATTCCGTGTTGCTGTAAATTAGACAAATTTTTTTGAAACCACGGGTTTCGCCATCTTTTCTGAAATCTGTCCTCAACCGTTTTTTTTCTTCTGATTTTTTTTTTCCGATTTTCAAAAAATGTACCTTTGATAGCGTCCAGAGCGGCGTCGAGGACTGTACACTGCTTGGGAGTCAGGGATTTTTCGCACTCCCGAGCAATGTCCTGAAAGGAAAAACTAAGGTTTTTGTATAAGTTGACCAAATCACCATCATATCCTTGACGGAGCTCATTCCTTTGATGTTCTGAATGTTCGTCGACATCAACTTGGTCACGTCGCCGATTTTCGCGTTGGGTAGTTGTTTCAGAAGCTGGAAATATTCCTTTTAGTCAATTATTTTTAATAAAGGCCAATTCAAATTAACATCTCATATCGAAAGCTAAAATTTTTCAAGTACCGCTGAAACAGAAAACGTAGACAGACCATTTTTCAAGCTGCCAAAGCCCCCTCCTTTGGTTTTCCAACTTGAAATGACTACTACCGCCTGAGATTGAAAAATTATCTCTATTTTTTTCTTAACACTACCCCCCGAAACTGTAAAGTTATTTAACGTCTTATTTCTCGAGTTTTCTGTAGAATTTCCCCTTCTGCTGGACTAATTGAGTGTTTTACCGTTTCGCAGTTGGAAAATACGTCAATTTCAAGTCTAATCCTCATTTTACAAGATAAAGCGCATTTTGATTATGGTGACTTCAATCATTTTCGAAAAACTGACCGCTTTCTCGGACAACGGCGGGAGGACGACGAGTTTCTCCATGCTGACGATGGTGATCCGCCACAACTCTTTCAGGATGTACTTGAGGACGGTTTTCTCGCATTGGGCCGCGTATCTTTGCAAGGATCCTTCTAACAAGTCCATGAGAGGCTCGAGAACAGCGTCGGCTTCCTGGAAAGGCTTGAAAATGTTCCTATTTCTTTTGAATTTGGTATCCAAACTCTTCCTTTTTGCTTCAAGTTTCAAAACTCCAGTATCAAGTTTTTCAAGCGAAATAGTGTGTAAAAAGGAGAGGGTGCAATTTTTTTCCTATTCATCCCTATAAAATCCAACTGAAACAGTAACCAACCGGAGCGACTTGGGACTTTTGCAGCTGAGGTCCTTTGATTTTCGTCAAAAGAACGCCCAACTTCATCGTTTGCTCGTGGATGTGCGGTTCGAGGGTTGCGACAAACTGAAAATTTGAGTTTTTTGGGTAATCTGGAAAGTGCGAACGGTTAGGGTTTCTTAGGGGCAAAAAAACCTTTGAAGGCTCCGCTCTAGGGGCCGCTATACCTTTCACTGTAGGGGCCACTTGAGGTTTCAAAAGTAGCCCTTATTATGTTTTCAGTAAGGGGCCCCTATAGGGGACATGCTAGTCGATTTTTGTTATGAACTTTGTGAGAAGAAACTTAGATGAACTAGAAGTTTAAGGCTCAAACTTTAAACCCCTATAGTGGGCACTTTTTGGTTCTCTCAGAGTGTTGTTTTCTCTTTAACCCCTCTAGGGACCACTTTGACATCTCAAGTAACTGTTAAAAGTTTTCGAAATATCAAATTCCAACTTCTCCAGACAATTTGTCGAGAACAGAATTGAGCTTTTTCTGCAAATTGGTCAGAACTTGGCTGGCCGTCGTGTCCAACTCGCCGCCGCCCATGTTTTCGTAGATCTTCTCCAGTTGCACTCTGAAACGTTAAACTCAGTTATTTTATATCCGAAAAATGATCAAATAAGCTTCCTGATTCATTTTCTACACAAGCCAGACTGAAATTTCATTTTATACGACAAAAAAAATCACAAAAATGAACCTCAATTGCTGTACGTTGTTCATCAAAATGCAGGCCAATTTTTTTCGTTGGTCGCAAATTTTCGGGAAATCCTTCTGCACCATATCAGCATACGCCAACAGGACCTGAAAATTCAAAAATTTTTAATGCAGAATACAAATTTCGAAATTTTTCTATGAATCTTAAAGATAACACAAGAAAGACAGCGAGGAAGTTAGTGGCGCGGCGCGGCAGCCTACGCCGTGTCCCATGTGGTCTAGTGGTTAGGATTCGTGGTTTTCACCCACGCGGCCCGGGTTCGATTCCCGGCATGGGAAGATGCCTTTTTGCCATTTTTTCTTGACATCTTTTTCGTATTTTTTGCATCATCAGAATGATGAGAAATTCAAAATTTTTGGTTTTTCACCTTGTTTAACGTTTTGCTGAACCTCTTCATCATATCAGCCGCGACTTCTGGATTTGGACAGTCCATCTGGAAGGAAATTTAGTAAATTATGAACTTTTCAAGGTAAAATACCTGTTTTAACAATTTCAAAGCTTCATTCAATTGGGTGAAGACGTCGACCACGCTGTTGGAGAATTTCGTATGGTCGGAGGTTTGGGGGAAGTTGTCCGATTTGTCGCTGGAAACACAAAATTTATGTTGCAAAAATTCCTAGGCTTCATTTTGAGCTGAAAATTAAGAATCTTTCAGGATAATATCCTCCAATTTTTTTCAAAATTATTTTTCGCGCGAAATTTGAATTTTAAACTTCCCGTTGAAACGAAAAACGAACCGATTGTAGGCATTCCTGAGGATATCCATCGAGTGTTCGTCGTTCTCATTGAGCCAATCCATGACGAATGGAATGAACCAACTGAAAAAAAATTGAAGGAATCATTCAGAAATATGCAAATCTTGTCCATCGCTAATTTATTCGGCTTGGCTTAGACAAGAGGGATTCTAAAAATAGAGGGGGAAAATGGGTTCAGAGATGAAGATTAGGCTTTCAAAAGTCGGAAAAGAACAAGAATGAGAAAAAAAAAATCAATTTTGTTGGGCCAAATCGGAATGGTGGATAATGGCCGCTAAAAGGCTCGAAAAAGGGCGCAAAAAGGCCGCTAAAAGGCTCAAAAAAGGGCGCAAAAAGGCCGCTAAAAGGCTCAAAAAAGGCCGCTAAAAAGGCTCGAAAAAGGGCGCAAAAAGGCCGCTAAAAAGGGTTGAAAAAGGGCGCAAAAAGGCCGCTAAAAGGCTCAAAAAAATGCCGCAAAAAAAGTAGCAAAAAGGCTCGAAAAAGGCCGCAGAAAGGCTGCAAAAAGGTAGCAAAAAGGTAGCAAAAAGGCTCGAAAAAGGCCGCAGAAAGGCAGCAAAAAGTGCCCCTATTAAGCCTTCCATTTTTCTGAAATTTCAAAGACCTGAGAAATGGTTGAAAAGGCAGCAAAAATGGTGCATAAAAGCCCATAAAATGGCGCAAAAATGTCGCAAAAAGGAGCCTTTTTCCACTCATTCGGACAGCTGATTTTTGATTGAAAAGTGTCATTTTTTATATTATCAGAGGGCGTAGTTTCTATTGGAGAATTTTCAAAACCGCTAAACTTTTCCCAATTTTTCTACATCTAGGTATCCGAATTTCAAAGAACCCCCAAAAAATGACAAAAACGAACGCTGGAAATTCGGGAATGCTCTGCTTGTATTGGGGCATGTCGGCGACGTATTTGAAGTAGAATCCCTTGACTTTGAAGTAGAGGTTCATGTATTCGGGCGTCGTGCAACGTTTCGTTTGGGCGTGTTCTGAAAGTCCAAGTAAAAGGATGAGATTTTGAAAATATCCGTCAAAAAAGGCCGCCTTGAGCTCTTCCTGGACATTTTTTCTATTGATTTTCTTGAAAGCTCAAACTCCCTCGAAGCTATTTGACTCGTTGCCAAAGTTTCTGAAACCTCTAAGATTCTAAGAAGATAACAGTCAGGTCCAAATTTGTAGATTTCCAACTTAAAAGTTGAAAAATTGAACTTTCGGTTTTTTTTCCGGGTTCCCATGGCCTATTTTCAAATTTCCCCAATTAACTATAAACGACACCGATAAGACTATTTCCCACAAAATTCGTGAAAACCAATTTTCAGCTACTTTCGTACCTTCCAAGGCGAGTTGCAGATCAGTTTTGTACATTTGCCAAAGGGTTCCGGCGGAAAGTTGGCCGACGTTTAGTTCTTGGGGGAATTGGTTCAACACCGGCGTGTAGATGTGCTTGTCGTCTTCTATCACTCTGAAAATCATAAAATTAATTTTTTGAACCTTTCAAGGTATTTATAAGGTAATCCTCAAAGTTCTGATCCCAATGGTACACGAGAAGCCGATTTTTGTTCGTTATGAAGAAATTTAAGATAAAACTCGATTTACCTTCAGAGAATTGATGAAATATGCTCCCATGGCAGATATTTTCAAAAATCCCGAAAAATCTAAAAATTTATCGATAGAGCGCACTTGACAGTTAAAAATAGCCAGGTTTTTTTTAAAATTCATTTTTTTGGACTTTTTTGGATTACTTTTCTGAATCTTCCAAAGTATTTTTTTTAGGTAGTCCTCGAAATTCTGGTCGTAATGGTACATGAAAAACCGATTTTAGTTCGTTATGAAGGAATTTATGATAAAACTCGATTTTCATTCTGAAAAATGGATGTGAAAGGCCTCCACTTTCGGAAAAAATATTAATTTTCAAAAAATCCCAAAAAATCCAACAATTTATCGATAGAGCGCACTTGACAGTGAAAATATGGCCACGAGTTGTTTGACTTCAATTTTTTTGAACTGATCCATTTTTAAAGTTTTTTCTTGTCATTCTAATCAAAATTCTACAATTCTAAAAGATTTTTTGCTCATTTTCAAGGCTGAAAATGGGAGAAAATAGCTCACCGCATCATATAATCCAGGAAATCGAACCAAAACCGGACAGAGTCGGCTGAGGGGCCGCCTTGCTCGCAACACGATTCGAACATTAGTTGGTAGGTTTGCTAAATTCAATCATTTTAACACTTTAACTGTATTAAAAGCTTAAAAATCGTCTCTAAAAAGCTCCTGAATAGACAAATTGAAGCTATTTCTATTCAAAAGTTGGAAAAATTCGAAAAATTCCAATCTCCTCAAAAGTTCTATACATAAATCAATGCTCAAGTTAATCAATATTTTCGAATCTAAAAAAAATTACCTGCATGCAGGCCTTGGCGCATTCCCGTACGACATTCGAAGCACGTGGAGGACTCGCCAATTCGAGCACCTTTAAATTGGAGGGGGAAAAATTGAATCAATTATGTTGATTAGCTTGAGAGCCTTCGGAACCAAGCTTTTTTTGAAGGGGGAAGGATCCGTTGGATCAGTTGGGGTCATAGAAAAAAACTTTGAAAAAAACCCCCTTTTTTTGTATATATCTCTTTGAGAAGGGGGGTCTATTGGAAAACGCTTTGAAAAAAATCCCCCTCTCCGCCCTCCCCCAAAATTGAGAGCTAAAAGGTCACTTTTTAGACCCTTAACCAATATGTTGATTTTTTTGAAACTTGATTTTTTTGTAAATAACTCTTTGGGGGAGTCTATTTGATCAGTTGGGTTCATAAAAAAATCATTTGAAAAAAATCCCCCCTCCCCCTCTTGAAATTGAAAGCTAAAAGGTCACTTTTTTTGACCCTTAACCAATATGTTTTTTTAGCTAGAATGTTATATCCATTTGACCATTTGGGGTCATAAAAAAACCCTTTAAAAATTCCCCTCCCCCTAAAGTAGAAAGCTAAAAGTCATTGAGAAAAAAAGGTTTTTAAAAAAATTTTTTTGATCGTTAACCAATATTTTCAATTTAAATGTTCTTACCCAGTCCTAAACCTTTAAAAAAAACTAGATTTATTGGGAATACAACTATAAATCAACTGTTTGAAGTCAAAAAATAACACATTTCAACGGGAAAAATTGAAAAGTTTTATTTTTGACTTGAAAATTCAGAAGTTCATTCAACTATTTTTCGGAACCTCAATTTTTCGAAAAATCCAGGTTTTATGAGTTATTACGAGTCAAAAATCGATACCTTCATACGAAAGAACGTGATGGAAGTGAGCAAATCGACGGTCGATTTGAGATCTTGGAGTTTGGCGGGCGAAGAAGACGGGAAATGGTTCTGAAAATTTTTATGTCAAAAAGACCATTCCCATCATTGTTCCACATGATAATCTGTGATAAGGATAAGGTTCAAAAATGTCGAGGATTATTTGGCCAAAAAGCTTATGGATATGTAAAAATATTGATATTATCCCACACACACACGTAAAAGTTCAAAGTTCTCTGGAATTTGCTGGAAAATATCCGGGGAATTTCCTATCAATTTGCGATTTTTTTGAATATTTTTAAGCTTTGAAAATCAGGGGAAAAATAGGGAGAAAAAAAAATTTTTTGTGCGATTTTGCGAAAGCCGTTTTTGGTCTGGCGCAAGCTGAAGACATTCTCAGTGCGAGCTTCCTAACAGAATTTTTTCAGATTTTTCATAAATTTGAATTTTCGGCATTCTAGTGACAAATTTTGAAGATTTTTAAGCTTTTAAAATCAAAATTGAGGGAAAAAAATAGGGAGAAAAAAAAAATTTTGTGCGATTTTGCGGAACCCGTTTTTGGTCTGGCGCAAGTTAGAGACATTCTCAGTGCGAGCTTCTTAACAGAATTTTTCTAAGATTTTTTTCATAAATTCAAATTTTTTTCGCATTTTATTGACAAATTTTTGAATATTTTTTTAAGCTTTGAAAATCAAGGGAAAAAAATAGGGAGAAAAAAATTTTTTTGTGCAATTTTGCGGAACCCTGTTTTTTTGGTCTGGCGCAAGCTGTAAAACATTCTCAGTGCGCATTCATTTTGAACTTTTTTTCATAAATTCAAACTTTTTTTCGCATTCTAGAGACTCAAAAAAATCCCAAATTTTTTCGTCATAGCAAATCCTAAATATTCATTTCCCTTTTTTTCTAAACTTTCTAAATATTCTCCCAACCAAATTCATAACCTCAGACGCCAAAAACGACTTGAAACCCAACAAAAAAGGCAAGAAAAATTGAGAAAGTTGAAAAATTCCAAGCTTCTCTCATATGGCAAATGGGAAGAGGAGCGGATATTGGGCCGAAGAAATCCGTTTATAAGCGGCTTTTCCAGAGAAATGATCAAGTCGGGATAAATATTATTATCGAGATAGTGGCTGGATTTTCGGAGGAATCACACTTTCTGGAGAAACCTTGGGAAATTCTAGCAAATATTGGTGAAATTTTGACCTAACAAGGGAGTTTTACTTTTTTTGTTTGGAATTTTTCTACAAATTCGGGGGGTTTCAAGTAAAAAAATTCTGAAAAACCTCATATTCTATACTAAATTTGGTTATGAAGCTTTCTAACCTCAAGAAAAATCTCTCAACTTAAAAAAAACCAAAAAATCGTGTCAGCAAAGCATTCCTCTGACTGATCGGCCATTGGAAAACAATTTTCTCGAAAATCCATTCCAATATTTTTCAAAAATTTCCTATAAACATTCTAAAATTCATATATATCCATCAGGCCCAAAAATGGGCATAAAAGAGGAAAAATAAGAATCGGAACGTAAGGATTTGTGTGCGTCAAACGTGTTGCTCCTCCGTGGGAAATCAAAGCTTTTCCTTTCTTTTTTTCCCCTCCTTTTTCTCCTTCCTATTCAAGTCGTAATAAATGCTCTATAGATTGGAGAAGATATATACCTCTTGAAAAAGGACTACTGATTTTTTGAACGCCGAGATTTTTGGTTATTTGTCGACATTTTGATAGAAATGAGACCTAAAAAAGGCTTGAAAGCTTGAATTTCGCTCATAACTACCAGTAGGTTCGAAAATATGGGCTTGGATAGCCTTGATAATTGAGGGAAAATCGCTCCACGGCTAAAAAAAACTCATCCTTTAAAGATCCATTTTCGCGCCTAACTACCAGAATGGCACAGGAGATTCAAAAATGAGGGCTTGAACAGCCTTCAAATTTCAGAAAATTAGCTCCACGGCTAAAAAAAAACACCTCATCATTTATAGAATCAGCTCCAGAAGCTTGAAAAACATGAAAAATCACCTGCATTTTTTAAAAATTGAAAAAGTTGTACCAGAGCTGATAAGGGTCACAAAAAACTGGTTTTTTCTTCCCTGCAGAACCCAAAAAAGCTTCTAGAAAGCTTCAGGATTTCACAAGTCACGGGTAAAAATTAAGGCTGCTGGACTGATATAATCGCAAAAAATTCGAAAAAGGCTTAGAAAACCAAAAAAATAAGGAAAGCCTTCCAAAAAACGAATGATTCTCGTACCTCTAAATTCTCAGCGAATTCCAACAAGGGCCATAAAATCCGAATCCAATGGGAATTGAAATAAATAATTCTCGAAAGTAGGAACCAAATAAGGCGTTAAACGGGTACATGAAAATTGGAGACCGAGAATTCGTCAGAGCAAATAAGTCGAGGAAAAAGAAAAGTTTCCACCCACACTACATTGAAAAAATAGCTGCAAGAGTAAAAAGCTTGGATTAACCTTTAATTTTAGCCATGGAGCGCATATGTTCTAATCTTCATGGCTATCATATTATTGTAGCAACTGGAGCTATCAAATTTCAACTTTTTGAAGCTTTTCCTGCTTTGAAACACGGTTACAGGGCCATCAACAATTTATTAACCATGGAGCGCATATGTTCTAATTTTCATGGTCATCATATTATTGAAACAAGAACTTTTCAAATTATCGCAGCTGTTTGAATCGAAAAACCCTAATTTTCGTTTTTTCAAGATATTTTGACTACTGAAGCAAAGGCGCCTCAATATAGCCCTTACATACACTTTTTCACGAATATGTTCTAACATGATTTCCAGAGTAGTCCCTATAGGGGTAAGGGACCGAAAAGTGATCCCAATAGGAGTTCAGGATCTGATCCCCTAGGCCCCAAAGCTCAAGTGGGCCCTATAGGGATCTCTCAAAATCATTCAAAAAACGCTCATTTAGTCATTTTTTCCCATGGACGAGTGTTTATAATAATTATCGACTAGCATGTCCCTATAGGGACCACTTTTGCAAGCCTTAGTGGTCCCTAGAGGGGTCATTCCAAGGGGCCCAAAGGTTGTCCCTATAGGGATTACTCTGGAGTTTATAGGAAAAAACGAATTTTCATTCTTTTGAGTTTTTTTAACGCTGGAAAACAATTTCTAATTTTTTTTTTTCAGTATCGAAGCCTAATTATCTCATTTTCCTGGCCTATTTTTGATGGCTCTTCTACAAAATATTCCTTCATTCTCTCAGCTTTTGATTTTCGAACTTTCAAATCCCATAAAAATCAAACGAAGCATCGGAAAAGGTGCGAGAAAATCAAGAGGGGGGAAAAAATAAGTGGTGTCAGAGTAAATGAGGCGACGAAGAAGCCGCCGTCATGAGGTCGTTTCCTGGCAACTCGACTAGAAAAAAAAATGTTTTTTTTTTCTGGGGGAAACCCTATCAAGATATAAAATCACGTAGAACGCACACATTCCTCGAATTCCGCTAGTTATCGTTTTGAGCTGGGAAAAAAGTTTTGTTTAAAAAAAAAAGGAGAAGCTTGAGAGCATTAGGAGAAGCTTGAGAGTATTTTTATTTCTTATCCCAAAAACCGGAAATTTTGGGGAATTTGTAGATATCTTTGAAAAACCCATCTCAAGATTAAAAATCAAAAATCAACCTCATTAATCTTTCCAAATGAGACACAGGATTTTAAAATTAGGCGAGCGGCCATTTTGTTTTAATTTTATTTGCTCCAAGGCTAATTTGTTATTCGATGGGTTCAAAATGGGGTAGAGGATAGAAAAGTCAAAGTTTTAAGAGTGAAAAACGAGAAAAATGCAAAATATGTATATTTTTATTGAATAAAGGATTAATAATCAGCGAAAAACGGCGTTTTTTTCTCAATTTCAATTTTTAAAAAAATTCCTGAACTATCATTGCAACTCCCAAAGAGACTATAAATTGACTAAAATCTGCTTTGAACTCATTTTTCAATAGAAAAATCCTCAGTTTCCATTGAGATCGGTACTTAAAAAAAAACCAACCCTATACATGCTCAAATCGATCCGAAGGCTGTTGTGGAGTTGGTCGAGAAGCTTCACGAAACGGTCTTTTCCGAAATTCGAGGCCGCAAATCGGTCAGACGCCGAGACGGCTGATGTGGCTGTCGTGTGGGCGTAATAACTGAAAAAATTGTTCAAATCCGTTGAAAAAATTGAAAAGATCCGAAATTTTCATGAAATTGAGCTACATTCTTAAAGTAGTCGCAAATATTCGGAATTAAAGTTTAATTTTAAAAAAAAAGTCACGAAAAACTGAGCATTTTTGTCTCAAAGCAGAGAAAGGCTCAAAAGTTTGGGAAAGTGTGCTCCACGGCTAAAAACTCGAAGAATTTGAGATTCAAAGCTAGAAAAGTTGAATGGTAATGATCTAGGGCCAAAAAAAGCCACGCAAAACTAAAAATTGGTTCTCAACCTTCGAAAAAATCTTCAAAAGCTATGAAAAGTAATGGTCTAGGATCTGAAAAAGCCTGGAAAAACTAGAAATTTGTGTCCAACCCTTACAAAAATCTTTAAAACCTATAAAAAGTAATGATCTAGGATCTGAAAAAGCCTGGCAAAATTAAAAAATTGTGCCTCAATCCCTTTAAAAATCTTCAAAAGCCTTAAAAAGTAATGGTCTAGGATCTGAAAAAGCCTGGAAAAACTAGAAATTTGTGTCCAATCCTTACGAAAACCTTTAAAAACTATAAAAATAAGTTTCAAAGTAAAATAATGATCCTGAAGTGAAATAACTTTTCGTGACCGTAATTGTGTTCCACGGCTAAAAATCTAAAAAATTAAAGTTTCACAGCTAGAACAGCATGTAGTTGGACAGTAATGATCCAGGGCATAGCAAAACTAGAAATTTGTGTCCAATCCTTAAAAAAATCTTTGAAACCTATAAAAAGTAATGATCTAGAATCTGAAAAAAACCTTGCAAAACTAAAAAATTGTGTTCAACCTTTAAAAAAATCTTCAAAAACTAGAAAAATGCGCTCTAGAGTAAAAATATGGCTTCAAATCGTGATATCTCTCAAGGGCTATATAGGTCTTAAAAGTCCAGAAAAAGTCATTTTTAAGCCTATGGATCTGCGAAACCTCCTAGCAAGTTCATAACTTCTCATCTGCCTTCCAATTTGATACAGGCTTCAAACTCACGCATTGATATTGGCCAAAAGAGTCGAGAGGACGGCTGGGACACCGGCGCACATGTATTTCGTGCACAGGCACGCGAAATGGGTCATCGCCTGGAATTTTTTTGAGAGTTTTAAAAGAGGAAACGAAAAATAAGTTACGTACTTTTAAAGTTTCCTGTTCCACTTAAAAAAGCCTTGATTCAAAATACAACGACTACAAAGAAAAACAGCAAAGATCTTTGGTCAGATTTGCAACTCGGTCTCTTTTGAAAAAAAAGGACAAGCTGGCTTGGAATGCGCTATAGCTCTACAAAAATATAATTCGTTGATTTCCAACCTCCTACCCCTTTTTCCGACCCAAAAACCAACCTGATAGATATTCTCAACGCCGTATCGCATCGCAAATTCGTTGACGATTTCTTCGGGCGTCTCCTCGAAATAAATCTTCCAGGCTTCTTCGCCTTTCGCCTCGGGCAATTTGACCTCGTCGTCGACGCAGTGAGCCTGGAAAAAATGCTTTTTTATAGTTTTTAATCGTGCGATTGTATGGCGACGTCGAATGAAAAACCAATTTTTTTAAAACACAAAAAGTACCGCAACTCAAAAACTTGTGCAGTAATCAAAAATGTCAAGTACTGTAAATTTTCCTAAAACTGGATTACCTATCGATTGATATATCACTTGCCGAGTTAAAGCTCATCAATACTCAGATACGCAGGTGCGCACCGGCCTACCGTAACCGTACGGAGAAAGTTGAGATTCTGCGCTTTTCTTCAAAATCAGCAAGAGTTCGATAAAATCAATAAAATTATAATTTTTATAAAAAAAAAACAGGATTTCAAGGAAGACGTTTATCCAATTTCCAACTTCTCATAGGGCTCCTTCACCTTTTATCAAAACTAAAGTTACAAAACCAGGAAATTTCTCGAGACCAAAAGAGGAAAAGGACGAAAAATACAGATCTTATGCTCCCATATAGCAGACTGTTCATGAGGAATGATCTAAATTCATTCTGATCTATTTTTTAAAGTAATTTCAATGAAATGCACTGTTCAATGAGCTAAAATCTTATCTTTTTTTGGAAAATACCAAACCTGGAAGAGATGTTCGTGCAGGCAAGTGTACTGGACATGATACGGGGCCAATTTTTTTCCTCTCCCTTGATTTCGACACTGATGTGAAGTCGGATCGCTCCAGAAACCGCCGATTTGTCGGTTCTCTTCTCTGGAAAAAAATTATATTTTTTTGAAGAAAACGATAAAAAAATATAATTCCGTATCGATTTTTTTGATGAGCTTTAGTTTGCCCCCCTCTCAAAAATCAAAGCTCTCTACTCTACAAAATTCAACAAAAAGTCAGTTTTCATCTTCTTTTTACAACCAAAACCAACCCAAGTTATACCAAACGTCCATCTCGCCAGAAAGTGTCCGCACTTCAATAACCGTCTGGCCCAGGAAATCATCCGATTCTCTCGTCAGTTTTTGCCGCAGTTTCGATTTCAAATCGTTGTCCTCGTCCCAAACTCGGACTTTGATTCGATCCGTCGAATTGTGGCATTCGCTGTAAAATTGGCATACTGATTGATTGGATTATCAATGAAGCAAGAAAGATCATTTGAGGTGGCTATTTTTCCAATTTTCTTTCCAAATTAGTCCTCAGTAGTCTTTATGGAATCGTTACCAGTCGAATTAACTGTTCTGAAGGCTCAAAATACCAGATTTATCAACAGAGCACATAAGGTCGTGTTTAAGAAGGCTGTTTTTTCTCATCGCAAATTTTTGAAAAAAGTTGATATATCGATTGATTGAGTTATCAATGGAGCAAGGAAGATCATTTTATGTGGCTTTTTTTGGAATTCCATTTTTCAAGCAATAGGAAAGTTACCAGTCGAAATTACTGTTCTAAAGGCTCAAAATCCCAAAAATCATAACTTAAAAAAAGAAAAGGTCGGAATTATCAACAGAGCACATAAGGTCGTGTTTTTAGGCGGCTGTTTTTTTCACAACGCAATTTTTGGAAAAAAAAATGATATTTCGATTGATTGTATTATCGATGGAGCAAAGAAGATAAATTTTAGTGGCTATTTTTTTAAATTTCCTTTTTCAAGCAATAGGAATGTTACCAGTCGAATTTACTGTTCTAAAGGGTCAAAAAGCTTCAAAAATCATGATTCAAAAAGAGAAAAATGCTAGATTTATCAACAGAGCACATAAAGTCGTGTCTAAGGCGGCTGTTTTTTCACACCTCGAAATTTTGAAAAAATTGATATAGCGATTGATTGGATTATCAATGGAGCAAGGAAAATCATTTTAGGTGTTTTTTACCCGATTTTTTTTCCGAGCCATTTTTGAAAATTTCTGGAGTGTTTCTAGGGAAGTTACCAGTCGAATTTACTGTTTGAGAAACTTAAAATGTCAAAAATTCATAATTAAAAAAGAGAAAAATGCCAGATTTATCAACAGAGCACACAATGTCGTGTTTCAAGCGGCTGTTTTTCACACCGAGATTTGAAAAAGAAGAAATTATAAACGGAGCAATTTTCTCTTCCCTGGGTGCTTTTCTAATTTTCTCAACTCACAAGAAGAATTTCTCGTTCCAAACGGGGTTCAGCTCCTGATGGATCGTCCTCGTCCTCCTCTTGACTTTTCCGACTTGAGCCGTCACGTATGGATCACTTTTGCCCGTTTTGTCCTTGGCGATTAGTCCTTGAGCACAGATTACTGAAAAAATTCGGTTATAGAAGTGTTGCGAGGGATAAGGGAAAGCTGGAGATACGCCAGACAGTTATACAGTCTCTCACTTCTCTCGCCTCTCGCAAAAACTTCTACTCTCTTCTCCTAACTCTGTGGTGAATTTTTCCCCCAAGAGCACATGAAGTGAAAAGGACTATGAAAATTTAAGAGACGCTAGACAGTTATACAGTTTTTTTTCTCTCGCGTCTCTTCAAGCCGCCTTGTTCTCTCAATTTTGATTAGACAGATTACTGTAAAAATTCAATCAGCCAGGTTTTTGAAAATAAGAAGCGAGAGATAGAAGGAAACTGAAGAGACGCCAGACAGTGAGAAGTTCTCTCGTTTCTCTAGCGTCTCTTCAGTCTCTTCTGTTCTCTACTTCTTGCTTTTTGGAGAATCTCACGTATAAAGTGAACGGAAAAAGAAGGAGAGGAAGGATCATGTAAATTCGAGAGACGCTAGACAGTTAGACAGTCTCTCACTTCTCTCGCGTCTCTTCAGGATCTTCTGCTCTCTTCTCCTAGCTTTCTGGTAAATCCCCCCGCTCCAAGATCACATGAAGTGGAAAGGACCATGAAAATTCGAGAGACGCTAGACAGTTAGACAGTCTCTCACTTCTCTCGCGTCTCTTCAGGATCTTCTGCTCTCTTCTCCTAGCTTTCTGGTAAATCCCCCCCCGCTCCAAGATCACATGAAGTGGAAAGGACCATGAAAATTCGAGAGACGCTAGACAGTTATACAGGCTCTCATTTCTCTCGCGCCTCTCAAAAACTCCTACTCTCTTCTCCTAGCTTTCTGGTAAATCCCCCCAAGAGCACATGAAGTGCAAAGGACTATGAACATTCAAGAGACGCAGACAGTTAGACAGTCTCTGACTTCTCTCGCGTCTCTTCAAGCCATCACGCTCTTTAATTTCTCACCAGTGAGCGTAATTTTGGCGCTCCATTTGCTGCTGCCTTCAAGAATACTCGTTTTGACCTGTTTTAGCGTTTCCTGTTGTACCCGTTCGTCAACCCCAAAAACTGTCCTAAAAAATAATATATTTTATTTTTGGAAAATGCTGGAAACAAACCTGATGAGCTCAAAGATTTCCGGCTTATTCTTCTCCTGAATTTTCATCCGGTCCCGGATAACCGCTACTAAAGATTGCGTCCGGTCCGCTTCTCCATGTTTGGAACTTTTCTCAGCGGCTCCTGAAACAGTAAAAGTCATGAATATTTTGAAAAGAGTGGAAAAATAGTGAAACAGGAAACGGACTTTGTAAGCAATCGGCGCTGAGCAACTCCCTGCACTTTTCATGAACTTTGACCCCACATTCGGTACATCGTAGGCCTGGAAATCATCCAATATTATTAATTATGGGCGTGGTCAGCAAATCAGAGGTATCGTTAGGTCTTGAGCACCGAGAGTTTTGAAAAAATCGATGCCTGAGTAGTTCAGAGACAGTTTTCGTGCTGCGCCCGACCCAAAAACGACTTGCGCCCACCTTGCCGCGCGAGTCCCCACAACAGCCCCTCGCATTCGTAGCACCACGTCGGCGTTTGGAAGTTCGTCGTCGCGAAATTATGCGGAGTCGTACAGCTGATCGGGTAGATCAAGGCTTGTAACGTCTTCTTGTAGACGTGCGACTTCTGAAACAAAGTTATTGATTTGTAAATATTCCTAATAATCTAGAAATTCGCTTTAAAAACGTTTTGAAGGAGTAAAACTATGAATAAGCAAGATTATAAGGTCACAGGTTCACGTCCTGTCCAGGACGGCGCCTTTTTGCCGTTTTTCAAAATCAAACGAATCTAGAGAGCACGATGGATGGAGAGACGCAGACAACCTTTTTCAGCATGGCACACTCCAAAAGTTCCATACTCTTTAGCTTTGTATATTTTCATGAAAAATTCTCAAAACTCAACGGTCAAAAGGCCACAGGTTCGAGTCCTGTCCAGGACGGCGCCTTTTTGCCGTTTTTCAAAAACAAAAAAATCTAGAGAGCATGATAAATGAAGAGACGCAGACAATCTTTTTCAGTCTGCCGCTCTCCGAAATTTCCACACTCTCTAGCTTCGTCTATTTTTCGGCTACTCTCCTTAAAAGAATGCTCAGAACTCAATGGTCAAAAGGTCACAGGTTCAAGTCCTGTCCAGGGAAATATCTTTTTTGCTATTTTCCTAGTCAATTCTTATGCACGAAAAAGCTTTCTAGGTGCTCGGAATGAGCCAAAAATCCACTTCTTGTCGAAAAACTTTATAAATTTCAAGGCATGCGCCTTTAATTTCCACTCGAGACCCACCAGTTCATCATCAGCGAACGTGGTTTTGGCAGCGTTGGCGAGGCCGGCCTGCGCTCTTTTTGTGGCCATTGTCTGTAAAATTCTTCTATTCGATTTTGAAGAAAAATAAAAAAAAGCAACTGAAAAAAAATGAGCCAAGCTTTTTGCAGTAAATGAAACCAAAGCCATTCTATATAAAGCATAAAAAAAATAAAAAAAGCGAAAGCAGCAGCTTAAAAAAACTCAAAAAAATCTAGTAGTTAGTAAAAAAAATCGTGCGGGAAAAACGGTAGCCAAATGTTAATTTTGTACTAAAAAAATGAAAAATTTTTGCGTCAAAAATTTTTGAATTTTACCTAAAAATGAGCGTAAGGCGGTTTGGAAGGAGTAGAAGGATTTTAAAAAAAGATTTTTGAAAAAAATTATTATTTTTCCAAAGCGCCTTAGCAAAAGCACATGCGAATAAAAAAAGCCAAATTTTTTTGAAAAAAATTTTTAAAAATTCAATAAAAAAAGCCACCGTAACCCGATGTACACATGCAGGCCTACCGTAACCTCAGAAATGCCGAGGTTTTTGTGCACCAAATTTTTTGAGGGGGGATAACTCTTCGGCTTACCTTTAAGACCTGCAAAAAACACGGACTCTAAAACGATGTGACAAAAGTTTTGGTATACTGTATGGGGTACTGTAGAGCGGTCCAGGCTACCGTGGAATGATTCACTTTAATGCTTCATCCTCCTTGACTCTAACCTGACTATCCTCTCTTTCCTCTCGCTGTTCTGGAGAGAAAAGAGAGCGCAGACGGTCAGAAACCAAGAATGAACGAAGATTTTTGAAAAAGACTCAATTTACTGTAGCCTGGATTAGTCTTATATATATCTTCAACTAGGCCGAAACTTATTCATTTCTATAACTCTGACTTCTTTGCGCTCTCTTGTTCTCTCTTCCTCAAAATTGTTACTCAGATGAGGGAGAAAGAGAGCGCAGACAGTAAGGAATGAAAATGAATGGACCACTTTAAGGTCGAATACTCGATTCATATTGATCATTCACCTCTCTCTGCGCTTTCTCGAGGGAAAGAGAGAGCGCAGACCGTCAGAAATATGAGCTGAACTTACGAGTTCGGAGACGAGCGGGATGCTGGTCTTCGTCCTGGCGACGTTCATGTTCGGCGCCGCGTCGATACTTTTGTAGAAGGCGTTGGCCGCCATGCTTCCAGTCCCATCCAGAACCGTCGACTGGAAGAAAAAATAAAATCAAACAATTCTGTCACTTCTGATCTATTTTTGGGACCGTAAACTCGTGAAACCAAACCTTCCTCCGGTCCTTATAAACCTCGAGAAGCTGGGTCTTCGGCTTGGTGATGGTCGACTTTTTCGACGTCACGATCTCCTCCAGCTCCTTCTCCTTCTCCTTATTTCTCGTCCTGTCCTTCAGAGAGATACTTCTCTGGCGTAGAGCTAATCTTTCCGCGTTCCTCAGTTCCGGTAAAGACCTGCTCTTCTTGATCTTCATCCTCCGTCTCCTTCTCCGCCTTGGCATGGCCGAGCGGACTCTCCTGACCTTCTTGAAGCTTTTCGAGAAGATCAAGAGAGCTTTGACTGGGTCAGGCTCTTTCGAAGGTGTAGGCTGACCATTGGGGGTGCTGGTACATCGTTGCCGGAGAAGAACCGCTTCGCCATTCATCAGGTTGGGCTCGGAGAGCTTGGTTTGGAGAGCTGGAGGAGCTCCAGTCTCCGAGGTCTTGCTCAGGGTGACATTGGCCAGGGAGGTCATGAAGAGCCGCTCATTGCCTCGGTCTTCATACCGTTCGCTCGGCTTCCGGAACCGATTCTTGGGAGTCGTCGGGGAAGGCGGCAGGAGGTGCGGAGACGTCGGCGGGTCTTCTTCGACGCGGATCAGAAGTTCCGACGAGGTTGATGACGGCGTCGGGATTTGTGGGGGAAGGCGAGGTCGACCGCCACCGCCATTGACGGCGGCGGTGGCGGTGAACCTTGGCCGGTACAGGAATAAATTCTGGAGCAGTTCGACGACGTGTCTCTCCTTCTTCTTCTTCTTCTTCTTTGACGTCTTCTGACAATTTCCTCTGCACTTGAGAAATGATGATAGTCTTCAAGAGAGTGATAGTTGCAGGGGTGGTGACTGAAATGGTTAATGAAGATTTGAAGAAAAAAAGACGGGAAATTGACGGAAATGAAAAGATTCAGATGAAAACGAGAAGAACTGCGTTTACGGAGGAAAATTGACTTTATAAACTTCTAAGATAAAAAAAATTGTGTGAAGCTTGTTCAAAGTTCTAAAAATGATGAAGGAAAGAAAAAATATGATTCCAAGATGCGTCAAAACTGGGAAGATCATTCAAAAATATCCAGGAAAACCAAATTTAACCCATTTTTCTGGCTTCAATGAATCCTCAAAAGCTACCAAAACTTCTCAAAATCAATTTAATAGTTCAATTCAACGGCCAGAACTTTGACTGATCTCAAATTGAACGAGAGCTAACCGAAAAAAGAAGAAGAGCTACCGTAACCTCCAATCTACAGTATCCATCATTTCTTTTCATTAAGAAAAGCTATTTCAGCGGCCAGAACTCGGATTGAAAAGTCAACTGAGCTCAAAATAAACGAGAAAAAAAACTGAAAAAAATTGAATACAGCTACCGTAACCTTCAACCTACAGTATCCATCATTATTTTAATCAAGAGACGCTACCCCGGCCAGAACTCGGACTGAGCTCAAATTGAACGAAAAAGTGGATAAAGTAGAAATAAAGCTACCGTAACCTCCACTACAGTATCCTTGCATGTTTGCATTCAAAAAACCTACAATAATCTATAAATTCCTTTCAAAATCTATTTCAAAATCTCAAAATCTTCTTTGAAGCCTAAAGCTCAAAATGAAGGAAAACTGACAAAAATAAAATGAAGTCTACCGTAACCTTCAATCTACAGTATCCATCATTTCTTTTCATTAAGAAAAGCTATTTCAGCGGCCAGAACTCGAAGCGAGCTCAAAATGAACGAAAACTCTCAAAAATGAATTTAAGCTACCGTAACGTTCAACCTACAGTATCCATCATTATTTTAATCAAGAGACGCTACCCCGGCCAGAACTCGGACTGAGCTCAAATTGAACGAAAAAGTGGATAAAGTAGAAATAAAGCTACCGTAACCTCCAATACAGTAACCTTGCATGTTTGCATTTACAAAAAAAGCTACAAAAAAATCTATAAATTCCTTTCAAAATCTATTTCAAAAATCTCAAAAATCTTCTTTGAAGCCTAAAGCTCAAAATGAAGGAAAAACTGACAAAAAAATAAAATGAAGTCTACCGTAACCTTCAATCTACAGTATCCATCATTTCTTTTTCATTAAGAAAAAGCTATTTCAGCGGCCAGAACTCGAAGCGAGCTCAAAATGAACGAAAACTCTCAAAAATGAATTTAAGCTACCGTAACGTTCAACCTACAGTATCCATCATTATTTTAATCAAGAGACGCTACCCCGGCCAGAACTCGGACTGAGCTCAAATTGAACGAAAAAGTGGATAAAGTAGAAATAAAGCTACCGTAACCTCCAATACAGTAACCTTGCATGTTTGCATTTACAAAAAGCTACAAAAATCTATAAATTCCTTTCAAAATCTATTTCAAAATCTCAAAATCTTCTTTGAAGCCTAGAGCTCAAAATGAACGAAAAAATGGCGAAAAATGAAATGAAGTCTACCGTAACCTTCAAACCTACAGTATCCATCATTTCCTTTCAATCAAGGGAAGCTACCCCAACGGCCAGAACTCGGACTGAGAAGTCAACTGAGCTTAAAATAAACGAAAAAAAAAAATGGCAAAAATGAAAAGAAGCTACCGTAACCTTCAAACTACAGTACCCATCACTATTTTAATACGCAGTATATATCATTATTTCAATTTTGAGAAGCTACCTCAACGGCCAGAACACGGAGTGAGCTCAAAATGAACGAAAAAGTGGATAAAGTTGAAATAAAGCTACCGTAATCTCCCATCTACAGTACTCATAATTTCTTTCAATCAAGGGAAGCTACCCCAACGGCTAAAAAAAAGACTGAGCTCAAGTTTAACAAAACCTGACAAGAAAATAAAATGAAGCCTACCGTAATCTTCAAACCTACAGTACCCATCATTTCCTTTCAATCAAGAGAAGCTACCCCAACGGCCAGAACTCGGAGTGAGCTCAAAATGAACGAATTGAAAAAAGTGCCAAAAATGAGGTGGTTGTTTGGTTGGTTAACCTCATTTCGCTTTTCGAGAGAAGGGAAAAAAAAGAGAGAGAAAGAAAAGGAAATTCGAATCCATTCACTTTTGGTGGCGGTGGAGTCAAGTGAGCAAGGGAGAAAAAATCCATTTCACCCGAAAAATCTTTTCGTCTGAAGAAGAAGTATATATATATATTCAAAAAGAGGATTCTTTGGTGTCAAGACAATGAAAAAAAGGAAAAAAACAACAAAAAGGCCTTTTTGGCACACAAAACGACGAGTTGAAACCGGATATTTTCTTCTTCTGATGGAAAATGGTTGGCCTCACGCAATCTGATCCTCTTCTTTTTTTTTTCCTGTTTCTGTTCAGCTTGTTTCAAAACCAAGCATCAGGCAGAAAATTGACATTTTTTTGAAATTTTTTGGTCGCATGGGGAATGGCTTGACGCTTCACGCAACGCATTGAGCCATTCCAAATGCGACCAAGAAACTTTCTTGTTGCATCTGATTCAACGAAAATTCAAAAATTTATTCGATATTGATTTTTTTTAAACGGCGATTTACCTACTTAGAAAACTTGGAAATCAAAAACGCCCCATAATATATCCCGATATTACCGGGCGCAACCCGGTTCAAAGTCGGGCGCACAAAAAAATTTGCTTGTTTCAAAACCAAGCATCAGGCAGAAAATTGACATTTTTCGGGTTTTTTTGAAAAATTTTGGTCGCATGGGGAATGGCTTGATGCGTCACGCAACGCCTTGAGCCATTCCAAATTCGACCAAGAAACTTTCTTTTTTTTTACGATAATTCAAAATTTACTCTATATTGATTTTTCAAACGGCGATATACCCATCTAGAAAACTTGAAAGGCAGAAACGCCCCATAATATATCCAGATGGCCCCGGGCGCAACCCGGTTTGAAGTCGGGCGCAACCCGGTTTGAAGTCGGGCGCAACCCGGTTTGAAGTCGGGCGCAACCCGGTTTGAAGTCGGGCGCAACCCGGTTTAAAGTCGGGCGCACGAAAAAATTTGCTCCTACAATAAAATGCCGACGATTATAAAACTCAGGGAGGGAAAAGATTTAGAGAATTGATGAAACAGGGATATAATTTATAATAGATATATCCAGATATTACCGGGCGCAACCCGATTTAAAGTCAGGCGCACGAAAAAATTTGCTCCTACAATAAAATGCCGACGATTATAAAACTCAGGGAGGGAAAAGATTTAGAGAATTGATGAAACAGGGATATAATTTATAATAGATATATCCAGATATTACCGGGCGCAACCCGGTTTAAAGTCGGGCGCACGAAAAAATTCGCTCCTATAACAAAATGCCGTTCATAGAAATATTATAAAACTCAGAGAATGAAAATATTTACAAATATAATGAAACAGGGATACAACTTATAATAGAAAGCCATCAGAAATCGAAAAATAGTTTCTAGTTTCAAAATAAAACGCCAATTAAACTCGAAAAAGTGAACACGAAATTGCCCTTTCGCACCTCATTACGACAAACTTTGTCTGAAAAAGGAAGGAAAAAGCGGGGAACTCATCAAGTGAACGAAGCTCATTACGACTAGAGAAGAGAAGAGAGAAGTGTTTGTGTTTTTGAACTTTTAAAGGCGAAAATAAAATAATATATACGTTTTTTGACCTCTTGAAGGGGGGAGTTTGAGAAAAAAAGGGGGTGAAAAATATATTATTCAAAAAATCGAGAAGCTAAAATCATGCTAAACCAAAAAAAAAGCTTCAAATTCGAAAATAATGAAGAAAGGTCCAGTTTGAAGTGGTCACTATAGAGGTAAGCTTTTTCAAGGAAAAAAATCAAGATTTGGAGTTCACCCCTTGCAAAAATGTGTCACAGAAGAAAATTTGTTTAAAATCTCTCAAGTGGGGACTTAAAAATGACTTAGGGACCACTTAAGGATAATTTGACGTAGCCCTTTCAGCGTCCTTTTCTTTAGAAAAATAGCTGAAAACTCTAAATAAACCCTAAAGTGAACACTTGGTTCAATCATACAAGCACTGAAGATCCCTTAAGTGACAACTCAGAAGAAACAGCTTAGTGGCCACTTAAGGAATTTTCGACGTTTGATTCTTCATAAAAATAGCTGAAAACAGCCAATTGCTCTAAATAACCCCTAAAGTGAACACTTGGTCCATTCAAGAAAGCACTGAAGATTACTTAAGTGGCTACTCGAAATAACTAACTTAGTGACCACTTAAGGAAGTTTTGACGTCTGATTCTTCACAAAAAAAGCTGAAAACAGTCAATTCCTCAAAATAACCCCTAAAGTGAACACTTGGTTCAATCATACAAGCACTGAAGATCCCTTAAGTGACAACTCAGAAGAAACAGCTTAGTGGCCACTTAAGGAATTTTCGACGTCTGAGCGTAGTTCATTCGTCCAGTGAGACTTTCGAAGAAGCTGACAGCCACAATGTTCCAAAAATCCCTCAAGTGACCACTAGGGGCCCTTTTCAGCCTTCCATTACTCAGAATCAACTATTGAAATGTTTATAAAAGAAAAAAAAATCCACTTTTTCCTCCGTTCTGGCTAGTTGTTTGTCCCCCTCACGGTTTATCAAATATTCCAGCCGACAAGAATGAAAAATTTTTCTGGCTTCGAAAATGGAGAGAAAAAGGGGTAGAAATCCTCTAAAAAATCCTTTAAAAATGTTGATTCGATATTTGAAATCAGAAAATTTTGGAGAAAAAATGACCGCATGGGGAATGGCTTCGGCTCACAAGGGGGTCATTTTAGTTTTCGGTTTGATTTTCGTGAAAATTGGTTAGAACACTTTTTGATGTACCAGAAGGAGAATCTGAAAGTCTCAACTTGAACACATACTTATTTTCAAGAAAAAGGGCCTCAAAGTCAAAGGAAACATTTAAAATACATAAAAATATGCAATTTTGAGGCTTTGAGCCTTTGGATTTTGAGAGTTTCCTTTAACTTTGAAGCGTCTTTTTTCGGAAACTAGAAAGTTTTGCAGGTTGGGACTTTCAGGATCTTCTTTTGGTACTTCAAGAAGTATCCTGGCCAATTTTCAGGAAAATCCGAGTCGCAAAGTAAATTACCTCACTTGCACCCGACTTTCACCGGTTTCCGCCGGAGCAAAAACCACACTTGGGAAAAATCTATCAAGAACTACCGTAAACGAAATTTCGTACTTTCTATATATCCAAGAAAGAGCTTCTCCCTTGATTTGATTCAATTATAGCTGGAAAAGCTCAAAGTATACATTCCTGAAAAAAAAGGAAAGAAAAAAATGAAAGGTGACATAGAGCCTTTTTCTGCACGAGTGAGTC